TTACAAGTCTAATGTAAACAATAGCAGGGTTGTTTAGCCAGGTAGCCATATTCTTCTACCCACAGACACAAAAATCAGCTGGAACTGGGTAATTTGGAGCAAAATGGCTAGCTAGAGGAGAAATACCTAAGCATACATATACTCTCTTATTCTTTATCTTTGACTTGCAGTTGATCAAGACTGCTGAGTTTTTTTTAAAATGGGGGAAACGAACAGGCAGCTGGTGCTTAAGCTTGTCCCTTGGGATAAGTTCTTATTGAAGAAGAAGCTTATCCTTATCTCTCTCTCTCTCACACACACACACACACACACACACACTCCCTAAACATATGTCAGGGTAGCCTACAATTTTTTGCTCTGGCATCTAATTTTCTAGGTGCAGCAATGGTACTCAATCATGTGAGTTCTCCTCTGCAGTTTGGAGTGGCACAGCCCAGACACAGGTTTATTACCTCGACAAGAAATAGGACTGGTCACTGCTAACCTTGGTTGGACTAGGACCAGTATGCTTGAAATATAGTCCTCCTTCCTTGCTCTGAGGTCAGATTAAGAATGGAATGCTGCAACACTACATATGGGCATTCAACATATACTTCACTTTTTCCATGACCCACTGCAGGTCAAAGGAGAACGGAATATGGAAAAGCTGTATCCTTTGAGGCATTTGAGAAAAGTCACATAATCATTCCTCTGCTTGGTCTTAGGCTTTTGGCACAATCTTATAAAATTAATTCAGACAATCCAGTGTTTATTCTCTTGAAGTTAGGATGGCAGTGTTTCCCTACCTAAGGGAAAGAAACATTCCTCAGCCTCCACATCATACTTTGTAGTTATAGTGAATGGTTTCTACGATAGGACATTTTGAAGGTGAAGATGGAATACATCACAGCGAAATTTTTCAAGGTAAAACTTTTGGAGCCAATCATATTCCAGTCGCTTAGTGTTGAAATGTATGGGATTGAATTAAATGAATTAAAAAATGAAATTGGATTCTGAACTTTACCTAGGGGTCGCTTTGGGATGGTTGCTAGACAGAAAATAATATCTTGGCTTTCTGGCAGCCCAGCTGTGAGGGAGAGTGCACTATTCATCAGAATGCAATTTGTCCAAGAAAGTACGTTCCAAGTCCTAATCAATTAAGATGAAGTCTTACTGGACAATGTTCAGGCAGACTACTCAAGAAAACTAAACCCACAAGTCTCGGTGGAAAAGACACAAGATAAGCTTAGCTTACACTGGAATGTTTGCATCTATAACGCAAACAGCTTGCGTGACACAGGATAGCATGTTTCAATCTACAGAAGGAATGTCCCTCCTTCCTCAGAGAGAAGCACTCAAAAGTCTAGCACAGCAGCTAGTTTGCTACCTGAAACAAAATTTTGTTAAGATCTCTGTACGTGCTGGTTTCTATAAGGATTGCTCTACACACACACACACACACACACACACACACACACACGTTCCTTAAAACAGATAAGACCATTGATATTTTTCACTAGGTTGCTCAAAAGGAAAAGGTATATATGAATGCCAGAAAGTTAATTGCAAGGATTACTCCTTATTTTCTATTTTCTTATTTCCTATTTTATTGCCCTGGTGCTAGTGTTCAGTTAAAGCTAGCCAGCATGTTAAGTTGCAGCAGGACTATGTCTAGGCTTGAGGCTGTCCTGGACAAAATGCCCTCACTGAGACCCCTCCCCACCCCCCAGATAGATCTTGGCCCAGGAGTGACACAGATGGGAATGCTGAGCCTACACAGCTGGACTTGCTGGCACTGCCATTTTGATTTAATTTCAGAGTGTGAAAGATGTACACATAAGCCACAAACAATATTAAATGAGAAATCAAAGCACAATATATGTGTGGGTATTAGGATACAATGGTTACATGGAAAAATCAACTTTGTTAAAACATCTAGTTTTAATCCTTGCTATTATGTGCATGGATTGGTATGTAAGATATTAATTTTAATCTTACAATTAATTAACTACAATTAATTAATTAACAATTAATTAACTACAATTAACTATCATTTCTGAACCCTAAACAGGCCTGCCTAAGCTCCACTAGCCTCTAACTATATTCCTAGCTGTCCTAACCTTATAGCATATTAAAGAGAAGAACACTAGCTGCCAGTTCCAGAGTGGAATTTCAGGGAACAGGCTCCTGTGGTGTTAGATGCTCATTTACTTCCCCCCTTAGCAGAGAACAATTTGGTGTCCAGGATATAAGATCCACTGAGGAACATCTAAGTAGAAAATTAGTTCAAGGAAACACTAAACAAAAATGTTCCAAAATAAAATAGTACATCCTCCCAGGAATATATAAAAGGTAATGAGGAAGAAGAAAAGAAATCTGAAAAAAAATAAATCTTTTCAAAGCTGTCCATATCATGAACATCAGGAAAAATCTAGCTCTGTGTAAAAATCACAAGGAATTTTTTTGCTAAGGTAGAAATAAAATTTCCTGAAACAAGTTTAAAAAAATCTGTACAAAATGTATGTGGAAAACTCAACACAGTAAAGCCTGTCTCAAGGCAAAGTTTTGACAAGCATCAAGAATGCAATCCAAAAGGAACATTTTCTTCTTACTGTGTGCATTCCAGAAAAGAGATATAGTACAGCACAAAAAAAAGACGGGGGGGGGGGAGCTGCTTGTGTGAAATAGAGATGATCCTAATATGGAGCCTAGAGAAGAATGGTCTAAGACCTCTCTCAGCTCCCCAAGATCCCAGAAAGCTTTTCCTGCTTGCTAATTGGTTCCCTTCATTTCTCATTTGTTTACAACCAAAATTTGGTTCTCTGTTGGTAAATGACTGGTCACCAGGCCGAAAGTTCATCATGCTACTTCTGTTTACTGTCCCCAAAACAGCTTCCCTTTGTCTTAGGGATGTGCTCCTGGGGCTGGAGCTGCCATGATGGCATCCAGAGGCAACAGTGCGCCTGCTGGTACATAACAAAAAGTCGCAGGTCACATTCACACCATACATAAAAGCACTTTCATACCACTTAGACAGCCCCCAAATATCCTGGGAACTGTGGTTTGTTCCCTCCATGCTTAACAAACTACAGTTAAGCTACGCCTGTTAAAGTGGGAAATGTTGAAGAAAGGGTAGCAAAATGTCACAGCTAAGAAGCTCAAATTCTGTACAGTGGTACCTCGGGTTAAGTACTTAATTCGTTCTGGAGGTCCGTTCTTAACCTGAAACTGTTCTTAACCTGAGGTACCACTTTAGCTAATGGGGCCTCCCACTGCTGCAGTGCAATTTCTGTTCTCATCCTGAAGCAAAGTTCTTAACCTGAGGTACTATTTCTGGGTTAGCGGAGTCTGTAACCTGAAGTGTCTGTAACCTGAGGTACCACTGTATATGGCTGACACCCTTCTTTGGAAATTAAACCAATGTCCAGACTTAACTTTCAAAAACCTTACTTGCATAAACTTATAGATGAATTAAAACATAATATTTACAGCCACATGCTTATTCAAGCATGGGCTTACAATCTCTTATTCTAACTGCCAAACAACTCTCTTTCCAGAACTCAGCACTCAGCCTTCTATATCTCAATTAGGCCATGCCTTGCAGCTCCTCTGAGAGATTTCCACTTTTACCTTCTGCTGCAGCTTTGCTCTCTTTCTTTCAAAGCAGGGAAGAAGCACCCCAACAATCTATCCAATTTAACAACATTCACAAGTGGGTTCTAAAACACAGTTAATTTGCTTCACATAAAACAAACTCTCTCCTTTACTAGCCAGCTTCCATGTGACCAACGTTAGCCAATCACATGAGAACTACCAGAGAACTCTCTAGAATTCAGTTACCCCAACTGATCACATTTAAACACATGGTAATAATGCACGCAAGCATTTACCATGTCAGTGAATTAAATTACTATACTTAACAGTATAAGACTGCTTTTAATGTATGGTGTGGATGTGAACTCAGTGAATATCCCCTCAAAAATCCACAATCCAAAAGAAAATGTTTGCTTTTCTTGCTCAGCTCGTTTGCAGTGACCTGGCCTGTTCTACAGGCCCCCACGGCAGATGGAACTTTCTCACAATTCCAAATGTGCCCATTGGCCCAAAAAGGTTGGCAGCCCTTTTCTTAGGGCAGGTGTGGTTGCTGGAGCTGGCAAGAGTTGTAATTCAACATCTGGAGGACCAAAGGTTTCCCACACCTGTCCTGGGGTTTTACCAGTGTATACTCTGGCCCCAGAGCGGCAAATCCATACCTTCTTCAGAATATGGCCCACTGTGGCAATTTAGCAAAGGCCTAGTCACCATAGCAACCAATCTGTCTTTCCCCTCCTTTCAGAACCCAGGGGTCCAGACTAAGATCAATCTGGGCTCTATGATTCTATGATTTAATTTACGGGCTGATTGTCAACAGATAGCATTTTTAATTGTTTGCCTTTGTATTTGTTTTTGTATCATAGTAACTGCTTTGGGTTCCCACTGGGGGGAAGTGGGGGACAAATAAACATTTATGAGTCGAATTAACAAATAAAAATGTTAATAATGTATAAATAAATATCAAACAAGCAGCCAGAGACAATAAAGCCACTTAATAGACAGACCCACAGCAAGGCTGATTTACTAGGAAGACCTCAGACAGAGTGTCCAAAATATAAAAGGATATATTTTATCAACCTTAGATATCAGCTTTTCATGGAACAAGGCTGCAGCATGTCGACAAACACAGCATGTTCAAACCACAGCAGAGGGGCACAATATTTAATTCAGTCAGCAAGCCTCCTATGGAAATGTGAATCATGCTGTCCCCATAGTACATTCTGTTCATTCTGTCACAATAAACACAAGTGTTTGTTTGCCGAACCCATTAGCACTAAACTATAAACTTAACAAGAAAGTTCCAGAGTCAAGCTGTGTTTTTAGTTTGTAATAGTACCCGCCATTCCAGGATTCTTTTCTTTTTCTTTTCCTTCTTCCAAATTTACTCCAAATTTTTCCTATTAAATCATAATATTTTCCAGTCTTTTGCAATTCTGCAGCATCACATAACAGCAGGGAGTAAATCATGGGGCAAGTATGGACAGACTTATAATTTCACATTTGTGTCATTTAAAGTTTTGGAACAGCAATGGCAAAGCCCGCCCCCTCAGCATCATTTCTATTATGTTCTATTGTCATGCAATGTACTGCAACTCCTCGGCTCAACTTGGTTTTATAAGGCCAGAGAGGGCAGTACAATGCAGAATTTATTTGTTTACATTGGAAAGCTCTTGTTCCCTGTCATTTAATGACCTCTATTTATGATGTATTTATAGCACTGAATAGGTTTTTTGAAAAGTCTCCATAATTTTTGGAGGATGTCACAGTCCGTGATGTCTTTACTCACACAGAACAATAGTTTTTTTTTTCTTCTGCAGGGGTTCCATTTGTAAACCTCACAAATTTTGGATGATCTGTCCAAGCACTGCTTCCCAACATCAAAGCAATGACTGGAGCCTGGGGAAATCAATCCAAGCTCACATCTACATTTGTAGATTTCTACAAGTCCAAATCAGCACTGGTGTGTGTCTAGGTTTAGCCAATGTGCGTAATGAAACATTGATCGCTTTTTTATTTAGAGGAATGTCACCATTGGGAGGAGCAGGGTTTTGCATCTGCATCAAGTAGTACTTCCACAGCATCTGCATTTAAAGATGCAGACACAGCCTAAGAATGTAACTAGTCTACTTTTAATAAAATTCCCTTCCAGTTTTCGGCACCAGTGGCAAATAACAAAATTGGAACCTCCTTTTCTCTTTCACAATTTCCTTTACTCTATAGTTGTAGCCAAACTTGGTAAAATATGTTCAATTCCATCTCTTGCCTTCTAAGGGTGTCCTCGTCAGCAATCTTGTAGTAGATTGCATCCTTGCTACAGTCCTTGTTTTTAGACAAATGTTGTTTGGGTTCAGCGCATAAAGGGTTGTCTCTCACTTTATCAGCATTTCTGTCCCTGAGGATTCCAGGAACTGAGTCAGCTCTCTGATATCATGGTATTTTGACTTTTTGTCCAAGGCACTCTCATTTACAAGGAAAGTGAGGTGGTTCAGGATTCTGCTGATTTCAAGTTCCAAGAAATCTCATGAGCCAGAAGAGCTATAGTCAAGACCACAAAAGTTGGGAGATCTGTTTCAGTAAATTATAATTCCCATCATTGAAAAGTTTTGATGTGAAAATGACACCGGTGCTCCAACAGTGTTGCAGATAGGCTCTCCTTGTATACACAGTTTGGTGCAAATTGATACACTTGGTAGACTCTGATGATGTGCTGTTCCACATGTCGAGAATGTGAATCACTCCTGCTTTCCTGGGTGTCATGCCCTGATTGTAGGCTTCACAGAAGCCTCTGGCTGACCATCCGTCACAACAAAATGCTAGACTCATTTGACCTTTGGTCAGCTCTTATCTTCTTATCACTTTAGTTTCAGATGAAAGACTATGTGCTAAGAGACATGACCAGGGTACAGCTTTAAAAGGGTAGGGGGAGCTGGAATTGCTACATTTTGGTCGACAAAAGCAGATTTGCCCTTTTAAGATACTATTGCTTTCCTGGGAGAGATATTGCTGCGAATCTCCTTCTTGCACATACTCCATTCCCCGATTCTCTTAAACTGCCCAATGACTACATAGTTCTTCTTTGACAGCCATATTCCCAATGTCTCAGCAACAAGGAACTTGGCACATTTCGTCCTTGAGATGAAATGTATACGAGGTAGTAGGGGTGTGCACCAAACACAAGATCCAGTTAGTACCTTGGTTTGGAGCTTTGGAAAACATCCTGCCAAAGCACTTTGAAGCCTGGCTGATTTGGTCAGGATCCATCCAAGGGTGTGTACACACCACAGATTTAAAGTGGTTTTGATAAATCCCACATAAACATATTTTGCAAATCATCCCTACCATGTCCTGCTCATCTAAGTTGCAGCCTGCACCCTTCACATGCAGGAGAAGTCCCTAACTCACAGAGGGCTTGAGACCCATCAACTACCCTCACCTGTTTAACCAGCCAGTCAAAGCTGGTTCCCAGGGTGAGGCCACTGTCACATGCTGACAGCTTCTAGGAGCCACAGATGAAATCTGAGTGCAGGGTGGGGACCAAAGGTGGACAAACTATCCCAGAAGAGGCATGACGTATCTCCCACCAGAGATACTCCTCCTTCCCTAACACCCTGTACATCCTGCTGTGAGCATATATGAACATTATTCATCATAACAGGTAAGAACTTGCTTAACTCAGTAAAGAAGTGCAGGGAATATTTGCCAGCTCAAAGTGAGCTGGACCATCTGTCTGAGAGTGTATTGTTGTGGGAGGCTGCTGCCATTTATTCCCCACTTAGCCATTATCCTACAACCCCTGGCTGTGTTTTCTAGCAGAATCTCAGATACTGCAGACCCATGGAATATATATAAGTACACAGAGAAGTAGAAAGAAGCTGGACAGACTCTCTCTTTTTAAAAATGCACTTCTAGATAAGGTGAACAGATGTTGCCCAGCCTGCTAAGACAACCTGAGAAATATGTGGCTAGCTCTAGCAGATAGATTTCTGTTGGTTTCCCAATGCCATGTTAAGAAATAAATTTCAATTTCAAACTAGATAGCTCAAAAGTGCCTCATGGAGAAAACTCAAAACCTGTTCATTCTCCGCCTGCGCGCCCACACCCCGCCTGCAACCATACAAGTCACATTTTCGTCACCTCCTTGACATGCCAAGATAGGGCAGTGATTCAATTTTGGTAATTGCATCTGCCATTTTGTGAAATAACTGGGTGGGCAATGTCTGTTGGTTGATGTAAATAGCTTAGCTAACAACTCAGTTACCGTAATTAGAGCTTAGCTGGCCTTTGCTTTGTGAATGCTAATCCTTTTCCAGTTATCTTTAAGGGTGTGTGTGCATGTTTAATTTCAACTATGAGATTATCCTGCTGTGAATAAAATCTGTTTTATTAATACTTACATACTTATTGTGATTTACATGTGAGCAGCTGCTCTTCATTAATTGTCTTGGACCCCTCAGCCTAAAGTCCTTGATTCTTGTGATGTAATGGCATAAAAAGTTGGCTTCTACCTAGCCTTCCACCCACAAGGTCTAAATATGGAGCAGGGCAAATCTCTGCAGATTCCAGAGACAGGCTATGCTTAAGACGTGCTCCAGACCTGAGTCCCACATGATTGCACCAAACATCAAAAAACATGTGCTTTTTTATTAATAAGGATAACAAATATGAGTCATATGCACATGCTGGCTTTTTAAGTACTTGATGTTGGCTATCACTTTATGGCACCAGGAGGAAGCCAAGGCAAATAAAATTGTTTTGAGTAAATATTACATTTCTAGAGCATGAATAAGTTTTTCTCTTACAGCCAGTGTGTTGCTAAGGGGAATAAGAACTCAGAACCGAAAGGGGCAAGCAATAGCTAAATCATCTCTCTGTCTTGCAGATAGTCTGCATCCCAAACTGTTTGTTTGGACTCATCCGTGGGTGTGCTAACAGAGTTCATTCTTGAGCAGAGTCACGGGGGAAATGAAATAAAAATAGCAGCTACAGGTCGGATAGCCTATGCCCTGTGCTTCTCTGAGGAAAGCAGATAGCTTTGCACAAAATAGATCAAAGCTTTGTCCTCAACCTGAAACAACTGCAGAACTTAACGTCAATTTGCATACACACACCTCAGCAAAACTATCACAACATATTGTGATCAATTGCCTTCAGCATATTTCAACCCAATTAACTGTGAATCTAATGGTGGGTGAACTCCTACACCTGTATGCAAACAAACACACATATTTGATAAACCTTAGGAGAATCTTCCTTTGCATGCTTTGTTGAATGGTCTCTTTAAATGTGAAGGTTCATTATTGTTCCACAATATGTGTAAGTCTTTAAGGGCCAGAGCAAATAACGAGACCCAGTCTTACAGCTGTGAAACAGTATAGCAGGTGCTGCTAAGTTGTGTTAATTAAGCTGTGTCAGCAATTGGGTATAGTATATAAAGAGAAGCACCTAGCTCTCTCTGTACCCTGGGGGTTGGGTTGGTGGATGGGTCATGCTTATTGATATGTTTAGTGTAAAAGGAGTTTTTGTTATTAAAACCTCGTTAAAGTTATTTTTGAGTTCCTTGTAATGTGTGGTCTCCCCAGCAAGCTTTCTGCAGTGCAACTAAACTGCAAATAGCCAACATGCTTTGGTCAGGTTGATAATTTGACAGAAGCCCTTATGTATGGGTGTTGGCCTTCCCATTTACCCCTTCTTCCTTCCCCAAATTTATTAATTATTTTTATGTTATTTCTTTATTTAATTTCTGTATCACCCTTCATCTGAAGATCACAGGACAGTTTACAATCTAAAAACATAAACATACATAGGTTTAAAAAAACAAAACCAATACCAGCCCCCCACAGTTTAAAAGAATAGCCAAAGGAATGGAAGAAGTAGAATGTTTTTACCTGGTGTCTAAAGATATGTAACCAAGGGGAGAGCATTCTACAAGCAGGGAGCCAATGCAGAAAAGGTCTGTTCTCACGTTGCTGCCCTCCAGATCTCTCACAGAGAAGGCACACAAATAAGGTCCTCAGATGATGATGATTGCAGGGTCTAGGTTGCTTCCTATGGGGAGAGGCAGTACTTGAGGTATTATGGTCCTAAGCTTTAAGCCTTTATAGATCAAAACCAACCCTTTGAATTGGGCCCGGAAACTGATCAGCACTAGAGCAATCAGGCCACATTTGGCGTTATATGTCTTGCTTCGATGAGAAACCTGGCCACTGAATTGTGCACCAGCTGAAATTTCTGAACCATCTTCAGAGGCAGCTCCATCTACAATGGCAATGATTGCAGTAATCAAACCTAGAGGTTAAACAGAGCATAGACAACAGTAGTTAGACTATCCCTGTCCAAACAGGGGCGTAGCGGGGCCACCAGCAAAAGCTGATGGAAGACACTCTGTGCCGCTGAGACCACCTGAGCCTCAAGCGACAGCAAAGGATCCAGAAGTACCCTCAAGCTAAATACCTGCTCCTTCAGAGGGAGTGTAACCCCATCAAGAGCAGGCAATCTCCCATCCATCCATTAACATTGCCTCAGTCTTATCTGGAAGTGCTTTGGTTTACCTTATCAGGCTAATTGTGCAAAAGGAGCAAGAACCTGTCCTTCAGACAAGAGTTTGAGAAGCCTTGGGAATAAGATAGAGTCTATAACTGAGATATTCTAAAAATGTATCATTTGTAAGGACAGATAGATAGATAGATAGATAATACTTTATTCGGCTATAAGCCCACAGGGTAAAACAAATCAATAGATAAAAATCAATAGATAAAATCAATAGCATTTTACAATCTAAAATATCAACTAAAATATTTCAACGCATAATCTCTAAATGTACCGTGTTATGGCCTTGAAGATAAAGATGGTGCATAGAGTTTTCTGAATTTTTAATAGTCATGCAGCATTCCCTGAAGTCTTTTATATGACAGAACTGAGATCAGGAATCTAGCAACCTGTAAAGTTCTATAAGAGTCAATGTCCTGGAGTAGATAAGCTAGATGTAATTCAGGTGGTTTAGCAGCAATTTCCAGAATGATTGAACTCAGGATCCTTGATCGGGGAACATTATATAAGGGGCAATTAAACAAGATATGATAAAGGGATTCTATCGATTTGTTGTCACATGCGCACAAAACAGAGATTTTACCGTTAGAAAATCTATTGCTCAGCACATTTGAGGGGAACACATTAAATCTGGCTCTAACAAATGCGAATCTATGCGATGCAGCCGATAAAGTAGACAGATATCGAGGTATCTGGGACATATATGTAGTGCCCTGATATATCGGGGAACATGTACCTCCACCTGTGGTAAGATTTTGTTGTAAATCTACCTCCTCCAGTCTTTGTTTGATGACCTTTTTAGCTGTAATTAGATCTAAATTAAGTATATCGGAGGGAGAGATTCCATAAGACAACAGTTTGGAATGGATTTTTGTTGCCCATGGGCTGGTGAATTCATCTCTCCAAAGGCACTGAATAAGATGGTAGTTTGGCAATTTATGCCAAAGGGACAGCCAATAATTAAAGGCATGTCTCCACATCAGAATCTCAAGGGAGGGGGTCTTAAGTTCTAAGCGAATGGCAGAGTTGCTTACACAGGAGGGTAGTTTCAAAAGGCGTCTTAGAAAAAGATTTTGCAATGTCACCAGAGGCAAGAGGTTTACAAAGACGCCCCATAAAGGGACCGCATAGGCCATAGTTGCAACCACTTTTGCACTATAAACTTTTAAGGCAGATGGAACATGCATAGCCCCCTCAGTAAAGAAGAAGCGTAGTATAGCGTAGATAAGGGCTTTCACCTTGTTTTGTAGATATGTGATATGCGCTTTCCATCCCATATTATACTGGAAGTAAATTCCTAGATATTGAAATTTGTAAACTTGTTCAATTGGCTTCCCCTCAAGTTCCCATCTATACAGTTTACGACTCCTGGAAAAAATTAGGACTTTAGATTTGGAATGGTTAATAGTAAGTAAATTTGTTTGGCAATATGATGCAAAAATCTTAAGGGCCCTCCTCAAACCGATTCGAGAATAAGAGAGGATCACCGCATCGTCAGCGTACAATAATAAGGGGCAGCGATAGTCTGCAAGCCTGGGTGCATGAATGGAGGTTTGGGCCTCAGCTAGGGGCGTCCTCATGTCACTAATATAAAGGTTAAAAAGATAGGGGGCAAGGATACACCCTTGTCGTACTCCCTTGTTTATTGGAACTGAGTTTGTGAGATCGCCCTCAGGTGTTAACCTCACCCTAGCAGCCGTCCCTTCATGTAATTTAATCAATAGCCACAACAGCCTTTTTTCTATGCCCCACTTTGCCAGTTTTTCCCATAACAGCTCTCTAGAGATACTGTCAAAAGCCGCCTTCAGGTCTATAAAAGCGGCACATAGAAGACCATGAGTAGGGGAAGAATATTTCCGCGCCAAATGATATAGAATTATAGCATGGTCAATAGAAGCGCGATTTGGTCTAAACCCGACCTGTTCATGGCCTATCAGATTGGAATCTTCGGCCCATTGGGTTAGTCTGGTTAGCAAGAAGCGAGTGTAGATTTTTCCGATGATTGATAATAAACTGATATTACGATAGTTTCCTGGGTCCTCTGGTGGTCCTTTTTATATATAGGAATTATGATGGACTCCTTCCATGATGTAGGTATCTGGCCCGTGGCATTGATTGTATCAAAGATTTTTGCAAGAATTTTAGCCCACCATATTGGATGTTGTTTAATAGCTTCCGCCGGGATCAGATCGGGCCCTGGGGCTTTATCAGTTTTCAGTTTGGCAATTAAATCTACTATTTCCTCCGGGTCAGTATCTGGCCATATGGGCAAGTTACTTGAGAGAGTATCAGATTGGATGTTAGAGATGTCTGTCTGGGAGAAATATTTTCTTAGAAATTGTTCCCATGTCGGGGCTGGGATAACCGTCAATGGGTATTTCCTCGATCTTTTGTTGATTAAATTCCAAAACCGCGAGAGCTGCGAAGCTTAGAGGCAGCAATCAGCGCTTGCCAACGTCTTAGCTGCCACTCGTGCTTGGCTGACTTCTGAGCCTGTTTGTAAGCAATTTTGGCCTGCAAGTACTCTGGGGGGAGAGTTTCAGCTCCAGAGGCTTTATATCTGTTGTAGATACAACAGAGAGAGAGTCTAGCTTGCTTACATTTGGCTTCAAACCAAGGAGCACCGAACCTGGGTTGATCTCGTTTTGCGAGGTGAGCCGGCATCGTAAAGAAGCTAGTTAAATCTGCAGAGAAGTGGAAGAACCACTCCAGTATCCTATTTGGTTCAGACAGCTCCGCCAATGAAACAATAAGGGATTCGGAGCTATTCCTCTGGAAGAATTCTGCATATTTTTGGGCCTGTTTCATGGACCATTTAATGCCTCTTACTTGAGCTGTGGCATTTAAACCTACATGAATTGGGTGTGTTCCGCTAACCGGGTGCCAGTCAAGCGTTAGCTTGGCCGCTAGAGGTAGGTGATCACTGGATTGTACATTATCTACTTTGAAATAAAAGAAATTTGAAAATAGGTCTTCTGAGACTAGAAGATAATCTAGGACACTATTAGATGTTGTGCCCAAATGAGTGAATTCACCTGGCACGTCCGGAGGGCAGTTGCCATTTAGAATGTTCAAATTCATACGAATGGCCAATTGATAAAGAAGGACTCCCGCCTCATTCACTCTGTTGTCCTTGGATCTTCTTGATGTGAAAGAGATTAAATCAGATTTTGGGTAGGGGGGAGATACCCACCACTTGGCCTTAATTATCCCATTCCAGTTGGCAGCTGTACGTGCATTGAAGTCACCACCCATTATCGATGGAATATTAGGGTACTTAACATAGCATGCCAATAAATGATCTTCCAGAGAATCCCATCTATAATGAAGGTCTGATATCAGACCACCTGGAGGAAGATAAACATTGGTGATTAATAGTGAGAGTTTTTCACTTGAAATCAGACCAGTAAAAGCAAAAGGAGGAAAGGTATGAACTAGCGAGAGTTTAGCTCTCATTTTAAGCGATATGGCGATTGCAAGACCGCCACTGGACCGGCCACCTTTCTGGGAGGGGATAGCTGGAAGTGATATCAGTTCAAAGCCATTTATATCTATTTTATCTTCTTCCCATGTTTCTTGCAAAAGGATTATCTGGAAAGAGTTTATATAGGACAGAAATTCGGGATCTAATCTTTTCCTTTTCCAGCCAGCAATGTTCCAACTTAGGACTGCTAGCTGGGGACTTCTATGTTGTTCTTTTAACAGTCAAAATGGAGGGGGGGCAGACTCTCTGTTAAAGACAGAAGATGTAACAAAAAGTCAGTTATTTTACTTTGGGAAGATGGTAACTGTGAGGCGCCCTGCAAATTAAAGTTTTTAACAATTTGGTTCGACTGTTGGCACACCGTGGATGATCCACTGAAAGTAGATCTCTGAACAGGAAGTCTCTTCATTTCGAAATTCTTGGTACAACTTGACAGAGAAATACCCAGGTAGGGGGAAATTGAGTCCGTCGGGGTAAACCCTCTCGTAGATTTGTCATCCGACATTCGGATTATTTTATTGATGCGTCCCATCGGGTCTTCAATCATTTCTGACGGCGGGTCCCGAGGTGTAACATTCGCAGTTTCCTTTGAAGGAGGTAATTGAGGGGGCATCACGGAGGTGGAAATTGCGGAAGACTCTCTCAGGGGCATCACTTGTGGACTACTTCTATATCTGGACGAAACTGGAGAAGATTCTAGCTCTGGCATAGATGAGTGAGTTAAAGAGGGATTTGAGTCAAGCAGGGAAATCAGAATTTCGTCCTTAGGTATGTTGGTTGATGAATATAGATGAAGGTTCAGTGAGGATGGCAGAGCCTGGTCGTCTCGTGATGTAGCGCACGCTGCAGAAGCAACTTGAAGATTTGAGTCTTGTCGGATGGTTTTTGAATTCAGAGTGGGGCTGAGCTGAAGAAGGTCAACCACTTCTGTCCGGTGGGCCCAAGTGGGATTATTTGAGACATCGTTAGTATCTCCCCTCTATGTTGAACTTGCAAAAGCTGAGATTTAAGCGTGTCAAATCTTTGCATCATCACCGACTGTTCTTTCGGAGGAAGGGCTCTGAATGAATCAATAAGTTCCCTTTCGTCGAGGGCAGTCTGCAGATTATCATCCTCATATATAGCAGTTTGAGAGGGTATCGAGTTTGGTCGCGGATGGCACGCTGCAGAGTCATCGCGATTGGGCCTGACAGTATTTTGAAGTAAGGCAGAGTCTCTTGTCCTAATGTCCTCACCGCCAGGGCACCTATTTAGAAGGGGTTTGATCTTGCTGTCTGTAAAAACCCTCGTTGCTACAATGTCGGCCATGGACAAAAGCGTTTTCCTCCTAACAATAATAGATGGTATCTTTTCAGAGTGGAACGCAAGTATCACCTTCAAGAAGTTGGTCTGCCGGGGAAGGGGCATTACAGCATATAGGTCAATCTGATATTTCTTAATTTTTAAAAGTTTGCTTAAGCAGTCTTTAGCTCCTTCTAGCGTTGACCATCTTCCTATTTCCGACCTGACAGATAGGCAACTTTTCTTGGGTTGCAAAGTTAATATCTGATTGTTCAATTGGGAATTTAAGACATATTTAGTTTTAGTCTCCAGTATTTTATCTGAATGGGGGTGAGGCAATAAGTTTTTGACCTCACAAACTGAGGATTGTGTTGTTGATTCAAGTTTTCCGATTTTCAGCAGGATATTGGATAATTGTGAAGATACCTCGTCCAGCCTTTTAAAAATACAGTGAAGGGTCTTAATTACTAAGTGTAACTGCTCACATCTGGGGAACTCCCCATAACAGATGCCAAACCATCATCCTGCGATGAGAGTTTTTCTTTCGTATTCTCCTTTACAGGCTTTACATTTGAAACATTTTGAGTCATCGGAATCGGAGTAGCTTCTAAATCAATTAGAGGTTGGAAGCGATTTTGGGTTTCCACTGCAAAGCCTTGCTCGGCATGGTCACTCCCTCCTCCAATCCGGTGTGGCACCAACCTTGATAGTTTTGGTTTAGGGGATGATAGGGGCTCGTCAAAGTCTCTCAAGCGTTTTTTCTGACCCATGCTTTCCTCAGGCCAGAGATTATACGATTCTTAAAATAACATAACACTTAACACGCAATTAAGATAATGGCGTTCTCAACTCCTTTAGCAGCTAAAGCCAGCCCGCTGATATGAGAGAAACAAAGAGCGGCTTGCAGCAGTCTGGAGCAGGGCCAAATCTCTCAAAGAGTTTCCATAGTATGCGGCTGCAGCAATTATAAAATACTTCAAAAACTGACTGAGTCAGTTGCGATAAAAGTATAAAAGATTAAGAGAAGATTAAAAGAAGTCCGAAGAGCACCGGTAAGCGCGTCTTACCTCGGCGCCATGTTGGCTTCCTCCAACCATTGTAAGGACAGAACAAGTATTGGAGAGTAACTTGATGTCCTAGTGATGTAAGGGTCTTTTAGAAGGACTATTATTAAACGAGTCCACGGCAGTATAGAATGGAATTTAATTTACAAATAGCTCTCAAGTCCCGTGAGTGCTCTGACCAGTGAGGATTTCCCAGCCAGTATACGGTTGCTTCCAAAGACTAATACTAAGAAATGGAGGCCTATATCCATGTTTTGCCTCAGTTTGCAGGCAGAGGCTTTTCCATCATGTAGAAGCTGCCAGCAAGCCATTTCTGCCAACAGAGGAGCTCAAAAACTATATTAAGAGCAAATTGCTCTTTCCCTTTTGTATTGTACTTTACAGCTGTAATATGAGGAAGTGTTTTTAAATAGTGGAGCTTATAAAGTGTTAGCACAGTTGGCTAAACTCTCGGCAACCCTTTTTCTAAGGCAGAGATTGGTGAAACGTGACATTGCTAGTACTGAATGAAGTAAACACCGATGACAACATCCTTATTTGAAAACTTACCATATTTGGAAACTAAAATTCACTCTCAGACACCTCTGGACTTTATGTGGTATGCAGAACAAAATTTGCATATGCGACAGAGCCTTCTCTCGGTGTTTAAACTAGATCTACAATCTCACAGCTTGTTCTATGTGAAAACAAAATACACTGCTTGTGAATGCTTCTCATACAGAATTACAGAAGGATCAGTAGCCTCTTGAGTGAAGAGAACATTGGTGACTATCCTGGACATTGTAAATATTGGATGTTTTCTTACTTTAATCACTTGTTGAAGGACTACTTTTACCCTGTGCTTTATGTGTGCATTTTATTGGTTTTTAAAGTGATTTTTTTTTTTACTATATATATACTGTATGTTAAACTACATTATGCACAATTATGCCAGTAAGAGGACACCAGTAAACGCAGGTGTTCTGCACATTCAGTCACTTCCTTCCCTTTATTGTCTAGTCAAGTCGTTAAGTCTTCTTGAAAAAATCCAAGGCTTTCACATGTCACAATGAAATAAATAAATAGATGACGGTGTGGCCCTTAAATACATTATACCTCCAACTACTGAACATAAGATTCAACATTATCCTTCCTATGTATAACCTATGGCATTTCCTCTTTTTTTTTTTTTTTTTTTTTGTAACACCAACTGCTGCTTGGTCAACTCATCCATTGCTTATTCTGGAGTAATTTCTGTGGCTAAAGACCATTTAGTGTTCAACATTAAAAGAAAAACACTTGAAAAACGATACCTGCTGCTCTGTAAAGGGAACAGATCTATCAAGTGACTGCCTACCCCTCCTTCCCTTCAAAACTTACTCATGCTGAACTTGTTTCATAGGCTGCGTCTGCCATCTAGTGTTCATGAACTGCTGTGTCTTCTTAAAAATCTGAAAATAAATTGGATGAAAGCCAAGCATATCCACATGACTTGCAACTTGCATTTAGTGTATACAGCAGGCCAGATCACAATCTTAAACCACAAATAACATACGAAAACCCAATCAACCTCCCGCCAGCCTGTGAAGTTGTTGGACATCTATAAGCCTGAGCCAGCATGACCAGTGGGCAGGGATGATGACAGGTGTTGTTCAGATTTGCAGCCATATAATCTATTCTTGCATATCTGTAAATTATTAAGGAGGGAATAATGAGCAGCTTTAAGGCCTCCTTTGCTTTTCCATGCATCTTGATGGAATTTCAGACAGCCAAAGGCTGTGCTTAATTTGCATGGAACCTAATGAAACCTTTGGCAATTTGAGCACAAGGTAATTCATGAATAATGATTCTGGACAGCGTCTGGCCCCTTGCCACAGCCAGGAGATGCAAACTGCTCTATGCCAGCTCTCAGAGTGAAGCTCATTACTCAGGATGGGTTGAGCAGCTCATTCCACTGGGCTGGTAATCAGATGTCTCCTCCAGATGACCTGTTTATCCCTCCTGCTTTTCATACACAAAGTTTACACAGAGATTAGCCTATGTGCAGTCTTTACTAGGCATTTGTTTTGCTTTTTTTACTGGAAGATGATGCAGCAATGAGTATTTATCCTGATTTGCTTGTGGGGTGGTTATACTTCTGCCCGTTAATCATTCATCCCACACTTTTAAATGTTTTTCACTGACACTTCCCAAACTACAAAGAGTCTTATTCTTCTTAGAAGTTGCCTATGTTAGGATAACCAAGCCCCTTAATCGACTTTAAACATACATACCTAAAGTTCTGGAAATAGCAGACCTTGGGGGTCTCAAATTTGAGTGGTGCCCTGTGCAATGCCAAAATTTGGTGCCCCCTGCCCCTAACCTCACCCCCATATTGCTTATTCGTTTCAACATCTCCCCTCTTAATGCATAGGGCTTTTTGCCCAATCTACAATGTGCATTCCGGTCTCTACTCTTATACACACACACACACACACACACACACACACACCCATCTCAATCTCAGTACAGATAGGAGCAAATCCTCCATCCTCCTGTGCATCAATGTAAGAAAGGAGAGATGGTTTCTGTACACCTCTACCACCCTTAATTCCCTCCCCTCCCCGTTATTCGTGGACAGTGGATGGGACTGGTGTTGGGCTTTCATATCTAGGGACAGCTAGTGCAAGTGGAAGGATAAAGCCCATGTGTACTGGGATCATTGTGGCTCAACATTTTTCAAAGATCCTATTAGAACATTCTAAGGCAAAAGTGAGAACGTGCTTCAAAACACGCTTTATTTTAAACAGCACAACTTTTCTGAAAAACATAATCACTGCTGCCCTTTCACCCAGTCAGATTTTCTAGCCTGCAGCCAGGCAAAGTGAACCAGTACAGGCAGCTGGTAGGTGTTCCTCTATAATTAACTCCATTGCCAGAACAACAATTGGCAAGCAACTATTGTTTTGAGCGCAATTAGAGAATGCAAAGAATGCCACTGCAAGGCTGCTGGATGCAATAATGTAATCTTTTGGAGGGAAATAATGTATGTGTTTAGTTACTGATGAGGAACTGTAGGAGGAAGGCAGGCTACACCAGATTTGAAATGCAAGAGAAAAACATAAAGGTGCCATCTCAGTGACAAATGTGTAAGCTCTCACTGGATTTATGTTGATAAAGGAAGTTTATCTGAACAGGTCTCTCTTATCATATCTGAAATTCCATCAGGGCAGCTGTATACTATGGTTTATGGCTTCAGCATACTAGGCCAACATTGCCTCCAGGACGTTTCTGGTAATAGGTACACATTGTCTCATCATAACAGTATATTAAAATGCCAGGATGACGTGCTGTTAGTTCTATGTGTAGGCAAAGCTGAGGCATTGTTCATGGAATAAAAACAGGACCCGAAAGTGCACCAATTCAGGTGCTGGCTTCATATTTCATATTTCATATTTCAAAACAAAATACATTTCTAATGTTTTTGCTTGCAGACCTTATACCAAACCAGATCATGGACTCATTTAACTCAGCCTTGTCTTCAATGAGTGGCAGCAGCAATCCAAGGTTTCAAGCAGGATCTTTCTCAGCACTACCAGGAAATGGCAGGAATTTGAACCTGGGGCCTTTTCTGTGCAGAGCTTATGCTCTTTCACTGAGCCATGGCCCTTCCCCACTCATGAAAGACACTTTTCTTCTAAAAGGTTTGAGAAGATCCCAGCACTTGAAATTTATTGACATGGCAAACCACTAACAAAAATGGACACCCTCTCACCCAGAGCTTTCCAAACTGTGTGTTGCAACACATTAGTGTGTCGGCTGCAGTGTGTAGGTGTGTTGCATGAACAATCCCTGTGCTCTTGCTGGGGCTGGAAAGGGGTTAGTTTAACCTCTGGTTTGCTAGGAAAACTGGATTACTGTGTCGTGAAATGATGCATGTCTAAAAAGTGTGTCACCAACATGGAAAGTTTGGAAAGCTCTGCTCTAACCAGAGTTAACCTGTTCCGAAAGGGGAGCAGTGTGCCCAATGTTTCAAGTCAAAGCACCCCTAAACATTGCAGCTAGCAAAAGATTATGATGATTAAAAATATTGTAGGTCACCTTGAAGGGCAAAAGACCAATCAAGTTGGCTTGCAAGATATAATAGGCTACAACAACATACCGTAAATTTAATAAAACCAGAAATAAATAACAAACCAATCAGCCCCCCAAATGTTAAAAATCCAGTAACAAGATACAACTAAAACCATCAATCCAGCAAGCACATCTCAAAAGTAAATCAAAGAAAACAGATGCATCGTCAGGTTTTGCAAAAGGTCTATAATGGTGGTACCTGTCAGATCCCAGATGGCGAAACATTACAGAGATGTGGGGCCAGTTCAAAGAAATCACAATTCATACATGTGTGATATAAACTGATGTTCAGTTGTGACCACTTCATGTTAACAATATAGGATGAAGCTGTTGAAAACCTATTCTACATAGTAGTTCTTCCTGTGGGGCTTTTAATGTTTGTACATTTCTTTCCATATAGATCTTGCTCATCTGAAGACATATTATGCCAGTGCTACTTCACAATGTTGGGCCAGGGAGAAGCTTACAAAGAGTATGGGATATGCAGCCCAGTCCTATGCCAAGAGGTAACCCTTAACTCATTGAAATTCGTAAGACCAGATTGAAATCACTGGACTTGGGTATGCTTAGCTCTGCATAAGGCTGCAGCCTTAATTCTCATCATTTAGAATGCTTGCCCCTACGGTGTCACACACACACACACACACACACACACACACACACACCTATGTCTAGATAGATAGATAGATAGATAGATCATGTTACCAAAACCATCATATAGGGCAGGAATAGGATGTCTTTGGCCCTCCAGGTGCTGTGGGGACTCCCAGCCAGTTTAGCCAAGGATTAGGTATGATGGGAGTTCTAACATCTTGAGGATCATAGGCTCCTCACCTCTGTCGCAGAGACAGAATATAACCTTATGCTGAAAGGCTTTTGTGCAGGTGCAAAGATCATGAGTGTGTCCCTTAGAATCAAACTAGCCTATCAAGTAAAGCTCTTACTCAACTAAAACTAGTGTGCAGTTCCAATGATGAAAACTTCTAAGCTTATCAGCTGTTATTAGCCTTCAACTCAAGTCTTCTGTGCCTTGGATTACAAGGCAATCTTTATTATAATGGGTGGGGTGGCATAGTGAATGTCTGGTTTTGCCAGTCAGCTATTTTGGGTAGGCAGGTCTTCACTTACAGATTCTAACTGGGTTGAATTTGGCTTCAGGCATAGGTCAATAAAACTGACTTCTGTTTACATGCCAGTTGAATGAATTCATTCTTGTGCAATGCATTCCTTCTTTAGCATATCACCACTAGGGGACAGTTTAAGACAACAGATACATCAATTTCCCCCCCTACAATTCTGGGAAGGACAGGACCTAAATCTCCTCCATCATGAAATTCACTGGGCAGCTTTGGGCTAGTATGACACTAAGTGAGGCTGCCTACCTTTGAACCTCTAATAGTTGTGAAGACTGCATTCCGACATAAATGCTGCTACGTATGCAAACTGCAGCACTTTGCCTGCACCATTATTTTGCTAATCTACAGAATAGGCATACAGGAGACGGAAGGAACCAGAGACTAAATGGTGTGGTCTCTATGAGGACTGAAAATGCTTATTCAGCACCACCAAATGGCTATGACTTTTCTCTGAGTAAGACACAATGAAGGTGATTCAGCTGAGGTCAACAAGAGCCTCGGAACAGAAGATAAAATGGGAAGACAGAGCTGGAGAGAAGCAGGGAAGTATCCCAGTGAAGTAGAAAGTTCTGCAAGTGGCCCGCAAGTCGTGGGTGAGGACCCCAAAACACACACTGCCTTATATAGGACACAGACTATAATTTCACAGTGGCTAATCCATCTGACAGCCATTGTTCAAATTCTCAGGCAGAGGTCTACCTCAGGCATAGGCAAACTCTGGCCCTCCAGATGTTTGGGACTACAACTCCCATCGCCCCTAGCTAACAGGACCAATAGTCAGGGATGATGGGAATTGTAGTCCCAAACATCTGGAGGGCCAGAGTTTGCCTATGCCTTGTCTATCTCCTGTCAGACACTTTGCCCAGAAGCTTCTACCTGTATGTTGCAATGGATATGCTCTCCCATTAACTGATGGCTAAGCACAGGAGAAAGGATAAATATTCCATCTCTTGAAGGAATTAAGATACATTAAAAAAATAGAAGGGATCATGGGGTCAGTGTAGGTCCTCCCCTATCAACTGTGGGTGAAACTGCCCACATCTTGTTCACCTGAGAATCTTAACAAAAGTGCACCCAATTAAACTCCATAACATGCTCCAGTGTTGCTGAATTAAAGGCTGTGATCATCAAAATCTTTATTACAGGGTTTCATGTGACAACCAAGACACATGTGGGTTTATGTCATTGTGTGAAGTGGCTTCATGTATCAACACAATTCAGACATGTATTACAGGAGTATTACCTAAGACATACAGGTGAAGTGTGCCTGTAAGATGCAATATGTTCTTCATTCAGTTTTATATTTAACGCTATTTATCCCATCCCACCCCTGACCTAATAAGAGATGAATAGAAACAATGAAATTACACTTAATTTGTTTTAATAGACGCTCTAGTAAAAATGAACAGAACATGTGAAAACAAGAATTACTGGTGCTTCCTTAAACTGCTACAATATACTACTGCAGTAAGGAAAAATATTAACGGTTAGATTACCTAATACAACTTAACACTGCACATTAAATTGGACATCATAAAAACAATCCCAACTTGTTTCTCAGATTTTAGCGCTAGTCTTGGTAATTCAATGTGAATGCATCATCAGCATAAAAAGAATGCTTATTGTACAGCAACTAAAAGTCTGAGAAACTGGATTTCATTAATATTCATGCACATAACCATTTGTTGATTTTTTTAATTAAAAAAAACAGTTAAGAAAACAAAACAAAAATAACCGTGGAGCTAATTACACAAATAGCCCAATATAGCTGATGCTCTTCTGTCTTACTTGGTAAAAGTCCAAAATCACTGGGTGTGGGGATCACACTTCAGCCGGCATTATTACTGGATAGAATCCATGAACTTCAAGACAACTTGCATGAAGCACTCATGTATATCCCAGTCAAATGAATGGAAAGAGCTGCATAGTTCTGTCTCTGTGCTCCCCACTGCCAGGCATGAGCTCCAGAGAACCGACCCTACTTCAAGGTTATCACTTTTTGTTCCTGTGGTATGAAGGCACAAATAACTGAGTAATACATACTATTATATATTCAAACACTTAAGTATAAAATATTAAATTTTACATTTATGTCAAAATAATTTACCAAATATTAGCTGCACCAATATTCAGGCTGTACAGAAAAACTGTACAAGTTTGGTAAGCAAGAACAGTTAGTCAACAATTTACATGAGCAGGTGTCTGTGATTCAGGAAGTAGTTGGTTAGCAAACAATGCAATCCTTTGCATGTTTATTCAGGAAATAAGACCCAGTAGGTTCAGTGGGACTTACTCCCAGGTAAGTATGCACAGGCTTGCACCCATAGACTTTCATAGTAAGTTACACAAATTGTTTCAGTCAAAGAAAGGCCTAATGTCAGCAGTAATTCCCAAGCTGTACATCATGAGAAGGACTGACAAAACGTGTCCTAAAAAACTAAGCCGCCAAAGGCAAAAACATCTGCCACCCAATGCAACATTGATTCCCTTTTCTCACCAATATATGAGCTGCTGCAGCATCCCAAGCAACACTCCAAGATTCCTTAAAGCCTACAGGACAGGAGGAGGAGGAATCCTAGAAACATTAGCACTACTCAAGAAAGCACAGTGCCACCCCTACACCTTACTCACTGGGTAAAAGGGAGGGCAGAACACTTGGCAGTTAGGACTGACACTATTATCCTGCATTTGCACAGATTATTACTGTCCATTATTTTGAAAGCTGAATGGAGATATATATCTGAGTGAAGAACAAAGCATGCCTTCAATTTTAACCCAGAAAGAAAGACTGCTTCTCAGGTATCAAAAGTTTGAGCAATGCAAGTCTACAGTGAATATGTATAGTGTGTGTGTGTGTGTGTGTGTGTGTGTGAGAGAGAGAGAGAGAGAGAGAGAGAGAGAGAGAGAGAGATTTTCAATACTGATTTTTCTTAAGTGATATGTGTTTGAAGCACAATGCTTGATCTGAAAAGTTTAGCACACACCCAAGGGGAGGGGAAAATCTCCCTAGCACATCAATATTTCTGGCATTGTAATTTTTCAGTCTGCCAAACCTAGACAGGTAGCAGGAATACTGCATATAAGAATTTATAATACAAAAATTATTTAAATGTATGTTAAGTGAAATGTTCAGGAATACACTTTACCAGTATTGGGCTAAGAATTCCTAAGCAGACTTCCTAGAAATAGAAAAGGATTGCCAGAATTCTGACAAAAGGTTTCTCCCAAGAAAGACAAAACATATATTCCTCAAAACTGCAAACAGTTGTCCAAAATTTGCAGATAGCTACTGCTAAAAGATAAGAAACCAAACAAAACCCAGGAACTGCTTAAAGTACTGCTACTCCCCCACTTTCTCCTTACACACTTCAGGCTTGTTAAGATACTACTCCCTCAAAATTGTTTTCCTGAGATAGCAGCCAATATCTACAGAGAAAGGAATTCTGGGGAATTTCAACACAGTTTTAGCAGCTAAAGCTACTGTGCTTCTCCAGGAGATTCTGGACTGTAGCAAGCAGAGATGAAAAGTTTACATAATATGTTACAGCCTCAAACCAGTTCAGAGTTTGTTAACTGAAAAGGTATTTCAATTGGTCCTTGTTTCACTTCTCCTTTCCCTAAGCCTGTGCCAAATTCTAAAAATCAAGTGGGAATTAGAACCCCCACACTTTCCTGATCTATATCTGGGGTTGCCAAACTGTGGACCATGGATCGCTGGTGTTCCATAAGCTTCATTCAGGTGGTCTGTGGATATGTGGTTGAACAGGCACTGGCATGTCTGTTGCTTTCAATATTCATACTGATTTTTAAATGTTTTTAATTGTTTCCTTTAATTCTTATATCATATTCTATTGCATTACAGTTTGAATTCTAGGGAATACAATAAAATACAATGTATAAGAATTAAAAGAAGCAATTTAAATGTAATTTGTAAAAGTCATTCAGTATCTAATGCAGTTCATTATAATTGCCACTAAGTGCAAAAAGTAAAATAAAATAAAATAAAATTGAGTGAGCCACAAAGATCCTCAGCAATTTTAAAGCAGTCCATAGAGAACCACTGATCCACTGGTTTGAATTCATTTCAAACACAATTTGTGTGCAGAAAACCAACACTTTTGACCTCCGGCCAATTCTGCTATAATAATGTTCCCAGTGTGTACAAGCATGAAAATGCATTAGACATTAATGTGCACCAGTCATTTAATAGTTTGCAGTCCTGTGCAACTTGTTCATGGAAACCTTGAAACAAAGTTGGTATAAAATTATTCCTTTTAGATTTCTTACACACCCACCCACACCCACACACCATTCATTGCTCAGAAGTGCCCCTTTTCCCCTTCCAGCTCTTCTCTCTCTGTTCAAGTTCAGCTTCAGTGAAGGCTGCTGGTCCCCAGTTTGTGATCAAGTGAGGATTCTTGGAACCTATAAGACACAATATGTTACTTGTAGTACTTTGAATAGGTATGACCCATTCCAGATCTGGCCTTACTTAGTTACTTGCAATAAGTTGTGCCATAATATAGATGCCATCGAAAGTAATGCACATGGACAGAGATCTCTGCACTTGGATGTGCATCCAATGTATGCTCTTTGGTTTCTGATCTAGCAAACAATGTTCATTTCATTTTCATTTCAGGGTGATAGGTTTTTCAAAATTATATAGCAAGTTCAAAATCGGACCTGATCATTATAATTCTGAACAACTGTGCCTATTATTAAACCAGAATACAGCTTTTCAGTGTTTGACCTTTTTTGCAAACATTACCCTTCTCATCCCCAAAATGTCATGCACCTAATTCCCTTGTCAGTCCTATTTTCCAAATGGTGAACTGAGAACTGAAGATTGTGGCTGATGCTCTAAAGCCTATGAGGTGGGGATCTGAACCCAGGCTTCCAAGACTGATAGACAATATTCTAGCCACCATACTAAAATGATTAGAGAATAGTTGTTGTGTTAAGAATGTTAAAATAATGACGTAGTCATTCTACAACGAAGAGCCCTAATATACGAACTACACAGCACCTATGTGCCCGGACAGCCCCGTGGTTTTCCACGGATCTGAGGGCAATGAAACAATCGTTGAGACAGCTAGAGCGCCGGTGGCGGATAACTCATTCCGAATCTGACTGGACACAGGTTAGAGCTCAACGTCGAGCCTACCAAGTGGCGATAGCGACGGCGAAGACCTTCTTCGCCGTCTCTATTGCATCTGCAGAAAACAGCAGCAGGAGACTTTTTCAGGTGGTTCACAATTTAGCAGAACCACCTGCGACATCGGGGCCCAGTACGGGCCACATGATCTCCTGCAATGATTTTGCAAAGTTTTTTGCAGATAAAATCGCTCAGATTCGGGAAGAAGTAGACTCCACCGTGGGAGAAGGGCCAGGGCGGGAGAGTGCTAGAGTCCTGTCTAGTCAAGTTGTGTGGGATCAATTCCAATCTGTTACCTCCGAGGATGTGGACAGGCTGCTTGGACGAGTGAAGCCAACCACCTGTCTCCTGGATCCTTGCCCATCCTGGCTTATAAAAGCTAGCCGGGAAGGACTGGGCGATGGGCTTCGTGGGGTGGTGAATGCTTCCCTCCGTGAGGGAGCCTTCCCAGATCCGCTGAAAGAGGCGGTTATTAAACCGCTTCTTAAAAAACCATCTTTAGATGCGGCCACGATGGCCAATTATCGCCCAGTCTCAAATCTTCCATTCTTGGGCAAGGTGATTGAGCGAGTGGTTGCTGAACAACTCCAGGCACGCCTGGAAGAAGCTGACCATTTGGATCCCTTCCAGTCGGGATTCAGGCCTCATCATGGGACTGAAACTGCCTTGGTCGCACTGGTTGATGATCTCCGGCGGGCTAGGGACAAAGGTGAGAGCTGTTTCCTAGTTCTGCTGGATCTCTCAGCGGCGTTTGATACCATCGACCATAACATCCTTCTGGACCGTCTTGAGGGGCTGGGAGCTGGGGGCACTGTCATACAGTGGTTCCGCTCCTTCCTCCTGGGCCGTGTTCAGAAAGTGGTGGTGGGGGATGAGTGTTCAGACCCCTGGGCTCTCACTTGTGGGGTGCCTCAGGGTTCTGTCCTCTCCCCCATGCTTTTCAACATTTACATGCAGCCACTGGGAGAGATCATCAGGAAGTTTGGGCTGGGTGTTCATCAGTATGCGGATGATACCCAGCTCTACCTCTCTTTTAAATCAGAACCAGTGAAGGCGGTGAAGGTCCTGTGTGAGTGTCTGGAGGCGGTTGGAGGATGGATGGCGGCTAACAGATTGAGGTTGAATCCTGACAAGACAGAAGTACTGTTTTTGGGCGACAGGAGGCGGGCAGGTGTGGAGGATTCCCTGGTCCTGAATGGGGTAACTGTGCCCCTGAAGGACCAGGTGCACAGTCTGGGAGTCATTTTGGACTCACAGCTGTCCATGGAGGCACAGGTCAAATCTGTATCCAGGGCAGCTGTTTACCAGCTCCATCTGGTATGTAGGCTGAGACCCTATCTGCCTGCAGACTGTCTCGCCAGAGTGGTACATGCTCTAGTTATCTCCCGCTTGGACTACTGCAATGCACTCTACGTGGGGCTACCTTTGAAGGTGACCCGGAAACTACAACTAATCCAGAATGTGGCAGCTAGACTGGTGACTGGGAGCGGCCGCCGAGACCATATAACACCGGTCTGGAAAGACCTACATTGGCTCCCAGTATGTTTCCGAGCACAATTCAAAGTGTTGGTGCTGACCTTTAAAGCCCTAAACTGCCTTGGTCCAGTATATCTGAAGGAGCGTCTCCTCCCCCATCGTTTTGCCTGGACACTGAGGACCAGCTCCGAGGGTCTTCTGGCGGTTCGCTCACTGCGAGAGGCCAAGTTACAGGGAACCAGGCAGAGGGCCTTCTCGGTAGTGGCGCCCACCCTGTGGAACGCCCTTCCATCAGATGTCAAAGAGATAAACAACTACCTGACATTCAGAAGACATCTGAAGGCAGCCCTGTTCAGGGAAGTTTTTAATATGTGACATTTTAGTGTATTTTTCACCTTTGTTGGAAGCCGCCCAGAGTGGCTGGGGAAACCCAGCCAGATGGGCGGGGTACAAATAATAAATTATTATTATTATTATTATTATTATTATTATTTATTATTATTATTATATTACTATGTAGCTAGGCAAAAAGTTAGGTAATGTAGCTCACTGCTGATCACATCTTCCTTTTTTCATGCTGTGCTACCTGGAGCCCAGTTTCTCAGTACACAAACTGTAGTTTGTGCCAATGGGCCACCTGGAGTCAGGAATTATCAGCCTTCTCTCCAACCTGGGCTTCATTTATGAGACGTCCACTCATAGTATGTATGTATGTATTTACAAATGGTTAATATTAGCCATGGACATCAAATAACCCCAGAAAAGCAGGGAACAATTGCCCAATATCAGTCAAGTACTGTTCTGGGCTTATCATGGGGAAAATATTTAAGAATTAATGGGTTTGTGTTATTGTAAAATGTATTGAACTTTTGCTTTGCAGAACAAGCAAGATATGGATTTTATAAATAAATTACTATGGAAGCGTAGATAGGATTTTATCTCGCACACATTTTCTTGGAAATCAGTTTAATTCTATTTTGCGGAAATTCTGTCAAATAAATTTGTTTAGTAATGATGTGTCAGAGCCAATTCTCCAAGATCCACCAGCTTTTCAAATAGTTTTGGGATCACGGTGAGTAACAGAGAAGCTCTTACCCTAATGCCAACTGAAGCAGCAGCATATTTCTTATTAGAATTTAACTCAGTAACCTGACTCTTGCTGAACCAATAAATTAAGCTCATAGGAACGGTTAGTGCTTGCTGATATATCACGTATTTCCTTCATTATGTTTTTACTCAACAAGGATGATTAAATAGGAAATTGAAACAGCAACTTCCTCGCTTCAGGAAAAACACTAAGAAGTACCCTGCTGAAGCTTAAATTGAACTAGAATGCACCTCGTAGCTGATAAGAACAAAACTAGAGTATGATCTCCACACAGCTGGAATGTGAAACATGTTACAGAAATAATCAAAACAAAACCAGGGGATTGTGTTACCGCCTAGGACTTGCCATTTTCTTTATTAATTTCATTTCACTTCCTTGACAAGCTATCCCAGGTGGGTTATAAAATATAATTACAGTAGGATCACTTCTTATGCAGAAATTATGTTCCGGGGGATTGTGTGTAAAGCCAAAATTGCATACAGTCAGAACAACTCCAGAACCACACACAAACACAAACATCTCTACTTTTCTGAAGCCAGCACACCGAGTGGGCCTGGCCCGCAATGCAAGACAAAGAGCTTTTAGGTTCTCCACCATTCTTACTGGGCTCTGGGAGACTCCTGAGAGATCTCGTGGGAGCCTCCCAGAGTCTGCACGAGACCTTCCCTGAGCCCGTTAAGAGTCTGAGAGCTTAAAAGGGCTTTCCACAGTGGGGAAACACAGTGCACAAACAGCTTTTAAGCACTCCGCCTTGCTTACTGGGCTCTGGGAAGCTCTGATGAGATCTTGGACAGCCCAATGAGCCCACGCAAGAGGCTCCCAGAGCCCAGGAAGCATTTCTGACAGCTTTTAGCTCCCTGTCTTGCATGCATTTAAGTTGTGTGATATCAGGTTGCCGGCCGCCAAACGCATAAAGCTGTGATAACCTAGGTTAAATGCGTGCAAGTTACAATCCTGCTGTATAAAATAAATGCAATATATCATTTAAATAGGGGTGAAGCCCCTACCAAAGAGTGCTTGTGAGGAGTCTTGCCATGCAGGCACCTACAGTCTCAGCTGGCATTGTTTGCTTGCAGCACAGTCCCCTTTATTCAGATTTAAAAATAAAAATAAAAATCATGTTTTCCAGTCTGCAGCATTTCCCAGTTCACTAACAGGAAGTGCAGCCCAGGCTGACTCAGTAGCAGTTCAGACTTCTTGGAAACCACAATAGGTTACTGGAGATAAAAATAGCACCACTCATGTGTGGATTCATGAATGAAAACTGTACTTTCCTACCTGGTTCAATTAATCGAATTAGTCCCTCGTGGTGAGCAACTTTATCTTTCCAACTCTTGGTCTTGTTTGCTGCAACTTCCAACTTCTTTTTGACCTCCTAAAGCAAGATTAGATTGGTTTAAGCATTAACAATACGCGGACACTCAAATGATAGGAGATTTCTGCTATTGCCACTGCCCAAAAATTTTACTACCTAAAATATTGCACTAGCTCACCTCGTATTGTTCCAGTGCTTCCTTCCTATCCAGTTCCAGTTGTTCTAACTGTTGCAGTGCAACTTGAAGAGCATGTTCCTTCATCATTCTCTGGTTTTCCAACTCCTGCTTCTCTGCTTCAGTCACCTCAATGGTCTGCTGCTGCTCCAAATGCCATTTCTCCAGTTCTTGTCTCTTTGTAGATTCTTCCTCCAGTAGTCTAGAAAGAGTTTATAGTGGTTGGGAAAGAGTGTATACATTAGGAACATCACTATCTATCAATTTGATTAACTATAAAAAATAGACACAGTTATTCTCCAGAACTAATAAAGAGTTGTGTAGAACAGGTCAGTGGGAGGAGTTTTTTGCTGTCATGTTCCCATCCTGCTTGGCAACCATGCTTGGAGTATAAATAATCTCCCATATAAGATTAGCCGATGCCCATGGGATGTTTTCATCACCCACTTCAGCCTATAGCTCTGTTTACAGACTTCACCCATCAGATTTCACAAAATCTGTCTCTTGACTGACAGACAGCTCTGGGCTGAGAGACTCAGTTCGCTGTCACCCATGCTACTGAATGCCAGAGGCAGAAAATACAATGATTCAAGGACAAGAGAATTCTGCCTGACTGCAGAGATATTCAGATTGCTTTGTCACTCCCAAATCTCTCTCTCTTCAAGCATTCCCCTCGATTAGATACATGAATGGCAACCGTCTCACTCAGTATGAAGTACAGAGTAGCCTAAGATTTTATTCCTATTACTATGAAAATATATACTGACCTGGCCTGAAGTCTCCTGACAGTCTCCTCATCCTGGCGTGCCTGTTTTTCATCCTCCAAGGCCTCCTGTAGCTGCTTATACATTTCCTCGAGTTCTCGGACTCTCTGCAAGTACTGTTCTAGCTCAGATGACTTCTGGGCTACCTGTTCTTCCATTTTCTGTCTCACCTGGTGATATGGAAGAGAAGGATGCTTCATCATACTTCACAACCAATAACAGAATTCATCCTTTTATGTAAGAGAGAGAGAGAGAAAGGAAGGAAAGAAGGAAGGAAGGAAGGAAGGAAGGGAGGAAGGGAGGAAGGGAGGAAGGGAGAAAGGGAGAAAGGGAGAAAGGGAGGAAGGGAGGAATCCTTCCATCTGCCCACCAGGTCTCCCATCCCCCAAACCCTCATAAGTTTGCAGCTGTGATTTTTCCTTTTCATCAGCAAATAAACCTCTTGGCCCTTTCTTTTCCAAACATTGCTGCAATCCCCGCCTTGTTTCTATGTACCTATTATTAATTTGGATAGTCAAGCTTTAATCTATTTATTAAGATAGATCATTTTTAGACTCACAAATTAAACAGCTAGAACTTGCCCCTTCTTCGAGCTATTTTGGTTCTAAGTTCATTACGATACTGGAGGGATGGAATACAAAATATTAAAAATTGCCTTTACTTCCAGCAATGATCACCATACCTTTGTTTCTTACATTTTAAATGAAACTGCAGGCTTCTGAAATATTAAATGTTATGTAAACTTTAAAACTCAGATGATTAACTGATAAGACCTAGTTAACCCCTTCATCATTACACTGAAAAGGTACTGACTTGGTCCCTTGTTTGTCCATGTAACTGCTACATACCGGGATGGAGAGGGGCAAGGGAGCAGTGAGGTCTTTGTGGTAGACCAGTAGGAGTACCAGATTGGCTTCAACAGTGTGTTTGCCTTCTCATGTCACCCAGTATGCTGCAGCAGCTCAGCAGGTGGGTGAAGGACAGGTGGGTGCCACCACACCTCACCAGCTGCTACTGCCTTAGTTCCTGCTACATTATCCTTCAGCAGATTCAAAGATGCCATACACCTTTCTCCTGTCACTATGACGTCATCTGTCTCCTTACGGCAGTGTTTCTCAAACTTGGGTCTCCAGCTGTTGTTGGACTACAACTCCCACCCCTGGTCCTGCTAGCTAGGGATGATGGGAATTGTCATCCAACAAAAGCTGGAGACCCAAGTTTGAGAAACACTGCCTTACCATTGCACAGTTTGCCTGCCCATTTCAAGCTTCTTTGCTTTCAAAGCAGTCTCTCTGACCCAACTCTATTTTGTCATTTCCCCCTTACTGTTCCTTCCATTCTGCACAAGCTAATGTTTATTTCTTGTGCCCAAAAAAACAAGGCACTGTACAGTATGACACAACATTGACACTGACTCAACTGCCCACAAGTTTACAATCTAAACAGACAGATCTTGAGGAAAAGACACACAATGATACCACTCCTTGATGTGCCCTAATTCCTCTGTGCCAGTTAGCTGGTCAAGTTCAGAAATACATCACTCAGCAGAATCCTGAATCAACAACATATGAATTTTTATTTGGTTGCCTCACTTACTGGTTGCTTTGCTCTTTTTATTGTTTTATTTTACTGACTTAGTGACCTGGGATGCAGTCAGATGCAGTTTGATTATGTTAGTTTCACAAGTTATGATGCTAGTGCTTCTGTCCCAATTTCTAATGTTGCTTTTACCACTGCAGGACCTGTTGCATTATGGAACTGTGGCTTTTAAATCAAAATATCACCATGTTGTGCTAAACTTTTGAACTGCATGGCCCAAATCTCATTACGTGTGCAGTGGCGGCATGATCATGAAAGCCATGGGAATATCACAGCGTAAAACTCCCATGGTTTTCCAAGTTAATGGAGTTGCAAACAAAAAAAATATTTTACTAAAAACAACAACATGGAATTGAGCACTAAACTTTCACCAGATTTCCAGAAGTCGCTTTTACATTGTGTGGAAGATCCCATAAAACATAGAAATTCAAAGTAAAGAAAATGTTGGGAAGATAGAATGAAGCGCTGTCTGAATGTAGCCTTACTCTCCTTGAACTTACCATTTTCTCTCTCTCCAGCTCAAGACTGAATCGATCTTGCAATTCCATTTGAGTCTGCAGACGTTTGGTCTCCTCTTCTGAAGCTCGAGCTGCAGCTTCCTCGAGTTGCTGTGCCAGAGAAGAAAGAACTAGATAGCTCCCACTAATTTGTCTATATGCACAGATACAGATCGACTATTTCTTACTTTATTGCTGTGGCATTTGGTTTTTAAAACTGTATTTTCATTTTAACGGTTTGTAAATCAATCTGGAAACAACATATTTTTGAAGGGTGGGATATAGATTAAAAATCAAAACAACTATCTTCAATTAAGCTGAGATAAGTCTCAGGCCCTGGAATCATGAAGCTGTAAGGATTGAAAGGTCTGAAATGGTGAGGTAGTTTAGCAGACCTTACTGAGACTACATTTAAAACATTCCTAACCAAGTAACTCACATCAACCAGAGAACAGCACACAGACAAACAACAGCACACAGGAGAAAGTTACACCATCACTACCTGTCAAACAGGATATAAGATTAGTTTACCACACCTAAGCAAGTAAATAGTGCCACATGCCAAAATGATGGTCCTATCAAAAGCAGATAAGCCACTCTGCAGATAAGCAGATAAGCATACTCTGAGCCCCACAAAAACATGGGAGAGAATAGGCATTACCAAAAATTAATGCACACACTCATGCGGAAGGCACGGGCCGGTATTACTTTGGTTCTCTGTTTTTCTGGCAAAGGCTGGAGCCCAGAGAAGCCTATACTAAAACGCTTCCGTGCATAGATGGGGGAGTGTCTGATTTTTTTCCTTCCTTCCTTCCTTCCTTCCTTCCTTCCTTCCTTCCTTCCTTCCAACATTAGCAACAACCTTTCTGGAGCTATTCTTTAGAGGACTGAAGAGCCTGTGTGCTTTGGATCCCTGCATGTCTCTCCTACACATACTCCCAGCCCCCTTTTTAGCCAAACTTTGCTGTGTCAAGGTGAGAAAGTATGCATTGCTACTTTACTTTACACAACAAAGGAAGAAGACTGGGGAGCTGGACCCAAGACTTATGAATGGTAACTGCTTTGTCCTTTTAGTGCCACCTGAAAATAATGTACTACAGTGGTACCTTGGTTCCCAAATGGCTTGGCTCCTGAGCAAATTGACTCCTGAACGCAGCAAACCCGGAAGTAAGTGTTCCGGTTTGGGAACATCTTTCGAAAGCCAAATATCTGACGCGGCTGACGCGGCTTCCGCTTGAGTGCAGGAAGCTCCTGCAGCCAATCAGAAGCTGTGCCTTGGTTTTCAAACAGTTTCAGGAGTCTCAGGGACTCCCAGAACGGATTAAGTTTAAGAACCAAGGTTCCACTGTAATATCAAAACACAGTTCCCTGTTCACTATGGCACTCCTCCTGATCCCATAACTCTCAGTCTATGTGATTGTGGTAGGGTGTGGGGTGGGGAGAGATGTAGCTGTGGGGTTTGGATAAGCTGCATGGCCTGTGACCAGCATCTTTGAAGTGGTGGCTGCACTGGGTGAAGTAAGACAAGTTCAGATCTTCAATCCTTCACTGGTACGATTCAAATATGCCCTCTGTCAACAATTCAGCTGTGGGTCTGAATTAGGTGCTTAATATGCTACTAATTTAAACTCTCCCATTTATGAATCCCTGAGACTTCACATCTATCACAGGTGTTTAAAACCCAGCATGCAGATTTCCAAAAAGTCTGTACCCTCAGCAACCTGCCAAAGAGACAAAATGCCAGACGACGTTTCTCCTAGTCCTTTGCATCTGTTCATTGCTGCACACTTCCACTTTCACTACTGCTTGTATACTAACTACTAGTCATAGGAGCCAACTCCTAAAATATTTGAGGAGCCAGGCCCCCACAAAGTTGATGGGCATTCCCATTCAAATGGTGTGTGCACTGCATAATGTGATTGATTATGCAGGGTGGGGCTTACCTGGGCCCCCACAATATTTTATTCAAGTTGGCACCCCTGCTACTACCCGGTAGTACGTTCCAGTTTTCTTTTCTGCCACTGGAAATCCTCCCTTCTTCCATCAGAGGCTGGTTTAACATGTGAAGGGGAAACCCCTGCACCTCTGCATTCTGTCCTGCTGGAGTGAAGGACACTATTATGAAAGTTTTTCTGTTGTGCATTTAGACAGCAAAATGTCCTGTTTCCAGACTACACTGGGTTAGGAAACCTGTGGCCCTACAGATGTTTCTGGACTGCAGTTGCCCTCAGCTCTAGGCAGTACAGCTACTGGCCAGGAATGAAGTACCCCAACAACATCTAGAGGACTGCAAATTCTCTACCCTTGGACTATACTAATAATCAAGCTGTCTTGGACTAGGGGTTTTTATCTTATGTAGCACAAAGTTAAAGTCACTTAGTAGTACATAGTGGTGAAATGTTGTGGTGCAAGGAAACACACAACTGAATAACCAAACATTATTGTGCAACAGATTGCACAACAAGAATCAGCTGTTGTACAAGGGAAAACACAAGTACATTGCACACACACAAATCAGATGATATACAACAAGCGTCAACTAACACAACTGTTGCATTGGATTCCTTTGTAGCACAACCTTTAAACTCCGCCAGCAGAAGGGCTGTGCTAGTGGACAGAGAATGCTGGATACGGCTCTATGCATATATCACATTTCAGCTGTGGAAATACCATAACCATTCTGACATCACTGTGATCTAGTTAGCTAGTGAGGCCCGAGCCTCGTTTCATTAATATGAAGCACAGTTCTATTATATTTTGTGCACAATATGCCCATGCATATGTAAATAAAGCAGGAAGGAAATGCAAAGGACCTGAAGCTTTTATCTTCTCCCAGATCTGTAAATTCCCTTCAGGTTGAACTGTGTGCCTGTCACCATTCAGGAACCTACCTCCCCTTGACTGGAAGACAATCAAAGTAAACCATGTTCAGATTACTGGAATGATATTGCAACACTTTTACATCAGACCCATCTCAATAAAATACCTTGGGGGCTTTATTATTTAGCATTTCTGTTTTGCGTGAGCTTTAAAATGAGAGTGGTTGTTGCTCAAGACACACAAGCTCCGTCGCTTTGCGTGGTGGAGAAAAACTTGGGAGAGTTTCTTGGAGAGAGAGAAAGAACATCTAATCAAGAAGAATTGTTTGAGATATTCAGTTTCCTGGGGTAATACAGGAACAGAAATCTGAAGAAGCATCATTTTCACCACCACCCTTTCTTCCCTGAATGCTTGATTTGGGAACAGGCCAATTCACAGAGCTTGATTATTTGAGACAGATTATTTTTTTTAGGGCATAGTGCCAGGAGATTGTATTACATTGTTTCAATATTTGCAATCAGGGAACATACATTCTGCTAAGAAGCACAATTTGTAACAATATTTAACAGTGCATTCTGGAAAGACACATAGAACGTGACCCACAGCCTGCACCCACCTTTCGAACAGTCTCCAGTTCCTTCTGCTTATTCTCATTTGCCACTTGGAGCTCTTTCATCTGCCTTTCTAGTTCTTCTTGTTCAGCCTGCAATTTCTGGCGTAGCTCTTTACGTTTCTGTCGTGCCTCCTTGTGAGGTGGAGGGCTACTTAATCTCAACAGATTTACGGTTGTCTGAATAGCTGTTTTAATTGAGATAGGAGACAATGCACATGATCCATTTATCAACAAGAATATTGTTTCTAAGTATACAAATTCCTTTCCTGCAGCTGTTAGGTCTGATGCCATCTAGACTTTTAATGCTGCTTTAACTACCTGCACCAGAGCTTTCCAAACTGTGTGTCGCGACACATTAGTGTGTCAGCTGCAGTGTCTAGCTGTGTCATGTGACGACTCCCCGCGCTCCCCCTGAGGCTGGAAAGGGGTTAGTTTAACCTCCGGTTTGCTAGTAAAACTGAATTACTATGTTGAGAAATGATGCATGTCTTAAAAGTGTGTCACCAACATGAAAAGTTTGGAAAGCTCTGCCCTACACTGTGGTCACCAAACCAAGAATATCAGTATTTATATTTATTCCTGTTCTCCACAGAGTGGTGTGGGAGGCTGAAGTATATTTTGTCACCAAACCCAACCACTGTGTAGGTAGTCAGATTGTGGTGATGCCAGTGAGATGTGGCGGTAAAGGCTCAATCGTTACAGAACACAAAATACAGTAGTAAGGCAAGGAAGAGCCGGGGGGGGGGATACTTCCCAGGCCCCAGGATTGCAGCCTAATGGAACCTAGCTATCTTTAATTCCATGAAACTCTCACTAAATGCATTGGGACCAAGCTCAAGTTAACTGGAGGAATTTAATGTCCTTCTAAGTTTATCATTCCATCAGGGAAAGCAATTCAACTTCTCAGATGAAATGGTCTCACTTCTCCCAACCCCCATTGTTCTGGGGGTTCTCCTAACCCCACCAAAGCCATTGGGTTCATGAGGAGGAAAACCCTTTTGTGCAAGTGGAAGTCCTTGCAAAGGAATAGGATAGGAAGTCCAAAATGCAGCAGAGCCAACCTGGCAGAGAAGATAATTCTGGGGTAGAAAGATGGGACTAGTGGTCAGGCTTAGAAGGAAGATTCTTCTGCAGTTGCACTCACAGTTTCTAGGTTATGTTAGACATATGTATAGGAGGACTAAGGAAGTTATAGTACAGTACAGTACCAGTTAACAAAAACAGGGGTGAGCTAATGCTTTTGTCATATATGGCTTCTTGTTTTGTATCATTAAAAAGTTTTAATTCAGGAGCACCACATGGGTGTAAGACTTTGCATAACAGATAAACTTATATTTAGCAATGAGTACTCCATTATAAGTCAAGTTGATCTCTGGCTGAGCTTAAGGCTTGAACACAGGTCTCTCAAGTCCAAACCTGCTATGAACCCACCGCTTCCAACTCTCCCTATACCGACACATCCTAAGAAACAGGTCTGGGAGGTTTGCAGCTCGTTACTTTAAGGCTTGTTTTCTTATAAACTAGCATTAAATATAGACACAACTGTGGTGGTCCTCCAATACTGCTTGACTTCATTCTCCATTTTAGTGCCTAAAGCCCATAATTTTCTAAACTGGGACTCTAAAAACATAGCCTGTATTTTCTGTACTACCAGCACACTCCGCTGCTAAGCAAGCAGCCCAGTTATCAACTGATATAATTATAGCTGTGACAGCTTCAATACCACAAAAGTCAAATGCTAGTTTATTTCTGTACTTTGTTGCTTCTTTTGGGTGGGGGTGGTTAGTGAGAGACGCAGAGTGTGTAGACAAGGGAAAATTACAAAAGTACCATTTTCAGAACTGAGACATTCTTCACTATTCAGATTGCTGCAATTATTAGTACACGGTACTTTTTAGTGTCTATCATATTAAATTAAGTTCTTGCTAAATGACAGAGATTTAAAAGGTACCATTTACAATGACTTCTGCAAAAAAGCCCAACCCAGCTTCATACAGAATAAATGAAATTCTGTAATGTGTAGTGATGACTCATTTTTTTATTGCAACAGTGTTGAACTTATTGATAATAGCTGTTCTTATCAGGAGAGCGGAAGTATTTATAGCTGCTAATCTTACTGAGTTCACAATTCAGTATTATTTCTGAAACAAGATAATCAAAGACCCATACAAGTTTCCAGACTGACACTGAAAAAGGACTGTAAGAGGACGGGCAGCATGTGAGGTTTCATGCGTGGCATGTGAAACACATCATAGGTTAATAATGGATTGGTGTATCCTCTGGTTCTAATCCAAAGTGAAGAAGGAAGGGATGATCCTAGTTTGCCAGCCTAAATGATAATGCCACTCATTTTCATCTTATAATGCCAATATAATTATATATTTCATTATATATTTTTAGGTGCCAGGAAAACATTCCTCTTCAACCAGGCCTTTGGCTGATTAATATTCCTTCAGCCATTCTTTTTCTTTTTTTCCTTTGATATTTTATTTATCATTTTTTATTTTACAACAAATAAAGTTACAAATTTTAAAACATACAAATTAACTTGACTTCTACCTCCTCTCCTTCTATGGTTCCTTTCCTTTTCTCCATTCTTCTAGATATCCAATTTTTTCTGTATTTACTTACGTTTATTTCAAAATTTCCTTACAGTTATACTTTAACAGCCTTTTGAATATGTCTGTGGGGAGGTGGGTTATTGTTGTTTTTGTTTTAATTATTTATTTGTATTTTTATCTTGTTATTTTATTCTTTGAACCACCCTGAGATTTTGTGATGGAGGGCAGTATATAAATAAAATAAAATAACACATAAAAAACATTTAACAAAACTAGATTGCTATGTAGTGTACATGAAGACCTGGCAAAAAAAATTAGATTATTTCTGCTGTTCCTGATTTTTTAAAAGTATTATTTTTTCCACGTATACTCACATACCTAAATTCATTACACAGTCCAAACATATTACATATTTCACAGCTTTCCCCAGCTAGTCTTAAACTCCCAAAGGTGCGTGTAATAACATAGAAACGTCATTCTCACCTTGAATCCACTCCTGCCTCTTCTTCTTATCAGAGGCACTAATCTCAAAACATTTCTCTAAGCTTTTTATAAGAAAGAGACATTTCTTTCCATCTTTGTCAGGCAAAGCCTAATTATAGAAAAATAATTTCCTTTTAAATAACAATACAATAACAACACAATATATCATTGCATACACAAAAGTTTGCAAATATGTATCTTCTAGTAAAAGTTAGCTCAGAAGAATCAAACAGAGAAAAATGCACACCCAAGAACCATATATATATATATATATATATATATATATATATATATATTCATAATAATAAAATATATGGACACCATTCCCTGCTTGTGTATAAATAAGCATTAATAAATAACATTGTTGTTGTTTGGTCGTTTAGTCGTGTCCGACTCTTCATGACCACATGGACCAGAGCACGCCAGGCACTCCTGTCTTCATAAATAAATTAATAACATTTGTCTAAAAACAGTCTGCTAGTAAAAATTTAGGGAAATTTTTTTCTCCTGTTTTCTGTAATGTAACATGGAATAATAACATGGTAATCTATTGACAAAGTTTGAGAATAGTAGGCTATTGCCCTGTACCTTTGAGCATCTTCACACTATAGCTATAACTTCTCAGTGACCAAGGCTGGGCACAAGCGCAAGCATGACCACTAAGCAGAATATTTCTACAAAAACAGTTATTTTTTTCTGTTCTGGGCAGCCCAACCCTGACATACTGAAGTCTGCCATGGAGACTGCAATAGCCCCACAGTCACTGAGCTAAGTGTACGGCAGGGGACCAAAAGAAAGACTGCATGCATTGGGTAAGACGCATCCAACCCCCAAAGCAGCCTTTGCAGGGACATGTGCTAGCACAACAAACACTACTTGCTCATCTCATAGATAACACCTATGATTCGCCACAACCACAGTGATTAACTTTGCTAATGGCAATAACGAAACTGGAGCAACGTAACAGGGGCACCTGCTCCTGATATTCTCTTTCCTATGTCAGTAGGACTACAGGAAGCTTCTTTGCCCAGCAATGGGTTTACAACCATTTCGTGATTAATATTCATAGCTATTAATGCATTTTACACTTATGCTAAACGGCTGAGCACGTTACTATCATTAGTTCTTGCTGGTTTCATACGCACTCGTTCCTAAAGCCTATCACCCTAACCCAACATTTCCTCACACAAACAGCATAGTTCCAAGCAGTTAAGATCTGCAATACACATAAATGTCTACCTCCCCCCATTGGAATTAAGAGAGCAGCCCACTCCAGCAAGAGATCTGTGTCCTCTTTATGTGTTTCTCTATACTGGGATGTAACCATACAGATGGTGACTATTCTGTTAAATATTCCACTATGCTGATAGTTATTAAAAGAAAAAGCTAAATTATTTATTTATTTATTTAAAACATATATATACCGCAATTTCATAAAAGAGCATCAAATGAGTTTACATACAAAAAATGCATAAAACCATACAGTAAAAACCATGTGAAAGAAGTTAAAAGCAAAGACAGCAATTAGCCATTGTGGAAAGATGTATTCTCAATTGCCTGCATAGAAAAGTTGAAAAGTTGAAATTATATTGCCTCTGTGGGGGGAGGGGGGCAGGCATTCCAGTGTGTACTTTTACATTGCATGCATTTTTTTTACCTCTACAGTACAGTTGCCATCCAGTATAATCTCTCCTCTTTTGTCTTTTAGGTCTTCACTAACATAGTACGATATAATACTGGGTTTTAAAACAAACCAACGTTCTGTCCAGTTTTTCCTTTTGTGGCCCTTCTTCCACATATATCCCTGTAAAATAGAAATGGCTCATTTAATTTATTTTAGCATTAGAATTTCTGACTTAATAGTTCTGAAGCAAAATCCAAATGTAATTAATACAGTTTTTTTATTTCAACAGACATGGATCAGGTCCTTTAAAATATTTTTTTCCTGTTAGTTCAAAGATAAATTTATGAACCCATTTTATGAAAAAGCATCAAACGAATTTCAGTTTTAAACCTGTCTTGGTTAGGAAGAAAATATTTCAACTATGCCTACTGAAACTTAAAAACTGCCAAGAACAATAGCAACCACCCTGCATAACTGAAGGAACATTGCTTAGTACCAAAACCAATAGGAATCAAATTTATTTAAAAAACTGGAAGTGTGTACAGTTTTCATATAAGCTTCCATTCAATGAACCATGCAGGTCATTACTTCACTACATCAGTCTCTGAAAAGACTATACATATGTACAGCTACATTTCCTTCAGCTATAATATACACATACCATTTACAATTTATAGAGCAAATGTCAACAGTATTGCCACCATGATCCAGGCAATCTCCCCCCAAAAAGCTCTACAACTTTGGCCGATGGCAGGTGTTGGCGCGGTTTAAAATATTGATTAATTTGGGGTTCAAAAAAATAGAAGTCATCTTATACATGGGGGCATCTTACACAGAAAAATACGGTAGTTAGAAAACATTACATTATCTCACACAATACACTAGCAGGAAACTTATACAATCTGTACAATAATACCCTCCACATTTTTTCAGCAACTCCATGCCAAATAATTAATTCAGAGGTTTTTTGAAGAGGGTATTGATATAGGTAATATGGAAATCAAGAACTGCAAAAGTGGAATATTTCCTGGCTTCCAAACCTACTTTGAAATAAGCCATAGATGTGAAAGAGTAATCTATGGTTTGTGCAAGACCTGCAAACCAAGACCAAACTGTGCTGTCTGATCATAATCTGTATTGCAAGTGCAAACCATGGTTTGTTTGTTCAGACGAAGTGTGAGCACCCAAGACTCCTACTGCTTCTTCAGGAAATGGCAAACCACAAAGGACAAAGCCATCAGTGGCTACTAGCCAAAATTTGTTTATTTAATTTGCAATATTTACAGACTGCTTTTCTACATAAATGGTCTCAATCAATCAATCAATCAATCAATCAATAACACAATGCCTCAGTCACATAATATGGTATTTAAAACAATAAAAATGGGCCTAATACTGCGATGGCATTTTAAGTAATGGCTATATTCTAACTCGGGGACGCGGGTGGCGCTGTGGGTAAAAGTCTCAGCGCCTAGGGCTTGCCGATCGAAAGGTCGGCGGTTCAAATCCCCGCGGCGGGGTGCGCTCCCGTTGCTCGGTCCCAGCGCCTGCCAACCTAGCAGTTCGAAAGCACCCCCGGGTGCAAGTAGATAAATAGGGACCGCTTACTGGCGGGAAGGTAAACGGCGTTTCCGTGTGCTGCGCTGGCTCGCCAGATGCGGCTTTGTCACGCTGGCCACGTGACCCGGAAGTGTCTCCGGACAGCGCTGGCCCCCGGCCTCTTGAGTGAGATGGGCGCACAACCCTAGAGTCTGTCAAGACTGGCCCGTACGGGCAGGGGTACCTTTACCTTTACCTTTACCTTTACATTCTAACTCTACTGTCAGAGGTTGTATGCCTCTAAATACAAGTTGCTGGGAACTGCAAGATAGGTGAGCCCCCTTGCATTCAGGTTCTGCTTGTGGGCTTCCCTTGGGCATCTTGTGAGAACAGGAAGCTGGATTAAGATGAGCCTTTGGCCAAATTTAAGAGGGCCCTTCTTAAGTTTGTATGGTTTGACGCCACATCTGAGCCACCACAGTATTTCACCTTGCATCATGCAAACATCACACTTCACACAAACCATACTGTCTCCCACAGATGTGCACAATCTAGCATGGGCTCAGTTCAACATGCATGTATGTGAATGCACTCAGTAAGTATATAAAAGCACATGTGGTTGAGGCCCACAAGACTTCATTAGCAATCCAAAGGTACTTACTTAACTGCTCCACATCTCATTTCCAAGCTTACAACTGTGACAAAGGCTCAGCAGAGGAGAATATATTTTCTCCTCCTTTACTTACAGGACATTCATTTTATTTATTTATATTTATTTTGCCCTTACCACATTTGGGTCCTAACTATGAATACAGTTGTCAAAATAGCTCTACTGTACATTTAGAAAGCAGGGACACCTACCTGTTGGATTTATCCACTTTGGGTAAAGCTATTCAAAATGGTAGCACACAGAAAGAGAGAGAAATGCAAGTTTAAAGAACAGAGCAATTCCATTATTTATGCAATCATATAATCTGCTGACTTTATAGACTACATTGACAAGATATATTATGTAAGGGCAGCGAGTCATATCTATGATTGGCAAGTGCTAGAGGGGAATCTAGAATCATATAAACCCAAGAGAAAGGACTTCCTGGTTTATTTTGAAGAAGTTTGTGGGGAGATCTTGCTTGGAACATGTGCTACTCTAGTTTTTTCCCCTGTAGATTCAGGTGATGAAAGAATGACTGCTTAGCATATTTTGAATGGACTTCCTGGTTTGTTTTTAAACTTGCTCCACCCCACCCTGGTCTACCTTAGCAGAAATTGTTTCCCAGAGAAAACAACAGAGAAAATCCAGGATTTTAATGTAGCTTTGACAGGGCAGTAGCATATCAACCAAACAGCCTTTCAAAGTAGCCCAGGGTTGCTGTACAATTATACTGATGGGGAAGATGGGTTGCATAGAAAGAGGGGGGGAGGAGAGGGAGAATGACAACCCAACAGTGTAGTCCAATGTTGTTATCTGGTCCCTTTGACTTTTTTAAATAAGGGAAATGCAGCTGAAGCCAACAATCCTAGGGCGAAGTTGTCCATGCTGGCATAAAGACTTAAATAGGTACATTCACATGGAAGGCTCAAATCCTTTTTGCTCAAAACAAGAGAAAAAGTTGGCTGTTTGACCTGTGCCAATGACATCACAGTAGCTATTATGAGGTACAATTAAACAATATTAATAACAACTATTCTTAGAATCTACTGCTTGCTTTTTAATTATTTAACCCTGAATTTATTCAACCATGGACATCTGAACCTAGGTTCTTGTAAATCTTAAAAACACTTGACTCACACACTTGCTTTCACTAAACTTAACACCCTAGTGGTGTTTTGTTCAAGCCAGCTCCCCCCACCCCCACTCTCCTGCACCTGCACCTCTGAGAAAGTTCTTGCTTCCTCTTTATCTCCCCACATGGCTGCATGTTTCAAGCCATATTCAAACTTGAGGCACCACAACTAAGCAGCAGAAGGCTTTAAAAAGTACTACACTTTTCTTTAGAATTCATGTTCAAGACGACAAGCCTGAAGAAATTCATGTTGAATATATTACACAAAGATGAAAATATGGTAATCAAGCATGTTAACTATTAGCAAGTCTCCCATCACCCAAATCACTGGACTGTGATATAAGGGATAATGTAAGCACCTAAATGAGTTGTATTCTTATTCTCAAGCTCTGTTTAGAAACACTGTGTTACAATGCATGGGTATGAGAAATACCGTGGTGCATTCTCTGATTACACCAAAGGAAAACAGAAATTAATACTTGGCAGATAATCCAAGATACTGAGAATCTTAACTTCCATTAAAACAAAAAGTAGTAGTAGTAGTAAGCTTCTGTATCTCAAAGCCACAAAAATGTGATTTGACATTCTGATTAATTCTCAGAAGCTGTAAGAGAGACAGTTGAGGATTTTCACTGATTTAGTCCCTTTGATGACCAGCAGAAGCAGAATAAAGTTATGCAAAATTGTTGTTGTTGTTTAGTCATTTAGTCGTGTCCGACTCTTTGTGACCCCATGGACCAGAGCACGCCAGGCACTCCTGTCTTCCACTGTCTCCCACAGTTTGCTCAAACTCATTTTAGTAGCTTCGAGAACACTGTCCAACCATCTCATCCTCTGTCGTCCCTTTCTCCTTGTGCCCTCAATCTTTCCCAACATCAGGGTCTTTTCTAGGGAGTCTTCTCTTCTCATGAGGTGGCCAAAGTATTGGAGCCTCAGCTTCAGGATCTGTCCTTCCAGTGAGCACACAGGACTGATTTCCTTAAGAATGGATAGGTTTGATCTTCTTGCAGTCCATGGGACTCTCAAGAGTCTCCTTCAGCACCATAATTCAAAAGCATCAATCCTTCAGCGATCAGCCTTCTTTATGGTCCAGCTCTCACTTCCATACATTACTACTGGGAAAACCATAGCTTTAACTATATGGACCATGCAAAATAGAAACATCTAAATTATTTTTATACAGATTGCAGAATCTGTCTTATCATAATGTAAAATTTGACAACCTTGGTGCAACATTTTGTGATTTAGTCAAAAATTCACATATTTATCTGTATAAATTATGTATGCCAACATGGTCAGCACTTGCATGAAGATCTCACCTGTTTCAATACATCTAATATAAGTTCGTTGAAGACTTCATTAATTGCCATAGATACCGTTTGCCTATCCATCCCTTTGCTAAATCGACCACTTCCAATCAGTTCAATCAATTCCCAAGCCGAAAGACCTTCCCAGCTGGTATCGAGGCTGATCTTGTAATGTTCAAACTGTTCTTGATGCCAGCCTAATCCCATGACTTCTGTCAGCTTCTTAAGCAAGTATTCAATCTGTACAAAAAAAGACAACACAGATTCTGAACAAACCATCCATACGAAAACAAAAAAGATCAGTGACTCTTCTTATACCGTTGCTGTCAGCTTTGTCAACTCAGCACAGTGTATCCATATCAGCAAAAGGTTCCTGCTCTACATTTCAGAGTGTGCAAAAATGAAGGAGATGAATGCTATATACTTTAGGAATAAAAGAGCATGAAAGCAATCCTAAGGTGCAGCTGTTGTCCAAGGTAACAAACTGCTGTATTCCTGAACACAAAGAGTTGCAAATATGGAAGACTATAGAAAATGCTGGTCTCTTTCTTTTTAGAAAACCTGTTGTTGTGATCCACAGCCCATCAGAAAAAGCCAGAAGAGTTTGGGGAAGGAAGTGTGTGTGTGTACTATTATGTTCTAATTTTACTGCCAAGACATTGTTGCTCATAAAGATTATTTCTACAACTACTTTAATGAAACAGCAAATGCAGAAAAACAGCCAGTTTAGGCATAGCTGGACAAAGAACATTCAGATACTTGAAATAACAATTTCCTACCTCTTCTGGTACAATGACTAGTGGATATTTGTCCTCAGATAGGAAATTGAAGATGACCCACACTTTAAAAGCATCATCATCAGAAAGGAGCAAGGTATTTCTTGCAAGGTTTTTTCTGGCACACAAAGTCCAACACATTTTATTGAATTCAATTTTGTCAAAGTTTCCTTGAACCTAGTAGAAGCAAAGCAGTGTTAATGATTTAAAGATACCCAGTGAGGAATAACAGCAGCAAGATGACCTAACACCTGCAGAAAGAAAAAAAGTTCGCAAAAGAGACCCAAAGCTAAAACAAAACATTGATTTGGTGGGCCTCCTCAAATGCCCCATAGCAGTCGCACCACCACAGAGAATGCTCTGCCCAAAGTAATATATATCACACCTCCTCTGCTTGCTCAGGACAAGTAACAGTTGTGCAGGGTAAGAAGTGCTGGATTTACATACAGGCTGAGCAGGCTGCAGCCCAGGGCCTCATAATCTAGGGGCAACTCGGTGTCTTGCCAATTTGTGTTGTTGTTTTTTAACAGGCAGCTTTTACTATCTAAGCCTAGTTGCTTTGTAACATTAAACACGTGACATATGAGTTCTGACTGTTCTGACTTTGTGTATAGTGTAATGTTATAGCTATGATCCCCCTATGAATGTTCTGTGTGAATGTCTTCATTAATTCCATATTTTTGTAAATATGGTTATAAATTTATAAACAATCTTGTATTAATGCTAAAATTTCAGCCCATGTTCTACTTTCATTGAGTAGATAAAGAAGAGAACAAGGTTTTGTTGCTCATGATGAGAGGCTATTAAGTCTGGAGTTCCCAAGGTCTTCTAGCCCATAGGTCTAGCTTTAATTGGGACCTATGGGGAAACACTTGAGTGACAGACTTTGCAGTGGTCTCTCTATTCCACTTTTATTCTGCTGCTGGTCCTTAATAGGCTACAGGTTGGAGAATCCAAACTTGTGCACATAGTGAGCTCATTACCAGCCTGTCTTTAAAATAGGACAGGGTGAAGCTGAGCCAGCTGTACAAACTGGGCAGAGAATGCCTATGCTAGTTCTGGCTACAGGAAAATCTCTCTTAAAACATGGGTTTTAAGGGCAACTGTGCAAAACTGTTGACATGGCAGCGGCATGGCAATCATGGTTGTTGCTACCCTTATGCTCCCCAACCCAGCCTGAATTGCCAAGTGGAATAGCCTGCAGTTCAGTCTTCAAAGAGTAGATAGTTAAAACCATGAGCCTTCGGGACATGGCATCTTTTGATTTAGCACAGCTTATTGTTAATTAGGGGTTTCAGTTATTCAAAATCCTTACTCTAGTAAAAGGAATGTCTGCTGCTCTTTGCTTCTTTTTGCCTGGGCATTTGTCCACGCTCCCTTGGTTCAACAATGTAGACTTTGTTAAAGGGCAACTCAGTCTCCACAATGAGCTAGAGAAATAATTCATTTGCAATCAGGACCACAAGAGGAAGTGTTCTGAGAGCTTGACCGGTGTGGTCAATAAGATTTACACGGGATATGTACAGCAGAATAACAGATTTCCTGTGGAGCCAAGAGCTCATTGTTTTTTCTTGCACAGATAGCCATTACTTCTCACAGGAAAGTGATATCTGGAGTAATCTATGAATGGGCACCAGTTGGGGGAGAAAAACAACAGAACAATATACTGAATACAGCCAGCCAGAGTTTCCAGTTTTCTACCAAAAGAATCGGGAGGAGGCGGGGAAGTATAGAAGACCTGCTAAAACGTTACTTGGCCCTTTTTATACAAAATGCCAGTGTTCATCGCCTGAGAATGCTACCCATATCTACCAAACACGTCAAAACCATAAAGATGCAATACCCAAAGGTGATTAATCCTAAAACCACTGGAGTGACAATTAAACAAACAAAAAAATTGTTTTCAAATAAGTGCAACTTGTGTTCAGAAACAGGCTGCGTGCCAATTACCAGGAAGAGGTGAAGTTAAGTGGCAGAATGCAAGCCTTGCATCTCAAAGGTCCAAGGTTCATTCTTAGCATCTCTGGTTATAAGGGACTACAGAAGCAGAGCTGGTAAAAACTTTTGTCCAAGATCAGACAGAGTTGGGGAGTTGACTATCGTTCTATGTCACACAGAAGTTTAAAGGTTCTGTTTCTGGTATCAAATGGTCGTGAGTGTGTGCATTTAAGGATTTTTGGCTGCAAGGTTGGGAAAGACACCTGCCCGTCACAGTAAATTCTGGACTAAACAAGCCCATCTCCTGATCCTGTAAATCACCAGCTCTCTTGGGTGGCGGGAGGTGGGTGTAATTCAGCATTTTGCATGATGCCCACTTGAGAGCTGCATAGCTGACAGTGTGTAAGGGGGAAGGAAGAGGAAGGAAACAATATTACAGTTTCCTCTGCATCTTGATAGCTAAACAAGAAGCTGATGTCAATCAAGACACTGAGCAAGTCATCACTGCCTTTCAGAAAATCCAGAAATCAGTGAAACAGAACCATTAAAATGAAATGAAACAGACTTCTAAAAGTTCTCACTGCAGTCAAACGTAACTGCAGTTACCAACCAGAAAGTTGGCCTTCCTTGGGTTTCCTCCACTCAAGAACATTGCCTTTAGTTCAGTGTCATTAAATTGTACCTAATTTATTTGCAGGTCTGTCTCTATTCTCCAGACTTTCCCACACTAATTTTTGAGGGGAGGGGGGGAACAGGTTTTGTAGGTTTCAAAAAAATATTTTCATTCTCATTTAAAAAGAAAAAGTCAAATCAATATTGGTAAGCTACAACACCAGACATGTTCATGATTACAAGATGCTTATAGCATGTCTGGGACTCTTTTTTAGCCTATCAATAAATTTACCTGTACAGCAGTTGGATTTAAGAGTTGCTTCACACATGGCAGAAATTAGCAGATGTGTACCTGGATTCCACATCTAACACACACTCTCTTTTCACAGTTTATGTTACTTTTTCTTTTCTGAATTGTATTCAAGAATCTGGAGAAGAGCTGTGTCTTTCTTTGCACGTTCATTCTTTTTACTGATATGTAGCAATGATATTTGAAATTGGGGAGAGTGAAGAAATTCAGGACAGTATTTATACACAGAACTGGAGGCACATACCTTTTCCAAGATGAATCTGTTTAAATAAGGCATATAACCCTGATTTGAAACAGGGCCTTCATCATCATCCCTAAAGTGCTCTTCTAAGGCTACTGGGTCATGTGGGACATTCAGCAATGTACACAAGTTGTGAGAAAGGACCTAAAAAAAAACCCCAAGTGAGAAAATCAATGAGAATGCAACAATATACAGCAAAACCATACACATCAGTCAATTTGATGATAGAATATGTTTTCAGTTGCAGAACTGGTAGTATTAAATACATCATCTTCCATCTACAATGCTAAAAAACTAAGGAAGCAGCCATGTTCTAACTTAAGAAAAGAAAAAATAGAGAGCCAAATTTGGGTTCTCCACCCTCTTATTCCTGGATTATTGGCAACATACTTTAATCCCCCCCCCCCAAAAAAACCCCACGCAGCCCATTCTTAATAGGATCACACACAAATATACTTGACCTCTCTGAGATTAAATAAAAGAAAATGCAGAGCATGCTGATTTAGAAGCAGGTGGGATTATATTTGTTGGCATCCTTCAAACTCACAAAATCCCCAGTAGTCCACTTCACAATATCACAGGTTATACAGACCTGCTGTACTACTGATTAGTTGGCAATGTACTTCCTTATATTTATTATGGATGCATTTCCTCCTCTAAGCTGAAACTTCCAGGTGATTATCAGTTTCAGAGCAGTGGCAGACCTTGGGGTTTCAAATTCCAGCAACGTTTGGCACCCCGTCTCTCACCTTCCATTCTATATCAGTTGTGGTGCCTCCCCCCTCGAGGCACCACCAAGGCTGCATGCCCAGTGCGACCAAACCAGTCACGCTCCCCTAAATCCTCCTCTGTTCAGAGAGGTGCTGTTTCCAAGTTCTGCTCTCCCCACCCCACTTTGGCCTAATTCTCACTAAGCAGCAGAGATATGGTAATGAGCCTGTGTCTCAACTGAAGCACTTCAGACTGCAGCTGAAGGGTCACATGCTGGAATGCTTCCTCATGAAAGAAGATATTAAACACTGAAATCGACCACATGCGAGGGACGGCTCCACAATAACCCTTCACCCAACTCTCTGTATAAATTTCTTTTTTTAAAAAAATATGAAAATTTCAGTCATGCAAGTCCACACCTGCTGTCTGGTGACTGTCATGTGAATTTCCACATCTGCTGTGTGCAAGATCAGACACCTGTTGGGACTATGAATAAGGAGGTAAGCATGCTACTTCAGACCACAGGCGGAGTTTGCAATAAATTAGCATAGCAAGAAGAAAGATACTCTAAACCAGGGGTCGGCAAAATTTTTCAGCAGGGGGCCAGTCCACTGTCCCTCAGACCTTGTGGGGGGCCGGGTGGCGGCAGGACGATGAGCGGTGCACAAAAGGGCTGCAGAGCGGGGCTGCTTTAAATGGCAGCTGCTTGAGAGGGGTACTCAGCCAATCACAGCTCCTGTGTCTTGCGAGAGGCAGGGGCTGGCGGCAGAGATGATGAGCAGCACACAAAAGGTCTCCAGAGAGGGACTGCTTTAAATGGCAGCTGCTCGAGTGATTACGCTGCTGCTGCTGGCACCAATCAAAGCCCAGACCCCTTCCTCCTTCACAGGGCGGGGACAAGCCAGGAGGAGGGAGGGAGGAGGCACTGCCGCAGTGTGTGTGAGGGAGGGGGGGGATTGCACAGCCCAAACAATCAGAATCAGATCCACACCGATCCACGCGGCGATTCCCGGACTGTCCACGTGCCGGATCCAGAAGGCAATTGGGCCGGATCCGGCCCCTGGGCCTTAGTTTGCCAACCCATGCTCTAAACCTCTGTCTGCAGGGTATGGCCTGAAAGCATACAAGGCCCTAACCTGCTGAAGGTAAGCAAGTCTGGTCAGTACCTTGGATGAGTGAGTGCTACCACCTTGGGTTCCATGACAGAAGAAAGTTGGGATATAAATGGGGAGGGGAGGGGATACCAATATAATTAACTTAGCTGAGCTGTAATCTGCTGCTTAAAAAGTGGCTTTTGGAGCAAGATGCTAATAACATAAATAAGAAACTAGTAAGCCACTTGTCTGTTTGTTTGTTTTAAAAAACAAACTAAATAATTGCAGCAAGGGCTTTTGTCAGATGCTGGAATAATACATTGGAATCTTGGTATCAAAAGGGTCTGGCAAGAAGGACTTCTGGAAAAACTTGCAAGCAAAATGAAAATATTAAGGGGACCAAGGTAAACAAGATACTTCTGTTAGAACCTGGTGACACTTTATTGACTATACCAATAGAAGAGATACAGGAAGAGAACCTTTGTGGACTTCGCAGTGAAGCAGATATTGTTCTTCCTTCTTGTAATATAATACAAATGTAACAGACACATGACATAAATTTATTTGCATAGGTGTATTTCCTGTTTATGCATGCATTTATATTAAACTGTTTTTAAATAAAAAGCTTAATTGGGATATTAGGAAGTTCAGCCTCTCTCAAAAGGGAATAATTTTTTTGCCAATAATTATTTTTCTAGGGTTCACATGGTTGCTAAGTAACTTTCCACATAAAAAGCTCTTACAGTTAAATTTCACAATCTGCCTTAATGGCACAACCTTCATGTTAAAAACTTAGGCCATCAGCCAAGATGTTCCAAATTCCAAACATTATCTATTAACTACTGAATAGGTTCCCAGTGTGCACCTCAGCCTCCATGCCCAACTAACCTGCTAACTTTTTCTGAGGTTTCTTTCATCCTTACCTACAAGAGGAAGGGCAGCAAGCTTAGCATGCCAATGTACAAGTCTGAGAAGCACTCTGAGATACCACCAAACAAGGTGCAACCACAGAGCTCATACAAGTCCTTCTTTCATCCTCTTTCTCCTCACACATACTCATGACAGTTGCCAGATTACTGCCACCATAGTAGATTTACTTTTGGAGATGGAGTTTTAAAAAGTAGTAATGTGAATCAGCTTCAGAATCCAGCAGTGCAAGTCCTCATTAACCAGACCACATTTATAGCCAAGCTCCTTGGGTGACATCATATGCATAAGGGTGTGTTTTAGAAAAGCAGCCCTGTTTAGGGAAGCTTTTAATGTTTAATAGGTTGTTGTATTTTAATGTTCTGTTGGAAGCTGCCCAGAGTAGCTGGGAAGGTATAAATAAATTATTATTATTATTATTATTATTTTCTTTCAATTCATGGGGAGGAATTTCAGCTTGCCAGACAGAGTTATTCCCCCCTCTCCTCTCTCCACACAATGTTCTGGGGGTGCTCCCAACCACCCCAGAACCAATTTGGGGGAACACATGAGGAGAGGGGGAAAACCCATTGCACAAGCAGAAGTCCTTGTGCAGACCTTCCACTGATAGGACTCCTTAGCTGAATCCTGCCCATTACATTTTATTTCTAGGTGTTTCGTTCATTCCAAGTGACATATAAAGTACAATAATACCAAGTTCCACAATGCCATGGAGCACTGCAAGATGTGTTATTTCCTTAATAAGCTTCTTGCCAAATGCAATCAACTTTCTACTAGCAGAACTTCCTCCTTCCTTGTGTCTCACTGAGTCTAATAATTATTCGCTTTGAATGAACTGCATGATTCTTGTTAGCAAGTCAGGTTTCAACCTTAAAATTAGAGAAACATTAATAAGGCGTAATAGCGCTGGGATGAAAAACCGACAGGGCACCCATGAAGACTATACAGTAATAAGCAATCTATAATTCCATCCAGAAGAGAGATGCTGTGATTTTACTATGTTGATGTCTGAAAATGCGAAAACAGTAACTGAACAAAACTTATAACAGTATTCTAGAAGGACAATTAAATAAATATACTAAGCCCCATCAACCCTAGAATCATAGAATCATAGAATCATAGAGTTGGAAGAGACCACAAGGGCCATCGAGTCCAACCCCCTGCCAAGCAGGAAACACCATCAGAGCACTCCTGACATATGGTTGTCAAGCCTCTGCTTAAAGACCTCCAAAGAAGGAGACTCCACCACACTCCTTGGCAGCAAATTCCACTGTCGAACAGCTCTTACTGTCAGGAAGTTCTTCCTAATGTTTAGGTGGAATCTTCTTTCTTGTAGTTTGGATCCATTGTTCCGTGTCCACTTCTCTGGAGCAGCAGAAAACAACCTTTCTCCCTCCTCTATGTGACATCCTTTTATATATTTGAACATGGCTATCATATCACCCCTTAACCTCCTCTTCTCCAGGCTAAACATGCCCAGCTCCCTTAGCCGTTCCTCATAAGGCATCCTTTCCAGGCCTTTGACCATTTTGGTTGCCCTCCTCTGGACACGTTCCAGTTTGTCAGTGTCCTTCTTGAACTGTGGTGCCCAGAACTGGACACAGTACTCCAGGTGAGGTCTGACCAGAGCAGAATACAGTGGCACTATTACTTCCCTTGATCTAGATGCTATACTCCTATTGATGCAGCCCAGAATTGCATTGGCTTTTTAGCTGCCGTGTCACACTGTTGGCTCATGTCAAGTTTGTGGTCAACCAAGACTCCTAGATCCTTTTCACATGTACTGCTCTCAAGCCAGGTGTCACCCATCTTGTATTTGTGCCTCTCATTTTTTTGCCCAAGTGCAATACTTTACATTTCTCCCTGTTAAAATTCATCTTGTTTGTTTTGGCCCAGTTCTCTAATCTGTCAAGGTCGTTTTGAAGTGTGATCCTGTCCTCTGGGGTGTTAGCCACCCCTCCCAGTTTGGTGCCATCTGCAAATTTGATCAGGATGCCCTTGAGTCCATCATCCAAGTCATTGATAAAGATGTTGAATAAGACCGGGCCCAAGACAGAACCCTGTGGCACCCCACTAGTCACTCTTCTCCAGGATGAAGAGGAACCATTGATGAGCACCCTTTGGGTTCGGTCAGTCAGCCAGTTACAAATCCACTGAGTGGTAGCATAGTCAAGACTGCATTTTACCAGCTTCTTTACAAGAATATCATGGGGCACCTTGTCAAATGCCTTGCTGAAATCAAGGTAGGCTACATCCACTGCGTTCCCTTCATCTACCAGGCTTGTAATTCTGTCAAAAACAAGATCAGGTTAGTCTGACATGACTTATTTTTCAGAAATCCATGCTGACTATTGGTGATCACAGCATTCCTTTCTAGGTGCTCACAGACTGTTTGCTTAATGATCTGCTCCAGAATCTTCCCTGGTATTGATGTCAGACTGACTGGGCGGTAATTATTTGGGTCCTCTCTTTTCCCCTTTTTGAAAATAGGGACAACATTTGCCCTCCTCCAGTCTGCCGGGACTTCGCCTGTTCTCCAGGAATTCTCAAAGATGACTGCCAGTGGTTCTGAGATCACATCTGCCAGTTCTTTTAATACTCTTGGATGCAGTTCATCTGGCCCTGGAGACTTGAATACATCTAAACTAGCCAAGTATTGTTGTACTATCTCCTTAGGTATTCTGGGCTGTGTTTCCTTTGCTGAATCATTTGCTTCAAATTCTTCAGGTCGGGCATTGTTTTCTTTATCGGAGAAGACTGAGGCAAAGAAGGCATTGAGGAGTTCAGCCCTTTCTGTGTCCCCTGTTTGCATTTCACCATCTTCTCCTCTGAGTGACCCCACTGTTTCTTTGTTCTTCCTTTTGCTACGAACATACCCATAAAAGCCTTTTTTGTTGCTTTTAACCTCTCTAGCAAGCCTGAGTTCATTCTGTGCTTTAGCTTTTCTGACTTTGTGTCTACACGTGCTGGCTATTTGTTTGAATTCCTCTTTGGTGGTTTCCCCCTTTTCCATTTTTGTACACATCCTTTTTAAATCTTAACTCAGTTAAAAGTTCTTTAGATAGCCACCCTGGCTTCTTTAGGCACCTTCCATGTTTCTGTCTCATTGGTATTGCCTGACGTTGTGCTTTTACTATCCCCTCTTAACAAACTCCCAGCCATCATGAACTCCCTTTCCTTTTAGTATTACTGTCCATGGGATCTCACCCAGCACTTCCTAAGTTTTATGAAGTCGGCTTTCTTAAAGTCAAGAAATTGAGTCCTAGTATGCTTGGCTGCTCCTTTCCGCTGTATAGTAAACTTCAGAAGAGCATGATCACTCGCGCCTAATGATCCTTCCACTTCTACCCCACTAACCAGGTCATCAACATTGGTTAGGACCAGATCTAAAATGGCTGTTCCTCTTGTTGCTTCTCCCACTTTCTGGACAATGAAGTTGTCTGCAAGGCCAGTGAGGAATCTGTTTGACCTTATGCTCTTGGCTGAGTTTGACATCCAACAAATATCCGGGTAATTGAAGTCCCCCATTACTACTATCTCCCTTCCTTTTGCATGCTTGGCCATCTGTTCCAGGAAGGCATCATCTATGTCCTCCGTTTGGCTTGGGGATCTATAGTAAACTCCCACAATGAGGTCACTGTTATTCTTCTCTCCCTTAATTTTGACCCAAATGCTCTCACTTTGGCTTTGAGGTTCTAAATCTTGGATCTCTTCACAGGTATACACATCCCTGACATATAACGCCACTCCTCCTCCTTTCTTGTCTGGTCTGTTTCTCTGAAATAGATTGTATCCCTCCATTATTACATTCCAATCGTGGGACTTATCCCACCAGGTTTCAGTGATGCCTATTATGTCATATTTTGTTTGTTGTACCAAGAGCTCAAGCTCATCTTGTTTATTTCCCATGCTTTGCGCATTAGTGTACAGACATTGAAGTCCATTAATCATTCCCCCGTGTCTCTTATTTAAGGATTTTTTCCTCCCACCACTAGGTCTGCGTGCTGTTTGCTCCATTTGGTCTATGACATTTGGATGATCATCTTCATCAATTGATAGACTCCTACCTTCAGGAGCACTGTCTCCCTCCCCCACATTAGTCAGTTTAAAGCCCTCCTGAGGAGGTTTCTGAGATTTTTGGCAAAAACATTTCTCCCAACCGTTGTGAGGTGCAGCCCATCACTTGCCAGAAGTCCATCTTCAAGAAACTGCAGTCCGTGATCTAAGAATCCAAACCGTTCCTGTTTACACCATTTGCGAAGCCAGCTGTTCACTTCCACTATTGGTCCCTCTCTCCCTGGGCCACGTCGTTCAACTGGGAGGACAGATGAGATGACAATTTGTGCATTTAATTGCTTCAATTTCCTGCCCAGAGCCTCGTAGTCTCTTTTGATCTTCTGGAGGCTATTGCTTGCAGTGTCATTGGTTCCCACATGAACCAAGAGGAAGGGGTATTTGTCAGTGGGTTTTATGATTCCTTGCAGTCGTTCAGTTACATCTTGGATCTTAGCCCGGGAGACAGCACACTTCCCGAGACATCTTGTCAGGCCCACAGATCACTGCTTCTGTTCCCCTCAGTAGGGAATCCCCTATCACCACTACACGCCTCCTCTTAGGTTTGGTCGGGGTTCTTCCGTGAGCTGTCCGTTCCAAGGTCGCCTGCACATTCCCTGAGGACTGACTTTGCTGCTCGTCTTCATATACCTGATCGACTGTAATGAGGAGAGATCCTCAAATGGAGTCTGCTCTTCGTCTTCCATGCTAGGGAGAGGACCTCAAAGCGTATTGTGTATTTCTAAACAATCAGAGCGAACCCTGGGCCTCCTACTTCTTTGAGTCACGTTTCTCCATATATCTGGCTCCTGTGTTGGTGAACTAGCCTCCTTCTCAGGGGAGTCCCCTGTCTCCTCCTTGGTGGAGACGGTGTGCTCTGTTGCTTCCAAGAAGAGCTCCAGCTCTCTAATTCTTTGGAGCGTAGCTACACGTTCCTCCAGTTGCTGGACTTTGTCTTTTAAGAGGGCAATCAACATGCAATTGCTGCAGGTAAAGCTGCCTGCAACCTTTGGCAAGATGGCAAACATTGCGCAGGAACCGCAGGCGACTGCAGCTGTTCCCTCCCCCTCCATCTTGAGAACGTGTCGTTGGGGGTGGCTACAGCGGTCCTCCATCATAAAAAGTGTGAAGACAGGACAAATAACTCCCCCCACAAAAAACCTAGGTCTCCCCCAACAAACGTTTGAGACTAGCTCCCCTAAATCTAAAAGATGGATCAAACTGCGCGCGCCGCTCCCACAGCTAATCACCTGCCTCAACAGAAACCCTGCCCCCTCTGACCTTTGCACAGGGAGAGCAGCTAATCAGCCACAAAGAAACACACACACACAAGAAAACCCTTTTTGCTCCTTCTTCAACTGCTGCCCTACAAGCTCTGATAAGCTCCTCCCACAGCTAATCACCTGCCTCAACAGAAACCCTGCCCCCTCTGACCTTTGCACAGGGAGAGCAGCTAATCAGCCACAAAGAAACACACACACACAAGAAAACCCTTTTTGCTCCTTCTTCAACTGCTGCCCTGCAAGCTCATGATGTGAGCTTGCAGGGCAGCAGTTGAAGAAACCCTACATGATGTGACTTCATCATAAAGCAGTGCAAGAGCTGGTGTGATGCAGACAACCTTAACTGAGAAGCATCTTAATTCTCCAACTCCTTGCTTAAACGGCAGGGTTTTTTCCTCAAGGACTGTCAACATGAAAAGCAGGAGAAAATTTACACTGTAGCTTCACACAGACATTGGATATACCAGGACCCCATTGTACTAACTAGAGGTTATTCAGAGTTGCTCTGAATGTTACAAGTATGAGGAAAGAACAGAAAACACAAACACTTTCTGTTCCCTACACTTCTCCATAATGCCCAAAATACAACACATCATGTCTCCCCTTGCACTAAGGTGAGCATGCACCTGATGCAGGGACAGCTTGCATCTCTCACTGTTTAGGCAGTGGGGGTGGGTGGGTGGCAAGATATAAACATTCTGTTTGGGACATTACAGAGAAGTACAAGGAACAAGAAGAGCAAGGTGTTTGCACTTCTCTTGGTCAGTCTATCTACACCACAATGTCCAAAGCCACTTCCAAATTCCAAGGCAACAATTTCAGCATATGCAAACTAAGTACATGAGTTTTTGACTGGGTTGAGGATCTGTAACTCCAGACATTACGCAAAATGTTCCAAATGTTTTTTCAATGCAAAATGTTTCAAATGTTGGCACTATTCTGCCCAAGAACAGTTGCACAGAACAGGACCAAACACCACACAAGTAAATCAAAATACCACACACAGGAAGAGCTGGTGGGGTTCTGTTTTCCCTTACAAATGCAAATGCAAATAAGAGTTCAGAAATAATCATGTTTTCTCTCACAGCTCCGCAGCATACCAAGTCCCCTCAGTTTCACTGTACAGCTAGAAAGACTGCTCTGAGCTATTGACAGGGTTCAGTTTGGCCATCAGCAGCACAGACTACAGCTGGCCCAGTAATCAGCACAATGACCTACTGTCTGAAGCATCCCACAGGTGTAGAGCCCTATTCAAAACATTTTTCAGAGCTGGCTTAACCAGAGGAATTTAGGGCCAAAAGTGTCTGATGGAGTGTGCCCAAATTCATAGATCAAAGTTCCACAAACTGTGTGAGAGTTCTGTGGAGAACACTCCTTGGAGTATGTGGCAAGAAAAAGAACAGGCCCTCTTCACTACTTCTCCTGTTTGTACTTGAATAAGAGAGCAGTATAGAATCTCTGCCTCCCCAACATTGGCAGGCTCCACACAGAGCTGGAACAAAGCCAATTCTTTTATTTGGGTGCCTGAATGTTGTGGGCCACTGGGGTAGAAAGAAAAGTGTTGGCCACAACAAGCAACTAAAGTGGGAGGGAGCGGTATTTGAGGTATTCTTATGGTGCAAAAGATAAAATCAAGTTTGTTAGCTATGAAACACAAAAATGGAAGAACTGTGATAGCAAAACAGTACATATTAATCAGCTCCATTACAATTGTGCCTGGCAGCCCCAATCGTGGCCTGGGATAGCCTGGACTACGTGCTGTACATCTACAAAGCACAGAAAGATGTACAAAAATAATCACCAATTATTGTCCATTAATATTTCAAGAGACGTCAGAGAGACAACAGGATTCTAGGGTGCAAATTTATGCTTCAGACCAAGAGCTGTTCACGTTGGATCTTTAGCCTGACATAACTACTCATCTAATAATTTTTTAATGGAAAAGGTTCCCTTCCCAAGTAACTTTCCTCAGATAGTTTGCCTTTGCTTCAGAGCAGCCTGCTACCCAACTTCAGTGTTTAGAACAGCAGGCTACAGGGGAGAAAGAACCATTGTTCAGTGGCAGAACACATGCTCTGTTTGTATGCAGAAGGCCCTGGGTTCAACCCCTGCCATCTCCAGTTAGAAGAATCAGGTAAAAGGTGGTGGAGAAGTCATCTGTCTGATACTCTGGAGAGCTGCTGCTGGTCAGAGTAAGTAATACTTAGCTAGACGAGTAAACAGCCAGACCTGGTAAAACTGTTTCTTCCTAAACTGTTCCAGAAACCCGAGTCCAGTCCTACCACTGGAAATAAATGAATTATGAAGCAGACAACAACAAGTAATATTAGAGAATATTCTAGAGGAAGACATTTTGGCATCTGAAGCAGAAAAGACAAACAGACTTTTACAAGGTGGTAAATATAGGCACAAAAATAGAAAGCTGTATTACGCAGTGCCAAACCACTAGCCCATTCAGCTCAGTTTTGTCTACAGCGAGCGGCAGCAGTGGTTCTCCATGATTTCAGACTGGAAGTCTTCTCACAGTCCTAGCTGACGATAAGCAGGATTGAATCTGGGACCTTCTGCATGCAACACAGATGCTCTGTCTCACAGCTACAGCCCTTCTCAAGTTGATAATTAGCTACACTGCTTAAATTTTATGCCCTTTAGCAGTATGCCAAATTCTGCCACCTAAAGCAAGCCTTCTCACCCCACCTAACCACCCAAGGGATTAACTGAAACAATCAAACCATACATCTGGTACTGAAGTGATTTGGACCATAATCCAATAATACTTTTTAGATGTGCCTAATAAATTTATCTGCAGCCACTTCTAAAGCAGTTACTCTAGTTCCACTACATTAAATGGGTTATTGGTACTGCCTAGGTTCGAACAGATCGTACTCATGACTGCAGCATGGTGAACGATCTGCGAGATGACACATGGCAAAGCTAGTCACACAACACTGCACAGTTCCACTGAACCTACTATGACAGACAGTCAACACACCAGCAGGGTTGTGTCAAATGGCCCTGACTGGCATGGCTCACAGAAAATGTAACGCATCAGGTGTAAATGTTATACTAGTCAAGTTAACCCATCCTCTTGAATTGGCTGAGATACAGGGCAGCCAAACAAAAGAGCAACTCTGACTTAATGACATCTTTATTAAGACACTTGACAAAAAAATAAGCAACCATTTACTTCCCTTTCAAGATTTGTCATAAAAGATATTGCTTGATCAACACTATCTAGTAGCTTTAAAACTGACTGGTTTATTAAGTGGGCCAAACAGCTTTTGAGTCTCACCACATCTGCTTGCTTTCAAGACACCAACTCAGCCCTCCTGGAGTTCCTTCTTTGATGGGCATGAAAACTCTCATCTTGGGCACCCAAGCAGTTTAAACAAATCATCTCGTTAAAGCAAAACCTTCGCTAACCTGTTCTGCGAGGAGCTCAAATGACAACCGCAGCGAAGTATTGCAGGGCTGGCACCCTCCCTGTGGCTGAGAGGCTGTTACTTTACATTCCCTGGGAGACCCTTGCAGAGGGCCACTACCTCAGTCAGTGGTAGAGCATCCTACTTGCAGAAGGCCCTCCTGCCCTGTTCAAGCCCCAGCATCTCCAGGTGGGGCTGGGGCAGACTCCCACCTGAAGAGCCAGTCAGCCTGATGGGCCTGACTCAGTATAAGGCAGCTTCCAGTGCTCCTAAATAGGAAAGTGCTTCTCCTTCCTTGCTTCTGAAACGGAGAAACTGAGCCCAGAGCAGCTCTGAACAATGAGGGTTGCCAAGTCCAGGTCCTGAGGAGGAAAACCCTGTTACCTATATTAATTCCACCAGGGGAGCTTTTACCCATGTTAATAATGCTGCAGTGGGTGGTCGTCTCACCAGATTTGGAGGAGGTGAGCACTTTGCTCCCTTAGACCAAGAAAGGGGACCGCCTGTTTTGCAAGACAGGCCGGGGGATTGGGGGGGGGGCTGCTCTTTGCCCTCCCTTTCTATTCAGTTTCCAGAAGCGCTCTCCGAGGTGTCGCGTCTGGAGAGCCCCGCTCAACCACCCAGTTTTTGCCACGCCAGCCAGCCAGCCAGTCGTTCCTTCCTCTCTTTCTCTCTCTCCCCGCTGCCCCGCCACTTCCCCCCGGGCCAGCCGCCTAGAGCGCTCCGTAAAAAGGGAAGTGCCTCGCCGCCAGGAAGGCAGAAAGCGTCGGCCACCGACAGCCCAGGAGGCAGGAGGCGCAGCCCTGGCTGGAGCCCTCCCGGCGCCCTGGAGGGCCTGGCTGCCTCCCTCCTGACTTGCCTTGAGCTGCGACTTGGAGACTTTGCCGCTCCTGTCCAAGTCGAGGGCGGTGAAAGCGTGCCAGATGGGCTTGAGCAGCTCGTCCTTCGGGCTCCCCATGGCCCGCCAGCTGCAGCGACTCCGTGGCGCTCGCTCCCGCCTCCTCGCGCCTCTCTCTCCCGGCTGCCGAGACACGGGTGGCCGCCTCGACCTGCCCACCCGTAACCGCGCCCAGCGGCCAACCCCGACGCCGCCTTGCCAGGGCCGGGCGAAGGAGGGCGGCGCGCGAGGGAGCGCACGGCCTGCAGGCTGCGTCCGCCTCGCGAAAGGGCGCCTCTGCTCAGGAGCCCTCGGGGCGGGGAGGGCGCTGCTTTTCCTAATCGCTGCCGGACCTTCCAGAGCCTGGCGTCTAAAAGTGGGCCCCGGCCTTGTCTCTGATCGTGGGCGGGGCTGAATCTCCAAGCCGGAGAGGTCAGGTCCTCCTCGGGGTTGCAAGACGCAGAAGTGCCCTCCCCCCGCGCGCGAAATCAGAATTACTCGGCGGCGAGGCTCAGAGTTTGTTGTTGCTGTTTAGTCGTTTAGTCGTGTCCGGCTCTTCGTGGCCCCGTGGACCAGAGCACGCCAGGCACTCCTTTCTTTGTCCATGGAGTTTTCTTGGCAGGGATACTGGAGTGGCTTGCCGGTTCCTCCTCCAGGTGGATCACGTTTGGTCAAAACTCTCCACTATGACCTGTCCATCTGGGTGGCCCTGCACGGCATAGCTCATAGCTTCTCTGAGTTATTCAAGCCCCTTCGCCACGGCAAGGCGGTAATCCATGAAGGGGAGTCTCAGAGTTACTTCCACGTAAATGGGCTTAGAACTGCAGCCTTCGAACAACAAAATGACTTGCACTCCTTGGCAGGTTTTGAATAAACATCCACAAATTTATTAGTAGACTATATGACAGACAAGGCAATGATATGTACAATTTTTAACATGTAGAGAATGATATGTACAAAGAAATCAGAGAGGGGAGCTGAGGGAAGTCCTTAGGGGGTAGGGAAGGGGGGAATAAAAAAGGGGGGAAATGTAATTGGTTATTTCGATTAATAAACTGTTTTGTTAAAACTGTTTAATAAAAATATATTTTAAAAAAAGGAACTGCAGCCTTCGCTGAGCTGAGGGCTTCCGGGGATGATCTCAAAAGCTTTGCCTCCGCTGATATTATCAACATTTCTCTTTTCTGAAAAACTAGCAAGGATGTGGAAAGTGGAAACAATCTGATGCTGGAAGAGATGCAGTATTCTGACCTCTCTTCCCTCTGTCAGCTTGACTGTACAGGGTGGATTTTTATTACAAAATACTTTATCTTTCTTTTGTTGTGTGTATGACTGCTTTTTTATAGGTAAAAGTACCCCTGACCGTCAGGTCCAGTCGGGGACGACTCGGGGGTTGCGGCGCTCATCTCGCTTTATTGGCCGAGGGAGCTGGCGTACAGCTTCCGGGTCATGTGGCCAGCATGACTAAGCCACTTCTGGTGAATCTATTGTCATATTCACCTATTGTGCTTTAGATGTGAGAATAAGATCCCACTTGTTGTTTAGGATTTTCTCAATATGTTTCTAATTAACATATTTTTTCTATCACTGCTCTAGACATAACAGTGGTATCCATTCTTAACCAGAAACTGTTCTTCACCTGAGGTACCACTTTAGCTAATGGGGCCTCCCGCTGCTGCCATGTGATTTCTGTTCTCATTCTGAGGTAAAATTCTTAACCCGAGGTACTACTTCCGGGTTAGCAGAGTCTGTAACCCGAGGTGTTTGTAACCCGAGGTGTTTGTAACCCGAGGTACCACTGTATTAGCAAGTTTCTAGGAGTGTTCTAGAGCCAGTCTATCTGTGTTAAGCCCTCCATTTCTGTGCAAACTACCTTTTCTCCCCATTTCAAGTCACTAAAAACCCCCTATGTGAGCTCTAAGTGTGTTTAACCTGAGACCAGATAGATATAATTATAGATGTGTGCAATGATCTGGTGAGCAAGCATAGAGAAATCAGCATCCAGCCTCCCCCCCCCCCATTAAAAAGGGTGTGCTTGCATTTCTGTAAACATACAGCAGAGATGTGGAGATTCCAAGTACAAATATATTTTGTCTTTAATGAGGTGCACTATCAACATAGTTTGCGAATGTTTTAATTTAACACAAATCTTTTGCGCATTCAGACTTACCATCTGAAAATTCAGAAATATGTTCTGCAAATCCAGCTTATAGTTATTTCCAACCAAACAGGATAATGGTGCTTTTAGGCAGTAGCAGGGAAATTGCCTCACCATCTCCTAACGTGACTCATACCTTTAAAAGGAAGCATTCAACAGACTCTGCCTGGTTCGGCAGAGAAGGTTACCATGACCTTTCCCGTAAAAGCTTCATGACTCTTTGTTTAGCCAATTAATAAATATTTTTGCAGCTAGACACTACACAATTGAAAATGTAGGCTGCAGTCCTACTGAGCACACTTACTGAGGGTGTACAGATGAGTAAAGTATGAGGAAATCGGACTGGTAGATAACTTTTCCCCCCAGCTTGGTTTATCATCCAGGAAAGTGTCAATCACCATCCTGAAGTGATTGTCACCCAGATTAAGTCTTCTTGCAAGATGTCTTATTGCTTGAACTTTTATTTACTTCTCTTAGCTTCTACACAGATGAAATTAAGTTTAAGCAATATTGAAATAATCTGGCAGCACAGCCTAAACTTGAAAGGAATATGTCCTGTTTGTTTGTTTATTTAACAATTTGAAACCTGGATATTTAAAGGACTTCTCCCACAATGCTAGGCACCTACTGATATTATTGTCAGAGGGCCTGCTTCAAGTTCCATTGCCACCAAAAGCCAAATTTGCTAGGGCATAAAACAAGACTTTCAGCTGCAGCACCCATAGAGTGGATCATTCTACACTGGCAAGGCCTGGCTGGCCCTCTTTTTATTCTGGTGTGCTTCCCAAAGCATTTTGTTTTACCACACCTTTCGTTTTATTTTGTTTTCCCATCCTCTGGGGTTTTAATATCTGGATTTCTGATTAGTCTTGATTGCATTATGGATTGCTTAGTGTGTTGACTGACGCTGTCAGCTGCCTTGGTGGCCCCATGAGAGGCTGAATGGTGGGACAGAAATATTTTAATTACCGTATTTTTTGCCCTATAGGACGCACTTTTTCCCCTCCAAAAATGAAGGGGAAATCTGTGTGCGTCCTATGGGGCGAATGCAGGCTTTCGATGAAGCCTGGAGAGCGAGGGGGGTCAGTGCGCACCGACCCCTCTTGCACTCCAGGCTTCAGAAAGCTATCCGCTAGCCGTGGGAGACGCAGCTCTCCCACGGCTAGCGGAGAGCTTGCCTGCACCCAGAGGTTTGGGGCGCGCTGAGCTCAACACACCCCAAGCTTCGGGCTTCGCGCAGCGCTCCGCTAGCCGTGGGACTTCAAGCCGCGCGACTTCGAGCAGCTCTCCCACGGCTTGCGGATAGCAGCCTGTTCTGGGGGCTGGGGTCGGGGGAAGCTCGGGCTTCCCCCGCCCCAGCCCCGCACCTGGGGGGGAAATAATTTTCCCCCCCTTTATTTCCCCCCAAAAAAACTAGGTGCGTCCTAGGGGCCGGTGCGTCCTATGGGGCGAAAAATACGGTAATTTACAACACACTATAATATAAACGTCTGCTGTCTAAGAATACTGTAGGCATCAATACTTTACACAGGATCAAACAAAGCATTCAAGGTAGACAGGCAAATGACACTGCACTGATAAACACAGAGCAGGACAGCTGCCAGGGAATTCATCTAAGGGTTTGGGACATGCCTAGAGGAGGGCAACAAGGATAATGAGGAGCCTGGAGACCAGGTCATTTGAGGAAAGATTGAACAAGTTGTATATGCTTGGTCTAGAGAGGAGCAATCAAGAGGTGACTGGTGGTCATCTTCAAATATTTGAAAAGTTGTCATTTGGATGGAGCAAATTTGCTTGCTGTTGGTCAAGAGGGTACAATAGGTTAAAATGAGGTGAAAGGGGATTTGGATGTTAGGAAGAACATCCTGATAGTAAAAGCTATTTGACACTGGACCAGCTTGTCTCAGTAGCAGACTCTCCTTTGTTTAAGAGTTTTTAAGCAGAGGTTGGAATGTTGTAAACACTGGATTTCCTACATCAATAGGGGGTTGAACCTTTGAGGTCAATTGGGGGACTTTGAGGTCTCCTTTCAAGTCTCTGTGAATAGATTGACTTTTAAAGAGGTGCACTACTAGCTACTGTTTTTGCATAAATAAAATACATAACATGAGAATCTGAGCTTTTCACAGTAAAGTGGAGTAATGCAGCTTGTTTTTGCATCTTCCTTCCCCTGCTTCATGTTTCAGCCAGAGCCTCTGTGTACACTGCAGCAACTCAAGTGTGAAAATAATAAAAGAGTCATGCAGCACCTTAAGGGCTAACAAATTTATTATGGCGCAAGGTTATGTGCCCCACTTTGTCTTGTGCAGGACGTGAGATCTTGGTTGCCATTTAAAGAATAAAACTGTAGGGAGGGGACATCTGTCATGGATGCTCCCCACCCCCCACACTGCAGGAGGTTGGACTAGATGACCCTCGGGGTCCCTTCTAATCCTACAATTCTGTGATTCAATGAATATCAATGAGATGCAAAATTTGCTATCACAGCTAATTAGTGCTTAAATATACAAATACACAGGCATACCTCTAACCTTCTACAGTGGCAGGTTGCTGATATGGTTGTATTAACAACTGTAGTGAGTCAGGGAAACTTTGTGTAAATAGACAATGGTTTTAGCTTCATAAGAGTGTCCAGTCTAAAAAAAAGGGGGGGGGGGAGAAAACCATAAACCAAAAGGTGTCTCTATTAACTATTTATCTATTCACCAGCAGGTGTAGCTGCAGCCTTCTGAATGAAAATACCCTTAAGTGTCAAATTCTTAAATGAATCTAATTTCAGTGTTTCACTTCAAATAGGTGAAATGTCAATTGTAAGGGACCACGAGGGTCATCTAGTCCAATGCCTCCTTGCAATGCAAAAATATTTTTGCCCAACATGTGGCTCAAACACACAACCCTGAGATTAAGAGTCTCATGATCTGTCAACTGAGCTATCTCTTCTTTGAGTAGGTTATACATTTTGACATGAAGTACACATTTTTTTGGTGCTTGCACTGTTGTAAGGTGCCCTAGAAATGTGCTAAATAAAATTGTAGCATGGATATGGACACCTCAGCTGCTACCCACTTCAAGCGCATAGTAGATTATTTTCCCATTTCCACTTTCAGAGTAAACAAGTCCTGCTCCTTCATGGCAGTAACATCACCACTAATATACCATATGCACGAGTGACATGGGCAGTCGTAGATTTGGCCAGATCTGCTCATTTTGCATAACTAGAGTTGTCACGTCTGTCAGCATTTCTTAGTATAATTTATACATGCTTAATACTTACTTTATTACATTTATGTACATTCTGCCTTTCCTTAAGGACCTGAGGGCATTGTACTTTCTGTGTGCCCCTCCCAATTTTATGCTGACAACCCTGTGAAGTGATAAATCATTTAAAATACAATTTGCTAGTGCACCATTTAATGATATGGACTTTTTCAATTTAACATCAAATATAAATCCATGGTTGTTCTTAAACTGCACTATTTGCTTAAATCTGTTATCTAGGTGTGCAATTTTTTCATCCACCATAACATGGAGGAATTCTATGTAAAATTTGCCTGTTGTATCAAGAATGGGGGTCATCTGATGTTTCACCTAGGGAAAATGTTTCTTTCTCACATGCTTCTTAGTGCTGGATCGAAAGTAGATTTAAACCTCACCATCAAGCCTTGTGCTGCGAGGGGGATGATTGTGATACGGGCCTCCATGTAATAGGAAGTCAGGCAAGTTTGCTGTGTGTTCCTTTTTTTTAGAGTGAGCATGTGTGTTTTTCTACATGTGTGGTGTGTGCGCCTGAGTGGACACAATCACATGGATATGCACACTGGCTTGTACCCCATGGAGGACTGGCCAGCAGAAGATGGGGCCTTGGTCAAAAAAATGGTCTATGGAAAGATATCCATATATGGAACATGCCTGGTGAATCTTTCCCAGCCTCTTATTGAAAGCTATCATGAGAAAATTCAAGGTTCCTAGGCAGCACGCTCCATTAGATAAAATACAGTAATTATATTAATGCAAGACTTTCGAGTAAAACAGGTACTCTCACCAAGGAGCACATCGCTAAATCGGAGGCTCTAAACTTTTTCCTGAAGGTTAGTTGTAACTTCCTGTTCCCATCAGGAGTTCCATCCTATCTTGGTTTCAAGTGAATGGCATGTTCTGCTGCTGTTGTACCTGTTCATTATTTATGCAAAACTTTTCCGTTTGTCTCAGTAACTCAGTTGGCTTTCCTGTGTGCCTTATCGTAATGGACCCAGATCATTATAGCATGGCCAGCTATATTTATAAAACAATAATTTATTACTTATACCCTGCCCATCTGGCTGGGTCTCCCCAGCCACTCTGGGCGGTTCCAACAGGAGATTAAAATACATTAAAACGTCATTAAAAAACTTCCCTAAGCAGGCTGCCTATTTGCCACTTCTGTTAATGGGTATATAGTGGTACCTCAGAAGTCGAACAATCCGTTCCGGAAGTCCGTACAACTTCCAAAATGTTTGGAAACCAAAGCGCAACTTCTGATTGGCTGCAGGAAGCTTCTGCAGCCAATCGGAAGCCACGGAAACCCCATCGGACGTTCGGGTTCCAAAGAACGTTTGCAAACCAGAACACTCACTTCCGGGTTTGCAGCATTCAGGAGCCAAAAGGTTCCTCACAAGGCATTCAGGATCCAAGGTATGACTGTACCTGGATTCTAGCCTGTACCTGGATGCCCAGGTTTTGGTGGTGGCTATGGCTCATGCACCAACTGCACCCCTTCGTTGATATCAGATCTGCCCATGGTGATGCATGCCTTATATTACATTTCTGTTGGGACTACTATCTCTCTCTCCATGGATCTGCCTTTGAAAAGTAGTCAGAAGCGTCAGCTGGTCTAGAATGATATGGCTAGACTGCTGACTGCAGCTAATCACAAGGAGTATGGTACTCCTGTTAAAACATCACTGGCCAACGGTCCGTTTCCAGCCACAATGCAAAGTGCTGGTTACGAACTATAAAGCCCTGTGTAGCCTGCATCCAGAAGAGGAGTAGTTTGGATTTGATATCCCGCTTTATCACTACCCTAAGGAGTCTCAAAGCGTGATCTCCCTATCCAAATCTGTCTGTGAGCTAAGATCCTCAGGTGAGCATCTCCCCTCACTCATCACATCTGAAACATGGTTGGCAGTGACATGAGCTTTTTTGGTGGCTGCTCCCAGGTTAGATTTGTTCTCTTTTTGCTGGCAGGCCAAGACCCTCCTGCTTAGACAAGCCTTTGGAAACCAAGGTGTATATGATGCTGATTACTGGGCAAATGTTTAAATTGCTAGCTTTATGTGAATTATGTATTTTAATTACAGTACTTTGTCTATTTTGTAATTAATGTTTTTAAATTCTGCAAGGTACCTTGGAATCCCAACTTTGGAGAAAGGCAGTATATTAAACAAACAAACACTGAGCAACTACCACAATAAAGAGCTCATATTTATTGACAGACTGGAAAGCACTACACCCTTGTATTGCCTCAAACGCAGACAGACATGAGTTTCCTCAACAGGATTTAGATGAACAAGCAGGAATGACCAGCTCAGTGTGTGTGTGTGTGTGTGTGCGCGCACAAAAATATTCTTCACAGGTAGATTTATAGACCATTAATGGGATATGATACTCAAGGCTGACAAAAACATGACAATATTAATTTCAAAATGTCACTTTAATAATCTGATTCAATACTAATTAAGAACAAAGTTAAACATTCATATAGAAAACGTTGGTTTAAGCCAAAAAGCCTGTAATTGGTAACATCTATTTTGGCAATATCAGAACAGATCATTAGGAGGGCCAATTATATTAATTTTGCAACTAAAATTGAAATAGATTTTAGCTGGAGCTTCTGGTGTCTCAAACTACAGCTTTCAGTATCGTACACTATAACACTTTTATACATTCAGTTTGAAAATGGTAACAGTATACTTATGTACAAGTTCTAAAAATATGCCAACAGGTACACTGAAATATTAACACATAAAGGGAAGATGAGGTGAAGGGGAGGAATTAACTTTTGGAGAACTTTATTAGAAAGAATGACAAACAAACATTTACACTAATAATGTAATTCAAATATAAAATTGGTGCACTGACTCTGTACACAATACACTAGCTTCAGAGAATGAAGCTGCTTTCAGCAGGGCAGCTTTGATATTTTTCACATAATTTTTTTAAAAGCCCACTAACACAATGATTGTTTTAATGCTACAGTTTTACAGCAAATACAAACTAAAAATAGCAGCAGTTTCACATGGCATGTTTCCACAGGCTTTTTCCTGTGGTCTACGCAATGCCTAACAAAGTGCTCCCAGTTGAATACACAAGTAAAATTCACAATAGTTTACCTGACACCAGGTATGGTTCAGCCTGTTGGCCTTTGGCCTCTCCCCATGTCATTTTTTCCCTCCATTCCAAATAGAGTAGTTTACTCAAAAAAGCCCATTAGACTACTAGGAAAAGATCTTTCCCCTGAAATGCATTAAGAATGAGAAGCAGCAAACCACTATAGTGGTTAACTCTGGATGGTATACTATTCAGTGTAACTAAAAGGCTTGAAAGTTAGCGTCCTGGTTTCTTTAAGGAGCAGGAGGACACATAGGGTCAGATCCAGACTTGACATTCTGCAACAGAAGAGTTTCTTCCATTCACAGAAAAGCCTGATACCCATTGGAGGCTTCTGCTGGACAAAAGCAGCAATTTTCTCCAATTCCACCCACAGCTCCCACACCACCTCCCACCATTTTCTGGAGGGTCCCTATATCCTCTGAAGCAGATTTTCAGGAGCTGCAGGGAGGGAGGGTTGGTGAAAAATCACATTTGCTCCTTCCTGTGGTGAGAGACCTCAATGAGCAGAGTGCCACTCATAGGAAGCCTGGATCCTACAGTTATTTAACTGCATTTGGCAAAACTAAAATTGTAAAAGACTTCTTTATAACACCAATGACAGTGATTTAAAGAAACAGAATCCTCTTCCTCTCCTAAACTAGTCCAGGAATATCCCACAATCTTCTTGAAAGCTTTCTGGAACGGCCAATTCAATATATTGTCAGGCTAACTGAACGGTTCATTTTCTTTCCATTAAGACGAGTTGTTCTAGTCTGTGCTGTAGATCTAGTTGTCATTCGATCTGTAATTTGAGCTCGCTCTTCTGCTGCTGCTTTTGCCATTTGTGCTTTCTTAAGTTCCCTGGAAGATAGAAAAAAAGTCATTTTGCCACCAAATAACTTTCATCCAAAATCATTCTAAAGAGACAAGAACAGTAATTCAGGGTGCAAACATTTTACTGTAACTTTTTTTCTCGTCTACCAACACTATTAGCAGAATCACACAGAGCTTTCTACAAGAATACACTGCAGCAGCACTGCTGGATCAGACCAAAGGCCTATCTAGTCCAGCTTTCCATTCTAGTGTCCCCACATTTCTAAGTGGCGTACATAAAAAAATTAATTCACAGAAAATTGGACAATAAAAATTTATCATAAAACCAAACACGACCTTAAAATGCATGCTGGAGCAAGGAATTCTGATATTTTATTGATATAAAATTCATCTGCTGACCCTGGGTTCAAGTATTAAGTGGGAGAAAACTACTTCCTATCCACTTTCTCCCCACCTCTATCACATCTTTCACAACGAAAGCAGATAAAAAGAATTCATTCCATTTCTCTGCAATCTCATCCTCCATTAGTACCTTTCCCCCAAGTTAACTAGGTAACAGTCATTTCCTGAACTCTGATTTTGCTTGAATGGTAGAATGTTTCAAGAGAGAGCACACATTTGATGTTATGCTCTCTTCACCATCCTGTAAATATACTTATGTGTTTTCCCTTTAAAGGGAGGGAAGAGAATACCTTGCATTTTGACCTCCACTTTGTAGAACCAAAAGCTGAGACCTAGTAGCTGTATTTATTAGGCATATGTAATACATAAAATTCCCCTAGTCCTCGTCAAACTTCACAACGTCCACTTTTTGTTACTGGCATGTTTTGTCACCTCACAGACTAATTCTGGTCAAGTTCAATATTAATACTGTGGTGTCACCCAATAGTTTGTAACTGCATCAACTGTTGCTGCGTGGATGCACAGGGACACACATGGACACAATGCCGAGGAAGTTGCAACTAGGATTACTAAAAATGTCCACCAGTTGAAGCTTTCAGGGCAAATATGCTGTCAAAAAAACCTCTGTTCTCCCCTTCAAAAAACCCAGTAAAAAGGTTTTCAGCAATTGTTTGCCAAGACAGGTATTCCGTCAGCACCACTGAACCACACCTTTCTGGTATAGTAATAAACTAGGGACCACATAGCTAATGTGACTTGCATATCATCTGAACGCTTTGCATGGTCTCATACAAAGGGAGAATTTGCACATATCCTTCCCATTCAGAGATGTACATACTTTCTCCTCTTTGGGAACGCAAAGCTCTCCTCATGGTAGATGTTACTATATGAACCTGTTTCCTTCCCCCCTGCCCCCGAGTACTTAGAAGCAGTCTTTACCAAATCAAAGTAAACACTGTAAGAACCAGAGTTTCAAGCAGCTTCCATTCAGTGTTGGTATCTTGTTAAACAATACCTAAAGCAAAAAATATGGTGTCTGCTGTACTTCAAATCACTGGTGCTACGTTCAATGTGCTTCAAGAGAAGTTGCAAAATGTTTTATTTTGTTGCTTATGTCTGGAGTTAAATTAAGAGGTTACATAATAAAGTCTAGGTTTTCTTTTTTGTAACAAGGAACAGAGTCTTCTGCTACTTGGCTCTTAATATTATTTCCTAGATTTCTGACACTGAAGTTGCCACAGTATGGATTCAACTTACTTCTGCAACAAAGAGTTTTTGAATTTTTCAGCATTCAGTTCTATTCGTAGTTGCTCAGCACTTTTTCTGGCAGTAGATAACAATGCAGAATGCTTGACTAGAGCTACTGCTGAGGGTCTTTTCTCTGGATCAGGGTTTATCATAAGCTGAAAGAGGAAAGAGACGAAAATTAAGGCTGACCACCCTTCCCTTAAAGAACATGTAGCATGATGCCAGGAACACAGATCACCTTCTTACCTTCAGTAACTCTAATAGCTCTTGACAAAGGACTTGTGGAATTCTAGGGAGTTTTCCTTGTCGAATTTCATGCCAGTGATCCCCATTGGCTGGCAGTGGTTCGGCACCAGCAGCACACACCACAGTTAATGCAAGAGCAAAAATATCTGCTTTTGGCAAGTAATTGTAGTTCTGCAAAGGAAATAAAAGTTTACAAAATTCCACCAGAACAATATATCAAGGCATAGATCCTAAGTTTTCACTTTGTTCATGCTTTTACTATGTTCGTTTAAGTCACTATGCGTTCACCTTGCTGGAAAGAAGTGACTATTAATAAAGAGTTCTGCTTTCAGAAGGGGCCCTCCTGTGAATGTAACTCTCCTTCAATGAAGGGAGGATCCTTCCATTCATAATCAGAGGACCCAAACCCTAGTCATCAGTAAGATACAATTAATTATTTAACTCCCATTAGCAAAACACTGTTTACCTCTTGTAAAACTTCATTGGCCAGGAAACGACTATCTCCTTCTTCTACTTGTGGACTAGATATTCTAGTTACATGACCAAGGTCACCTACATTAAAGAAGAATGGGAAGAAGGGTTATTTTCTCAAAAGCAAAAACAATTAAAGGTTGCACAGGAAAATGTAACTCCATGCTCCCCTACCTATTTTGAAAACAACCCTGCTAGATGTCCATTCATCATCATCGCCTTCTTCAGATATAGTAGTTGGAATTGAAGTCCTAGATATGAAGATATTACCTGCCAAGGAATAAAAATAGACATTCGTCAAAATATAATCTAGTTTCAGAATTTGCACCATCTGCTGGCTTCTTTGAATAATTAACCCAACAGCCTTCTGGGAAAGAAGCCAAATTTCAGGACAGCCAGCAAACAAGCATAATCTAACAAAAAAAAGAGATCCAAAATAAACTGAACAGCAGTTGGCCAGCTGTATGTTTCAAAACTGATTTCTTTCATTGTTTTCTGTATTCAGAATGAAAAAGTTTCCGTTACTAAGGTGTGGTTCACTGGTTATTTTACTACCACATATTCAATCATCTCTAAAAACACTTTCAATGCAGGAAATACCAGATCTCTGAATACTTACTGGGCTTTATATCCATGTGCACCAAGGACATTGAATGGATATACTTTAAACCACGGGCAACTTGTAGAAGCAAATCTTTTAATTCTGGTTCACTGAAATAGCGCATACTTCTATAGTTTTCACTTATAGCATCAGCTAAACTTCCACCTAGAAGCAAAATTAAATAATGTAAAAGTAGAAAATTCATTTTCTTGTAGGCCAGAGGTAGCCAAGGTGGTGCCCTCAGGACATTTTGGACTCTCATCAGGCCCAGCCAGCACATCTAATGGTATGGAATGATGGGAGCTATAGTCTTGCAACATTTGGAGGGCACCATATTGCTACCTTGGTTCTAAGGCCAATGCATGCTGTGTTTAACAATGCTTAGCATTTGTATAACACTTTTAAAGTGCTCAAAGCACTTAACATGTATTACCTAGATATAGTTCTTGCAACAATAATGTAAGGCACATATAGCCAACATGGTATCTTCCAGATGTTGTTGGGTTACAAATTCCATCAACCCCAGCCACTGTGGCCAATGATGACAGGAATTGTAGTCCCAAAAACATCTGGAAGGCACTGCATTGTCAAGGAGCTAGTAGGCTGTAGGGGTTCTATCCAATTCCCTGGGCCACATGTTCGAGAGGTCTAGTCTAGGGTTAAGGGACAATAACAGACAAAAGAAAAGAGACTCTAAAAAAGATACACGAGTAAAGCTATATAAGTACAACCACATATTAAGCAAACCTGATTATTTATATTTTTGTTCTGAAATATTCTAGACTGGGTATTGAATTTTTTCTTGGAACGAAGATCCCCAATTTATGACTCAGGAAGCAAGTCTAGTTAATCAGCTGAAATGTTTGTAAGAACATTCACTTCCTGCCTATTTAAGAAGCTCACAAATTATTTGAATTTTGTTGTATCATAAATTGTCTAAAATTCATCTGATCTTTTACTTCTACTTGCTTTATCCTAACTGTAACCACATGTGTTTAACATTAATATAAAATGCTACTGATTCAGAGACTAAGATGAACAGAGCACTGCTTGTACAAACTAGGCTCCAATCCCCACTTCTGCCTCTTGCACACACCACAAAAGCCACTTCTTAAAAGGTGAATGACCCTCCAGAACAGTGTGTGATGGGGCATGGGGGGCTTCAGCAGGATGGAGCAATCAAGAAAATTTGCTAGGTTGTCTTCTACAAGCACAAATGCCTTTCTGCTCATGTAAGACATACCTGGCTGGGTCCAAGCCAATGGCTGCAATCCTGTACCCCATTACACATGCTTAAATTCCATTGAAAGAAAAAGGACTTAGCAAGTGCACCATTGACTTTGTTGGCAAATAAGTCAGCAGATCTCCCTCCCCTTTCCCAGACAAGTTTAGCATCTTACTACAACTATGTTCCCTTAATAACCAGAATTCATAGTAAGGTAAATTCAATAGGAGCTTTACTTACCATTACAATACTCATTCTGTATAAGCATATGATCATCTTCTGCCCAAGCAGAGAAATATCTGACTACATGTGAATGCTGTCCCAAAACTGCATGAGCATAGACTTCTCTAAGAGCATTTTGCCTGTGGTATTAAAACAAATTAAATAAAGCTTGAAACTGGTTTAAGGAAGCAAGCATAGAATGCTGGTCACATTACAAGAGCAGTTAAGTTTTTTGAGTTGGAAGAGGTATGAACTATGGCATAGGGGTGCTGTGTTTGTTATGTACAGGTGAATGAATGATAGTTTTGCAACTATAAACATTTCAGTATTGTAGCTGCAAAGACAATACGTGAACAAATCCTTACATGCCTTGATGGGATTATTTTAAAAATGAGTATGTGCAGAGGAGTGAAATACAAGGACATAGGATAGTTTACATTTAATTTTTTACTCACTCATCAATTGAGCCAGCCAAGGGTTTCTTAGAACGCTTTATTGCATAGATGCAACCATCAAGCCTTTTCACACATTTGAATACTGAACCAAATTCTCCAGATCCAATCTTTTCCAATTCATGAAATTCTGTTGCATATCGTGATTTCATATTACTTTCTGTTATGCTGATCCGCTAAAAGGATTGAGACAAACAAGTTTGAGGAAAAGGGCTTCTTAAAAGGTTAATCCTATGGATTTCAATGGAACTTTAAAAATGCTTACTTAGGAATAAATGGGGATTGTTTTTTATTTTTATTTACCTTGGCAGGTCTCGTAGTTTCATCTTCAGGCTCTCCATCACTTGCTTCCATATCTTCACCATAGGAGCTGTGACACAAACAATAAGTAAAATAAATGCTATGAAACCTTCACTTTCATCGATAAGTTACATCGATAAGTTACATTTTGCTTTCCAAGCAATTTAATCAAATTCATGAACTGTGCAAAGCTATAGCTACCAGACCACTTCCAGACATCTTTTTTCACCCATGCCAATAGTAGGGACAATGTAGAAGAGGGTGTGTGTACAAAAAGTCATGAGGGAAGCTGTGCTGCATTGAGGTGATGTGACAGAAGGATTGTTTGAATAGATTATGTCAATTAATATTGTGCTGTGCCAACATCTCACCGCAGTAAGATGTGTGTTTGTGTCAAATGCAGGGAAGAGAGACTGCTAGGAGTCAGACTCCTAAAAAAAGGGAAGCAGAACAGGTATGTAAAAGGTTACGTTTAGGCTCAAATTAGACCTCATGCTAAAGGTGAAGCTGTCAGAATTTACCCATGTTTCCCTGGGCCCCACTGTAGCAACAACCAAATGTGTAGAATGGAGATGAAGAAACTGAATATAACATCAGCAGAGAAAGAGCTATATTTGCAGCCCATGTTTAGCAATCTCTAGTTTCACCTCAAGATTTACAAACTAATATCTCACGTTAGGCAATGTTACAAGTTCTGCTGTACAATTTTAACCACTTGTGTTCTTAAAGCCTCCCTAACTCTATACCCAATTATTCACTTGAAAATAAGGATAGTTAAGTACAATCCCTTCATTGACAGGATTGCTATCAAAAGTTTATTTCTTAAGCAGTTTATCAATGACCAGCTCTAGACACTTACTCATTCCAGTGTGTTCTCTTTCTCCTGCGACACTGCCCAACTGATGACTGAAGGAAGAGAGAGTCTGGAGTGAAGGGATTAATGTTCACGTGAGGTGCTTGCCCCACATCAGATTCCTGTTTTACTAGTTTTCCAACATTCATAAAGAGAGAGCCACCTCGGAGTTTAGCTGAACTTGATCCCATTCCTTCAGCTCTACAAAGTAAACTCTGAAAAATAAAGGAAACGAGTAAATTAACAGTTCTGTTCCATGTTGACTTAACAAGTTAATGATTATTTGGAATTTAAACGAATGAATAATCTTTCCAAATATAACATTTGTGCTTCCCCTATGGCAAATTACTATGGCATAAATGGGTTTCCTATTCATTGCTTCATATGTAAAATCTAACTGATTTTGGTTATCAGAGCAATGAGCAAAGCAGAACTAAACACACACACACACACACACACACACACACACAAATACACACCCCTCGCCTCACCTGCAGGCTTCCTAAGTTCTATTAGACATATTGTTTAATCAGTTTTTATCTTGTTGTTCCTCCCAAAAGAGCCCAGAGTAGAAAACATATTAGTATCATTTAAAGCATGCTAACAACACCTAAAAACTATCACATTCTCTCAGCTAATGATATGGACATAAATGGAAGTTGTCTCCACCCAGCTTTTCAGTGACCTCTGTTTTTAGCCCCAACTCACCCTCACCCCCAGAAGCTTTCTGAAGTGTTTGGGGAGATGCCAAAGGAGGAAAGAGTCATCTTCTGGCAATCCCCTTCTAGTGGAACTTCTTGGGATCCAAGGCAACAATTGGTGTGAAACGCTTTAAATCAACAGTATTTCTGAATCAAGAGTTTCTTTGTTAATAGAAAAGAAAAATAGTTCTGGCAAACAAACATCTCTCTCCCACCCTTTCTTTAAATCACAGCTGGTGTTATAGGCATGCCACAGAATGCAACACAAGGTGTTGATCAGATAATACAACTATTAGTTCATAAAATCTTCACCTGGATGAAGAGCAAGACCTGATCACCTCCTAAATATAGAAGGCTAACTAAAGATGCTTCTGTCCAGCTCTTGCCATTACACACTTAGTTATACATTGAAGTTGCCTACTTAAAATCAGCAGAACAGATGTACAACTCCAACCAGTAAAACACTGTAAGCTACACATTGTTGGCTTTGACCAGTTATTGACAGAAGGAATTGCTACAGTTTTTAGATAACAGCAATGTGCAAGATTAGTTGTCCATGCTTACTTTCATCTTGCAGTCAAGAACATGTACATTATCAACCCATGTTAATCAAATCTGCTAACTAGGTGAAAGAATTAGGAGTAACTATTAGTATTATTAAAATCTGTATACTGCCTTTGAGCTGTAGATCCCAGAGTGGTTCACAACATAAAATCACAATATGAAAACCACAAAACACATAGTAAAAAGTAAGAACAAACTAATAATCTCCTCTCCCACAACACATTTAAAAGAGCATCAGATGTTAATCAGCCAAAGGCCTGATTGAAGAGGAATGTTTCACCTAGCAGCTGAAGGTGTATAATGAAGGCACCAGGTGAACTTCCCTGGGGAGAGCATTCCACAAGCAGGGAATAACAGCAGAAAAGGCCCGTTCTCGTATTGCCACCCTCAAGACCTCTCATGGAGGCACACAATAAGGGCCTCAGAGGATGACCTCAGGGTTCGGGTAGGTTCATATGGAAAGAGGTGGTCCTTGAAGTATTGCAGTCCTGAGCCATTTAAGGTTTTATAGGTCAAAACCAGCACTTGAAATTGGGCCCAGAAACTAATTGGCAGCCAGTGCAGTCGGGCCAGGATTGGTATAATATGCTCAAACTGTCTTTCTCCAGTAAGCAACCTGGCTGCCGAATTCTGCACCAGCTGAAGTTTCTGAACCATCTTCAGAGGGAGCTCTGTGTACAACGTGTTGCTGTAATTTAACCTAGAGATTACAAGAGCATAGACAGCAGTAGTTAGGCAATCCCTGTGCAAGTAGGGGCACAGCTGAACCACCAGTCAAAGCTGATGGAAGGCACTTCACACCACTAAGGCCACCTGAGCCTCAAGTCACAGAAATGCAACCACAAGTACCAAGCTATGTACCCGGTCGCTCAGAGGGAGTGTAACCCCATCAAGAGCAGGCAACCTCCCATCCATCCTGTTTAGGACAGACCACTAACAATTCCTCAGTCTTATCTGATCTAGTCCATTACAGAGGCAAGACAATGGTCCAGCACATCCACTGCCACACCTGCAGATGTAAAGGAACAGAACTGTGTGTCATCAGCATATTGCTGACAACATACTCTGAAGCTCTAGAGGACCCCACTTAGTAGTTCCAAATATATGTGAAAATACACTGAAGGCTCCATGGGGCTGAAAAATACTCCCCAAGCATCATCCCCTGGAAATGTCCACCCAAGTAGGACTGGAACCACAGCAAAGTGGTGCCACCCACCCACTATTAGGACTGCAAGCGTTAATCAATGAACTGGTAAATTTGACAATAAATAAATGGGAGTCTAGAAAGTCATACCTGAGTCCTGTGGATGTAGACGTCCTTTATCCTTCTTACCTCATTCAAGTTTACTAAAAATCACACAACTAAGAGATGACTTTTCTTTCCAGTTTGTAGTCAGAGCCAACAGTTTGCCATACACTGTGGAAGCTATTACAACTTTTGCTCAACCACAGGCAACAGAAGAACTCAACTGACACCATATACAGCAATACAGTACTGAAGTATCTTGACCTTTTTATTTTTTTGATCCATTATGACTCTCATGCCATATTCTAAACCAAAAGAAAGCAGACAACCAAAGCCCCCTCATACATACAAATAAACCGCCACCGTGCCACCAATCACCAAACTTTCAGTATTATACTTGGCCACTGACCGGTTGCTTCGATATAGTTTCAAAACTCTGATAAAAGCCAGGTTCTCAGAACATAAATGGTTTCATTTAGGCCCACACTGGCAACAGCAAATATTAAACATTGCTGAAATTGTGAAAACATACTTCTTTTTGTCTGGTTGAGGGTGAAAAAGAATCACCAATAGAAATTAGCAGTATAGCATTTTAAAATAATAGTAATACGTAAGAAAACTGTGCTCTCTGTAAGATGTATTTGAAGTATAATATGCATAGTGCTCATAGAGCAGTGGTGTCCAAACTTTTTTCAAAGAGGACCAGATTTGATGAAGTGAAGGGCCGTGAGGGCTGACCAAAGTTACAGTGGACACTCGGGGTTACGAACGTAACCCGAAGCGTTCGCAACCTGCAGCGGCACATCTGCGCATGCGCGGGTTGTGATTCAGCGCTTCTGTGCATAGTGCAATTTAGCGCTTCTGCGCATGCACGACCACTGAAACCCAGAAGTAGCCTGTTCTGGTACTTCCAGGTTTTGGTGGGTCCGTAACGCGAAAAAACGGAACCTGAAGAGCGTCTGTAACCCGAGGTATGACTGTATTGACCTTTTTTGAGGATTGAAGTTGTTGAGCATTTTTTAGGATTTTGAGTTTTTGAGCTTTTTTTATGGTTGATCTTGTTGAGCTTTTTCAGGGTTTTACCCCAGAAAATAAACTGAATTAAACTGATCAGTGGGCCAGATTAGGCCCCCAAAACAGACTTTGGACATACCTGGCACAGAGGCTACTTAAAATAAAATGGGGATGAAAATTATATAGTTATTCACTGCCAAGTTCATATTGTATTGTTAACCAGAAAGTGTAATCCTATCTACCATGCAGTTAAATCTAATAAATAAAGAAATACCAGCTCCTTCAAAGGAGAGAAGGTGGTAACCAATTTAGTCATTGTAATAGAACTTCCCTTCACTCTCAAACATAACCAAGAGAACATAACGTTAACTGGTTAGATCCAAAGTTTTCATGCCATATATACAGAGTTGGCTCTTCAGCTAGCCCATAGTAGCATGTGTGGTGAGGTCAATATCCCCTCCAAACACTAGTACTGCCACTGATTACTTGGACTGGGCTTAGTAGCAGGGATGTCAGGGCCTCATGGGCACATCAGTGGGAGTGTCAGTTTAGGCCTCAACCTTGCTATCACTTTATCCCATCTATTATCAATAAATTATGACACTCCCTTCACCAGACAATCCTAGGATGGGCTAAAATTAAAAATTCAGAATTAAAAACTGTTAAAACAAATAGTCACAAGAATATGGTGGTTGCTAAAAACACATTTTTCATGTGTCAAATGCCTAAGAAGTGCATCTTCAGACTGCGCCCAAAGCTGTAGTGTGAAGGTGCCAGATGTACCACTGCAGGGAGGGAATTCCACAATTTAGGGGCTGCCACAGAGAATGCCCTCTCCAAGGCCATCTTCACCCCCCCCCCCGATATACACAAACAAACAAATACAAACTTCTGAGGACAGCAGAACTACCAGAAGGGCTTCCTCCAAGGCGGTGTGTAGGAAAGGAAGCAGCCTTTCAAATATTTGGGGCCTAAATTGTTTAGGGCTTTAAGCACTTTAAATATGTGTGTGACCACCTTGAATTAATCCCAGAAACAAACTGGGAGTCAATGATAGGCAGCAGCAATGGTGGTGGCAGGAGGGTGGCTCCCTGGTTCCACCCCATGCTGCTAAGACAATTACTACTTACTTGCATCCTGATTCTAAAGTTAGAAAACCCAGATTCCCTCAAAGCCAAAATATTTTTGGAGACACAATAAATTCAGCTTCACGTATGAAATTTTATTTATCTACAATACTGGCATTCTGCTCATTCAGTGCATTGATTGGCAACACTCAAGAGCAATTTTACGAAGTTTCTTTTTAAAAAAAAATCTTACCAAAAACCCCATCTTCTCCTACATCCCAACCAGACACCAAAACATGAATAATAACCTCTCCATGATCTTAGGGAATAAACATAATGGCACAGAAGGGAAAAGCCCTGTGTTCCATGGGCTGCACCATTTAGGGTTTTAAACTTAGAATCATAGCATTGTAGAGTTGGAATGGACCCTGTGGAGCATCTAGTCCAGCCCCTGCAATGCAGGGGCAACTAATTTGAGTGCTCTAATATCTTCTTTTGGAGCAACTTAAGTTGTTTTTCCCATGACATTCCATTGTATGTAACAGACCTTGCACACATTTCTCTTGAAACAGAAGCCCCTTGTGTTTTCAGTGTTCCTCAGTGCTTAGCTCTGGAGCATACAGAACAATTCCAACTCATTGGTGTTCTTCTCCAGAGTGACCTAGGAGCCGATCCTCAGTGGCTGACTCACCTCCTTTCTTTCCCTATGGCTCCAATCAGCACAAAGGGTGAGGAGACTCCTCCTCAGTGGCTAAAAAGCTCCTCTTTCATACTGATTCAAGAGCTCTATGAAGCGGAAGACAGAGACTCCACTGCAGAGATAACAACAGATATTCAACACCACCACCAACCAAAATCCCTGGACCACAACAACTTAATTACCAACACTTTGAATTGTGTGTAGAAATGGACTGAAAACAACTGCAGCTGTTTTAAGATAAGCATGCATGAGCACTTAGTAGCATCCTTACTTCTCATTATGGATCAATTTAAATGTCAAGAGCAAAGAAAGCCCTGTGTAGAGCACAGTGCAATAACTTAAACTGGAAGCAACTAAGAAATTTGTCGCCATGCCCAGGTCATTGATGTGAACATCCTGCAAGTTTATCTGGCAAAGTGCTATATAGCACTCTCTTTTTTACTTATTATATTACTATTCCATCCTTTTATTCAAGAAGCTTAGTCACTGAAGCTGCAATTCTATGCCCATTTACCAGGGAATAGTTAAGTTACTGGAACGCACTTCCAAGTACACATGTACAGTATTGTTTTTTCTATTTATATGCCTCGCTGTATATATTATACTCAAATTAGTTCAATGCAAAACATTGTCTCACTTTATCTTCACAGTAATTCAGTTGAGTAGCTTGCCCAAAGGCATCAGGTGAGCTTCATACTTGAGGCAAAGATTTGAACAGAGAACTCACTGGCCTACAATTCACCCACTATAACAAAGACAGTTATGAGACAACATTTAACAAAATGTATGCATGTATCATTAAAACAAGCAGATGGCCTTCCAATTCATTCAGTTATCCAATACTTCTATTCCTCTCAAGATTCTTTTACATGGACAATAATGGTGTAATAATAAATATTATTATTATATATTATTACATTCCATGAAAACGTTTAAAATTTAAAGCTGGAGTTTAAAAAAAACTAGTGAAAAGGTTTTCTTCCCTCTCTCAACTGTTACAAAAGCAGTTTGATTTCATAATGTAAAGGGGTGTTTTTTAACTGCTCTTCTGAATGTAAACATTTCAATTTCACTAAGCAAACTGGAAGGACAGTCTCAGGGCTCAGAAGTGTCCAGAGTAGCTTTCTTGTGTGGGAACAAACAGCTGCGGCAAACTGGCCCTGCATCTTGCAAGGTGGGTAAAAACTATTTTAGGCACAATTTGTAGTTCAGTTACATAATCTTAACGGACAATCTGTGGGCAGGGCTTACCAAAGTTGCCAATATTTCTGTAACAGGCAAGCTAGCTTGTTATGTAATAAGCACAATGTACAGGCTTGGAACTGGAAAAAATTATTCAAGTATTTGGCACCAACTTATGAAGTGTAGCTGAATGGAATTTATGTTTAAAAGGCTCTCCAACCAATGAAATCAAGCAGCAGCCATTGTTTAGTTGGGAGTATTCTGCACTTTACAATGCTGGCTGCTGTTAAAAGGGCAATCCACATGTAAACAGTGCAAAAAAGGGGAAAATACACAGATACACCAACATGTTGCCTCTGTTTATTGACGATAACCTGCTTCACCAGCTGCATTTGGTATATACCTAGATACCAAGGCAGCTGCTGAAATTTCATGGGGGCACACCACACTTTCAAAGCACTGGCCTTCACCTGCCAAGTATGGTTTGCATTTGCCAACAGTCTCTCATTACAACTTTCAACATGTTTTGGAGAACGGTCTGATGGCAGCTCTTAATTTTAAACGAGCGAAAAGGCTGCATGGGCGGACCATACGGATTCACTTCTCTCTAAGTTGCCAGTTCGGGGGGGGGGGGGACCGACAAAGGCGAAAGGGGCGTGGCACCTATTCCTCAGAGCACCGCTAGTTGCATTGTCTTCCCTTTCCCCCGAAAATAACATTTTTGCTCTGATCCACCCAAAACGGTCTGCAACAAGCTTCAGAAAATAAAAAAGCGAGGCAGCCTCTAACGCCTGTTTCACGGAGTACATACTACGCGGGGTGGTCGGCCAAGGGAGCCGCCCGGAGATCTATCGAGCGCCCACGTGCTCAGACGGAAGCGAGCCAAGCGGCGGCAGCGACTGAATGGAAACTCCCCGGCAGAGCCGACACGCCGGTGGGGCAGGCTAGCCTCTCCCCCCCCCCAAGCCCCGCACTCGCCACTGAGCCTCCGGATCCCCCCCCCGCAAGTGTCCTCCGCCCGTCCTTCCCCCTCCTCTCACCTTCGGCGTGTGCGGGGTGTCGAAGAGGCGCAGTTTGCGGAAAGTCTTGTGGGGCGGGGTGTCGGGATACTCGGGCAGCGCAGAAACGGGACCCTGGTGGCCCCGGCACGGCAGCACCCGGGAGCGCGGCGGCGACGGTCGGCCGCAGCAGCGCCGGGGTCCTTTCAGCGGCGGCGAGCCAGCCATGAAGTAGGCTCCGGGCGATTTCACGGGGGACGAGGAGCCGAAGCCCTCCTCTTCCCACGAGTCTCCCTCGTCGCCCGGCAGCGCGGGAGGCGCCAGTTCCATCGCCACCTCCTCGGGCGAGCGCGGCGGCGGCGGCTCCCTGCGCCGAGCCGGGGTATGGCTCACGGAAAGCGGGGAGTCGGCCTCCTGGAAAGCCGAGTCTTCCCCGGTGCTGTTGCCGCTGCCGCCTTCCTCCTCCTCCTCTTCGTAGCAGTCTTCCTCCTCCTCCTCTTCCTCCTCGCAGTCGCTCCCGCCGCCCGAAAAAAGCAGCTTCTGCCGGATCGGGGCCGCTGCCCGACGCGCCGCCAGGCGCCGCGGCCCCGCGACCGGCTGCTGTTGCGGCTGCAGACTCAGGAAACTCATGGCCGAGATCCGCGGGAGGCCTTCCCTTGTTCAGACGGGACGCTGACAGGAGTAAACCACGCCTCCCTCCTCCTCCCTGCGCTGAAATGCCCGTTCACACGACGCGCGACCCGTGCCTCGCCTGCGCGCTCCTCCACGAAGCTCTGGCTCTTGCCACAGCAGCAGCACACTCGCCCGTTCGGACTCCGCGGCTTTCCCGCGACCGTTAGTCACGTGCCAGGTCACGCCAGCCAATCACGCACGCCCCCTTCGTTTGAAAACATGGGAGGCGGGAGGCGGGGCTGTGCGTGGTGGCGTCAGACGGCAATTTGGCGCGAATTCGGGGTTGGGAGCAGGAGGGGCGGGCGTATTCTAATACCGTTCTTATTCTGGAGCGGCTCGAGCTCTGGGGGGACGTTAGCTGCGCGTGCAGCAGGGCCAGCGTTTGAACTGGAGCTCGTGCAAGTCCAGAGGAGGAGGAGGAGGGGCAGCAAGGGGACTTCCCCATGGTGGGGATGGAGTCAGGAGGGGCAGCAGCGCCGGCCCGTGCGCGACGTGACTCACTCTGACTCTGCAATTCTCGCCGTCTGCATTTGGCCGAAACTGGCTTGCTGCTGATGTAACTGTGTGTCAGCAACAGCCACCCGCTGGAGGGTCCCTTTTACCCATGGCCTGATAAACTGGTTTAGCAGTGAGCCCGAGGCTGTGATCTATAAATCATCCTGACAGTTTAAAGGCTGCAATTCTAGCCAGGGGACACCTCCAATGCGCTTTCGAGAAGCGGCGCGCGGCCCGGTCTAAATCGGTTTGGCCGCAGCTTCGCTGGGTCTGAATAACATGTGGCTCAATCGTCTGCTGCTCTTCAAAATTATCTGCTTGTGTACCCAAAGAGGAAGCACCGTGTGGTATAAAGAGGCTAGCTTTCTCCGGGCGTCGCAGCCTCGCTCACCGCAAAGCTCATTCAAGGCCCTCTGGGCAACTTTGCATCACTAAAAGCAAAATTGCTGGCGCCAACAGTTAAAAATATTCGGGGGGGGGGCCGCGGGTTAGCTGTGGTTACATTAGATTCCAGAGGCCCCCTGGTACATGTATCCTCCGAAGGAGGTTCTCCTCAGAGGCGAGCGTACGCGCTGGGATTTTTAAATGGCTTCCCCAGTTAAAAGGAAACAACTCGCAGCCACCAAGAGAAGCAGGAGCATCGCCCGGCCTGCGCAGACAAGAATTCCCTGCGGCCAAACACTTCCACTGTGAAGGGAGGAGCAGAGCCGCCTCTCTCTCCCAGCAGCAGGGTGGTGGTGGTTGCGGTAGAGAAAGATGGCCTTTGAGGAGGAAGAAATAAAAAGGAGACTGGCTTTTCTTCGAAAAGGAGCAGGGCATTTGAGTGTGAATTTCATCAAGCGTGTCATCTTTCAGGACACGTTAAAGAGAGGGAAAGAGAAACTACCGGTACTTGCAACACTGTCTTTTGATGACTCCGGTGTCTTCTCCAAAGACACGCCCAAATGGGTTTAAATCTAAACATGGCTAATTTCCAAAAGGAGCACCTCACCCTTGCTGCAATCCCAGCTGAATAATTAGACACCTAATGTATATGCCTCGTACCTACTGCTATTTTTCTATAAATGGTGGAACTCGCCACGAACACCTCTCTTGTTCTCTTATAATAGCAATGGCACCCGCCTGAGAGGTGCCCAAACTGAGTTTTGACTGAAAAAAGCCCTGCTCCTACCACTGAATCACACTTCAGCATCTTGGGCTTCAGCCCTAGGCACATTTAGCAGAGAGTAGGCCCCAACGCACAGCCACAAAGTATTTTATAATCACACAAGGACCACGGTTGAAATCCCCATTCAGCCAGGAAACATGGTCACTGTGTGACAAGTTACCATCTCTCAGCCTAAACAGCCTCACAGGGTTGTTTATATGGTAGGAAACAACTATAATTATCATGTTAACCTTGTCGGAAACATGAGATTTAAAAGCGGGTGGTGGTGTAGTCTAAACCACTGAGCCTCTTGGATTTGCTGATTAGGTTGGCAGTTTGAATCTGTGCGACTGGGTGAGCTCCCATTGCTCTGTCCCAGCTTCTGCCAACCTAGCAGTTCGAAAGCACACTGGTGCAAGTAGATAAATAGGTACTGCTGCAGCGGTAAGGTAAATACCGTTTCCATGCTTCTGTCATGGTGTTCTGTTGCACCAGAAGCAGTTTAGTCAGGCTGGGCGCAAGACCTGGAAAGCTGTCTGTGGACAAACACTGGCAAAAGTCTGTTGCCTTCTTGACTCCTTGTTCTCAACCAATATATAGGAATGATGTGCAGCCTACACATGCTTCCTCAGGCATAAGTCCCATAGAGTTCAATACAGGCTTGCTCCAAGTATATATGCATTGTGGCTTTATAGAAAGCCAATACATGCACAGTGTAATAATTGTTCTGCCCTCTTTTTGATCCTTTCTAATGTCTCTATCAGTAGGTACTGCACTATTTGTTTATGGAAGACAATCTTACTTGGCTACGAGTGATTGCCAAAGAAGAAGAAGAATTTTAAGACAGCACCTGCACATAATGGTTATGGGCTGTTCATATTTTGTAGGCTTCATCTATAAGAAACATCAACTTGCTTACCGGTATATTAAAATAGGTGGGAGACTGGATGGAGAGCTGGCAGTGAGTGAGGGATGTGAGTCAACCTGGCTTTTGAGTGTGAGGTGAAATGTTGAGGAGCTCCGGTTGTGGTGAGAGTATGAATGCAACTCACAAATGTGATTGGTGGGTATTTGGTGATTGTGCCATTTCAAATGTAACATTCTGCTTGGAGCACTAACCAACCTTGTTTCACAAACAGCTTGTGAACAAACAAAAAAGGGCACATTACACTAAACATTACAGATAGATACAAGTAATGTTATGACTGATAAGCTCTCATGGGCTAATGTGACCTTGGTGCTCTTAATTATCTGTTCGTTATCCTGGTCAGTCTTTGCTGAATTGATAGCAATGTTTGCACCTGCCTTTTATTTAACCAAAGCTAATCATTTCAGCAATGTTGTGTATCCAACAACTACTCTCCTAACTTGAGGAAACTGTAACGATGCATTTAGGACCTTTAGTCTGGAAAAACATCCAGGACTAGGAATGGAAGAATCTGACATTTTTTGTTCTTTCAATTTCTCATTCCTTCCATCTTAAATTAAGTTCTCCACATTTCTGCAGCAATCTGCAGATTAAAAAAACAACAACCATCATTAAAATTTGTCAGCATTTTACTGTGAATTCCACTCTTGGTGTCACTCCTGGTTTGGAAAGCACTGGGTTTCATACATCTAAAAACACTACTGGCCTTCCTCCTAACCATTAAAAAAGCAAGGAAGATGTGGCATCTCTTGGGTAGGCAATTTCAATTTGATGCCTATGCCACACAAACTTTATCCTCTGAACCAGTCCTGCTCTTTGGGAAATCATTTATCAGGCATAACTGAGTGAGATGCAAGTTTTTACACTCTACCTGCTATTTGGGGACAATGTTTGTTACACTGCAAATTCAATACAGCTTTGCAGTATTTGCAATTATAGCTCAGTTTGGTCAAGAGACCTTGGTTTCTTCTGAGTCTCCTACTACAACAGGCAATCCAATATGCCTACTCACCTTGCCAAGCTCTACCTTTGTCCTCTACAAATGGTTGCAATAAGGTGTTCAGACAAACATATATTCAGTGCAACACTGCTGGAAAGATACATTGGCAGATATTTAAACAGACACCCCCCCCCCTAGACTGGAGTTAAAATTGTTACTGATCCAGCAAAAGTTAGTGTTCAGGATCTATGGGATGGCTCTCAGATTAGACTGGAAATAACATGTAGGTGTCACGGGTTGCATTTTTTAAGTACAGAAAGTATTGGTTTAAAGTGCAGAGTTCTATTCTGTTGATTCAATAAGGTTCTGAAACTTTCTCTGTGATAGAAGCTGGAGGTTTCTAGCTGACAAGTCAAGTTTCTCTTCTGCCTGGTAAGCAAAAGGTTCCTAATGTTTGGGTTATTCCTTCAGAGAAGCTGAGTCAAGTTGATTCAAACTAGTCCTTTTATCTCTTTCTCCCAAGGTCATGCTTCCTATAATAATAGGCCTGAAGGAGGCTGGTTTGACTTTCTCTTTCCTTCTTGGTTCTCTCTACTTTGTTCCTGTGTGGTGATCTGTACATAGTATGCTGAAGTGCCTAAGTTTTTAGTCTTATTGTTAAGTTTAAGTTAAGGTTTTGCTGCAACTGGATTATTAATGACTATGCCAATCCTGAAGAGTTGGATTTGTCACTGTTATGCTATTTACCTTCAGTAAATAATTACTGGATGAAGCTGGTTGGTTGTGTATGGTTTATTTTTTGGAATCCTGCATTGTGCTTACTCTGCTAACTAACGTTGAGGTTTGCTCTGGATTGTTATGGAGCAAAACCACGACAGTAGGCATCCAATGTACTGATGCTGAAAGGCCGATAGGTGTAGGTTTTTTGGTACGTGTGGTATGGAACTGCCTGATGACAGTCCTCTCATCAGATTTGCATTTAACTCAGTTTACAAATATCCACATACTGTAGAACTATACTCCTGCTGCCTTAGACATGCCAGATGGAAATAATGTTGGCCATTATGAAAGCTCTAGAGTCAGACTTGTCTTGCAGCTCTGGAAAGTACATCAGTGGACTAGTAACTTGACAGCTGCATTCACTTTTGAATGTACAGTATGACTTATCACAGACAGCAATACATGGATATTAATTTGGTCAATCTGTCCAGATACATGACAAAATAAAGGAAAATACCCTCTTTCTTCTTTCATTAGTCAGTGTTTTTCCTGCTTACGCAACAACAAAAGATAATAAAAATTACTAAATACAGGTATATTTTAAATACCACCAAGTTGTAAATTCAACACTTTTCCCAGATATGAATAGGATTGCACAGTAAACTACTTACAGCAAATTCTCTGCCTTTACTCAGCAAGACAATCTTATTGAATTCAATTTGCCTTATTACAGGTAAGAATATATGACTGCAGCTGTAGTGTTCCATTTTGCTGCTTAAAGATTATTTTTATTTTTCTCAGACATCACAGCCTTCAATCCCTGACATCCTTACCACTGGCAAAATTGTCTCTTAAAATTTAGTATTTGCTCCTGTGGGTGCGTGTTCATGTGCAACAGCCCATAATCTTACAAAGTCAATATTGATATTCTCCCAACAGGAGGGAATGCTGACCTTTAACGATAACAAAGGCTATGGTTATAATCTTTTGACTTCTTTCTCAGCACTATATTGATTATAGTGCTTTCCCATATAAACATTACACAGATCCTAGAGGACTTTGTAAGGAACCTAGAAAAATCACAGATAATGTAAGTAATCTTCATTGACTACTCACATATTTCTTCTCAGCAGAACTGTAGCAAGAGAAGTCTAGATTACTCCATGCTCTAGAGAGTCCCATTTGTATCTCCTTGCCCTAAATTATTATTGTAGAGGCAGAGATCTCTTTGGAACATTCATACCCCCAAAGAACACTTGTCACATAGTCAGCAGTGTGATGTTTACACAACCAGAACCACAACAGTCACATTCCTTTGGGAGTAATCTGGGTTTTTTTGGGGGGGGGGGCTGTTGTCAGTTGTATACTACTATGCTCTTATCTTGGTCTCTGGCACCACCCAAATTAAGGATTTCTTTTGGGGAGGGACCATAGCACAGTGATACAGCACATGTCAAGGTTCAATCTCTTGGCTCTCCAGTTGAAAAGGATCAGGTAGGTGATGGGATAAACCTCTGCCCGAGACCCTGAAGAGCAACTACTTGTCAGAGTTCACAGAACTGGGACTGGGTTACATGGACTAATAGAGCTTTTATAAGGCAGCTTTATGTACTATTCTGCCTTCAGTGAATTTTATGTATGTCCAGCTTGTTGCCCTTAATAAGCCTCCCAGCAATGGATATCTACAATCTGAGAAGTCTAATTCATTCCAAACTAAACATGTGACATTACTACATGGGAGGAAGGCACCAAAGTAACTTTTGCTTTGCAAATTATATCACTAATAGGCATATAGTGGCATAGCCTGTATCTGGTCCTCCCCTGCTTCTTGGGATATTCCTGCTGCTTTATTACACTAATATTCTGCTAGTGCATTTTTACACTTGGCTTTTTTAAACAAAGTGGACCCAAAGTGTGCTGCCTAAGGGAACTAGCAATAGATCTTTCCTTCCTACTCTGCCATTGTCTAGTAAAACTGCCCACTAATCTTGTGTATTGACTGAGCAACTCACACAATCAGGTACTTGATCAGTGACATGTAAGTTAATTCTCAGATGGTTTGAAAAGTATACACATCTTATGAAAGACAGCAGGAGGTAGAAGGGCTTGCACCTTTGGATATCCTGCTCCAGAAACAATTGTTTGCAAAATGTAGTACATAACCAGTAATTGCTCCACCATAGCTGTTATATCTTACTTACACCACATTTAAAGTTTAAACAGAAGTTTGGACTAGTTAATTCTGGCAGTAAAGAAAGAACTATTTCATGCTGTTATTTTAATTAGGTTAGTACATAATCTTGTTACACTTCTATCGTAAGTGGAATTTGATTTACAGAACAAGTGGGATCTGCAAAAAAATGTTGCAGTGTAGAGTGCTCCTGTTCAGGTTACCAGTCAGCTGTTCCCATAATAATCCCTCCCATCCTTGTTTTATGTTTCACTCCCCAATAATCAGTCAGAAGTCTGTGGCCACAGAGCATGCTTTCTTCACTGAGCTGTTTTGATTATTTACCACCAAAGTGTTTATTCCTTAAATACTTTTATAAACCTGCTGATACCTCTTCCTCCTGTGTGTGAATGGTGCCATTTTGGCAATATATAGATCCACATTTGGAGAACTGAGTTCAAAATTAGTAAACAGGATAATGATGATAGGGGAAAATGCAGAAACATTAGATTTACATCCCTTTAATACTGAACAACAAAGCTTCTCTTTGTACATAATCCAATCCAAATGTATTATAATTAGCACTTCCAGCATGAACAGTCTTTATTTACAATCTGTGAGTTGGGATGGGAAAGCTAAAGAAGATGAATCTTCAGATTGTGTATGAAACACACTTCAAAATGTATTATTTACAAAGGTCTCAAAATTCAGAACTCTTCTGTATGTGAGAAACATTTAAAATTGTTCCACTTCCAAATGATTTTTGAAATGATTACTGTTGTTACAGCTTAACCTCATGAAATCTTCAGCAATGCCTTCATTGTTTTTGAGTGACTTCAAAACTCATCCCAGTATTTCTATAGTAGCTGCTGCTTCCCTGTAATCTGGTTTGAAATCTGATGTAAGTATAAGCAAGAAAATTTAACATAAAATCCTAATTCTGTTGTCCTGGGCAGAGAAAGAGTCTAAGAGGTGGACATCATATATTCCCAAGGTTCATGTACAGAGACATTATACACATGAAATGTTCTTCACTCTTGCATAAGATGTGTGCAGAGTATTAGTAAGCAAGAATATGTCAAACTTTTTATAGATTTCAGCTGGCATGGACCTTTGTTGATTGAAAATAAAATGTAAATAAGTCTATTGTTCCTTTAGCCATATTAGGAGTTAATCATCCATTCCTGGTGTTTCACCTTGTTGTATTCTGGAAGCTATTCTAATGGCTTCTTCCAAAGATTGCTGCTCTCCAAGCTGAAATAAACAAAATGTTGTACTGAAATACATTTTCTGCTGCAAATTAAAAACATTTTTTTTAAAAAAACTATACTGTGTGAGCTAGTTTTCTGTGGGGAAGTAGTGCATGCAGCTAAATTGAGCAGGTTTTAACCTCTGCTCATCAGCTCAGCAGGATTCAATGTAAATCTCTCCCTGAAAAACAGGGCGGGGGTTGCAATGAAACCCCAGGCTAAAACAGATCCCCCCCCCCATTTTAGTGTGGTGCTTTGAAGTCCTGATTCTGGGACTTCAAAGTGCTAATTCATCTGACGTCACAATGATTTCATTGTGACATCAGGTGACTGACAGGCGGGCAGCCCCACCTACCAGTTAAATTTGGTTGGGAAGGCCAATCCTGATAAGGATCTGATGCAAAAAAGGTTCCCCGCCTCTGCCGTAGATTGTAAAGCATAGGGACAAAATAAATAAATCTGTATTAAAAATAACTATCTGAAGTTTATTCCATACTTACCTGCACTGCAATTTGTGTTCCATTGGATGTTGCCAGCAATGTAACAGGTCTAGAATCTGCAGTTACTAAATGATGCCCGTGTTGCTGATGTCCAATTTCTGGTGAAGCACTATGGAATGCTGCTAAATCTTGAGCCACAATGGCAACCTTTGAAATAAAAATACAAAATTTGCTAAACATTGGAATATAAAAAATGATTACTCCTTTAAATGCTCTCTTGCAAAGTGCCTCTCATTCTTAATATTCTTTAAGAAGTAGATCGGGCTTATCTGAAGAATTGTTTAAAAACCCCTGTATATGTGGCATGATTTAATCACACATGGACAAACTGAACAAGCTCCAGTTAAGCCTTGGGCTTGCACCCCACCCCCCTACCTTAAGGGTTGGGAGGTGGACTTCTGCTGAGTTTTGTTTCACTAATGCAATCCAGGCTTAGTGTTATGTTCAAACCAAGGATCCAGGTTTAAAATGAACTTTGGCTAGTTTAATGAAGTTGGCTTATAATGAGGCTGAGCATGCTTATTTGCTTGGGTTCATTCAAGTTTGTCCTTGTAATGCTAAGTAGCATTTCACGGAGTACTTAATACTTAGCAGAATTTTCATATATACAAATACATTCTTACATATATTTAGTAGCAATATTACCTGCTGTCCTTCAGTGCCCTCTGCTGTGACCATTGCAACGGAATGTGTTCCCGCAGAAGAAATAACTGCATCATGGGCAGGGACTGTGATTGTGGTGCCATCTTGTGTTACCATAGTGATAGTATTTCCAATGGCCTGCATGTCAGCCTGAGATATGTTAACCTTAAATAAAACATAATTGTTGAATTAAACGGAAAGAATTACATTTGAGTTACAGACCTTAATCATACAGTATTGTGCATTTTTAGCAAGCAACATGTTAACCTGTCCAGGTAGCATTGAAGATAAACACCACCAAGTTTAAACAAGCTAAGTAGAAGTTAAAGCATTAAAAAAAAAAAAAGAATTTAAGTTTCCATAGTAACTTTATTAAACTCTCTACATCATATTGTTCAATGACCATACTACATTTTTTCTATTACAATGGTCCCACGTTTATTTGTTTGCTCAACGTGTCAGATGTTAATTACAAAATTAAAATAAATCTTAATATCTTCTGCCCATTCATAAACTGTCCAAAGGTTAAAGAAGAGGAAAAATGGAAACTAGATTCTTGGGGCATTTTCTGCTGCATCAAAAACAATAGTTTTCTCCCCTTTTCTTCAGTCCTACGTGTTTGACTGGAGCCTGTCCTAATGGTAGAAGTCAATAAGTAGGGACAAAATTTATTTCTGCAACTTGTAACTACTAGAGATACTCACTCTAGCTTTCTGTCAAATAATGTCAGTAATTAGTGCTTACGATATTACTACGTCAGAATAAGTTGTATGCCTGATGCTTTAAAATAGAACCAACATAATACGAATTGAGTTTTATATAGGGATTTTAATATTTGTAAGCATAATCAAATGGGATGACTAAATGGAAACATCTCCTCCACTTTTGAAAGCCATTTTGTAGGGATAGCATTAATATGCTAAAATACTCACATGCTGAGTTCCATCTTGGGAAATAAGGGCCACTTGCTGACCCAGTCCTGTTTGAGTCACTGTAGCAACCTGTGCAGAAACGACATCCTCTCCTTCTACACCTGTTACATAAGTTATCTGAGATCCTTTGAGAACATCTTCACCTTGACCTGTTTAATTAAAAAAAAGATGGGCTTAGTTCATATGCAATCTACAGTAAAAATGAAATGAAGAATTATGCCAGCTATCCTTTGTGACTGGCATTCATATCATGTTTGCATAGGTTATAATCTAAAAGAAAGAAACACTGTGATTTAGCTTTAGTTAAATATTAATCTTTGCCTGCCAGCACTGGGATACAACTATCATCAATGGTCCATTCAAAGAATTATTCATTAACTAACACACTTTCCTTCCAAGGAAAAAGAGAGACTCCATTGTGTAACAAGTGATGAAACAGTGTAGTATCTAAAGAAATGTTTAACCCCAGCTAAATATAAACTTTCATCCTAATCTCCATTTTTGTATGTAGCAATTAGGAATCCCAGAGTTTACTTAAAAGGGCTTAAATTGTATTGTATCAGCAATAGGGCAAGGAGCCAGAGAAATGAAAGTCCCTTCCACCAGTCCAATGAGCTTGAAGACAAACTTTACAGACAAAACCAATTATGAAGCTAGACAGCAAGCAAGGGTGGCTCATAATGGAGAAAAAAGGGCAGCTTTAACTATGGTGGGAAGCAAGAGGTAGGCTCTACCCAAGATCTATATTGGGACCAATGTTATTTCATGTATTAATAAATTACCTGGAGTGAGGGTTGAGTAGTGAAATGGCTAAACTTTTAGATTAATCAAGACCAAAATTATTCCAAGTGGTGAAAACCCAAGCAGATTTAAGAACTCCAAAAACTCTCTCAAAACTGGATGAATTAGCAACTAAGTAACAATTTATGTTGCTAGCAAAGTAACAAACATCAAGACAACAAAAATATTGATGGGGCTGAACTGGCAGTGACTTTTCCTAAAATACATCTTCGGGTTGTGGTGGACAGCTCCATGTAAGCATTAGTTTAATATATTGAAGTAATGGCTAGTGTAACGAGGCAGAGCAGAATAGCCACACACCCATTACCGGATTTGAAATATGGGGCATTCAAAATAGAAGGCCACACAGGTCAAAGAATCTGCATCAAAAGGACAAAAAGAAACACAATATGATCTAAAACCAGTCTGGTGGAAGCAGGCACTGCTTTGGAAGTACTAAATTGTCTACCACTTCACACCTCACCCAACAAACAAACAAACAAACAAACAAACAAACAAACAAACCCTTGCTGCTAAGTACAAATAAAGTTTTTTTAACTTCCTTAGTTTCAGTGCTTTAGTTCCTCCTCTGGTTAAGATGTAAAGAAGTCTTTGAAAGGTGTAACAGTTTAGGTTGCTAATATGAGATATAGTCACATACCTGGAGGTGGCTCAAAAAATGCTTCTTGCTCCTCCTCTATTGGCTCTGTGTCATTGTGTGCTGTCCGCTTGTGCATCGCAAGCGTGGAAATCTGCTTGTAGGTTTTCCCACAGTGATTACAGTTATATGGTTTGGAATGTGTATGTACAACATGATGTTTATATAAACTGGAATACTCTGTAAAACGTTTATCACAGCCAGGGACTGTACATACATACGGCTTCTCCCCTAGAAAGAAAGATGACAAAAGTAGTGAGCAGAACAGAATATGCTGTTTTAGAAAGATTTTAGAAAATCTTGCAACTATCCTAACAATGGCATAAAAATGTGATATTTCATTAGAGAACCTCTAATTCAACAGAGAAATTAGGAACCACAGCACAGCTCAGTTTGATGATTATTTATACCAAATAAACTTTGGTGACTGTCTTTGTCTTTAGAATTTGTCTTTAGATTCAGTATGGAATGTGAAAAAGGCATTGACACGTAAAAGTTACTCTGCACTGCAACACTTTTAATTTTTGTATCACTGATACTTACCGTATTTTTCGCTCTATAGGACGCACCGGACAATAGGACGCACCTTGTTTTAGAGGGGGGGAAACAAGAAAAAAAATTTATCCCCCTCTCTGCCCAGCGCCCCTTCAGCGAAGCAGCAGGAGGCGCTGCGCAGAGAGGGGGAGAATTTTCCCCCTCTTGTTTCCCCCCTCTCAAACAAGGTGCCGTTCAGGTGCTGTTCAGACGCCTAAGGCAGAGGCGTGCCTACCCTCTCGCTCTCCAGGCTTCAGGTTCCTTCCTTTTTTTTTTTTAATGATATTTATTGAGAATTTTAAGATTACAAAAAAAACAAAGAAGAAAAGAAGAAGAAAAAACAGATAACAATTAAACAATACAAATCGATAAAAGTCAAAATCAAAAAGCAAAAGCAAAACACATAATACATCAAAATCAAAAAGCAGAAATAAACAAAAAAAATTTAAAAGCAGATCCAGTATTCTCAAATCTTTAACTGTCATTACCTTATTTCATCGACCTCCTCACACCTCCCTTTTTTGTATTCTAGTTGTTAATTATCTCAGCAAATCCTTTCCACTTTTCATAATATTCTGTCATTAAATTACCTTAATCTATTTTAGCCTTATCTTACCATAAAAAACCCTAGAACGTAAAACTTAAATCTTATTTATACCAATTTCTCATAACCATAGCATATTCTTACATAGTTCTTTTTAACATTTCTGCTAAAGACAAATAATTTCATTCCAACATTTTTCTAATACTCATTAATTTTACAAAACATTCCTAAATAGAATTTTTGAAACTTTCTTCCAATCTTCATCCAACGTCTCTTCCTCCTGGTCTCGGGTTTTGTCAGTCCTTTCTATCCCATCCATCTAGTTCATTAACCTGGTAACCTTATGTCCGAGGCCCTTAAGTCTCTTCCACGTCCCTTCCGCAGATCTTCTTCATATTTATACCTGTACTTTACTTTGTCTTCTGCTCCTTTCACTCGTGGAGACTCCAGCTTGACAATATTTTTGTCCCTTCTCGACAGATCAGCCCCTTTTCCATAGTCCACACTGAACTCCATGTGGTATTTAAAAGCATGTTTCAAGGTCCCTCCAAGGTTGAGGACCCCCACAACTCCAAACTCCTCCCGGCCCAACGCCAGATTTGAAAATTCAAAACATCCCTGCATAGGGGGGTCTATCCAGCCCCCCATCTCCAAGCCGAACAAGACTCTATCTCTCCAAATCTGGCTTTTTCCAGGTTCATTCGTCAGATCCAACAACTCGTGTTCCTGCTGGGCCACAGTTCCCTCCATCTCTGCCTCCCAAGGTCCAGCCACAACCTCCTCCCTCATCTGATCTGTCAGAGCACACTCCTGAATTGATTCCTGAGTGGGTTCTATATAGATACCCACTACCTGTCCAAAATTTCTGATCGCATTAGTCATCAAATCCGTCTTCTCATGTAACTGTTCCAATAAAGCACTTGTTTTGCAGAAAGCACGCACCAGAGCCTCCGAGTACATTGTTGTGCAAGGTCAAAGTCTGATCCCACGATCTTAATCTATTGCAGCTGCAAAGCTCCCCAGTTCAGATTAATAACAGTTTCACAAGCTCCCTCTAGGGGAAGAACTTCTATTTGTATCCATCTCTCTCTCTTTTTTTTTTAAAAGCAGATCTAACAACAAAGTTTCCTTTTTCAGATATTTTGTCAATATTTTGTTCCTTTTAACTGCGAAGGAGAACAATGGAATCACTATGTTTCTCTTCTTTTTAACTATCTGTCAAAAACGTTTGTCTATAGTCAATGAACTTCCCGAAAACGTCTGTCCTGACACCCCGCTCCCAGGTTCAAGACGGTGGAAAATTGCTTGTCTTTACACTCTCTTCTGCAGGTTTAAACAGTCCAGAAAAATTCCCCCCTCTTCTCCTGCTTCCCAAGGGGTTCAGTAATTTTAAATGATGAAAGTTGATCCTTTGCAAACGGTTTTCTAAACTCTAGCTTGCCATGTCTTTGCTTTAATCTTTCTACAAAAGCGGAAGGCTGACTTCCTGTTTAGACCTTCCCGCTTCAGTGCCAAATTAAAAGGAATTTCTTAGTCCAATTTTCCGTTCTACTCACGGGTCATTGTTTAGAGTCCAATTGTCCAAATTTAACCTACTCACGGGTAGTTGTTTTTGTAGCCAGATTGTCACAGGAAAAAGGTAGCGCTCTCCGGTAACGGCTGTGCGGCTTCGCTCCACAGAAGAAGCAGTTGACTCTCAGCACCGCGCCGCTTGCCCTGCTTCGTTCCGGAGCCCGTAATTGGGTTCCTTTACAAATTGGGGGGGCGTGAAAGGTGCCCGCCGAGTCCCACGGTCACAGGCTTCACCCGCCTGTGATTTTTTAAAGGGTCCCCGCTTCGCCGTAGCGGAACAGACCCGATTTCCGTAGAGCCAGTCCCTCCGGATCAGAGGGAGTCCGTCATTACCGATGGCGCCACCCCGGAAGTCAGGCTTCAGGTTCCTTTCGACCTGCTCTTTGGGGCTGGCAGGGGGAAGCCCACCACCAGCCCCAAAGAGCAGGTCGGGGAGCGGGGAAAGGTGCGTAGCGGAGAGGCTCCTGCCATAGTCGCGCGTCACCTCTCCAGCTGGGAGAGGATCGCGGGGCTATGGCTTCTTTAGCCCCGTGCTCGCTCTCCCAGCTGGAGAGGTGGCGCGCAGCGGAGAGGCTCCTGCCATAGCCGTGCGTCACCTCTCCAGCTGGGAGAGGGTCGCGGGGTGCTGCTTTAGCCCCGCGCGCGCTCTCCCGGCTGGAGAGGTGACGAGGGGCAATAGAGGCTCCTGCCATAGCCGCCCGTCACCTCTCCAGCCGGGAGAGGGTCGCGGGGGGCTTCTTTAGCCCCGTGACCCTCTCCCAGCTGGAGAGGTGAGGCGCAGCTATAGAGGCTCCTGCCATAGCCGCCCGTCACCTCTCCAGCCAGGAGAGGGTCGCGGGGCTATGGCTTCTTCGCTCCATAGGACGCACACACATTTCCCCTTCATTTTTGAAGAGGAAAAAGTGCGTCCTATAGAGCGAAAAATACGGTATATTAAAAATGACAGTGGTCCAAATGCTTTTGCATATGGGAACAGGAAGTAGTTCCTATACTTGCAATCTGTATGTTGGTATTCTGGCAAATCTTTCTCCCTCTACTGGAAATATTATATTCATATTTATTAGACGGTGCAGCCAAAGATTTGGCAGGGTATTTCAAATCAAAATTTGAACTTCTGCCTCTTACCATTTTCATTTCAAGGATTGTCACTTCTATCACTTCTATTTCCAACCCCTTGCAGACTTCTAATTCTGCTATTTTCTCTAGAGCAGACAGCCTCGGTCCAGTATACCTGAAGGAGCGTCTCCATCCCCATTGTTCCGCCCGGACACTGAGGTCCAGCGCTGAGGGCCTTCTGGCGGTTCCCTCGCTGCGAGAAGCCAAGTTACAGGGAACCAGGCAGAGGGCCTTCTCGGTAGTGGCACCCGCCCTGTGGAACGCCCTCCCACCAGATGTCAAAGAGAAAACAACTACCAGACTTTTAGAAGACATCTGAAGGCAGCCCTGTTTAGGGAAGCTTTTAATGTTTAATAGACTATTGTATTTTAATATTCTGTTGGAAGCCGCCCAGAGTGGCTGGCGAAACCCAGCCAGATGGGCAGGGTATAAATAATAAATTTATTATCATCATCATCATCTTCTAACCTTGCTTTCCTACACTCTGGCTACTCTGTCTCTTCTTTCCTAACCTTCTGTTTGCCTTACCACACTACAGGATCAGAAAAGGACAGCCAGTGGCAAACAGCACCCCTTAAATCACAGTAACTCAGCTAATGGCAGCCGGAAGCAGCTTTCTTACAGCCCCGCCCCTTCTATACAATCAGGCAGCTGGACTATTCATTATCAGAGATGCTTTCTCTATTACAAAATATCCTTAGCACATGACAATGCATCTAATTGCCAAACACTGTTCTGTTTATTAGATCTGCAAGTCTGTTATATGGGATGTGTGCACAATTTAAAATGTTATTGTTCCTTTAACTGAAAAGGACACACACACAAAATAACCTCTGTCTCTACTGCCACCCCCACTCACAATATTTGAGAAATATAAAGATTATTGAATGCCAAATATGTAAAAGAATGTACTTGAGCTATGGAATTAGAAGAACAATTGTGGGCTCATCATAACAAGAAATGGGACCAAACTACTTGCTATGTTAATCATACAATTTTAAAAGTATGTTTGGTCTCCCTCCTCTCTATTGACATGTGGGAAGGAGGGTTATTTTTCAGTAAACAGTAGGGTTGTGTGCCAGCTCTGGACAAATCCCAGATCCCAAACTGAATCAGGCCAATCAAGGGCTTGTCCCAAGTTGGTTTAGACAGCTATGAAAAGGGGTGGTGGTGGTGGTTGGGTGACTGCATGTTTCACCAGGGTTTTAAACGCGGTTGGTGGTGAAAAGGAGACAAAGGCAGAGACTCTGGTCTGTCCTTCTACCCCTATCTCCTTATTCTAAACACATGTTTATACAGGGATTTTTGTATTTTTAAAACTAATTAAACTCAGGGCTATACAAGCCCCTCTCCTGAATTCGGTTTGGGACCTGGTTCAGGGCTGCCCTATGTCAGATCAGGTCTAATCCAAGGTGCCAAACTATGTCATTAACTGGATTGGGGTGAGGCGAAAACCGTGCCTTTGGAGAAAACAGCAACTTTGAAGATTTTTGTTGGGAAACCAGTAGGGGGAGCAAAGGATGAAAGCCCCATTCCCACCTGTGTGGCTGAGTTTTCTCAAGAAACGAAGTGGCCAGTGCTAAAGAAACTTTTGAAACTGTCTGCTTAACATTACATGCAATTTCAACCTATGTGAATTCTATTGTTTATAAAATTTCTCGCCTGTCCTTCGCTATAATGTTCCAGGATGCGTTACAATATAATCATACAATTAAAACAGTTTATACAATCAAAAATATTCCAAGCAAAAGCAGCACAGTATAGGTTGAACAAAACAGAATAGGTCCCACACAGAATAAATAGATACATTTTCAAAACTATAACTGGAAGTCTTTGTCACATCTAAAATTATTATAAGAAAAATTTTATCTTTCAGATACCTGTATGTATTCTCACATGATTCTTGTAATTAGTTGCACTGGCAAATGCTCTTCCACATCCTGGCTCTGTACAATAATAGGGTCTTTCCCCTGTGTGTGTCCTGATGTGAACCTTTCTTATGTTCGATGTTGTGAACGACCTACCGCATCCTTCAAAGGGGCACTTGAAAGGTCTTTCACCTAGGAAAACAAAAATAGAAATTGGCTAATCAGTACACTTACTTTAAAGCATCTTACGACTCCCTCACTTCAGTTATATGTAAAAACTGGTACTGAGTTATATGTTAAAAAATTCATAGTAAGTTTGTTACTAAGCAGCACCTCCAATCTTCTCTTCTTTTGTCTATTTTTATTATGAGCTATACGTTTTGGCTGAGATTTAGGTGAATATCTGTTTCTAATGCCTGATTTGTAACTATATTTATACCAAAACATACTTTTTAAACTTGGGGAAGCTTAAGTTTGCAGGGTCAGAACCATAAACAGTTGAAGCAACAGGGGAGGAATTTCAGTACTGTTTGCTTCTGCATCATTACTCTCACTCGACATGCAAAGGGTAGGAACCCACTAGAAGCTGCTGAATGTATGTATTTGCAACAGCCCATCAACATCATTATTCAGATTGTGAATGCATAATATATAATTCATAAAAACAATCAAAAGGTAATTTTGGTACTCAACAAAACGTTTTGAAAAGGGCAGTTGGGATACCCTCAAGGCAAAACATTTTGTATATATTATGCAACGCAGGGAGCTCTTTAACAAATGCTGGCATTTCTGCCTTTCAGTTTGCTAGTTATATAGGAAACTACATTCTTCAGATACAAACCACAATCCAGAGTGCTAATTCAGGGAGTTTATGGGACTGTGCACCCCCAGACAAATAATCGATTCCCGCCCCCCCTTCTGCCACACTCCACCACAATGTCTGAATATCCCCAAGGCTTCAAAAGTGTTTCGTCATGGAGTATAAAGAGCTGCTGCTTGAGAAAGAAAAGGTCAAAGAGACTCATTTTGCTAGCTTTAGGGTTCTCTGGATTGTGGCTGGAATTTATGAAGTAAAGTTTTAGTTATTCACCTGTAAGTATACCACTAGACATGTTCAAATGTCTATTATCAAATTCACCTATGAAGTAATTCTAAAAATAAAAATGCATCTGTTCCCTACTGTTTAACTTACACACAACTATCTTAAATATGGCTATACTGATCAATATTAAAAACCCTTCAATGAATGTTATATTGCTGGCGTACCCTCATGCTGATGTGCTGTATTTTCTCATGTGCTTTTGCTAAGAACTGTCGAATCTCTGTATACTTTCGTGCCACAGAGAGAAGCCTAAGAGGGATGGGTGAAAGCACAATTTTTATAATTCAATGTATTACTGAGATATTTATCTAATACCCCATCACTATTATACAACACTGGAAGCTAAAAAACCTTCAAGGGTAACTATTCAGAAAGGTAACTATTAGCTTTTTGGTAGGGGGGGAAAAACACCCTCTGCACATCACTCCTTAGTATGTTTTGTCAGTTTTCTGCCAAACAGATGTATGAGATTTTAAGTGTACATGCTATAGTGTTATGTTGCCATAGCTTCTGTAATCCTTACTTAATGCTGTGTATCAAATTACAGGCAGAAAACAAGTGAAACAGACTTAGATCCGCCCAGCAACACCCTTTCCAGTTTTAAACATAAGGAATGGAACGTCCAGAAGAATGTCACACAACCGGTTTATAAATCCTGCCGTTGATATTTATCACTTTTTTCAGAAAGCAAGTAGCTGGGTTATGGTTACTTTAGAGGTGGGGAACCTAGGATTCTCCAAATGTTGTTGGGCTCAAACTCCCACCATCAGTCCCAGTCAGCACAGCCAACCGTCAGGAATGATGGGAGTTGCATTACAACATCTGTAGAGCAGATGGGAGGGGGAGGTTGCCTGGGGACATGATGTCACCACAGGGAAAAATGCCCCCTTTTACACAAGGCTTGGGCGAAGAAGGGAGGGGCCAGAACTACATGCAGGGCTGGTTGAGAGAGGCTACAGTGGTACCTCGGGTTAAGAACTTAATTCGTTCCGGAGGTTTGTTCTTAACTTGAAACTGTTCTTAACCTGAGGTACCACTTTAGCTAATGGGGTCTCCTGCTGCTGCCGTGCCACCATGGTGCAATTTCTGTTCTCATCCTGAAGCAAAGTTCTTAACCCGAGGTACTATTTCTGGGTTAGCGGAGTCTGTAACCTGAAGCGTCTGTAACCCGAGGTACCACTGTGTATGCAAAGACTGGCTTCTGCTCTGGACTAAAGCTTGCAACAAGAGACACTCTTGGGATGTAATGTTCTGCACTCCCTCCATCAAAGCTCAGGTATAAATATGTGTAAATAAACTTAAAGATACTACAGTCTCTAGCATGCCTCATTCCAAAGGTACACAAACCCTGGTTAAGTGCCAGGACCTCTGCAATCTTGTGCACTGCTCAGCAGAGACTGTATGAGCAACTTTGTCCTATGGTCAGCAAAATAGAGTAAAGTTTTAGATTCAAGAATACATGCCATTTCACACATTACGTTTTTATAGTTACCGTATTTTCGTCCTATAGGACACACCGTCCCATAGGACGCACCTAGGTTTTTTTGGGGGAAATAAAGAACAAAAAATTTATTCCCCCCCTCCCAGCCACGGGAACTCCCGCAGGGCTCTCTAAGCTGCGGATACCTGCCCGGAGCGCGGAGCGCTCTGCTTGAACGCGCCCCGCGCTCAGGGCAGCAGGCTGCTATCCGCAGCCTAGAGAGCCCTGCGGGAACTCTCGCGGGCTCCCCAGGCTTGCTGATAGCTTCCTGAAGCCTGGAGAGCGTGTGGGGTCGGTGCGCACCGACCCCTCTCGCTCTCCAAGCTTCAGCGAAAGCCTGCATTCGCCCCACAGGACGCACACAGATTTCCCCTTCATTTTTGGAGGGGAAAAAGTGCGTCCTATAGGGCGAAAAATATGTTACTTATGAGACAGAAAGTTCAGTTGCTGCAAAATGCAGCAGCTAGATTTTTAACCAAAACTATCTATACAGAGCACATTTTGCTAGTGTCAGAACAGCTACAGAAATATCAGTATTTTTGTTCAATATTTTGTGTAAAGAGTGAAGGAGTTGCAATTTCAAAATATTGAAGGCTTCAAAATAGATTGTTAGACAAGTTAAGAGCTCAACAAAGAGCATGCTTACCATGATTGCAGAAGTCAAACTGTGATCAATAAGTTAGATTCATAAAAACCCTCCATTTTCTATACATGAACTGTTATTATCAGAATAATAGACAATGGCTACAATAAATATGCCATGTACCTGTGTGTGTTCTGATGTGCTTCTGTAGGTCTCCTGAAGTCTTGAAGGACTTAGTACAGTTTTCTTCTGAACACCGATATGGCTTCTCTCCGGTGTGGGTTCGGACATGGCTTTTTAATCCATAACCTTGAAAAATATAGTATAAATAATGTTTTAAAATCTAAGACTATCTGGATGATCATAACCATCTTGTCTCAAATTTTAAATATCTTTAATTCTAAACAGACTTTATTTTCCATTGATCTCCATGTTTTATATCTATTTATTTCACACTAGCAAAATGGAAGACATGTGTTTGCAATTCAGAAACGGTCACTTTATCACTTCTTTTCTTGCATTATCAAATGGAAATTTCTGTCAATTATGGGTAATGTAAACAAATTTTTGTTCTGGGTTTGGTACAGATGTGTGGAACCAGCGCTTTACTTTTTTACCCTTCCCTCCAAGGACCAGATTGGTACCTAATTCACACATTTCAATGTCCTGTGTAAAGCAATTCTTACAAGAGCTCCATTCTGACCAGTCTCCTAGACCATATTTCTTATCTTAATCAATGGGCAAGCAGATAAATGGAGGGAGTAGAACATGATCTGTGCCACAGTTTAAAGGTCTGAAGGGCAGCAGAAAGAGAGTCTTTGGGGAGAAAAGTTACAAAAGTTACATCATTGCTCTGGACCAACAGAGCTCCTTTAGCTCAGTGGTGTTGCTTTTTCTTCCCAAGGACTCTTCTCTGCTGTCTTAAGTCCTACAGGCAAACTGCTTCAGAATATAAATTTTACTGTAGTATTAATTAGTGGTTAATCATCCCCTTAAAGTCGAATGGCTTTATATCTAGAAAACCTCATAATCTATTTTTATGCTGTTTTCCTCTATGAAGACCTGTATCATTGAAATACCTCCTTCTCCTTTTGAATGATAAACTATTTTAAAAGTTAAATGCTTAACCTAGTCTTCATAACACATATATTTACTCAATCACAAAACCTATTGTATATCTAAAAGTCCCCAAAATAAGCAGGTATGTCTTCTTAACTAAACATGTGCAATTTCTTCTAGTATTCTTTTCATTCATGCAAAAAGTCATCAATCGATCTATAAGAAAGCTAGTCACAAGTTCTCATTTAAAAAAATTAAAGGTGGGGGGCATGAAGGAATCCCACGACCCTACCTGTTGCAAATGCTTTTCCACAACCTGGATGGTCACATTGATATGGTCTGTCTCCCGTGTGTGACCTTTCATGTACCTGTTGAAAAAGGCCAATCATTTCAGGCTGTGGTATGCATTTTTCAATATAAGTTTTCACTGCTCCATAACTGGGGCCCTATGAGGCAGTCATCTCAAAGAGTCCTTATAGACATATAATCAGCCCACAAAAGCTTTTGCTCCAGCAGAGAAATCCTGTTGGTGGTGATGGTGGGCAAGTGACCGTTTGCCGGTTCCCTCCTTCCCCTTGCAATCCTCAGTGCCACCTCCCATAATGCTCCACACAGAGCCCCAACCCTACGCAACAGTGTGGGAGGTGACACTAGAGGCTGCAGAGGGAAGGAGGAATCACCAAAAGTCAGAGGGACTTTCCCCTGAGTAGAAGTCTGCTCAGGAGACATGAGCAAAGTGTATATTCAATCTTATTTGTACAGAGCGGTGGGAAGCCACAGCAGAAATCTAGTTGGTTATGCCTGACAACAGGAATTAGCTATGCCAGACCTATGTCCCCTGTGCAAGTTGGTTGCTATCTGAAAAACACAGAAGTACTGTGTATGTAAGAATGCTTGGAAGGCACTTGGTGGTTTTTAAAAATAGGGACAATCATAACAATGTTGTGGTCAAAATATTTAGAAGGAAAGATAGCTCCCTCTGCCCCCAAATCAAGAAAACATCTTCCTCTACAGAACTAGCAAAAAAGCTCTATGCCTTAAATATACATTGTGAGGCACCAGGTTTAAAATATTCACATTATTTTGTTTGCAAGTTACCAGCTGAAGGAGCAAACAAAATCAGAAGCTCTATCACAACACACAACTCCTTTAAAACTATCAGCAATTCAACATTATTCCATTTGGACCACAGCCCCATTACCCAGAGCAGCTAGAGACATAAAGAGTCTCAGTCAGAAACACAGATACAAATACACAATTATTGTGCTTTATATAATCATCTGTCAAATAAGGTCACAAATGGAGAAAACAATGAAAACTGCGCCACTTAACATGTCAGTGGTATAAGTGGTATTAGGGACACAAATTCAGATTGCAACCTGGCCAATTGATATACAATTGCATGACTTTATGGCCAGCATTATATTGCCAAAAACAATATTTCAGTGAATACCTTAAGATGATGAGCAGTGGTGTACAGTTTTCCACATCCATCATAGTCGCACCGAAAAGCCTTGTCTCCACTTGACTGTGATTTACTTGTCACTCTTGTGCTATGGCTTTGCAAGACAATCTAAGATGAAAGAAATGATATCATGAACATTTCAGACATATATTGAAACATCAAACTTTCTATGAAATGTGGATATCTGCGTTTCCCATGTGATTTAATTGCTAAATTCTAAAACAATTAGCTGTGTATAGGGGTGCACTGCTATGAGCTCCTTGAAATGTTGAAAAAATCCCAGGAATTATATTAAAAGATCTGTAGCATGGCATATCACCAGCTCTTCAGGGAAATTTGCTTATAACCATACTATAAATCCTTTGTCAATTTAACTCATGTACCTACATTCTTCTCTCAAGCAATGTTGAGATAGTGTGAGGGCTAAGATTAACGTAAGAACATAACATCAGATGAGCCTACTGGATGAGGCCAACTGCCCAGCTTCCTGTTTTCACAGTGGCCGCACAAGATGCCTGTAGGAATCTCTGAAGCAGGCCCAGAGCACAAGAGCCCTCTTCCCTCCTGTGGTTTCCAGCAACTGGTATTTAGAAGCATTACACAACTGTATTGACAACTGCATCCAAGGCTTCTCTGTTGCACCACCCTGGAGTTGACACAGCAACGCCCCCACCCAAAAGACCCCATTTCAGCCCTGATCAGGGTATGGCAGGGTCTGTTGTATACAGCAGATCATCCCCTGGCAGGGCAAGAATTGCTCTGAAAAGTGATCGTCTGATTTGTATTTCTTCTGTTGTGAAATGGTACCAGGTGCCTATGGGCAGAAGAGTGGGGTATAAATAAAAACCTTGCATATTCTTGCATTCTATATTTAGATTTGTTTTTAACTGTCAAGAGAATGTGTGTTTGCTTGACTACGAATATATCGGTACCTTTCTTTCATAGAAACAGAATTATTTCCAAAGAGAGAAAGAGCACATCCAGGTGTGCATCTAATAATGGAAGTATAGGGTACTGCTGTTATAAGCAAGGTACAGTAATTACTGTAATTACTCATAACTTATAATACTTCAAACACTTTCACCTACTTTAATTAATTAACACTCATTTAGTTTCCTCACTACTTAGTTTTGACATAACTTTGGCAATGAAACTTCTCTCTCCAAATACATACCTCTTCTGAACAATCCTATGCTGGTTTATTTGGAAGTAAGTTCCACAAACAGGGTAATGATAACCCCCGAGCCACAGTGCTAGAGAGGGTTAGGATGAGGCAGAATTGTCTCTCTGAAAGGCCCCATTGGTGGTGGTGCTCAGCCATTGTGGAGATCCCCATTGTGCCTGCTGAAAGCCCAGCAGAATAGCCACCCTGCCCCACCTGTGCTGGCCAGCTCAAGCTGTACTAAACCCAGCATTGCAGATTAAGTTGATAATATATCAAAAGGCACAAGTGAAAAATTAGAACTGTGGGGCCAAATCTACCCCTATAATTTTTGTGTTAGACAAAGCTTTTGGAATGTGATACCAAAGCAAGTTATTTTTAATGTTAAACTGAAGTCATTTTGAAATTTAATCATATTTTTATTTCGTTAGCACTTCAGTGGACCCCAATAGCAGATTCATAGTGTCAAAAAAAACGATGTTGAAGGTTAGAGGTGCAGGAAGCCCATCTTATTTTGCATATGCCCAACTTATTCATAAACACCTTTTTATGAGCAGCCCTCCTGCACACAGAAGGGGCCTCAATTCAGTTAGCAGCTTCCCCAAACATTGCAGCTTAACCCATTCACTGTGGTCCCCCTATGCTGGAGAGGCTTTTCAAGGAGATGAGGGAACAGGAAAAGGTAACCTGCTGCCAATTCCTTTCCACCAATGCTTCTCAATATCCAAATGATTAAAACCCCTCTAGTTAGGTGGATTTTATTCTCTGCAAGATAGTTCAGGAGGCAGATGACTCTGGGAGGAATATACTTGATAGCATAGCCAATCTAAAATGCATTTCTTAGATACAGAAAGAGAAACATTCAAAATGAAATAAGGCAGCTTATGAAGAAGAAGAAGAAGAATATTTATACCCCACGCATCAACTCAGTTCAATTATATCATAATACATACCTGCATTTTTTTATCTTGTTCATTGTCTCCTATCATCCCAGTACTACTAACATTGTCACTTCCTTCAATAGACACCTAAAATAAAGAAAAAGCAGAAATATATTTTGAAATAAAGCTATGGGATGCCGGGCACCATTTTGAATCAAAATGGTGAACCGAAACATCACTTGGGCCTCCTCTCAAGATACTGTTGCCAAACTTGGCACAAGGGTTCCCAGGGTGGGACTCATGGCCTTCATTTGTCTGGATGCCAGGGGCCATTTTAAATCAAGACAGCGGACTGAACTGTGACTCCATTCATTTTTTGGCACAGATTACACCACCACTCAAGATATCGTTGCCAAACTTGGCATGATGATTCCTGAGGTAGGGAGAGTAGTCTTTGTTGAAGCTTGGATGTCAGGCACCATTTTAAAGCAAGATGGCGGACCAAAATGTGACTTTGGCATGACTTCACCTGATTTTTGGTGTGATGGGTCCAAACTCCCAAATTACACTATCAATTTTAAAAAGACAAAAAATATTGTTTTTTTTAAAAAAAATCTTGGGTAGTGCTGGGAAATCCCCACTAGTGGTCAAGGATTAGAATTACTTCCTCCTAAATGCAGTACCTCCTACTTTTCACTTTGCCTCACATGCTGCACTACTTCTCAACATTCACTAAATTAGATTTTATTACTTTCAGTCAAATACCTTCTTCACTTTTAACAGATTGTGTTACTTTTCTTCACCATCTAGATAAAGGTCTGTCATCAACTTCCATCTCTCACTAGCTTCAAAGGAATCTAATACTTTCTTCTGCCTTTAATCATCTCTCCTACTGTCTACTCTTTGATTACAGCCAACCTGCCTTTTGCTTTGCTTTGAATCAATCTGATTCTCATCCCATCCAGTGTAGTAAACATTTAGTTTGATTATATGTTCTATTAAATTTCACAGAGCAAAGACCATACAAAATTAGGTGTCCTTCAAATTTACCTTGGCTGCATACTGTTCCAAAGCAGAGATGGTATCTGGATCAATAGTAGCATCTCCCGTATGAAGGCCTGCCACTGTGCCATCAGCCTGAATGGCTAAGATGGTATCTGATTGTGGAACCTGCACTGTATGGTGAATATAAGCAGTGGTACCATCTTCTAGCTGTACAGCTTGCAGGGCACTCTGGTCATAACTGTCTGAGAAATTATTTAAAGACAAGAGACAATTGTAATTAAATTGTATATAAACTGTTGAAATGTCATCTGCCCAGTTCTGTGGAACACTCTGCTACCATAGAACCGTCAGTTGAACTGACCCAAGCAGGATGATTAAGGTCTGTGTGGAGATAAACTTTAACCAAAAGTATGCTTTATGGAGACCGAGAAGCAATAAGAGCTTTAGGGAATGGCGCAGCAATTAATTCGGAGTCGCCATCTTGCCAAAGGATTTATAGCCGGGAGGAAGAACGGATTTGTTTTCAGACTGCTTTCCTAGTGAATCTCCTCAGAGGTTTTGAGAAAGGAGGCAGATTGGTGAAGATTAATGATGCTAAGACTGTTTTGATGTATGGAAGTGATGTTATATGGAAAACGTCTGGATATGGCTACTGGATAAAAAAAATAATATCCACGCAGGATTACAAACTGTTCTAACCAGCTTGCGGAGACTATCAGAGGTCACAAAGAGAAAGGAAAAATATATGAAAATAACAACAAGAGATGTGGAAAAACAATAAGAAAGGACTGGATAGTACTGTGAACATCATAAGGTTAGATTTGTGGACATTAAATACAGCAGTAAGAAGCAAGAAGTTGATTGGATCCCTTAGTAACTTGAAATATGGGTACCCCCAACAAAAATTTAAAATTCGGCTGTGTAATTTGGAATTTATGTAATTTGGTTTGATTTGATGTGATTGGTCGGTTAATAAAAAATTATTCTTAAAAAAAAAAAAAGAACACCCTGCTACCAGTGATTCAATGGGCACCTTGTACGCCAACTTTTAAATACCTGCTGAAACCTTTTCTGTTCCACCAGGCCTATGCAGGCAATTAAGAGTATATTCCTCATAATTATCTACTGATGCTTGTTTTTAATTCTTTTGCTTTTAACTTGCTTTTAATTTTTTATGATTTTACTGCATGGTTTTATATTGTAAACTGCTGTGATATATTTCTATGATACAGCATTATATATTTAAACCAACCAACCAACCAACAAAGAACATATAGACCACATTTTTGTGTGTATTTCTTTCAAAGGATGAACATGGTTAATCAAGTAATACTGTTTTGAAACCTCCCTTCACTTGTATGGAACAAAAGGTTTGAATATTGAAGCAGCTGACAATTTACTATATAATGTTTAAGACAATGACAAAAAATGATTCAGTTATTTGTTTATTGTTAGTTGGCAACAATGTGGAGTTGGAAATTAAACATAATAGAAATGACTATTCCAAATGCATTTTACCTTTTGAAGTGTGATGAATGAAAGCTGTAGTTCCATCCTCAAGCTGAACTGCCTGTCCATCTTCTAAACGAAGACTATCTCCTGTATCAGGAAAATAAAATTTCACTTCAATTACTTAGTGCATTTATGATTTGCAAAACCAATTTTAACATTTTATCACCATTAGAAAATAAATTTGCTAAAAAGAGTAAACTTCAAAAAATAACAGTATTTTAATTTTAAAGTTACAATTAAATCATTTATTATATTGCACTCTGTCATTATGTCAACAGCTTTAAACTTGTATTCACTGTAATATACTTACTACTTTTAGACATGGGAACATGTTGAACGTAGGCAGCTGAGCCATCTTCTAGCTGAATCACCTGACCGTCCATTAATTTGCCATCTGGAATATATGCACATTTAAAATTCAAGTGACTATAACCTCAATCAAGAAAGAGTGAACCACATGCAGAAGCAATTTTCTTTTTCTTTTATTTACATTTTATAACAAATTTATATAAAACAATCAACACATTCCAAAGGTCACAGCTAAAGTAGCATCTTATACAATTCAAGCAGGACAAACCTGCCCCTTAAAATACCATGGTACATTTTTACACATCTGCATCATTTCAAGGTCTTGCTTGCAGCAAACCCCTCTCATTATCCTTAGCATCCCACAGTATGTGCTAGTATTCCAGTATTTCTTGCACTATAAAAGATCCTTGTATGGCTCACCTGCACCATAAAAAGCTTTTCCTGAACACACCAGATAATAATGACTGCTGCCTTGTTTCAGGGAATGAAACATGTTCCAAGTTTTGGAGCAGAGTGATAAGGCCCATTTACTATCTTGAGTACAGGATCAGTATCCTACAATGCAACACTGTATGCATCCACTCAGAAGTATATTCCATGAAGTTCAAAGAAACTGACTTCCATGAAGGTGTGTACAGAAGTGTAGCCCAAGTCATTCTAAAGGTATGTACGTTAAGCACTTGTTTTCTACTTATTTAAAATGATTAAACAGTGAGTCCAGAGATATTTGCTTATGGAGACTTTTCTCTCTCATGCCTGTTTAGACACGGAGCAGGCATTAAGAGTCGTCTGCGACCATGAGCACAGATACAAGGGTGTTGTGTCTTTGGTATTAACAACTAATGTATTAAATGTATTCTGTATTAAAAAATGAGTACAATCCAGCTGTGCCCCTCTGATCACCGGAAGGACTTTTGACTAGTGGACACCTTGTGTTTTTATATTGTAAACCGCCCTGTGATCTTCAGATGAAGGGCAGTATAGAAATTTAATAAACAATAACAAAACTGAAAAAAGAAGGGAGGCAATTCCCCTTTCTCCTGTAGTTCCCCTGAATATCCATTCAAGTGGGATGGGGTACCTCCAGAGCAGCTTGAAATATGGCACAGGGGACTGCAGGAGGAAGGGTGAATTGGCAAAAACTGCCCCTCCCATTAGCACAGCCCTTCCCATGAGAACAAGTGCGCCAGTTGAATTTTACCTTTAGACAAAAAAATGTGTGATCTTCTGTTCAAGCCTGTATTGATATTTACATAGAAACACAATTCATCTTTGTAAGGTGATCTTGGTATGAAATGGCAAACATCTATGATATTATTTGGTTTTTGATTAAACAGCTAGTTGGTTGTAGCAATTTTAAACTCAAAGTATACCTTTAGAGTTATGTTGAATGTAGGCTGTGGACCCATCTGAGAGCGTAACTGCTTGTAAGCTTACTCCTTCCATGTTGTCCAAGTTGTCTCCATCTAACAACAAAATTCTCAGCATTACTTGATGTTCATAACACATATTTGTCCACAACGTAATGATTGTTTAATGTATACACTATAGAAAATAAATTTTAGGGTCAAGGAAAAATGGTTCAGGCATTTGCTATAGGTTCCAATTATCTTATGAGATGCATTTCAAAACCCAAAATGTCATAGTATGCTTCATAAATTCATCAAGATAGCCATTTTCTTGTCCTGAATGCCACACTGATTGGCACTGGGATATTAATCCAATTACTCACCTTGCACAGCTACAGCCTCTGTTAAACAGAGTGTTACATGCTGAGCCTCCATCCCCCCTCCTGAAAATTCTGTCATTCCCTGAGAGTCTCGATTTATCTGGGCTAATAACATTGTCTACCTAAAGGAAAAAGAAAGAGAAAATTTTAAAATATTAACAATGGATTCAAGACACTCAGATTTTTTTTTAAATAGTATTCCTCACACCAAGTAATATTTTTGAGGAATTTTTCATTAGAAAACATACCATTTTGCCAGTTCTTATAATTACGGTGCATACTTTGTTAGGGAGAGCATGCAGAAACTTCAAACCACAATCCTTGCTAGATTGTAAGGATGTTGTGACCATTCTCACAAAAGGTCTCACAAAAGTATAGTCCTGGTTGCTGTTTTTAAGTTCTATTACTCAAAGAATGTTTTGAAGGTTCAGAGTGTAATGAGTAAATTAACAGAAGTGTTTTAAAAAACATTTTGATAACTTTTTTGTGCCAGTATAACTCAGTCTAAGATTCAGTGCTGCCTTCTATTATGGTAACAATCAATGTCAATGGACACTTTGGGAGCTTCAAGCAGCACCTCAGCTGCTCCAAAGCTACCCCCATTTCAGGGTGTCCAGCACCACCACCTTGGCACCTACCACCATTGCTGCTGCACCTCTCTCTCTCTCTCAAACACACACACAAACACCCCCCCCGCCCCTTACCATCCCTGCTTTTCTGAGCTACTCAAGTGCTCCCTCTACTTGGAAAACTGCTGCAGGTGCAACTAGAGGTATGGAACCTTTTTACACGTGTGTGCACATTGCTGCTCTCCCGCCCTCCTTACCAGGGAAGTCAACTATGTTCTGCCCGTTCTGATTATTTTTTGCCCCCACAGAATGAGGCTGTTGTTTAAAAACAGCATTCTCCAGTATCAGGAAAGATATGAAAGGTGGACACACCACACTTTCTCTAACACATGCACACACAGCGTTCATGTGCACTCACCATAAACATGCAACCAGGCACAAATGCCTCTGCCTCTCTCACGCACTTGCACTCCACACCTACATCTACCCCTCTCTCACATACAGAAACCACACAGACTTCTGTCAAATCCCATACTCGCCACATTTAACAAATATGGCTATTCTCATTGTTCCTTCTTCTGCCATCTTTTTTTTAACCCTTCAAGGGGAAAAGGAAGCGCATCCACACCAGGTCCACATGGCTAGCAAGAAACATAGCTGAGCAAAGTCCTGTTGATCTTTCCTCCCCCCCCCCCCCGAAGAAAAGTCACACCATGCAGCAAAGGAGCCACGTGCACCATCTCCACATGGCCGGTAGGTCACAAAGCTAAGCAATGAGAGACACCCCCATTTGCCTGTACTTGTGCAGAGGAAGCCTCACACAACCACAGACCACTACAAAGAAAGAGAGAGAGAGAGAGAGAAGGCTTTTCTTTATTTATGCTACCCATCTTCAATTACTTTTGTTTGGATGAGTGCGCAAAGGAAGTGCATTTTTCCTTTCCCAATCTCTGCAGAGATAGAACATGCTGCTCCTGGCTCTCTGATGTGTATGCGGTGCAGTATATTGCTAGCTTTAACCTCAGAAACCTGAAATAATATAATGTAGTATTACTAGCGTACCAGGAAGTATTTAATGCCACCATACAGTGTCCTTGCTAGAGTGATCAGATCACAAAATAATTAACCTTATTTGAAATCTAATATAATAATGATGCACATAACAGAGTGCCAATGTGAGTATTTGTATATGACATTGAAGTATGGTTCAGATTTCTTAAAGAATATAATAAAGCCAGCTATTTCTAATATGTCCCTGGTGACTTAACAGAACAAATATTAGTAAACATTGCTAATCCCCTTTGGAACAGACAATTATTTCACTTTTGAAACTGATATCCAGGCACTGTACCTTAATAAAGAAAATCCTGCCACCATTTTGAAGGCTTGGGACAGAATCCACAGAAGCAGGAGTGGAGTTCTGCTAGAACAGCATGCCCTTATCTTTTTTTCTCCTTGCCTATGCATGCCTCCAAAATCTCCTCCAGAGTCCTTGAACCTTCTTGGCAGATTTGAAGGCACAGAGGGCTGAAGGAGAGGAGCGTGAAGACCAGCTGCATGAGCAGAACAAGTCTGTGTTCTCCTTGCACAGAAACATATTTTATTCTTAACATGGTTGAGAATTACATGTTTGCTTTTTAACACAAAAGCATTTTCCTAAGTTAATAAGCTAAGCGTAGTGACTTGCCTTAGGTCACCTTGTAACTTTGTGGCACATTTCTGTAATCATTTCCCACATTCCACAAAAGCCAAACTAGAGAATAGTGGTAGTTGAATCTGGCCCAATGATGCAGAAATTGGTGTCTATTTGTGTAAGATTTTGAGAGCCAGAAAGGGTGTGGGTGATGGGCACTGAACCCAGCATGCTGCTTACCTGTCTGCACGCTGAATGTACATTACTGGGGCTCTGCTGAAGAGAAGCTGTGGGCAAGGAAAGGGTTCTGCGCTCATTATTATTATGCCCTTTGTCTATAAAATCAGAAACCTCCCAACTTCCCCATTCTACACAATTGGGGTGCTTCCATTTTTCAATACATGCAACTGCTACCATCACATCCAGTTTGACTTTTGAGCTCAGGAACATATCACTTTCATCAGGACAATGGAAAAGTTTGTGTATATTAGAGAACTGCTTCAATTCAGATGCTGACGTACTGATAGTTGACATAGCATCCCTCTATTCAACAAGACTAGTATAAGCAATCTGTCATATCAGTCTCATTTTAATAAATATTACTAGGAAAATGAAGAATAAATGAAAGTTCGGTTTTAGAAACAACTTCAGAGTCTAAAGGCAAGTTCAGAGACTATTTAATGAATATATGTGCGAACCACCCTGAGATCTACAGATGAAGGATGGTATACAAATATAATAAAGTACCGGTAAATAAGCAAGGGGTCATATAAACAGATTGCCTTGTATGTTTTGTATATATCCGTGACTGTTGGAAGTGATATGTCTTCAAAACAAAGTTTGTTTGTTTTTCCTGGAGATGCTAATTGTGAATAGCTGGGGAGAAAACAAACTCTGGTATCAAAGAAAAACTGTGTGGTATGAACAAACTTCTTGACGTACTCCCATAACAAAGTAGTAAAACAATTTAATTTTTACTTTGTGGTGCCTTGTTATCAGTTTTCGCATGCAGGGTTTGTACCCTTCTGAAGAACAGGTATCATGAAAGTTGTGCTTTACAGAGTTATAGAGAAATTGCTCAACAGTTAAGAGTGCCACTTAAGCTTTGCCATGATTCAAGAATGCACTAAGCCTACTTATTTTAATTATAGTAAACTATTTAATTTTCCATTCTAGTGTATAAATATAAGTGAAATATTTCTCTGATACTCTTATTATGGAATTAATCTATGTGAAATATTTAGACTTCTCAAAGCATAATTTAGGCTTAGAAAACTCATGTGGCACATAAGAGTATGTGGTTGTATGTTGCCCACCCTTGGCTTACACCCAGCTGTGGTGATACTTTTTGAGGATATTAGCATGCCTCTCCTCTGCCAACTATTAGAAAATGCACTAGCATTTTTTAAATGGACTGGAAATATTGGTGTAAAATATGCCATATCATTCTTTCTAAAAATCTGAATTTGTATTATGATCATATTTGAACAATTTAAATCTGAAGCCATAGGGAGGAAAACTCACCCATGAAAGCAAGTCGTCGTAAGCCTGTGCCCAGAACATTCTATAGTTTAGAGAGACATGAAGACTGGAGCCCCAGCTCATCCACTCTCTCCTCCTGTCTGCCATCTAGGGCAAGGCAGCGCCTTGCTATTCTCTCTTTGCAAACAGAGCTTGAATTTGATGTTCTTTTAATTTGGTGCCTTTTTATGTAACCATGCAGGCCAACAGAAAAAGGTGCCTAATGGAAACAGCACCACATTTTGGCTGCAAGTGAAGAATTGAGCATACTAGATTGCTCTCGATTCTTCCTTTGCAGCCATGGCTTGAAATTTCCCCACCCAATATCATATAATCAGGCACAAGAAAGGTAGATGTAGTTCACCCGAAGTGTTATCACAAGCAAAATCTGGCAGCATGGCAGGTCTAATCAGGCCTATGGGCTGGAGGTTCCGCACCAGTGGTTTAGTACAAGGTGGATGAGGCCACATTAAGCCTTGAGCTCATGTGTTCCCATGTAGACAGGACACGTCAAATTAAGTTTTGCTTTTAAAAATTCTCAGCTGAGTATTCAGTATCCAGTGGTCCTAATTTCTAAATAAGCCGAGTTGGGTTAACTAGCCATTGATAATAATCAATTTTAAACCAGGACCCCTGGTTTGTATGTAGCACTAAACCAAGATTCTTTGCAAGTAAAACTAAATTCGGTGAGAGTAGAGGGTTTGTGTATTTGGGCTCATGAAGGCTTGTCAATGTACTGCTAAACAATGGTTTTGCCTTAAGTGCAAACTGGGTCACTCTAACAGATTTGGGAACTTTCTTTTAAGTTCTTATGCTGGTTCTTGATCCTTTGTAACTAGCATCCTTTAGTTCTTATGCTGCCTCTTGAACTTCTCTTGTCCTTCTTATGTTTTATGCGAGCATTGTGAACTTCAAATTGTATCCTGCTTTGGGAATAAATCTGATTGAAAATAAATCAAAGCATGCATGCTTAAAAATGCAGCATTCTGTGTTCAGGAGCATTTTAAGTTAAAAGGTCTTGTAAAATAAATCATAAAAGTTTCTGCGAAGTTTTCCCCAAACACAGCATATATGCAGAAGATTAGTAACGTTTATTTTATATAGCTATGCTATTGCTAAACAGCATGTATGTTATTAAGTTTTGAATACTATTACGTTGTCCTTTGTCTCTCAAGTGACATTTGTTAAAGTTACACCTATGCCACAACATACCTCAATGAACTTAAAATTTCTATTGAAATCATGAAAGTGAGTCTCAAACCCCATTCACTTGGGACCTGCTTCCTAGCAAACATGTGCATGACTAGGTTGCACATTTTTCTTGGATGCTGGCCAAACACTGTGCAGTGTGGAAGAAAATCCCGCCTGCCCTCAACATTTAGTCTTGTTGTAACTGAATTTTAACCACAGAACCGAATGAGGATTTCAAAAACTAGGGCCTGTAGTAGACAGGCACCACTTTAGAGGCAGCATTTCTTTCCATAGCAGGGAATGCCTCTTCCCAGAGGGTCCCTATCGTAATCCACGCATGCATAGCATAAAACAAATAAGCTACTCTTTCTTTGGAACCTGCCACCCTTAAATCTGCATTTATTTGCTTGTTTGCCAACCCAAACTCGCTTGTGTTATTTAACCGGTCGCTAACCGATTGAAAAGCGATCGATTAAGGCTGCCATCCTAAACATCCTTCCATGGGAATGAGTCTAGCGGGTTCCAACCAACCCCGTGTTTGCACTGCGCGTGTGAATCGGCCCTCGCAGCACGAAGGGCTTTATAGGGACGGCAGCCCCATCTGCTCGATGCTGGAGGCACGGAGGGGGCCGCACGAGGCGCCTCCCGCGCGGCTACGCAGATGCTGTGGGAAGACGAGCCCAGTCCAGTGACGCAGCCGCCAAAAGGAGGCGCCCCCCCCCCCGCAGCCCACGCCCCGCGAAAGTGGCCTGAGCGCCCCCGTGGCCCGAGTTTATTGTTTCATGTGAGAACTCTCTCCCTCCTCGGGGACAAAAGCATCGCGGGAGAAAAGAGCGGGAAGCACCGAGGCCTAGAAGGCGGGAATATGGAGGAAGAGGGAGGCGGGGGAGAAAACGCGGGCGGCGGCGGCGACGCCTCGGCTTTTATTATTATTGTGAGCCGCGATACGAACGCGGGCTGCCCCCTTTCCCCTCACTTTCCCCTGCATACAACGCCGCCGCAGGGGGACTAAGGCAGGCCGAACCCAAGAGTGAAGCGTCCCAGCCGGAGATGGCGGCGGTTAGAATAAGGCACACTGGGTAAAAACACATTTATATACGAACCTCGCCGAGAAATTTTCCAACAATTCCTCCGTCCGACCACCATGCACCAGGACAGGAAACGGCCGTCTCAGCGCCCGCCCGCCTACTCCAGCGCCGCCCAGAGCCGTGCGGGCGGGCCCCGCCACCAGCACTTGTATAAGGCTCCATTGGACAGGCTGCGGCAGAAAATACCGCCCACGGCCACGATTGGGCCACTGACCTACAGGTTTCATTGTCTATTGGCTGTTGCCGGATAAGCCCGCCTCCGCGCCACATTGACTCTCCTCTATGCTGGGTTTGGGGCCTCGGGAGGCGCCATTTTGTATCACGTCGCACGAGGCGCTAGTGTGTCTGCGAGGGAAAGAAGGACGGGCGCCATTTTCCCCTTTTGTTAGCAAAGCGGGAGGATGCGCTCGCAGAGAGGATATCGGCTGGCCTTCGAAAATGTCCCCCCCCCGGCGGTAGTGGTTTTCAAGGGAACCCCCCCCCCCCGGTTAGGCAGATTCTAACATGGGGAAGGCGAGTGAGGAAGAGACTGGGGTGTTACGGCTTTTAGAGCGGCCAACGCCGTCTTTCGCCCTCGGGACTCTGTGGTGATGGCAGTCGTGGGCGGTAGGGTAGTCTTTGCTTTTTCACCCCGAGAAAGGCTGTGTTATGGCCACCGGGGGTGGGAATTGAACGGTCCTAAGGAAGTCCTTTAAATCCCCCCCCCCTGTAAATCGACATCATGCATATTGATGTTCTATTTCGCTGGAGCTATTTCGTATGTAGATAAAACCGCTTAACAGCATGGACTACTTCCCACGTTACAGACAACGTAGCAGGGGCCTGCTTTGCAAGATGCATCGGAATCCTGTAATATAAGGCAGCTTGGCTGCCCCCGCGCCAAATCCATCTCCAATCCTGGCCAAGCGTCACTTTAGAAGGGAAGAGGTATCTCTAAGCGGCTGTCGCACCTTCACAGTTCACAGAGGGGGCAATTTTCCACCATTGCAGTTCTGTCTTGCACAAGCAGACATTCCAGGAAAGATTTATAACTCACATCTTACAAAACGCTCAAGCCAGCATCTTATGGTTCCCTCTCCTCCTGGTTTTACCTCAGAATAATCCTGTGGTGTAGGTTAGGCTGGGGAAAAAATAGTGATTGGACCAAAATCACTCAGCAAAATTTATTCCCCAATTCCAGATTGTAAAACTGAATGTTTCAATTGTGACTACAGCCAATACAACCAAGATTAAACATTCTATAAAATTAGAAAGGAAACTGCCATAGCTACTTTATGCCTTGCTTCAGGAGCCAATCACGTGCTATTTTGGACACAAAGCATGCATTTGTGAAGGGCCACCTTCATTAATGAAGAAAGGACACCAGGCAGAGAAATTTGGTAAAACAAGTGTCAGAACAACCAAAGAGTATCCATATATTTGTGAAGTGGGATCATGGTGCATCCTTACCATCGGGGTGGAAATAACTAGACTGCAAAGAGCCCTGTGGCAGTTCAAAAATGTTCAGGTTAATTGTTGACAAGGGAATTAATAAATTATGGTATTGTTGCTGAGTCAGTGGGCTGTGATCTTAAAATGGTCATAGCAGCTCTATAGTTTCTACTAACGCATATTGAGAGCATCTTCATGCACTGCTGCTGTAGCATGCGTTTTCCCATACAACATGATGTTTGGCAGTTGAAACCAAGAGGATGGGGTTTGTCACATAGGTCTTTTAATATGAGAAAGCTCCAAAATGTTTGCACCCACACTTTGGAACTCCCTGCTTATTGAAATCAGGCAGGTACCTCCACTGTGCTTTCTCAGTGCATTTTTTATTAGACTAGCCTAGCCAGCAGTACAGGATGTTGAGGTGTTTTGTTTTTAGCTTATTGCTTATCTTTTATTTTTAAATGTTTTACTGGTACTTTTATTGTTTTTGTAAACCACACAGATTTTTCACAAGCAGTATAAAATTTTATGAAATAAAGGCGTAGAAAACTTTTGGCATTACTATCGTGTATTGAGTTATAAGCAAATAATTAAGCTGAAGTTTGCATGTATTATGAATAGGTGTGTGTGTCAATTTGAACTTACTCTATAGTTTATTACTGTAGATCATGGCAGAGGAAAGTTGACATAACTTAAATATGACATGAGATTCCCCATTATGAACCTTCCTTGACCCTAGTACCAGCCTTATCACAAACATCCTGAAGGCATTCCGGAAATGTATTTAGTTCCCCACACCTTGTAAGGGTCCGCGCATGTGAAAAAAAGTTGGGAGAAGTGCAGAGAGAAGAAATACTATGGTGCATCTGTACCAGTGCAATAAAATATACCTCCTGTATTGGCCTCTACAGCAGGTGCTGTATCTCTCCAACCATTTGATTTTACTTCCAAAGGCACACTCCATTGGCATCCCTCTGTCTCAAGAACACTTATTTCATATAATAAAACAAGCTTTCTTTATTCCTTTGGTGTAAGAACTTCTCGTGGGCATAAGGTTAAGGGTAAAACATATTCATAAATGGAGGCATGTTATAACTCCAGCAAAAGATCCCAAACTTCTTTGATGGTGTATGTATGGATACACGAGTGCTGGACAGGCATGAGTTCAGACATATACTTTTAACAGTATTAACACCTTTTTATATCCACCTGTGTCAAAAAGCAGAATTTTGCTCCCCAAGTTTTTCTCCCCATGCCAAAAAGCTGCCTAGGGTTGTCATGAAGGACATACATAGCCCTAAGCATATGAACATCAGCCCTGCTGGATCCGATCAGACTTACTGGTTTTTTTTTTGTTATTGTAGTGGCCAACTAGGAGCCTATGGGAAGCCCACAAATGACATAAGTGCACTGCTGATTTGCAGCAACCAGTACAGTGGTATCTCAGTTTATGAACTTAAACCATTCCGGAAGTCTGTTCTTAAACCGAAACCATTCTTAAACCGAGGCGTGCTTTCCCTAATGAGGCCTCCCACCACCGGTGCCCTTCCACCATTTGGGTTCCATTCTTAGACAGAGGCAAAGTTCGCAAACCGGGAAACTACTACCGGTTTTGTGTAGTTTGTAAAACGAACAGTTCGTAAACTTAAACCGAGGTACCACTGTATTCAGAAGCAAATGGCTGTCTGCTACTGAAGGTAATACAAGCATTGTGGCTAGTAGCCATTGAGACCTTCCCCATGAGTTGTCTAATCTCCTTTTTAAAGCTCTCCAAGTTGCTGGGCATCAATCTTCTGTAACAAATGGCAGTTTTACTTGCATGCTGTGTGAAGTAGTGCCAACTTTTGTCTATCTTCAGGTCCACCATTCAACTTAATTGGATGACCCTGAGTTTTATAAGTATTGCAAGCCTCCCTAAGTTACTCAGCTTTGCAATGTAAACTAAGCTACCACACACTATATGGGATTTGTATAAATATATTAGGGTAGCCAATGGGGTAGCATTCAGCTTCCATAGGGGCAGAGTCCATTGGCCATGCTGGCTGTGGCTGATGGGAATTCAGTCCAATTAACAAATCACATTAACCCTACTCAATAAGTTTGTGCTGCTACTGTTTGCTGTTAGGAGCTGTGGTGCTAAGTCCAAGGAGGAAAAGTCTTATTAAAGCAACCCAAGGGGCCCAGTTCTCTAAATACCAGAACCTTACCAGAGATGTCCAAATGAGAACAAAGCATTTGCAAAGTTGTACCCGCTACAAAAAAGAAAGAAAGAAAATCTGCAGGACATGAAATTTTTAAAAGCTCAAAAGACAGAATGGCAATGAAATGTCTACAGGACAGGTTCAGGAATCCAACTTTATTATGCTAGTCTGACCAGAACCTGAATAAAAAGATAGATGGAAGATCGTCCTCTCTCAAGCAATTTGGATGCTACATAAGCCTGCCTTAATCAAATCCACATTGAAGACCACAGTCAAGAATGAACCCATGAGTGCAAAGGGAAAGCCCTTCGTCTGGCTTGAGACAAGTGAGAGGTAGGTATTCTGTTAGGAACCCTTACATTCCAAGCACCCCCCAAAATAGATACATACAAAACAAACACGCATCACACAAATTGTTTTTCCGAAGACTGCATTTTTGAATATCATAATATATATGTTCATTTCAGTTTCATTTTATAGATATAAATTCAGATCATTTTTCAACCTGCCTTTAAAGTTCTGAAGGTTTACACTTAAATTAAGGTAGCTTGTTCAGCATCAATTGTAACAGCAGATGACATTGAATAAAAAAAACAGCCAGGAGGGGAAAAACATTTTACTTAAAATATTTGACACCAGTGATCTCAAGGCAAGATCAAGAACCTCAGCATTTAAGATTTTATATATGTGTTTTATAGATGGGCCCTAAGCCAGGCCAAACACATCATTTTGTTGTTGGCTTTTTCACTGAATCATTTTAATAGTGGTCCCAGTAGGAAGGACTTTGTTACCTTTCTAGTTAATATACTAACTAATATACCACCTGGAGGCAAGGGAGAACAAATTGGAGCTTCAAAAATGAGACTTGGTAACCGTAAAGCCATGTTCACATGATCATACCTTAGCTTTATAAGCTGGAATATGAGCAAATCTTTTTGCCCAAGCATGCAGGCCCTTTGTGCAAGCCACAACTAAACCAGGAAATCTCTGATTAGCCATAGTTATCCATCAAACAAGCCAATCTCAAACACTGTTCGTGATCCTGGCTTATTCTGAAACGGTAACCACCATTTCTCAGTTCAGATATACAGTAAAGGCAAACCCCAGTTAGAGTCTCCCTGCTTTAATCACAGCTTACGTGAAAGGGTTATGTGCTCAGGCAAAATATCTTGGTACAATAAGCTGGGATATGAACCAAGCCATTGATATAGCTGGATCAGGCAAATGAAAGAATGTCTGCTTTTGGACATAGCAAGGCCAGGGTGGGTATGAAAACAAGAGAGAATAGAGATGTTAAAACCTCTACCCAGGTCCTAGAAAAGAAGCAAAAGGATGAGAATAATAATATTCCCAAATATGGGAATAAACTTCAATCAGATCCAACCCAAGTTAGCCAAATTACTTTTTTTAATAGATTGCATATGTAGATGTTCACCACCACACTTCAAAATACACTCCTGTAAGAGCAAATCTTCATGTCAGATTTCACATGCTGCTGAGAAAATGAACTCCCCTCTCAGCACTTTAAAACATGAAGGTTTCTGTATCCAAATTTCCACTTGTACATTGACAGCTTTAAGAAAAAACAAAGGACACAGAGGGTGTTGCCATTTTTTTTCTTTTTTAGCAGCAATGAAATACCACTAACCCCTTTTGTACATAACCAAATTCAAGTCACAACCAGTGGTGACTGCACCACAAAGTCACCAGGTACAAAACTGCTAGTTTTAAATAACTTGAAATTTTTCCCCAGAACATCCCTTTTTTATAAACAAACATTTTGCTATTTTTGTACATAGGCTAGCAGGCTTGTTTCAATATGAAAATGCTAAATCATTTACAGATTTAATCAGTTATGTAGTGCTACAATAAGTGTCCGATATTCTACATATGAACAATCTTGATAAATGGAAATGATGAAGTGTTAAGTAAGGCTATCCAATTACCTTTATGTACATTAAAAGAATAGATACCCAGCAGGAGAAAGGGTAAGGGGAAAAGATTGGGCAAATACTCATAGTCCCACAGGTGTAAAAATTAAATTGGCCTTCTAGCTTGTGTACTGTAAATGAGACCTTTCCAACAGTCCTGCAGCCAATGCCTTTTTTTCTTCATAGAAAGGAAGCTGTCTTCATGACATTACCTCTTGATTTCTGATTTCCACAGCGTGTTATTTGAAGCTCAAGTGTCAGGTTCTTCCTATCTTCATAAAACCTTTCCAGTATTCGGTTGCATGATCAAGTCCCACTTCCTGGGTTGGCTTTTCTTTTTTAAATGTTCAACCTACCAATTCATTTAGAGTGAGCTGTAGATAACATGAACCAGTTCTGGAACCACTATTGGGAGGAACACAAGCTCTTCACTACAATCACACAGTAGGAGGAAAAGTAGTGATAATTCAATTCATTCCTGGGGCTGGACCACCAAAATTGAATGAACTTGGCACAACTGGAGCATTGAATTTGTATCCACCATGCTTTTCAATCATTTTGGATTCTGAAAGGGAGAGAAAAATATAATTATCTGAAAGTCACAAACCATGTCTTGTCACAGCTTATCGAGCTCTTGATGTGCACATTCATGCAATGAAGGGCTTCCATTTTAAAAACAAGAAATTACGGTATATTTTCAAATATCTTCAGAGACAAACTCAATTTCAAGCAGAATACTAGAACATGAAATATCAGAGTTCAAATTCCCAAAAATGGGGGGTGGGGGGAATGTGTAAGCCAACTTGAGTTCCTTGGAAGAAAGGAGAGTTATAAAAGCAATAATAAATACATAATCCAAGCTTTGTTTTTTAACTACTGCATAACAGGAGGTTGGACTAGAAGACCCTCAGCAGGGTTCCTTCCAACTCGACAATTCTGAATGTACAAGGTATTACAAGATCTGAATGGTGAACGTTAACTTTGGTAATCCTATGCAAAGACCCACTTGTATCAGGGGCAAGAAAGAGAAACAGGGCATGCAAACTTGAAACATATACCAGCTGCCAAAAGGAAAAGAAAGAGAATTCTAACATTTTTACAAAAAAACAAAAACACTTGGAAGACAGGCAAGTCCACAGCCATGCCCTTTCTCCATCTGAATTGCTAGAAAACACATACACATGCATATGTGACTTCCCAGAAAAATCAACGGTCAATTAGGTGGCATCAAGCCCAGAAATTTCCGTTTCAAGAATTGGTACTTCAATAAGCTGCAAGATCAACGCAAAGCTTGTCCCCTACAAGCAGGTCCTCTTTTTTCTTAGAACAGGGTGAGACGGAGAACTTTTAGGTCCCTTAATAAAATGCTAATACTATAGCCAGCATTTAATAGTAACGGATTATATCAAACATAGTGAAAATATGCATACCATGGGCTGCTCTTCGCTGATCTGCTAAAGTTGCTACATCCTGTAACTGTTTTCTTTGTTCTTCATTAAGACCACGTGTCAATGCTTGGTACCACACAGGGTTACGATTCTGAATTGCTACAGAACAAAGAGACATGTAGACATTTAACAGACAGACTAAAGATAGGTTAAGAGTTCAGCAAGGTAATGATTTCTTTGCTCTGCAAAGCTTCTCACTCCACCACTACCCAGGCTTCTGGTAATACTTTCTCTCAAGTCCAAATATTTCCTTCTATACCAATTATTTGCCTAGTTCTTTCCAAAATACTCCACATTCCACTAAAATGGAAGTACAGTGGTACCTCGGTTTAAGAGCAGCTGTGTTTACGAACTATTCGGTTTAAGAACTCCACAAAACCGGAAGAAGTGTCCCGGTTTGCGAACTTTATCTCGGTCTAAGAACAGAATCCAAACGGTGGAAGGGCACCGGTGGCGGGAGGCCTCATTAGGGAAAGCACGCCTCGGTTTAAGAACGGTTTCGGTTTAAGAACAGACCTCCGGAACGGATTAAGTTCATAAACCGAGGTACCACTGTATTGTTATTAGAATTACATAGCAAATTAACATTCTGAAAGGAAGAAAGGAGCAGATGGAATCTCAACAATTGTATTAGCCCAACATACAGATAAAACAAATATTAAAACAAACAGATATTAAAACAAATTACAATGGAGTCAACTGAAATACCAATTAAGGAAAAAGGTCAACAGTTTTTGTAACACATACAAAACCCAGTTTGGTTCTATATTATTTCACTGATACCACCCGTTATGTAAGCCCATGGAGACTTGAAAATGCAACAAAAAGGTAAATTCCCTTACAACTCTACAACGTGTGATGTCTATGATTTTTAGTGCCTGAAGTAGATTATGTAAGACTCACTGAACCTTCAGTTCAGTTAGAGCACATGACAGAGAACACAATGACATGCTTTTAAAGGTCAGGAACTCTTTTAAAGGTCAGGAACAATTTTTAAACATTAGCTTAATTCCTACACATAATGAGAAATGTATCTAGGTGTTACAAAAGTTTAAGATATTTGCTGTCATTTTGATTCAAATTTAAATATTAGTTTCACCCTTATAGCTACATTGTATTATTATTTTATTTATTTTATTTTTTTTTAAAGCAATTTATTAGATTTTACAATAAGAATAAGTGTAATAAACAATATAACATTCGTCTTAACATAATTTCACATTTTCTTTGGACTTCCTCACACCTCCCGCTCCCACCTTCATCATTATAACATTTTGTCAGCAATTTATCATCTTATTTAAGTTCTTATATCTCTTTGGTATTTCATAATCTTAAAGTTCTCATAAAGAGTTAAACTTTCACAGTTTTTCTTACTTTCTTAAAAACTTCTAAGTTAAGTGGTGCTCAGTTATTTAGTCTAGCATCTTATTCAGCATTCAGTCAAATCACAATGTTTTTGTAGATAGTTCTTAAATTTCTTCCAATCCTCCTCGATTCTCTCTTCTCCCAGGTCACGGATTCTGCCAGTCATTTCAGCCAGTTGCATATAGTCTATCAGTTGCATCTGCCATTCTTCCAGTGTGGGTAGATCTTGAGTTTTCCAATGTTTTGCGAGTAGTATCCTTGCTGCTGTTGTTGCATACATAAAAATGTCTGGTCCTTCTTTGCCACCCCTTGGCTGACAATACCCAAAAGGAAAGCCTCTGGTTTCTTAGTGAAAGTATATTTAAATACCTTTTTCAATTCATTATAAATCATTTCCCAGAACGCCTTCACTTTAGGGCAGGTCCACCAGAGGTGAAAGAACGTTCCTTCACACTCTTTACATTTCCAGCACTTGTTATCAGACAGGTGGTAAATTTTTGCGAGTTTGACTGGGGTCATATACCATCTATAAATCATTTTCATTACATTTTCTTTCAAAGCATTACATGCAGTAAATTTCAATCCATTACTCCACAGCCTTTCCCAGTCCTCAAACATAATATTATGCCCAATATCCTGTGCCCACCTTATCATAGCCGATTTGACCATTTCATCTTGTGTATTCCATTCCAACAGCAAGTTATACATCCTTGAAAGTATCTTAGTCTTTGGTTCTAACAATTCTGTTTCTAATTTCGATTTCTCCACCTGGAACCCTAGTTTCTTATCATTTTTAAAAACTTCTTTAATCTGAGCATAGTGTAACCAATCTCGCACTTTGTCTTTCATTTTCTCCAAACTCTGCAATTTCCACTGGTCTCCAGCCTTTTCTCAGATTTCCCCATATTTTGGCCATTGAGCCTCCCGCTTGGGTCATTGTCGGGCCTTAGCTTCCAAAGGTGAAAGCCACCTTGGTGTTTTATTTTCCAGCAAGTCTTTATATTTTGTCCAGACATTAAACAGTGATTTTCTAACAATATGGTTCTTAAAGGCCTTATTTGCTTTAACTTTGTCATACCATAAATATGCATGCCATCCAAAAACATTGTTAAACCCCTCCAAATCCAACACATCAGTGTCTTCAAGAAGTAGCCAATCTTTTAGCCAGCAGAACGCTGCGGCTTCATAATACAACCTTAAGTCCGGCAGGGCAAAGCCCCCTCTTTGTTTTGCATCAGTTAGTATCTTAAACTTAATTCTGGGCTTTTTGCCCTGCCAGACAAACTTCGAAATGTCTCTCTGCCACTTCTGAAAGCACTCCATTTTGTCCAAAACCTGAAGTGTTTGAAATAAAAACAACATTCTTGGCAATACATTCATCTTAATCGCAGCAATTCGGCCTAACAAAGAAAGTTTCAATTTTGACCAACTGTCTAAGTCTCTCTTAATTTCTGTCCAACATTTTTCATAATTATCCTTAAATAGACTTAGATTTTTTGCTGTTATGTTTACCCCTAGGTATTTTACTTTTTTAACCACATTAAGTTCCGTCTCATTCTGAAACCGTTCTGACTCTGTCTCGGTCAAATTTTTCCCCAGAACCTTGGTTTTCTGTTTATTTAATTTAAATCCCGCCACCCGACCAAAGTCATTAATCAATTGTAATACTCTTTTCGTACTAGGCTCTGGCTTCTGCAAGGTCAAAACCAGGTCATCTGCGAAAGCTTTTAGTTTATATTGTTTCTGACCAACCTGAATTCCTTCCACCAACTGGTCCCCTCTAATCATGTTCAATAGCACTTCCAGGACCGAAATAAATAACAAAGGGGAAATAGGGCAACCTTGTCGTGTCCCTTTTTCAATTTTGAACTCTTCTGTAACCACATTATTAACTATCAGTTTAGCTTTCTGTTCTGAATATATCGCCTCAATCCCATTCTCAAAACCCCGTCCCACTCCCATCTCTTTTAAGTTTCCCATCATAAATTTCCAAGAAATATTATCAAAGGCCTTCTCCGCATCTATAAAAATTAAAACTGCTTTTGTATTTATGTCAGTTTGGAGAAGTTCCAAAATATCAATAATGTTCCTTGTGTTAGCAAACAGATGTCTACCTGGGAGAAAACCGGCCTGGTCCTTATGAATTACTTCATTTAAAACTTTTTAAATCTACTTGCCAAAATATCTGCAAATATTTTGTAATCCACATTTAAAAGGGAGATGGGACGGTAGTTCTTCAGTTGTGTCTTTTCAGTTTCTGACTTTGGTATCAATGTGATAAACGCTTCCTTCCACGAGTCCGGTGCCCTCTTCCCTCCATAATTTCATTGCTAACCTCCATCAAGGGTTGTATCAAATAGTCTTTTAATGTCTTGTAATACTTGGAGGTCAGCCCGTCTGGCCCTGGAGATTTGCCAAGTTGCATGTTCTGAATAGCTTGTTCAATCTCCTGTCGTGTTATTTTAGAGTTCAGGGTTGTCCTATTTTCTTGTGACAGTTTAGATAGTCCATTTTTTGCCAAAAATTGTTTAATCTCAACTTCGTCTTGCGGCCCTTGGGTATATAGTTTTTTAAAATATCTCTGGAAACACTTTCTAATGTCCACTGGATTCTGAATGTTTCTTCCATCGACCTCTAGATTTGTAACCGTATTTAATCTTTGTCTTCTCTTCAACTGCCAAGATAGCAGTTTTCCACATTTATTCGCCGACTCAAACGTTTTTTGTTTCATTAATTTAATCTTCCATTCAATTTCCTGATTTATCAATTTAGAATATTGTGTTTGATACAGTTTAATTTCTCTCAGAGTTGGCTGTGACTTTGGATTCACTCTTAATTTCTTCTCTAATTCTTTTATTTTATCCAAAATCTTGTCTTTTTTCTCATTTTGTGTTTTTTTCTTTACTACATTCTGTTGTATCAGGAATCCCCTCATGACAGCTTTACTTGCGTCCCAGACGATTCTTTTTTTCCACCGAATTGTTCATGTTTATCTCGAAATAGTCTTTCAAAACTTTTTGGGCCTTCTTGGTAATTTCCTGATCTCTAAACAAATTGTCATTCATCTTCCATCTAAAGGATCCAGTTGGTAGTAGTGTCATATCCATCTTTACTGCGTTGTGGTCAGAGCAGGTCTTTGGGCAGATTTCCACTTTTCTAACCCTAGGTGCCAGGCCTCTAGAGATCCATATTTGGTCGATTCTTGTCCAGGTCAGTTGGGCTTCAGAAAAGAATGTTCCTTCTCTACCTAGTGGGTTCTTTGTTCTCCAAATGTCGATCAAGTCCATATTGTCAGTCATTTCAAAAAAAGGTTTTAGGTAGTCTGCCATCTTTTGTGACATTTTGACTTTGCGACTTGTCCATGTTAGTTGACACGACCCCGTTCATGTCTCCCATCATTATGATGTTGTTGTAATCCAGATGATCCAGCATTGTCCCCTGCAACTTCTTGTAAAATTCCGATTTCCCTTCATTGGGCGCATAGATTCCTAATATCAGCAGTTTCTCTCCTTGATATTGTATCTCAATAGCCAGAATCCTTCCATGTTCATCTTTAAATAGAAATTTAGGTGACAGGCTCTCTTTTGCATATATCACCACTCCTCTCTTCTTAACTTTGTCCGACGAAATAAATTCCTGTCCCAATCTTTTATTTATTAACACTTTTCTGTGGAGCCTCGTCACATGTGTTTCTTGTAAACAAATAATGTCCAATTGTTCTTTTTTTAATATATGAAATATTTTCTTCCTTTTCTCCGGAATATTACAACCATTAATATTCCAGCTCAACAGTTGCAGAGACATCCTGGATCTGTCTGGTTATTTCTCCCGGGGTGGTGTCTTCTCTGTGTCTTCAAGTTCCCCGGGTGGAGGTATTGATGCTGGCTTAGCCCCAGGCCCGGAAGGTAGTTCAATTCCTTTGTGTAGGTCCTCTCCGTATGTAGCCAGAAATTTATCTCTCTCTTCCAATGTTCTAATTTTAACCTTTCTCGCTCTAAAGGTAAAAGATAATCCTTGGGGAAATTCCCACCTGAATGGAATTGCGTTGCTCCTTAATAGTTTAGCAAGTTCAGAGTAGGCGGCTCTAAGGTCCAACAGTTGTCTTGGGATATCTTTATATATCTCAATTCTTCTATCCAAAACCTCCAGTGACTTTTCGTAATGTAGACCCAAAATCTTATCCCTTTCCTCCTTCGATCTCAATGTAATCAAACAGTCCCTGGGCCTCTCCTTCTTTATAAATCTTCCAAGTCTGAAAGCTGACACAATTTTAAAGTCCTTTTCTTCCAAATTCCAGAACTTGGAAAGTTCTTTGGTCAAAAACTCAGTTAGATTTCCTTCTTCTGCCTCTTGTAATGATCTAATCCTCAAATTATTCTCACGATTTCGCAGTTCTATCATAGAAAGATAAGTCTGATGTTCCCCAACTTGTTTGGTGAGTGGTCTTACCTCCTGCTCTAAATTTTCCAATTTTTGTCTGGTATCCTCAGCCAATTTTCGGTTTTCTACTGAGGCCTCCGTCAACTGTCCGATTGCTTGTGTATTCTGTCCCACCTGTGTAGTTAGTTTGTTTAGACAATCTGTATTTTTATCAATCTTTGCTGATTGCGCATCTACTTTCTTGTCCAAAGCTTCCAATTTTTCAAAGATTTTTTCTAGCACAGAAACAGAAGCTCCTGAGGCCATATCTTCCAATTGTAACTGCTCTGCTTCACCCTCTCCCTCTTTTGCCTGTGGCAAGACAGCTTCTTCAAGTTGTACTTCTGAGGGCAAAGTAGGCACAGATGATCTACGTGTCTGCGAGGCTGCGGTTAGAGTTGTTAGAGTTGTTTGTCTAACTCTTCCTCTTCTTCTTGTACCACTCATTCCAATGTTATCTATCAGTCAAGGTCACACTGAGTTTTTCCCACAGGAATAGAAAGGCCCAGAGCAAGCAAACAACAAGGGAATCGAAAGTAAATGTATTTGTAAAGTCACTGTTTTAATCCAATCCTCTAGAGGGAGCTTAAGATGTCTTTCAGAGTCTGATTTAATGTCCCAGAACCTTCCAGTATAAGTATTAAGCAGAGTTTAAAAGTAATCACTTTGTTACAGACAGTGCTTATTTGTCTCCAAAAAGAATGTTTCAAGTTTAAAAGGTCTCAATACCCTCAGATTGTTGCAACTTCTAATATACAGTATCCAAATCCACACTGGCAGCTCGCTCTTACAATGCTCAAGCAATCCTGACTCTGGGTTTCACCTTCCAATTTGTAATCCAATAAAAGGGGGGAAAGTCAAGTGCAAATAAAAATCCAAATCTTTAACTTGCTAGTTTTACTTTAAATTGTAAGTTCCACAGATGCTTGGCTGTGTGGAGTTTAAATTCTCTTTCTTTCAGCCTCCACTCCTCCGCCTTAGTTGCTTTTTTTTCAAGTTCAATGGCAGCGGAAGACGGACTTCCTGTTTCCACGTCTCTCCGCTTTTAGCCAAATTCAAGCCAAATTAAAACTTCTCATTTAAAATTTGTAATTCCAAGTGATTCAGTCTTTACTCACGAATAAGTTGTTTTCTTCCAGGTCCGAATTTTAACAGGAAAAGGGATCAGCGCTCACCGGCAGCAGCAGCGCGGCTTCACTCCGCTGACTGTGAAACGGCTCACAGCGCCGCAACCCCCCTCCACGCTCCGGAGCCCCTTACGAGGCTCCTTCTGCAGTTGGGGGCTGCTCTTGGCGCCCGCCGAGCCTCAGGACCCCAGGCTCTTGCTGCCTGGGGTTTTTCTCGTTGGGTCTCCGCTTCGCCGTAGCGGACGACCCTTCTTCAGCGGAGCTTCCTCTCCCGTCGGGAGAAGACCGCCATTGCCGTTCGCGCCGCCCCCCGGAAGCCTATTATTTTATTTATTTTAATACAATTATTTTAATATCTATATACCACAATTTCTAAGTGGGATACAACAGGAGCATAGCATATATCATAAAATCAGTTAAAAGGAACTATATGATCACAAAGCTCACTTAAAATGCCTGCTAAAATAAAAGAAAGTCTCCACCAAGCACCACAAGTTCAACATAGAGCGGAATGTCTGATCCCAGCTAATTGGGAGCTCCACAGATTGGGCCCACAACACTGAACACACAGCTCCTGATGGAAACTGGGCATGCAACTGAGTCATAAGAGACCACTAATAGTGACTCCTGCAAACACATCAATAATTGGGAAGGGATATAGGACAGGGGTTGCCAACCTTTTCAGATTAGTGGGCACATTTTGAATTTTGAGAGGATGTTGGGGATACCAGTCACAAATGGCCTCCATGTGGAGTACGACATAACAAAAAAGCAAAATGTTACCCATCCTCGACAAACTTAGGTTGCTTCATTGAGGTAACCGAACCACACTGAGGTACAGACACATTCAAGGGTGTGCCACAATACGAAAAGTAAGATTTCTTCACTCACAGACCAAACAAAACTGCCCACTTTCAAACTTAACCCATATCATGCTTGGCGTGTGATGGAATGCCTCAGCTGCAGTTTTAAATCATAGTCTTCCCTGAACTCTAATTGCACGCCTAATTGTCACCCCATTTCCCAATTTCAATGGGAGTCCCCGCCCACGCAAAAAAGAGAATACCAGTTTGCTATGCAAGATAAACAGCAGTTGGACTTACTCTGAAAAATTGCTTTAAATATCTGATATTCATCAACAGGATTATCTTCATCATCAATAATGGTTGAATATCCCTCCAAAGCAGTCTCTTCAGCATCATCTTCTTCCCAATCTTCATCATCTCCATCTTCTCCAGCCTGCTTTGCCAGAATCTCTAAATATTCCTGTCCATCTTCATCAATATCATCTTCATCACTCCCAAGTTCCTCTGTAAGAAGATATGGCTCAAGGATAAAAAACAGCAGTGTACTTTTCTCCATTAATTTATGTAATATTTGTACTTCATAACAATTCCACAATTTTAACCTAGGGCTAGGCTCTAGGATTCTGTTTTGCTTTTATCTGGGAAAATACGATGCATTTACAATGCCCTAGATGAAAACTTTCTCAGTTTGCACTATACAGTTTGAAATGAGACATAAAAGCCAACACAGAGACATAAAAGAAAAAATACAAAAATTGGACATAGTGAAGAGCAATGAAGCAACAGTGAAGTCTGATTAGGTTTGCTTTTCAAAAAGCAAAATGAAAAGTAAAGATACTTGGTACGAAAAACTAAGCTACTTGGTCTGATATTAAAAGTGTTCATAATACAAGGATAAAGCAGAGGAAACACTGAATGAGTGACCATAGCAAATATAGTGTGTAACATAGGAAACAAAACAGCAGGTGAAAAAGAAGGAAATGACAGGCCAAGATACAAACATCTGAATCCTATTTGGAAGAGAATGAATAAAGCAAGGAGGTAAAAACAAGAACAGGAAAATCAAAAGACAGACGTACCAGGATTGAAAGTTCATTGAGAAGCTGTCACCAGAACATGATAAATATTGGTGAACGGCTACCAGAGGGGTCAATGCTTTACCTGCTTCCTCGTCATCTTCTGCTTCATCATCATCATCACTATCATTTTCATGCTCAGCATGGCAAGCATACGCTCTTTTCAAGCCATTAAATAAAAGGATGAAAGCTGGCAGGATTTGGCCCGAAACCTGATTTAAAACCTGTGGTATTTGTTCCAGATCAATAAGTGCACACAAGCCTAGGACACACATTTTTCTGTCATGAAGCCTGAAATGCAAGAGGAAATTCCATATTACATTATTTTTCAGCTTTAGGAAAAAGAAAGCAAGTAGCATACAACCCAATGGAGACCTTAATTTAGAGAAGTACAAGAGCAAATAGGTCTTAAATGTACAATAAAGCTTCTTTTCACTTATCCCCAATAGATGTAGCCCTGCAGAAGCCATATGAAAAGGTGGATGAGACATGCACTGAGTGGACACAATTTCTTTCCTGCGCATAAAAAGGTTCAGAGCACCGTGCATCAGCACTGTGATCCCCAAGACACAAACTTACCCCAAGAAACAGTCCACATCATTAAGCCACTGTGTAATGAAGTGATTTGTAACGGGCTCCACATTATTAGGGAAGCGTAGATTTTCCAAAGTATTCAGAAGTAGATGGGGATTGTAATACAGAGCAGCTATGGCAACCTGGAGGCACATCGTTCGCAGTTCGCTTGTTTTAACTTCTCTGGTCAACCGCTCTAAAGCAGCTTCCACAAATAAAGGTATACACTGCAAAACATTTATAGTGACAACATTCAGTAATAACCCCTGATTTTTACATTCATTAATAACCCCAACCAGATGCATCTTTTAAATCAGGGCGGCCCAACTTTTCATACTAAGTGGGCCACCAGAGTACTTTGATGCAGAACTCATGGGCCGCACACTGTCTTGACACCGGGGGTGGGGAGCAAGCCCAAAATTTGACACCTCCCAGCCCTTGTGTTACCTTCCCAAAGCTGGCTAAGTGAGGCACCAGGCTTTGGGAAGGGGATGCAAGGCTTTGGCAGGATCCAAGAGCCCCCCACCTCCTCCTCGAAGCTGGGAAAGCACAAACTAAGTTTTGGGAAGGAGGTGGGGGGACCCTAGAACCCTGAGAGACCTCAGGCCTCCTTCCCAAAGCCCAGCACATCACTTTTGATTAAACATGAAAAGGGTAGGTGACTGTGTCTCCTCTAGAGTTGCAGCTATCATATATTTTTGGCAGTCAAAAGTCCATTCCACTTACCTGATCAATGCCACGACCTTTACACTGTAGAATGATCACCTCTAACAGTTTTGCTGCATGGCATTCTGCATCTTCTCCTGCCACACCTGTAAGGACCTAAGAAATACAATTATACCCCATCAGTTTCAGTACTGGATATTTAGTAGCATTTATTCTTTATATTTTCAAAGGAACAAAATTGTTAAGGAAACTCTGTCATTCTACTTCCCATCTGCACAGGCAGGCTGCACTGTGTGTACCAGAACCATATGAAAAAAATATTAATTGCGTAAAGAAGTTACTAGCTGAAATCCCAATACTACTGTTCCATTTGCAGAATGGCTTTGATCCAGTGCTGATATCTGCTAATGTAAGTGGAAGGGATTTTCACTGATTTCTCCTTCCTGCTGCTGCCTTCTATAACTTCCAAAAAAAAATCCGTTCCAGAGGATTGGGGGACCCTGCAGACCACTGTGGAGGGTGATGGTGGGGGACCGCAGGGGAAAACTGGTCAAGACTGTTTCCTCTTCTCTGTTATGGTGGGTGCCTCTGCAAGATCAAAAGCTGTTCTGCAAGTAGAACAGCAATGTTGGATTTCACCTAGGGAATATTATTTTACATCCACAAAACTGAATTCCTGGTTACGTTAGCCAGTAAAGGATCTGAATGTGACTGACCGTTTTTATACATTCAACTGTAACTTAGGTAAACATTTGTCGGTAATTATCATATCACATAACTTAATGACATGTGAGTGTTTCTGTCCCTCTCACCAACATAATTTGCTGTTTATTTCAGTGGAAATAGAAAATGTTCTGCCAACTGAAATGAGCACAAAGCTACACAATACGCAAGCCTAATCCTGCACTGGTGATCCAGGTGAAGAAACAGGCTTGTATATACAGATTCTTCTTCCAGATTTCAGACAGACATAGCATTTTGTGCCCGACTGTGGAAGGGGAAGGAAAAACTGAATCACCTAGCACCCAGGAATGTTGCCCCATTCTGGAGATTCTTCTACACAGAAGCAAGCAGCTGTGTGCATGTTAATGTGTAACAATATGCATTAGTGTGAAAATACATTATTAGTACGTACCAATAAAACTGACACTACCAATCACTAAGTTAAATGAAAGCCAGTATATATGTAAGAGCTCATTTTTGATGTTTGCATTAAAATTGGGAGTCTCTGTTTTAAAATAGTGTATATAGATATGTAGGGCACAATTCAAGGAACCTCCTTTGCATGCATATAAGTGCATACATTTCAATCTTTCTTTTCGACTGAAGTTCCCCGAAACTTGGCAGCAGGTTGGGGACAGACACCTGCCCCATCTTAGCAAGGAATCACAGGTATTAGACCTAACCGCTCTAATAATCTGTTTAGCAGAGCGAAGTTCAGAAGGCACTGGGATTTCTGTTGTCAGCCACAGCATGAATAATTTTCCAGTTCAGCTCAGCTGCAAAATCACTGTGAGGTCATGTACAAAAACAGCTGTAATGGAAACTGGTGTGTTCATGTTTAATCCAACTAAAATCATCCACCACTTTTTAATAACCTGACTTTGAAGGCAAGGTTATGATAAAAAAACCAACCACAATACCGCACAGTAGTAAGCCAAAGCCTGAATACAAAGAGATGTGTTTAAATTACACTTAGTATGAGTCCAGCCCACATTCAATCCCCATGTTTGAGAGTTTGGAGGCTGGTCAGTGGTAAGCTTGTCTTTCGACATCACTGCACCAGTACTATGATCTCAAGTTGCTCTTTGGCCACAATGCTGTATGTGAGCAACACAGTCTAAACGCAAAACACAATTGGACTGTATTACTAGGCACAGATTAGAAACTATGCACACACATGACTGCAGCCATTTTAATCCACTTCAGGGGAAGAGTAATACAACTGTATGACTGGTTACTGCATGGTTACGCGCATGGGAGCTTTCAGAAGAGGTTATGGACTAATACAGGATTAGGAAACGTGTGGCACTTCATATGGTGCTCAGCTACTACTCCCATCATATCTGATCATTGGCTATCATGGCTGGAGCTGATGGGAGTTGTCCAACAATACCTGGAAAGCTACAGGTTCCCCACCCCTGGTCTACTGACTCTCTGTATAGTTGGATCCACCACGTATTTTTTAAGCAAAATGGACATGCAATTCCATAGGTCCCAATAATTTAGCTTATCTAGGTCTGTGTAGAGTTGCTGGACCTTGCAGTCTCTTGAATGTGAATTTGGATTAGCTGCTGGAAAGGCACAAGTCTTTCTTTCCTAGATCTATACTGCATAATGGATATCTACAGGATTTATTTATTCAGCAAAATTTATCTACTGCTTATGTGTAATAAAACATCTGAGTGGTTTACAAAAGTAAACAAAACATTAAAATTCCAAACACACCCTAGTGAAAGACAGGTATTAAAAAACTTTCAAAAGAAAGGTTTCTGGATAGGTTTGTCTAAACAATGATTTAAATAGGCACTGAAAAGAACAGAGCAAAGGCACTTGCCTTATGTCAATGGGCAAGAAGCTCCAAATGAAATGACTCATTTCTCACAAATGTGGAATAAATATTTTTTGGCACCTGTAGCAGTGCCAGTTCTGCAGATCAAAGCACTCCAATGGTATAAATTTAGCTACAACGATAGGAGGATTAGTGAGTTGCTTACCTTTTTGCACATACTGTAGATCATTTCTAGGTATTTTGTATCAGACAGGAGTGTATCGGTATCAACAGTTACATAATTATGCAACAGTGGCATCATATCTGCAGTAAAAAGATTAATCAACAGTTGTTATTTATGTGTTCTCTTGGTCAATATGAAAAGCTGCAAGGTACAAAAAGGTATCATTATCATTCAGTTCTGCAGTGGCCTGCCTATGCCCAATGAAGGAAGACAGACCTAACAAGGAAGTTCACCTGTAAAGTAGTCAAAGCCGTCCTGCTGGAATACTTCAAAGACCAGAGGCAAAAGCTGCCACATCTGTGCTGAGACCTGCTGACAAGTCAGACTGTGAGCCAAGGAGAAGATTTCCTCATAGAATTCTGGAACAGGAAAAAGAAAAAGATGTCATGAACCTTGGCTTGATCCAATCAGTGCACCACATGCAAAGTAATAGCTGAAGGGTGGGGAAACCTCTTACCCAGAACATGCTGTTGTAACACTGTTCCTATTACTTGCAAACAGATACCTTCCAACTGCTGGGTAATCTGAAAGGAATTGTTTAAAGGAAAGGTCAATGTCATAAATTGCTTGTGTTACGTACTGGAGGACGAATTTGGGTCTTCAGAAGTAGAGTACAGGAAAATGATTAATTAGATGGGATTATAAATTATGAGGGTGGGTGGACAAGGTTTCTAATAGGACCTTATCTTTGCTGCTTTTGTCTAACTTGGCTAGTAAACCATAGGACCGATATAGAATTACTGTAACTTTCCCTGAACCTTAGATTAGGATAAGTTTTATCCTTGGAAATGGTCCTAATTGGTAGCAGCTTCTTGAGGAGCCTTAAATATGAGTACAGACAGGAATAGTTAGAGCAATTTGAGTGAAATCACAACCTTGGAGACAGAGAGAAATTTGGAAGGAAGGAGGGCTGAAATTGTGAATTGTCCTAATGGGAAGCCTCTTCCGGAGATTTAAATATGCCAAAGTAAGAAAAAAGAATGGGTAACAGTCTGGGAAACGGTTTTTATTTAGGGGCCAGCGGTTGTAAATAAATTGGGACATCAGCAGACATGGATTAAATGCTTGCAAAAAGCAACAATAAGGATAATTTTAAAAGGGGAAATAGTCTGTAAGCATAGATGTGTAATGTATAAAGCGGTCTGAATGTTTCAAATATCTGTGCAATATATCGCAAGTTTAATTGTTTAGTAGTTGGAAAATTGCGTAAAGGGACCTGGAATGTAAGATGATTTGGTTTATTTAAAGAACCAGAAGAGGGGGTGGAAGGAAGTCTGGGGATTTTGGGGGGGGGGGGAGGAGTAAAAATGTGTTCTTTTTGGTTATTTTTTAATGTTAATGAGAAATGTGCGGGGTAATCTGGTATTGATACAATGTGGCATATACTGGATTTATGTAACTGAGAATTAATAAAAATTATTTAACGAAAAAAGGGTAAGTTTTAAATAAAACACACAACCACGAATTACTTGGGTGGGTGGCCTGTTTCAAAAAGCATAGAGTAATCAGAGGCAAAGCACATTTACAAAGGTGGCCACTGCCATTATTTGAAGTGTTTAACACTAGGACTGTTTTATAAGCATCAGAACAAAAAGAGTTAAGTTCTGATCAAATTTATGTCTTTAATAGATGTTTGAGTACTAAAGGGTTAAGAATATCGCCTTCTTATCTCTGTCACAGAGAAGGTTGTTCAACAAGGTTCTCATCCATTTCACAGAACACACTTGCTAGGTTCATATGTCCTAAAGCACACACAACGACTCTGAAGCCACTGGTCTCAAATACAAGGCATGCAGAGAAATCAGATATTGCAGCGTCACCACCTATCTATTGTTTATTTATATATCTGAAACATTTTAAACCTGCTCTTCAGCCAAAAGAAGTTCCCAGAGCAGCTTACAAAGATCAGACTTGCAATCTAAAAAGTCACAACACAATAGGAAAAGGTACCAGGAGGGAGGAAGGATTCTAGTCAACATGGCTGTGTGCCATTTCATACTCATGCAGCACAATGGAGAGCCTGGGAGATTCATGTGTTTCCCTCTCTTTACAACTGAATACTTTGCTGTTTAATTAATTTGTTATGAGCATTTTAATTATTTCTGGCTTTCTACTATTTGATTGTTTTACCCACTGCTTTTTATATATCTAGCTTTCTGGTTTATTTTCACAGCTTTGTTTTTATGTTGAGATGAACCGCCTGGAGCTTTTCTTTGGAGTTGGAACAGCATGATAGAAATTCTGCAAAGTCAGTCTTTAAATCGGCTCTTAATTGTACTCCTGTCTTGTTCATACCTGCTGTGTCATCTGGCACGGCTGAATAACTTTGGAGCTGCAAGCTAGCCAGGAACCCCTTTCTGAACCTAGGGTCATATCCTAATTAGCTACAATAGGGATGGAGGGAGTTGGATGGATGGATGGATGGATGGATGGATTAATTAATTAATTAATTATAGGGATAGTTTGTGAGGAAGCTTCAGTAACAAAGCATTAAGATAAAATGCAAAGGAGAAGGAACAAGGAAGACAAAAAAATAGACTGCCCACCAACACTAAAGCACAGGCAACAAGCTTAACAAAGCTCCCTTTGCTATTTTTACATATAAGAAGCTAGTTTTCTGAGTAAAATTATCAGTCATAGGATTCAAAAATGGGTCCTCTTACAGATCAGTAACTAGCTAAAACAGGGCAGTCCAACACATGGCCCTAGGGGGGCATGTGGCCCTTGAGGCCTTTTTGGTGGCCCTCAGCAACCATGGCACACACACCCTGTCGCAGCCTTCATGCTGCCTTCCTAAAGCCAGGTAAGCAAGGCACTGGGCTTTGGGAAGGAGGACTGAGGGCTCTAACGGGGTCCTAGAGTCCTCCCACCTCCTTCCCAAAGCCTAGTTAGTCCTTTCACAGCTTTGGGAGGGAAGGAGGTAGGGGGGCTCTAGGAGCCTGCCAGAGCCTTGCACCTCCTTCCTAAAGCCCAGCGACTCACTTAGCCACTTTTGGGAAGGTAGCATGAGGACTGGGTTTGTGTGTCAAATTTTGACCTCTCTCCCCGCCCCCATGGCCAACAGGGCAATGTGTGTCCCATGGGTTCCATGTTGAAGCACTCTTGCAGCCCACTTGGTAGGAAAAGTTGGGCTGCTCCGATCTAAAAGAATAGGAAGTTCAACGGAACCTTCATTTTCAGAAGCACAGTACCCCTGAACACCAGATACTGGGGACATACAATTACTTTTTGCTGTGATTCTATGCTTCTTGAAGGCATTTGGCTGCCAGCTAGACTATACAGATCAGTTTTGATCCAGCAAGGCTCTCTTGTATTCCTATGAAATCCCATGAACCAGAGAGAGGGCTATGAAGTATTGTTATCTGCTCTATGGACGACATCAAAGTCACTGTTCCCAGCAGGGATCAGGACCCTATGACCCTCCTGATGTTGGATTACAACTCTCATCAGCCCCAGCCAGCATGGCCAGTGTTCAGGGAGTTGAAGTTCCCCATCTCTGCCTTAAAAGCTTTCAGCCTTTCACCACTGCTAGGAGCAGAATCATATTAAGAAAGGTATGAAAATATACTTGTTTCATATCATAAATACAGGTCAGGTTTTTAACTTTGGGTCTATTTTTAAAGCACAGCAGGCCCACACATAGTTTCTCACAAAAATGAATTCTACTGAGTATTGATTCCCTCTGGAATCTGCAAAGCACTGAGGTACTTAGAATAGCAGGTGTTTGTCTTGTGACCTCTATCTTTCTTCAAAAATAATTTGTATAAAAGTGCAAGGCAGTTTTGTAAAACTCAGTCAGGACTAGAGTTTGTTTTTACAGTTTAACAAAGGTTAACAACAAAACAGTAACGTATTTTCAATAAAAATAGGTTCACAGAATTTAAATACTGATGCTGGCTTCCTACCAACCCTCTTAAAACAAGGCTATTTTGCAGCTTTTCCTGGATACAAGCAAAATAATTTCTTACCTCTTTGTGATCTTCAACAACACTGAGGAGCGTATCAATGGTATTCAAGATGCCCATTGCTGTTACTGCTTTATCATCACTGCCTTCTTCATCTGGCCCTGTCTGAATCACCTGGTTAAAAGTCATTGCCTACAAAGAGAAAGAATAAAATCTCAGTTAAGAGTTAATAGGAAGCTCAACAGCAGACTAAAGAATCATAGCGTAACAAACAACATTTTCAGGACCGTTTGCAAAAGAACATTATCAAATAAGACTTTGTATCAGGGTGGGGTGGGGAAGAGCTCAACCCTGATGTAGAATTTGGGCTTCCTTAATTTTTTTTTTAAAAAAATACAATTAATCAGGGATGAATACTGATAAAAATGTAAAAATCTATTTTTTAAATTAAAAAACAGCTAAGCTAAGCGGTTGCAGGGGGTGGGGACTGCTAAACAAAGGAGGAGGGTAGGAGATTTTTGCTTTCTACCCAAAGGCCCCAGACCACTTCCCAAGCTTTATCCCCCTGGAGCAGCTTTCCAGGGAAAAGAGAAAATGGCAAATATGACCTCCTCCTGCCGCCAGCAAAGAGTCCCAAGAGCAGACTTCTGCTTCTTGTAACTCTGGCTCCAACCCCAAATCTTTAAAATAGCCCAACAACACTACAGTATTTGGGATTTTTGTGGTATTAACTAAGTCAATTTACATTGAAAAATTCAGAGTATGTCAAATATGTATATTTAAATCGTCTCTATTATGCTTTAATAAAAAATATTATTTCTTGTCTATGTTTTGCTACCACCAACACACTAACTTTGGCAGCAAACTAAGCAGGTTAGAATATGTAATTGACTGTCTACATTAGCAGAACATCAGGATATTAAAACAGCAGCCAGCATACTATACAGGCCATAAGCATGGTAAAATAGTGTGACTTACCAAATGCTGGGTCATTTCTACTGCTATAGGAGTAACCTCTTCACTATATTCACAGATCATTTTCTGAATCACATTGGTAAGATCATCATTCTCAGTCTCTCGAATAATATGAAGAAGAGCCTGCATCACAGGTCTAATGAATGGGGTAATATATTCCTTAGCTAAAAAAAAGGGGGGGCAGGAAAACAGATTACTTTATTGTAACTTACAGGAAAGCAGCAAGTACTTTAAACAAGAGGTAGTCAATGTGGTGCCCTCCAGCTGTTGTTGAACCACCACTCCCATCGGTCTTCAGCCAATGGGGCCGAAGGTCCGGAATGATGTCACCTGTAGCTCCAACAACATCTGGAAGGCACCAAGTTGGCCACCCCTGCTTTAGGCATTCTTTTAACAAAGCCACACTCTGATAAAGGCCATTTCAAATAATGCTCAGCTTCTTGGCATGAATGTAGCTTTCAATCAGCTTTTCAAATGTATGTACAAATTATAATCTGCAAAACACTACTACCACTTCCCCCACGCTTTCCCCCCCTCCCTGTTCTGGTTCAGATGTGCTCAGTTTCTTGATATGGGAAACAGATTGCCAATCCTGGACCATGTGCCGCTGCCACCCACCACCCTATCCTTATTATGGATGTTACTCTAGGAATATTGCTTCCCCAGCAATAAGATGCCTCAGCCTCCAAGGAGAGAATCCAAAAGGCTCCTTCAGTCTAAATCATGCACCTGCCGTTGGATCTGGTGTGCACCCCCCAATCCCAGTGAAGCTGTTAGATTTAGGAAAAAAGCTGCCAGTGAAAGTATTTTTTTTAAGCCTATTTGCTGTGGAGTATGGAGAAGAAGTTTTCAGGGGGAATTGAAGCACATGTGGCGGTTAATGTTTTTCTCTTCAGCTGCAACCTCCTTGAAAAATCCCCTCCCAACCACAGAAAACTTAGGCTGGGGGGGGGAGGCCTTCACTGTCACTATTGGGAGCTTTTTACTTAAGTCTAATTGCTGCACGGGGAAGAGGGAGAAGGGGAGGCAGAAAGAGCACAGAAATGCAGAGGGAGATAGTGGGGTGGCCCCACACACCACTGGCCGCAACCCCACTATCCTGGGATGGTGCCCCAAGGAAATCCAGCCCTCCAAATAAAAAAGGTTGCCACTCCTACACAACACTGTAAGGTTACTTGATAGGTCAAAGGGTAGGAAAAAGCACCTCTCTCTTGATTACTAATCAAAACCTGCAGTGCTATGGCAGCTTCCACCTTCACAGGCATCTCTCTGTCATCAATTAGGCATCTTCTTGTCAGTTCAAGGGCTGTCTGCAGATTCTGGTCACTTTTAAACTTTACTTCACAGAAATAGTGAAGCACCCAGCAAGCCTGGAGAAGATGATATGCAATTTTAGGTAATTATGGACATACCTATCCCACACAACAGTTGGGAAAAGCACAAATGCAAGACAGAAATGTGAGAATCACTTTAGATAGACATGTATGAGAGTTTGGAGGCTGATCAGCAGTAAGCTTGTCTTTCGACATCACTAGACCAGTACTATGATCTCAAGTTGCTCTTTGGCCGCAGGTTGTATGTGAGCAACATGGTCTATAAGCAGAACGCAAATGGACCATGCCACTAGGCATAGATTAGAAGCTACGCACACAAATGCCTGCAGCCTTTCATTGGGAGGAGAAGTCAGGAGTCAAGTGACAAACTGCATGATGGTCTCTTAAAAAAGGAAACTTATCACATGGTGGCTTTAATTGCATAAAGAACCAACTGCCTCACCTTCAGGTTGTACCATTGCTAAACTGCTCTTAAAATTTACAAACCACAGCACCCCTATCCCACTCTCATAGAGGAGTTATATTAACAGGGAACTTGCGAGAAAAGCTGTGATCATGAATTCCAGGATATTGAGACATGGCATCTTCAAGATCACTGCCACTCTTAGTGTGGCCTCTTTAAAAAAAATTGGGAACCCAGATAACAACTTCCACAAGATATTACACCACCCCTTCTGCAAAAGCCCTGGCCACAACCCACACACCATCCAAAACTACTTGCTAGAAATCATATGCTCCTCACAATTTCACATAGCCCTTTTGTGAAAGAAGCTATGCCATGTTAGCCCTCCCCTTCACTAGACATCTTCACCAAGAGGCTACCAATGGAAAGAGCAGATGAGACTGGACCTGGTTTTACACTTACCCGTGCTCTCATGTAGCCTAGCTCGCTGCTGAAGAGAGGAAACACGTGATTCTGCAGCATGTACTCCATCTGATCTTTGTATATCTTTTTCTATTGGAATATAAGACGATGGAATGTAAGACAATTAGAGATGAATCTAGCTTGTCAGAAAGGATGGGTGAATGGAAATAATTCCTGTTAAGATTGCTAACCCTTCTGCTAAGGTAATTTTAAAGTAAGTGTATGTCAAGATGAAGTTAAATTTAAAAAAGAACTTAGACAAAACTAGCAATTCCCAGATTTAACAGCAGCAGCTGCCAAAAACTGGACTATCAAAACAAAGAGAAGAGCCTGTGGCAGACAGGCGCAAACATTTAAATGATTCATAGTTACAGAGTGTCAAAATGCAATCATGGAAAAATTATTCTCCAGCCTCAACTTAACAAAAGCCTGTTATGGAAAGTGTCAAAAATTAGATGAGTGCTAATGTTTATTGTCAATTCATAAGATTCTAGAAATCCAATAGGAAAACACAGCATCTGGGTCAAGAGGTAGATAAGATATCTACCCTACAGCATCTCCTACATTGGCAGTTATGTAAAGTGTGCAAATTCAAGACCGGCAATATACTGCATCTAAGCACTCCTGTCCCAGTCCTGACAGGATTAACCCTCTCTCAAATAGCCTAATACACCCAAATCGCAAATGTTTGTTTGGGAAGGTAGGGTTGCCCACCTGGTCAGTTACAGCAACACAATTCCACCTTTCACAGATGGTCAGAGATCTCACTGCTAAAGGTTCACATTTTGGCTTGGCTTAGCAGTCAGGCATCATTTGTGGCTGGCACTGACTGCCCTCCCTACTTCTCTGCATGCATGCATGCATGCACATAGAGAGAGAGAGCCTCTTAAGGCGAGTAATATTTTCTCTCATTTTCTTTTGGGATTTGGAATAAGCACGCAACAGCATCTTGCTGTTTCCCACCTGTCATGAAGCCTACTGCAAAAAAGACACACACACACACCATATCTTCTACACATAGAAAAACTAGCAGAAGGTGTGGGGTCATGTTACACTTCACACTGAGCTTTGAAGAAGGGAAGTAGCTGAAAAGGTGAACTTCACTCCTCATGTGCACAAGTTGTGTGTGCCTGTCAGAGGGTTCAGTATTGAGGAAATATGGATCATCCAACCAATGGACTGGATCTAATTTAACCAGGCAATATAGATTTTTTTGTTAACCACTGCCTGGAAATACTGGGTCTCCATCTTCGAAAGGTGACAAATAAGTCACAAAACTTGGCCAGGAATTAGCATTCCTCTAACAATAGCAAAATACAAATTGATACTAGTGCCAGTCATGTCACACTTCGAAAATGTGCTAACAAAGGATTTTAGTAAATATAGTTGTTGCCATGGAAGAAGATACCACTGTAATTACTTGAGTTAACAAGATTTATGTGTTGCTACAGGATTTTTAAAGTGTCTTCTTCATATGACAAAAATTAAGCAGAGAAGTTTTGAGTGCACTTACTTTCAGAAGTATTTCAGCCAAAGAACCAATCATATGCAAAGCACCATCTTTTTTACGAGGATCAGCATTTGGCTCTGTGAGGATCTGATAACAGAAGCCCATAGTCTTTTGCAGAACCTAGTATAAAGAGACAATTTGAGATATTTCAGTTATTATTCAAAATATTAGAAAATATCCTTATGTCTATGATGTCATTTGTGGCTTTCTTTGCATTTTTCTAATAAATGAACACTGCTCAGTTACCTTATAGGTATTCAGATGCTACATGGCTGTTTGAGGTGGTAAATGGCGAGTTAAGTACAGCCCAGATTTAAGAACATTGTTCTCCTCCAACAAATTTGCTAATCACTTTTAGGGCAAAATCATTTCTATTTACTCTGAATCTGATATCACAGTTGAAACAGATCTTGGTGAGATTCGGGAGCACCATCTTGTGGGATTCATTTATTATTTGTTCACTGCATAATCAAATAAATATATTTATACAGTTTGAGTTGCTGTGTCTTGACGTAAGCAGGATATCTGTAGGGGTTTTGCGGACCACCTGTCTTCTCAATCCTTCTTGGCATGTGAAAACTAGCTGTGGATTGACAGGGTAGGTCCAGAGAATGATTAATCCTGCAGTATGGGATGGTGTAGTGCCTTCCATCTAGAAGAAAGCAGTTGTGTGGCTTCTCCTGAAGAGGTCTGTCCGTGTGTGTGTGTGTGTAGGTAGATGATTGATAGATAGACAGATATAGTATATAGATATAGTATATAGATATAGTATATTGTGTGTATATATATATATATATATGTATATATGCATATATATACAAATATACAAAAATACATATATATATATATACATGTATATATATACATATATATGTATATATAGAGTCCGATATGGTCATGTTTGCCCTGAACAGCTATGTGAGCATTGTGTTTTTAATAATTGTTCCTTTATGAATATACAGTGGTACCTCGGGTTAAGTACTTAATTCGTTCGGAGGTCCGTTCTTAACCAGAAACTGTTCTTAACCTGAAGCACCACTTTAGCTAATGGGGCCTCCTGCTGCCGCTGTGCCGCCGGAGCACGATTTCTGTTCTCATCCTGAAGCAAAGTTCTTAACCCGAGGTACTATTTCTGGGTTAGCGGAGTCTGTAACCTGAAGCATATGTAACCTGAAGCGTATGTAACCCAAGGTACCACTGTACTAGTTGTGTATTTGTTTTCATCAGTGATTTAATTTTGTTGTCAGCTTTGTTGTGCATCACCCTGGGCTCTGCTCAAGCAGTGATGATTCATTAAACAAACAAAGAAAATTCTAACAACAGCATCAGCATTAAAACTGTTTGTTAGAATTAAATTTAAACATGAAATAACATGTAAACTGTAGTGGCTAAGTATTAATCATAGGAAACATTTGGGCCTGAAACCTATATGAGGGCCCACACAAATACCAGAAAAAGTTACGGTTCTTGGATTACAGGTAATCCTTAAAAAGCATACCTCTTTCCTTTTGCCACATGCTGTAAACAACAATGTTTGTGCAGCAGTTGTGGGGGAAATGAAGTCTTCAAACACATCTATTAAGCAAAACACAGAAGTCTAAATGTTTGGTCTTTGAAGCATAAAAGGAACTAGTGCAAAAGAAGAAGTGAATTCAGACAACAGAGCCACTTTAGTCCTCACTCACCAGCTTTTGTTATTTAAGTGCAGCAATTTCCTCTTTCAACTTATGCAAGGAGTTTTTAAAAACACAAACAATAATATAAAGATCCCAATACTGTAAAATGCCTAACATGTTGGAAGTAGTAAACATATTAATTTTGTTTTCAAAACCGAAGTATTGTAAAATATATCCACAAAGTACTTTCTGCGTTAGGATTAACCTCTGAATGTTACAAACTAGTTTGTGCAAGGGGTGGAGAGAGGCATTTCCTTTATTGTGAAGGCTTCCTGTACAAGACAAGCAGAACAGACCTGTCCAGTTATGTTCTGTGTTCCTCGTACAGGATGCCATAGTAAAAGTTGTGGTGCAAAGCTCTCTTACAACAGCTAGAGGGATGGGATTGAATGTCCCTAACCTATACAGCATCTCCTCACTATTACTACCTAGCTGGAAAAATAAACTTAGTTTTGAACTACTTACCAAACTTCATACGTATATATTCATATGGATCTTCCTGCCATAGCTCTTCGTCAGCATCTGTGTAGCACATCAGTGGGAAAATAACATCTTGGATAATTCCCTGTAAATAATAAGGAATATAATTTGTTAGAAGCATGTTTGGCATTTATAGGCTGCCCTATCAAAAAACAAAACAACAACAACAACAACAAAAAACAGGTTCTCAGGGCAGTCTACAACATAAACTGAACAAGTTAAATCAGAACTTTAAATAAATCAAATGAAAACTTGAATTAGCCGTTATTATGCCGGTGCTTACCAACAGTTTTTGTGCAACCTGATAATTGCATAACACCTAAAAGAACATCATTTGGATGCGTATTAGATCCTCTGCCACACTGTTTTAAGACTCTGTCCAGATGCACTCACAGCAATACCATTGGTTATATATTCTCCACCACCTTAGATGGTAATCTAGTGCAATGAAGAGTTCTCAAGAACTTGAAAGCTTGCACTTTATTTTGTGACAATTTGGTTGGCCTACTCAAAGTACTGCCCCATTATGGATTTTCAGTGTTTTCTATGGCCAACATAGTTACTTTTACTATATGTAAATTTGATTTATTTTGGCTTCATATGATACCACAGTATGAAATCGCTGAGAAATATTTATTATCTATGCCAATACCTTTAAAAAATTTAAGGGAAAAGAAAAATAATCTAATGAACTCTGAAGTTTTACTGCTGTGGAAAAAATATACAATTGTCTCAAATATGCAAAAAATCAAATAAATAAAAAATTACAAAGATACCTAGAATCAAAAGAGGTCTAAAGTAATTTTCTGTAGTTAATTTCTCTGGCGCACCAAGTTTCTTTTAATTGATGGCTTTCAAAGCAACTATGGGTATTTACTGAGCATTATCTTCAATACAACCAAATTTAAAGCCACTTAACATAGCAAGCAGTTCAAGTTCAAGTTCAAGATACACAGGGCTAGAAAACGGCTTAAGGTATTCATGCTGCTATGCAGTCACCATTCAGAGAGGAGGATGGGAAAAGAACTTACTTGGATATGGGGCTTCAGATTCTTCCAAGTGACTGCATGCGACACCCCCTGATTGATATAGTTCAGTGTCTGCTGCAGAACTCTAGGAGCCATGTACTGCTTTTCCTTATACTGATATAACACTTTCAGCAAAACCTTTAAAAAAGCAAAAAAACAACTGCTGTTGGTTGTTTCTAAAGATTAAAGCATCTTGCTGATAACTGCAAAAAACTAACTTTAGGTTGTCTTTAGGTCGCAGCTTTCTGCACACATGATTTAGAAAGCACCTATTAGCATGGGAAGGAACTAGGAAACAAGAGCTTGCACCTTTTGGAGTGTGCCAATAACACCAGTTCTGGTAGTTTATATAAACCAGCAATGGTCAGCACATCCCTACATGATTTGCAAGTAACAGGAGCACTGAAACAATTCATGTGGAAGGAAACTTGATTATGGTCTAACAAATTATGTTCCCCTTTGGAGATGTGACATAGCTCAGTGGTAGAGCCCATCATTTGCATGCAGAAGATCCCACATTCAATATCCAATATCACAATACAGTCATACCTTGGTTTTCGAACAAAATGCGTTCCGGAAGTCTGTTCAAACATTCGGAAACCAAGACATAGCTTCCTATTGTGCAGGCATGCCGGAAACAATAGAGGAAGCCGCATTGGATGTTTGGCTTCCAAAAAAAGTTCGAAAACCAGAACACTCATTTCCAGGTTTCGATTGTTTGGGAGCTGAAACGTACAAGTACCAAGGCGTTCGACAACCAAGGTACAGCTGTATTAGAGAAAAGACACCCTCTCACAATTTGAAACTCAGAGGTTTGCCAGGTGGGCAAATAGTCTGACTTGATATATGACCTCAGGTCACTCAAGCTTCATTGAATACCAGGAATGGAAAACCTGTAGTCCACATGTTGTTGGACTTTCAACACCTATCATTAACCACAGTCAGCAGGACCAATGGTGGGGGGTATTGTGGTCCAAAAACATCTGGAGGGCAACAGGCTCACCTCTAATCTATACCATCATTAAAGATCTTGGTAATCCAAAAATAAATGGTGCAAAACACCAAGAACAAGGGATCAAACCCTTTGAAGCAGTAGCAGTTCCTACTTTATTTTTGGGGACGGGGACAGCACTTTTATTTCAAGTGTTTTCTTAGCAAGCTTAGTATAATCTTTCGTATTTGGAGAAAAATAAGAGGGGGGAAAGGATGGTAAACTGCAAGTAATTATTAATCAAGCATGTGACTTGAAAGAGTTTCCTACCTGCTGGACACCAACAGCAAATGCCTTTAGGAAAACTTCTGCAAACTCATTGTACTCCTTGGAAACATTTCCAGGACTTCCATACCTGTTGTATTAGTGAGAAGTCCAATATAATACTGCAATATATTGTGCACATCATCACAAAAGTTACATTTTTTAAAAATGAAAAGGAATATTGAGGAAAAGCATTACCTTTCAAAAAGTCTAGCCAATATATGCAGTGCCCACTTCTTACATTTCCACCATGGTAATTCAGGTCGATCATCTTCATCCACTTGGAGGGTTTCCTTTAGGAACCAATAGCAGATTAACAGAATGAGTACTTCACATTATTTGGGGGGTTCTGAGAAATTAGGATCTTTGCTTAAAGTAAACCATGCAATTATTTAAAAGGCAAAATACTGTATATATTCTAGTAGGACAAATAGCATATAGAAAAGGGCCCCCAAATACCTTCAAATTCATGTATGTTTTCAGATGATCCAAAAGGAACAGGTCACATGAAAGCAAGGGAACCACAAACATGTTGGGAACACTGTTTGCAGTTCCAGCACTGCAATACCCACTTCTGATAAGACAAGCAATAGTTCCACTTGAAAAGTAGCTTACCACATCGGATGTGGGAAATACAGAAGCAAAAACTATAAAGAAAGCTTCAGCTTACACATATGGTTTCTTTGCATGCTCATAAACTGGCTGGCCTGAATGTAACAAGCACTTACAGCTGGTACATCTCGATCCACAACTGTTTTCAGAATCTCAATCCATTCTGCTAGATTTTGCTGATTGATCAGTTCCATGGGTAATGTGTACTATTAAACAAACAAACAAAAAAGCAATGGTTACAAAATATGCTCAAAATATATTCCATGTGAATATATTCTTAGGGGGCATTCCCTTGATAGAGACCAAAATAAGTGCAAAACGAACTAGTCTACAAAACCCACTCTGGATGAAAATAATCCCAAATGAGTCATTGACTTCCTTAGCTAAGCACTGATGAAAAATAGCCTCAGACAGTAGCTACATTATTTAAGGCAATATTGCACTAGGAATGAAAAAAAATGTTCTTACCTGAACAAGAGCATAGAAAATTTTGAAGATCTGTTTCTGGATAAGGACAGACTGATCAGATTGATCAGGGAGAAGCTGGATAAAACGATCCTTCAGAACAGGCAAAAAGTGTTGCATTGCTGCTATCAAAGGAGTCCGCTCCTCCGGTTTCTTATATCTTTAAGAAGGAGGAGAACTGACATTAGAAAGAATTTAGATGCCACACTGATTAAAATAAAGATGTCAAGGGACACCATTAGATTGGTGGGTTAGTGCAACAGAGCGTGGCAGTCAGACTTCCTTAATGTTTGGGAGAAGCATGACTTTGAAGAAGTGAACACCTGCAATTAGACAAGTTACATCCTAGTCCTCCTCCAAGGTCCTCAAGCATCTTAATTAAAGTTCCCAGGAAATGTCCCAAGGACCAAACCTGTGTAGCTTCAGCAATAAAACTCTGCAATGTGCTCTAATCCATGCTCTGGGCCAGACATTTAAACTTTTAAAATCACCTCTCATGACCCCTTAAGTGAAAGCAGGTTAGACACTTGTAAATCATCTAGGATTATAAAATTTGTGTAAAATGGTGGGACAAGGAACAAGGACTTTGGGAGGAGAGAGTAGGAGACTGGGGAGCAGCACCCACCATGTTCTGAACTTTAAGACACTTTAAATAAAAGGCTAGTACAGGGATCCTGATAGAAGTAGTCTTTGCACTCGCAACCTTCCCTTCAATTATCAAAATGGGCCGATTCCACAGCTTGCTCATTTTGACAATTCAAACAACTCTACTGTCTAGGAACTAGCTGTGTAAACTACAAGGAGAACTGGGACCACACATCACTGATGTGGCTCTTCTCTGGGTTTATAAGACAGACAGGAACTTACTCATAGTTCTTCACAAGTTGATAAAGACAGAGAAGAATTCCAAGCCAACAGGCGCTATTATCTGCCTGAAGATAAAAGCCAATTTTCTCTACAACTGCAGTCCAACGATTCGGATAATCATGCTTGATAATGTGGTGAATGCAAGTAGTAAGCTGTACCCTGGAACACAAGAAGTTACAAAAATATTGTTACAATGCATTAGCTGGGATTTTTTTTAGGATAACCGAATTCTTAATTAAAGTGAGCAAGCAATGTTGTACTAAATGAAATTTCAAGTTTGTTATTAATGAATTAATAATTAAGTAACAAAAATAAATTTCTAAACCACCCTTCATCCAAGGATCACAGGGCAGTTTACAATAGTTTTATGCACACAAATGAATTTATTTAAATAGCCATGCTTCTTCAAAGTGATACAGCTAGATCGCCTCCCTTGCCTCATTACCAAATTACATGGGTGTCATGTTCATACCTTTTTCAGCACCCACCTAGATATATTTGAGATCATAGCAACATCAACGTTACAATTTCTAGTGACAATGAAGGCTTAAAATAACAAGGAAAGAGTTGGGAAAGAGTGTGCTCCGTGATCATGACTCAGAGTATACCTAATGAGCTCAGGAGAATGAATAATGGCTTCTACAATATTCTCACGAATGCAATGTCTATCTTCTTCCGGTATTGAGTAAGGTGGGATGTCTCCTGGTGTAGTTTCCCGGTCAGGCCAATACTGAGTTATCATATTTTTCAAGTAGATAACACCTGTCAAGAGAAGCATTCAAAATTAATATTGTCCAAGCCAAGATTATGATGTCTCTGTAGTAATACTGATTAACACATTTTTTTAAAAAAACAACCCCAAATGAAACATTATTTGGCGATTAAGCAGCAGCTTGTGACTAACATATCTCAGAACATATCTAAGGGAGAGTGTCAGTGTGATTAAGTGGTCACAGTATCACAACTGACACCTGTGTACCAACTTCCTACTCAGATATGAAGCTCTCTTGGTGATCTTATGCCACTCACAATCAGTCTAACCTATTTCACAGGGCTACTGTACAGCTAAGATGAGACAAGCCCCCTATAAGCTCTTTGATGGAATTATGGGATACAGGTCTGATGTCTGATGGATATCCTCAAGACTGACTTTGAGCACTCTTTTATGCTATGATCATCACTGTGTCACCTTTGGACAAAAGTGAATCCTTTGGAGGGGTATGAAATTTCTTCACTGTCAAACCTACCCAACTTCACATAATCTTTCAGAATTACTCTGAACTTTCTCATTTGCGCTGATGTTTGGTGACTGAGGTTAAGGTGAAAGTGACTGAGTTGTCAATACTACTGAATTCAACAAATCATTATTTTATCCATGTTTATATTTCCAATTCAACATATTGGTATCGAACTTAAGATTTTATGAAGTATAAACCAACTGTAAAAACAAAGTATTTCAAATGCAACTATACCATGATGCAAAAATATAATACAGCTGCAGGCCAAGCAAACAAAGCCTTCAGAATGCCATGGAACTTACTTTAGCTCAGCTTATATCACAAGAGAACCATAGCATAGTATTTCCCTTGTACACCTCAGCTGGCATGAAGCAAATCTTTATGCCTACATTCATGACTGGACTCCAAATGATGTGCAAAGCCTGCTGTTATTCCAACAGTCAAATTAGTAATGCATGCATCTCAAACACAATTAGCTTGAAGAGTCTGGTATTATCCCAGCAGTACTATTTCTAGCAAATAGGTTACTTCAGCTGCCATTATGTACTTTTTAAAGAAATGAAATGGCAGAGAAGGATGAGATGAACTTTCATCTCAAAATATAAACACACCATTGCCATGTAATCGTAAGCACACTGAAGACACAGAGCTTTGTATGGAGAAATATGTATGTTAGTTCTACCACTGTTGAAGGATGACTGGTAGTACAAGCGTTTTCCGCCACCAAGACACCCATGACTGTATGGGTTCTGTTCATATTATCTAGGTTACAGCAGCTTTAAAATCTACTTATCATTACGAATTTTTGCCCACCGTCAAATAATATTAGCATACATACTATAATAAATAAATAAATAAAATCAACACTTGCCTGCCTGTCTCACTGGTAAATCCAGTTGCTCTGACATAGTGATTTGAAGGAGAGTTGAAACGAAGTTCACTGATTTGTGAGCCTGTAAAGTAAGTGAATACGGTATAGTCAGATGTCAAAATAATTTGTGGAAACCATTACAAATAAAGCTTTGTAGTTTTCAGAGTGCTGTATATTCTTCAACTAAAGCTAGATAGGAGGAGGTGGGGGCCCAACTCTTTAAGAAGCAGCACCCAGAGCCTCTTCGCAGAGGACACACTTTTGGTTTCCCCCCTCTTTCATTTCCTATGGGCGTGCTTCCCTTCTGTTTTCCTCCCCCTCCCAGACGACTTTCCCATTTGGGAGAAGAGATGCCTATCACATTTAATACCCTTTACTCTGGCATAATCTTATTAAGAGCTGCTATCTGGCTGCGTGAGATGTTATCAGCTTTAGCACAGGAAGTGGAAATATATGCATCACTTTCTCTTGCTCCACTACCTGCATTTTCTTCAAGGGTGTGTAACAAAGATCATAGAACCAAGGCTAGTTAACCCTTTACCACTCCACTGTAATCTCAAGTGGGATGTTGAACATGCTGTAAGTATGGTGTTTCCCCTACCCTTTCAGTGCATGCTTCTGAAAAATCCTAATCCATAGAAGTGATTTTGAGAATGAGACTAAGGGTAATAATGTTGACAGACTAACTATGAGCAGGTCAAGCAGATAAGGAACTCTTGGCTCCTTCCCTGAAATCTGAAGCTAAATCACAGACCATCTTCCCACCAGGCTGTTCATTTTCCATGGATGTGGGTGTGGGTGTACAGTCACATGGTACACACTCCTTCAGATGAACAGAGTTGTTGTTCTGGCTGAATTTACCAATCCTTCATACTTACATTGTAGAAGGAAGTGAGTTTGAGGAATACAAGCATGCTCCCATAAAATAATACAGTAGACTCACAACATATGCACATTTAACTTACACACATCCGGCTTTATACACTTGGCAAAAAAAAAAACACTTTACAAAATTAAGGAGGAGGCAGAAAGGGACAGGAATCTGGGGGGAAAGACTTTGGCAATCCTAACCACCACTGCACCCAATATGTTTTGACTACATGTGATTTTGGCTTTATGTGCTATCCCTGGAACATAACCCCCCACATAATTTGAGAATTGACTGTACTCATGATTTCTCTACCTCCCACACAGCATGTCTGGAAAGATGGCAGCTCAGGAATCCTTCTCCTCTACCCTCTATTATACCGTATTTTTCGCTCCATAGGGCGCACCGGACCATAGGGCGCACCTAGTTTTTAGGGGGGGGGGGAATCAAGAAAAAAAAATCTTATTTCCCCCAGCCCCAAAGAGCACCGTACATGCTGCGCAACCTCTCCCTTCCGGAGGGGTTGTGCAGGGCTATGGCACAAGCCAAGGCAGCGAGCGGGATGGATCCCTCTCGCTGTTTTGGCTTCCTCTTTAGCCCCATGCAGCCTCTCCCTGCCGGAGGGGCTGTGCACAGCTATCCCTGAAGCCTGGAGAGCGAGAGGGGTCAGTACGCACTGACGCCTCTCGCTCTCCAGGCTTCAGTGAAAGCAACTCGAAGCCTCCGGAGCGCGGAGGGAGTGCTCCCTCTGCGGTTCAGAGGCTTAGCGTTGCTATCGCTGAAGCCAAGGAGCCTGCATTCGCTCCATAGGACGCACACACATTTCCCCTCAATTTTTGGAGGGGAAAAAGTGAGTCCTATAGAGCGAAAAATACGGTAATTTGATTTTTGAGCTGCAGGCTATTCCTTCTTCCCCTCCACATTTCACAAACAAAGGTGCTCTTCCCTCCTTCCTGGTTTGAGAACACTGTGCCTGTGGCTAGGACCTTATCTCTATCTCAAGAGCATGATACAGTGGTGCCTCGCAAGACGAATGCCTCGCAAGACGAAAAACGCGCAAGACGAAAGAGTTTTCCGTTTTTTTAGTCGTTCCGCAAGACGAATTTCCCTATGGGCTTGCTTCGCAAGACAAAACGTCTTGCAAGTTCTTGCGAGTTTGTTTCCTTTTTCTTAAAGCCGCTAAGCCGTTAATAGCCACTAAGCCGCTAATAGCCGTGCTTCGCAAGACGAAGAGACTCACGGAACGGATTAATTTCGTCTTGCGAGGCACCACTGTACTCCACTCTTATGAACCTGCCAATGTTTATTAGGAACATGCAACACAAATCTATGCAGAATGAATCAAAGTTGAGTTTAAAGTCCTAGGGTGTGTGTAAGAGACAATTCCTGCTATTCACTGCAAGTGACTTACACACTTGTAGTGCCAGGAAACATTTTGTAAGCATGCTATCTTCCTCCTCAACAAACTTATAGAATTTAAGATGAGACTACTAAAAAGAGCTTGAACAACAATTTAGGAAACCAACACAATCTTATTCTTGATGGGGTGGAGAAAGTCTCAGACTACACCTATCAACCATGAGTACTGATTAAGAGATCTTGTCACAGAGGGATATTTGCTTTAGAGGAACATCACAGAAATGGAAAAGCTAACGGCTCCAAGGTTTGCTTTAAAAGTTTCTCCAGAGAGATCAGAGGGGAAATTGTTCTTAAAAGTCCTGCTACAAATAAATAGGGAATGGCAGCAGGGAGAATACCCACAGCCACTCAGACTGGATTTAAAAGGGGACATAACAGTAGCAAGCAGATATTCAGAATCCCTAGCCCTATAAACACACACAGTTGGCAGCAAATATTAAAAAGAAAAATACATCTCCAAGCACCTGCCTGCACCTTTTTAAAGAAGTCCCAGCACTCACTTTAGGAAAATCACAGGTTGAGTATTGAAGGAGGGGAAGAGTATACAGATCAACGGCTATAAGCCTAAACCCTTAGTTTCATTAGATTCCAAACTACAATGATCAGCCCTCTTGCAACAAAGGTGATAGCTGTAGTGGAAACACAGGTATCTTTTGATTGTTGTAAGAATTATAAGGTCTCAAATATAGAATAAATATTAATATCCATAAATGCATACATATATGGTGCATTTAATACATACAGGGTGAGTCTTTTAAAAGAGACCCCGTGGAACATGTGTACTCGGTATCCGCAGGGCCTCTTTTAAAGGACTCACCCTGTATATATTAAATGCACCATATACACACACAAACACACCATGTATCTGAAATAGTATGGGAGAGCAATCCTGAAATCATTTTGTCTCTCCCAGTTAGCTCAAATATTCCTCTGCAGTAAGGGAGACAAATGGAGAAAGCCTTCCCATTGTCTTTTTGCTTCCAAGCAAAAAGGCTGTATTTGTGTATGAATAGGGTGAGTTTCTGACCTGGATTCAGGAACTAAAGTATTGATCATCACAAAAGAATGGCCGGACTGCCCAGGTAATGCAATCAGTGACTATTATCAAGGTATCCTGGCAGACAGGATTTCTGCTGTAGACCGCCCCCTTCCGTGATGTATATATGATGTTTCAGGGGGGTGGTCTTGGACTACAGGGTGGACAATTTCAAGTGTCTATATAAGGGCTTGTGCATCATTGTTCAGGGTTCTCCTCCGTCCTGCATGTGGTGAGTGGGGACCCTGTTGCAACAGTTCCTTTAATAAAGATCAAGCTTCCAAGCCGCTTTGCTTCTCAGTACATTATACTCTGGCTGGCCTCTGTTACTTTCTCCTGCAGATAGGGAACCTTAGAAGGGCTCTATACGGGCTCTGGAATACTCCATTCTATTGCAAACTATATATTTTGGTTTTTCATCACATTCAAGAATATGTCCTCCTTCTATATCATTTTTTTCATAACATCTAGCCTGCTGAAGAGTTCTGGTGAATTTGAAAGATGCTCAAATAGGCCTCTATTTTTGGTCTATTGCAGGTGTAGGGAATTGTTGGATCTCCAGATGTTGCTGAACTATATATTCCATCATCACTGACTACTAGCTATGCTTGCTTGAGCTGGTGTGAACTGTAGTTCAGCAATGTCTGGAGGGCCAGAGGTCCCTGACACCTGGTTTAATAGATCAATAGGGTGACAACTTCTTCCTTCTCTTACTAGAGGCATGTATAGATCAGTAGATTCTACTGTACTGGCAAGAACAGTTTCTAAAGCAGAATGATTTTTTCATCACACCTTCCAAAAGCACCATTCGCCCTCATTGTGTGTATGGAGAAACTAGGACAACTCATTGTAAAATATTTTCCCTTTAACCACCAGACAAAGCCGAGTCATCTTAGGAGCCGATTACAAATCCAAGTTGTTTGAACATAATGAACTACTCACTGGTGACTCACTTTTAGTTCACTGCCAATATATAAAAAAATTGGCATAGTGACAAACAGGCATGACATAAAAAGAAACCTATTCAGCAGAACAGCATGAACCCAGAACAATCTAATCTTGGTTCAAATATGCTACCTAAAGAGGTGTGATATCATCATGCTACTGATACAAATTTGGGAAAAGATGCATTAGCTTTAAGCCAACCACTTCTCTTTAATAGAGGATGCATTCATTCATCAGACTTTGTTGTTCTTTTATTATTGTTACTAACTTAAGACATGAAGTCTTGGTAAGTCATAACTGAGAGAAAATGAGACAATGCTTCTTATCTGATCTGCATGGAAATATTGCTCTCTTCCAAGGTGCTGCCTTACTTAACTTGTTAGAATTATAATCAGAAAGACTGCCCTTGTAAACAAACTGCAAAGCTGGAAAATGCAAACACGTTAAAGCAAGAGGTGCAAAATGGCATGCAATGGATGCTGTTAATTTGGGAATTCAGTTCAAGCAAAAAGGTGGTATTTTATCATCTGCTATTTGTGTCAGTGGACATGAATCTCTCTCATTATAAAATGCTTAATAAGGTACATTTACAGCCTCGGCCATATTAAAAGTTAGGGATTTTTATTAATGTAACTTCAGGCAGACTTTGGTATAATCACATTTTTTAGGGGAAAAATTAGTTTTAAACTATATTGCATATAAACAACATGCCTGTCTAAAATTGGAAAGCTGAGAACAGGGAATAAAATGGAAGGTGAACACTTCTTTGAATTTCAATCAATATTTCCATTCTAATCTTCTGTACACTTGTTTTTCAAGAACATCATGAATGCTTGCTAGATTTCTCTGGATCAGATTCCAATTTCTAACCAACATTCAATACGGAGACTACTTAATTTTTCAAGGTTTTCTTTCTCATTGTCCCATTTTTCACTCTTTCTCCTTCTTCCTTCCACATGCTGCTTATTAAGCATCCTCTGAACAGCTGCTGTAATACAAGTGTCCAGCAGCATTTCAAATTGCCACATTTGTGTATGCTTTCCTTCCTTTATACCAGCCTTTTATTCTCACAATCTAAGAGGAAAGACTTGAACAAATTGTGGCTTATCACTGGTGTGGCACAAATTACATCATAATGCAACCCAATGTCTCTCTTAGTTCATCAACAGAGAAGATAGTGAAACTTCTCTTATAAACCCTTCCATGCAAAAGCTCGTGTTATGCTAAGTTTTAAAAACACTTCTTAGTTTACTACACAGGTAACTTGCATCTTACAGTCATTTAACTTTGCACGAGTGGGGAAGGAATAAATAATAAACGGAGAGCAGAGGAAAAGCACTATCCATTTATTTATTTCCACCCACCTGTCTGGCAGCCTCTAGTGGATAAGTTTGGGAAGGAGGCATGTGGTCTCGGAAGGGATCTAGAGCCCTCCCTCCTCACTCCCAAAGCAGGGCAAGCACTTAAATGACTTTGCAAAGGAAGCAGGAGGGTTCCCAAAGCTGAGCAAGCAGTCCTCCACATTGCAGGGGGCTTGGTTCCAGGCGTTCCTGGCTTTACACATTTTTGTGTATATGCATGGACCACTGGAACCGAACCCTTGTATAAGAAGTTACCTGTATTGTACTTCTTGGTTTGCTATTACTGACAAGAACCAGAACTGAAATACAGTATGGTAACAATGGAGGGAAGCTACTTCCTAAGACTTACCATTTCATATTGCGTTGTTATTCACATGCATGCAGAAGAACCTGAAACTAACTGAAAAATATCTAACATTTTAAAGAAAGCCTATTTATCTTGTTTAAGAATAAACAAGATAAAACACCCTGCCTTGTCCTCAATATGCTGTGTCATGGGCATGACTTCCTAGTTGTTTAAGAGCCAAGGAATCCAGTGACATTTCTAAAATCTATGTTTGCTATGCAACCTTATTAACAGATTTGTTCTTCCCACTCCACCGCATGTTACACTACTCTTTCGGGAACTAAACACATTTTGAAGTATTATTTCTTATCAAAGTTCACTTACTCAAAAGTTATGTAAGATCATATTTAATGTTTTAAGCAAAGCTTAAGCCACACAAACCATTTTGCTCACTGTGGGTCATTCCAATTTTACACCAACATAATAGCTATAACACACCAGCTTCCTAAAAATAAAAATAAAAATATGAAGCTCAATCACAGGCAATCTAAAAATATTTATCATAATTTGGTAACATACAAGCAAGTCACTTAAGCCATGAGAATGTTTCAAGGAAAAGGCATTTCAACTAAACTTCTTTTATAAAGAGAATGGTAAAGTAAGTGTTATTAATATGTTCCTGTAGATAATAGAAGGTGGGATACTACAAAAAACTAAAAGAACCGTTATCACCACTTTTAGTTGCCATGGTTTACTGACATTTTAACTAAGCAACAAAAAACTACAACAGATTTTTAAATGTTCTATTTTGGCATCTTTTGATGGCGGTAATCACTTCAAGTCATTATTTACTGCTTAACACAGACCTCCAAAACCTTTAAAAGGGTTAGAATGTCTGAAGATAGGGGAAAGAGGAATGAGATTATTAGGAAGCATTCTTCAAGAAATCAGAGGGATTACTGCTAATAAGCATTTTCTTTTTCTAGTTTGAAGAAATCTGGAAAACCAAAGCAAATGTATAATGGCTTCCTAGCTATTCTTCTGAAGTTTGTGGAAGAATTAATAGTGACCTCTCTTTCTTCTGCACTAACATTTCACCAGGCAAGCAAAAAACAAAAACCCCAAACGAACAGCAAAATAGGCACAAACATTTAAAACAAAATTAAATGCAACTGCATTCTATCCAGCCACTGGCAGGACAGGAGGGAGTCTAGGACCCAATGAAGAATGATGGTGCTTCCTGTCTCCCAGTAGGAAACTAGGCTGTGGCAGTACACATAAAGGCAATTTTGACAGCTGGCACTAGCCCAACATTTTGTGGAGGCTGGGAATAAGCTAGGAGGGAGGAGGAGGAGGGGTTAAGAAACCTCTGCTCTCTATCACTGAAGCTTTTCTTCTTTAGACTAGGACTAGGAGGACACATTACATTGGAGAAATCCAGTAGCTCTAAGAAAGTAATGTGCTCTAGATTCCTTACATTGTAGGACTCTACACAATATGCAAAAATTAGCATTCAATTGCTAACAAAAGGCACACTCCACACCAACTATATGAATCTTGAAAACTGAAGAGCACTTCTCAACACTTACTTACAAATAAGTTCTGCTGAACTCAGTGAGGATAAATAGGCAGACACATATGAGGTTGTAATATAAGTTATATTTAAATAAGACCACTATTCACAGTGCACCACTATGCACTTCATCAATAATCTTAAACCGGGGTGGGGAGCCTGTGAACCTCAAGATGTTGCTGGACTACAACTCCCATTATCCCTGACCAATGACCATAATGGTTGGGGATGATGGAAGCTCAAGGGTCACAGATTTTCCACATCCTAAACTTTGAGACTTATGTATTGCACATCTGTTCAGCTACCTATTGCATTTATCTCTCACACTTCAACTAAAGAACCCAGGATAGCATTTTAACCTCGCAACTCCATGATATATGTATGTATGTATTTCATAAAACTTATACAGTATAACTAACTCCTGACTGCAGAAAACCTCAAAGTGATTTACAAAAAGAATGATATACGTTAAACTGATATATAGGTGGCCTTCAGTCAAGAACTAATGGCAGAGTGGTAATTTTCCACATTCAAGTCCAATACTTGATACATGGTTTTCAACCGAAGTGCAACCAGTCCAGCAATGGACACCCACTGCATTCCAGCTGCAATTGTCTACTGCTCAGTTGTTGTTGGCCAGCTGTAAACTGATTATGAGTTGCATCCAACACTGTCAGAGCCCAAGAATGCACGTCTGCTGATGCAAAAAGATGTCACAAGCGTCTCCTCCCACTCCTGCCCTCAAGATCTACTTGAAAAGTACTTGGGGAACCCTCCAGAACAAATTATGGAACCACAAAGCGGGGGGGGGGGGAGAGGAAATGAAGTCATACAGCACAAGCAGGTGTGCACTGCTGAATTTCACCTTATAATTTTATTTTGCTCAAATGTGATGTGATGACATGACATCTACTCCAATCACATATAAAGGGTTGTTTAGTGAAGGCTCAGTATTAGGCCACATGTTTTGCATGAAAAAGGTCCCATACTCATTTCTTGATGTTACCAAGTATGGCCAGGAAAGACTCTCAACTGAAACCCAGAGCGCTACTGTCAGCCTGTGATACAAGACTGAACTAGATGGACTAACACTGTTGCATGATATAAGACTGCTTCCTATACAGTATTCCTATGTTAAGCAGCAAATGAGAGCCCATTTTTAAGAGTAAGATGGATAAGGTAACTGAAACCTTCATTGTACGTGATCAGCTACCTAGTTCCCGTTACTAAGAGCATATTGGAGTTTCGTTTTACCCCATATAAGCATAACTCCAAGATCCACAAGCACCATAGTTAGAACCTAGTAATATCATTAAATACTGAATGAATTACTTATAACAATATATGACCTAATATATGAACAAAGCTCTAGTCTAGGGTCAATGCACATTTTCCAGAATAAGACTTATTGAACAAAGCATGCACAATACACACGTCTTTTTATTTACCTATATTGATGGACATCTCACAACTTTGAGAATAAAAAAAAATCAAATGACAATAAAGTTTCCAAAGAAACATTTTTAATATATACATGAGAAAAAAGATAAAAAGTTTCAACCTGTATACACAGTACTTCTCTGTAATCTTTTTATTGGCATTATTTATCAGGACAAAAATCCTGAACGTGCATTTACTGTATATAAAAGACCTACATTTGAAGAACAATGTTGTTAACATTTTGCCATTACCTATAGAGCTCAGACAAGAGGCGAGGACTTTACTATTTAAACATATGCCAGGAAAACTATGGGCTGTGCTTTCAAAATGATATAATGCAAGTCTGATTAAAGCTTACAATATAATATCATGTTTCAATGCACAAAAAGCAAGTCTAGACCATTAAGTGAACTGGTACTACTTCTAATGCAGTATTTCACTCAATTGTATCACAATATTTCCTCTGGCAAAAGCTTCAAGCTATAAGCATATTTTGCACTTATGCTGAATATGATCATAATTCCAAATTTCTGCTTATCACATGTTGTGTAGCAGCCATACTAGTGATCTTTTTGATACTACAATATTAATGTGTATATTACTTTTGTTCAAAAACCCCAAAATGTTGCATATTAGCCATATATTAGCATATTTCCCAGAACTGTATGCAACTGTTAGTTTATTAATTCAGTTTCACGCCACAAGCAAAATATGATGGAACATTGGAAGGTGTACTTTTTTTAACCTATGTAGATAAATAGACTGAACATGTTTGTTCACAAACAGCAATAATTTTAGAACCACAATATAAAAATAGACCTAGAAAAGCAGCTTTCCCCAATTCCTCTTGAAGCCATGACACAATCATTTCATTTTCAACACTGCAGGCTACATGACCACATCTGTTGACAAGTCCAAGCCCCAGTCTTAATTGGTCAATTAGTATGTCTCTTTTATACCTCCATAGTGATGTCACTTCCTACACTTTCTGGGTTCTAAAACCATTGTTACCTACGGTGACTCAGGTATCGCCATTCTACCTTTCCAGAAAGAGTGATTTACCTTATCATATATCACCTACATCTGTTCTGAACCATGTGTGTAGTACAGGCCAGATGACCTATTGCAAACCAAAGAATATGAAAAGCATAGCAGACTCTCCTAGTGTCAGCAATATAATACAAGCTGCCACTGGAAGAGTACTACCACCCTCAATTATGTGACTATTGCCACGTAGGCCCAAGTCAATTCAGATAAGGTATTAGTCAGTCAGCTATATATATATATATATATATATATATACACACACACACACACATATATATGAGGAGATAGCCTATTTGGGCATAATTTTACTGTCTATATGAAGCCTCCTTCTATTCTAATATTTAAAATGTAGGCCTTTCAAATGTTTCAGTACTGTACATTCATCTTCAGTTAGCTTAATCGATGGAAAACCAAGGGAAAGCATGGTGTGCAAGAAAGTCCCACAAACCATGTGCCGAAAACAGTCTCGTCCACCGTTCTCCTGCTATTTTCTGCAGCCTCAAAGCTTTCAGGCTATGCTTGGAAGTTGTCTGTTTAAAAGAACACCACACTTTTCAAAGCAGGCACCAGGTTTTTGAAATTATACCAAATATTAGCATCTAGTTAGTCTTCATTCTTTAATAAAAATGCTGTAGTTTGAAATGCCATTAGAAAGTCCACCAGCTGTTCACTCAAACACACAGCATCATACTGATGTTTTGTTACTCCTTTTAATTTGAGAAGCATGTTAACTAGTTTATGAGTAATAGTAACTATAGGATTTATACTAACTCCTTAGGAATGATTTGAGAAGACTTGTTTTGGTAAGGAGTAAGTTTCTCTGGCCTAACTAGATTTCAAGCCTCAAGGAACATCCTGAACAGAAAGGAGCCCAGAAACTGTCCCAAATGCAGTTTCTGAGTTACGAAGTTCGCTAACCTGCAGTCAAGCTGACAGTTCGGAGCTGAAGTCTGTGTGCTGCATTACTTATGAAACCATTAATTCCAAAAGCCTTAACAGGCTTTCCCTTCCGATCTCTAGACCGTCTCAGATCTCTTACAGGGCTCTATTACCCACCAACCTCCTTTCAGCTTGCCTAACCTAAAAACTCAGAAGTTGCGCCCATATATGGGCTAACAGCATCCTAGGCTACCGCTTTAAAAAACCACTTTTCGAAAGGGGCAGTTTAAAAACTCCGTCGGTGCCACGATCGGGCGCTCCTGCCTCGCTGCCCAGAGGCGGCGGCACGAGAGCGGCTTCAGCCCCTGCCACGCTTCCCCCTGGGGTGGAGGAGGCTGCCATGTGCCTGAGGACAATGCTGGAGGGAGCGCGAAGGCGGCCTGACAGCGGGGCCGACCACGGGCAAGGCCTTCCCTTCCGCCCCGTCCACACTTCGTCAGCAAGGCCTCTCCGCTCTCCCTCCACGCCGCCTACTTCCCTCTTCCTGCCCACGTTTCGCACAAGGCAGCTCGGCGCGGCGGGGCGGCTCTCCTGCCGCCACCGGCCTCCTCCCGCAGCAGCCCTTCCGCGTGTGCGTGTGAACGGGGAAAGTGACACGCGCGACAACCCAGTTTCACCCCCCGGCCAAGTTTCCCTTCACTCCGGAGCTTGGAGGTGACCTCCCTTGTACCCTTCACAGGGCTCCCCCCGCCAGGCTCCCTTCCCCTCGCCAGACCCACCGCGCACGTAGCCTTCCCCTCACCCCGCCCGGCCCCGCATGGCTGTTCCTCGGCTCCCACGCCCAATCTGCCCTCCGTCGGCGCCCGCGGGCCTAGGGCTGCCTCCTGCCGCCCGCCCGCCGCCCGGCCTGGTCGCGGGGGTTGCCCCTGTTGGCGCGCTCCGCTCCCGCCCCGGGCCGGGCCGCGCTGGCGCCTTGGCCGCTCACCTCGTTGAGCTGCCTCTCGGCCGTCTCCCGCAGCGTGGAGTCCATGGTGCCCCGCAGGGCCTCGATGATGGTGTTGGGATCCATGGCGGGAGGGTCGAGGCCCGGCGAGGCGAGGCGACGCGGAGGAGAGCAGGGGCAGCAGCGCCGCTCGATGCGCACATGGACCCGCCGCTCCACAGCGGCAGCCGGCGGCGCGAAAGGAGGAGAGACGCGCCAAGGCCCCGGATAGAGCTGCTGCTCGCGGCCGCTGGGAGGCCCGACGCCTTCCGCTCGGCTCTTGCCGCCGCCGCGCATCACGGGAATTGTAGTCCGTTCGGAGCGCTTCCTCCCAGGCCCCCGTATGCCACTCAAACGGGGGTGGCGCAAGCATTGGCCGTGCAGAGCGGGGAAACGAGGACAACGTGTAACGTGTGGATGCTACGTGTGTAGAATAAGGATCAGGAAATATAGTGCTTTCACTGGTTCCATTAGTGCAAATATAAACGACTCTCCCATGTATGTTTTCGGATAAGGCAGATGCGAAGGAGGGTGCTAAGAGGCAGCAAAAAGTGATGGACCGAGCCTTGGAGCGCTCTGCTTCTTCCTTGGGTTTTCTGTCCGCCCGCGTTTTCTACTGCTGTAACGTTGGACAACCAACCGTCAGCATCCATGTGTGGTATTGAACACTGGCCGCATATATGCAAACACAAGCTATTAACCACTATATTAATCCTATAGTGTTTTTATGGCTATGCCCAAGTACATATTCATGGTTTTATAGTCTTGGGTAATCAAATTCACCCCAACGCTCATCCTACTGATTTGCAGCCCTTTTGACCTGTTATACCTCTTACTCTCCCAAGAAAAGATCCAGTCAAGCTGGAGCCTGCAGGCCAACTTTGATAGGTGAGCAGGACATCCTCATGTCAATCAGACAAATGTAGAGTGCAAATTGCCTTTCAGAATATTCTACAAGACCTAACCATTAGCTAATAGGGGGCTTTGGGGGCACTTTAAAAGGGGCTTTGCAATGCCTGACAGTCAGCTGATCTGACACACACATATATATGTATATGTATGTATATATGATATTAGGCACTCACAGCTTGCCTGCAACACTAAAACATGGTTTGTTTAGCTTTACCATGGTTTGTTTCTTCCTAACAAACAACAGTCATAAGCCATGGTTTGTTGTTGGGTTATGAACCTTGGCTTGTTCCATCATTTCTAGAGCAAATGAAATGGAAAGAGAGACAGAGCTGCACTGAACTTCAGATGTGCCCCAGTACAGTCCTCCCTAGATTTCTTCCATTAAAGTTTTGGAGCTGCAGACCTCCTAATCCATACATCAGGGGAGCCTCTTGTAACACATAACTCTAGTCTCTGGGGTTCATGATGTACATTGTCTAAAACAATTTTAATATATTCAAAAATTATTCATTCAGGTCAGTTTAATATGTAAAATCTGCTGCCAGAATAATCTACAATATTTTCAGTTTGAATAGGACTGCCTGCTACTCAGAATCTCACCAGTTAAGTGTTGGAAGTAGGCAAGCCTTTTGCAAGTGATGAGTCAACACTTAGATAAACTTTAAACAGTCAACAGACTACTGTAATGCAAGGAGGGAGGAACCAAGACAACGAGAGCCTGGGGAGAAACAGTATGATGAAAGATGAAAGAGGCAGAGGAAGTATGTAATGAATGTGAAAGTATAGGTAGGAAATTATTGTAGTATAGAACAGAATATAATTCTATGTAAATTGCTTTGCTTTGGTATAATTACACCATAGATAAATAAATCTGGAACAATTAATACAAACAGTATTTGCAGATCATTTAAACATAGAAAATTAGTTATTGTTCAAATTGTATAGAAGTCTATCTTATTCAGTCTTTTGAGAAGTCACCTTGCAACTACCTATACCATGTTGTGAAATCTACCCCTTTTATGACAAAGAAGATGAAACCCAAAATCTTCATTGTGTGGAGGTGTGGTGTGCACAATCTCACTCTCCACTAATTTGGAAAGGGGTTCTTATGAAACACTCCACTTCCACATCTATACATTGAGTATCCTCCTCATGCACTTCCAGTTCTGTAAATTATTTGTCCTTGACACTAAGTTTTCCAACAGCCTATCTCTCTGCCCTTCTTCCTTGCTGTATCCCTTCCTGCCTCTTTACTCCTCCAACCCAACCATAGTTAGCCTCTCAAAGTCTCCTGATATGTTACTCTGCCTATTACTCCTTTGTGATCCTTACACATAAAATATACAGTACGTACAAGAAAAGATAACACCTTCCAGAACACCAGTGTGAAACCTCTTTTATTGTTCATTTTAATATTTACCACCTTGATAATGTTAGGTTGAATAATATTGTTATTGTATTTATTTATCAACATGAGTTTGACCAAACTGCGGGAGGCAGCGGAAGACAGGAGTGCCTGGCGTGCTCTGGTCCATGGGGTCACAAAGAGTCGGACACGACTAAACAACTAAACAACAACAACATTAATAATAATATTAATAATAATAATAATAATAATAATATTTACATTCACAAACCTTGTAAGTAATTTTGGATATAATCATGATGTTTCTTGTAGTAACTAAATATGTTAGGGGGACCACCCAAAAAGTATGTTTTTTTAAGAATACCCTGAGTCCTTCAAAAGTCATCTTAAAAGGATCAGAGCAGGTGATAAAATTGTAAATGATAAAATTATTATTATTATTATTAATTTAAATAAATAAATAAAATAAACATTAAAAGTTCATTGCCAGAGGTCATTCAAGTGTTGAGGCAACATCTTGGTTTGTGCCTAGCCACGTAGTGTATCTTCAAAAGTTCTACTTTTGAGATTAGTTCTAGTGAATTCTGATATCACATAGTTGAGGGTTTGTGGTTATTCCTCTTTCTTCAACTGCAAGAAACCATCATGGTTCTGCTGGGAACCAAAGTTAAAATATCCAGATCAAAATAAATATCTGACCTGCAGTGTTCAAGATGAATGCACAGATTTCATGCAGATTGTTGCTTGTGAGGTGAAATTAGTGCAGTACTTGTAATCTCCACACCACCCTCCCAAATAAAACACTAATCCTGTTTAGCAGCTAAGTCCACAGTGGCTTTTCATCCTCACATTAACTGCTGTAAGTGACACTATGCGCTTTCCAGGACAGACCTTTGGGCTAGTTCTGTTTACTAATCTCATTATAAGAAATGCTCCATCAAGTGTTGGGAGTATTCTGCTAGTGATAATTCATATGTAGCTATAGTGCTCTTTTACAATGGAAAATAAACTTCAGACTATCAAAGGAAGAAAGTTCAAGTAGAGGAAATAAGGGAATTAAAGTGTGGAGAAACAGCATAATAAATAAAAAAGCAGAGACAAATTAATAAGGGCATATATGGAGAAGAATTAATCTATCATAACTGCATAATTTTATTTATTTTGAACTAGTGTGTTTATACATCAAAATGATTCTTAAATAATAAAGAAAAGTGGAATTTACAGATAATTTAGAATGCAGCCTTTTAGCTGCAAACTCCATTTTTAAACCCTTGCTGATTTTATCTTGTCTCTACAGAAATACTTTTCAATAATTTAACATTTGTAGCAGGCTTCCTCAATCTTGGCCCTCCAGATGTTTTTGGCCTACAACTCCCATGATCCCTAGCTAGCAGGACCAGTGGCCAGGGATGATGGGAATTGTAGTCTCAAAAAACATCTGGCGGGCTGAGTTTGAGGAAGCCTGAAAATTTTGTAGGAAGGTTCTGCAAGAGAAAAAACCTGCTTTAAGGGTAGAAGAGTTGTAACTCAAAATGTTGATCTTTTGAACCAGACAGATACATTTCACTGAGATATCAAAATGTAGTGGGGAATCTCATTTTTCAGTTGAATTAGAGGCCTGATCATGCATCCCACTTTCTCCTATCAATGCCAAGAATGACACATACCTGAAATGCCTTTGTTTCATTGGTCCTTTCAAGCGGCATAATTCAATGCCACTATTCCAACTACATAGTGTCATGCCATGAAAGGGCCTCATGGCTTCCTGCAGGATCAGATATTCTGGTGATGGTGGTGCTGTTAAAAATATAGAAGCATAGCCAGGAAAAAGGTAGCAAGTGGAAAACTTAATTATCGCAATAGGGATTACTGGTAAACTGGTTTACATTTTCATTCAGTTTGCTTGAGGATCAGATAGTAAATCTCTTGGTGATCTATTTTACTGAAGTAAAATTTATAGTTTAAGATTACTTTAGATTAGAACTTATTACTGGAACATTGATACCACTGAGAACAATCACTTCAGACTGAATCGTCAACTATAATATGTGCTGAAGCTGTTAGTCTTTCAGCTTGTACTTTCATTTCTGTTTGGTATACCGTAACAAAGATACAGTCTTAAATAACAGAAGACCCAATTACCAAGTCTGATCTAATTTGTTACAAGGTATTATTAGGCAGAGAAACTTTTATACACAGCATATGTCACTTTTCACGTTTAATTTAATCACAACTTTGTTTGTAGAGCCTAGTGGGGTGTGTTCACAGCTAACAGTTTACAGAACTGTAGCTGGAAGTGCCCATACCACTAAGTCATCGTATTTAATAATGTGTTAAATGGGCACTGAAAGATCTAACAATAGTTCCAAAAGAAACAGTTGTTCAGCGAGAAGGTCCTTGATATCTGCTTTAGCTCTGGTGTGAAGATTTGGGGGACTCTCATGGTGGGGTATCTGTCTGCATACCTAAATCCACTAGAGTGGAACCACAGTTGTTGAATGTTTCGGAAGCCAAACAATTCAGAACCCAAATGCCAACTACCAGGAAGTGAATGCTTCTGTTTTCGAACGTTTTTCGGAAGTCAAACTGCTTCCTGAGAGTTTTTAAAAAATTTGCTCCATTGACTTTGCCAACCGGCAATTGCGCCTCAGTTGTCGAATGTTTCGGAAGTCGAACAGGCTTCTGGAATGGATTACGTTCGACAACCGAGGTTCCACTCTATATTGTTCGCTGTACTCATTTTGGAAGGTACTATAAACGAAGAGAAGACTGTGGAACTATGCAGTGGAAAATAGAGCAGGGGTGGCTAACTTGCCAACATAACCAACAGTCAAAGATGATGGCAGCTGAAGTCCAACAACATCCAGAGGGTGAAAAGCTAGTCACCCCATTCTTATTTCCTCTCCTTCTTCTCCATTCTTGACTCCTCCCATCACTCCCATATTAAAGCTTTTGAGTGAAGGCTGTTAAAAATCATACTGTGCATGTTTGGCATGCATAGAACAAGGAAACATCCTGCACAGGACCTTTAATTCTGAATGCCCCTAGATGCTGCTGCCAGATTACAAGTCTTCAGCAGGCACATCTTATGATTGTGGCAGAGTTATGGTTTAGTGGTGTTTGATGCAGTCTTACTGAGGTTATTCAGCTCTAAGTCTGGTCAATGCTTGGATGAAATACTTTAAAGGAACCCCAAGTATGCCACCTTGAGTTCAGTTTAGTGGTTTGACCAGCATTTTGCTGGAGTGTCCAATTTGACTGCCTGCTACATCTTGTTATGAGTTGGGGAGGGGTAGGCTACAGTATATGCCTGAGCCCTGCTTCTAGTTACTGGATCCAGCAGAGATTCAACTGCTGGAAAAGCCAGGCCAGTCAGATAATGGCCCGTAGGCCTCCCTCCCTGGTTAGTTAAAAAGACAAAAAGGCCTGAGGGCAAGCTGGGAAGCCAGAGAGACAAAGCAAGATGTTTGATTTCTGTTCAAATCCAAGGTTGTGGCTATGGGAGAAACAAGACCCGTTTGGGGTGCTAATGCTGTGAACCCCTCCATCGTAGGTTCATGTTGTATTTATGCAAATAAACTATATTATCATAAAGACACGACTGTCTCCACTGTCCCAAAGAAACCGAATCCTGGGTAAGCGCCTGGAACCCTTAGAATCTCACACCGCTTGGAGTAGCATGAAACAATATTAACATTATAGACATTCTGTAATGTATAGAACTTAGCAGCTAATGCTGCTTTTTGAATATTTGAATGCACTTGGCCTTCAGTGTTGTGTTTCACAACCCACAGACAGATATGCTGCATAAGGTTGCCATATTTTTAAAAATAAAAACCAAGACACTTCAAAAGTTGATCTTTTTTAAAGCAAACCCCCAAAATTGCTAAGCTTTTTAAAAGAAAACCCAAAGTTGTTGAGATTTTTTTTTTTTTTTTACAAAAACACCATGGCCCTAATGCCACATCATTAACTAAGTCGTGTACATCCTGTTGTGGTTTTCTCAGTACAGGAACTTCCTTCAGTTTTGTATCAAAATGAATTTGAAGTAAATGTCATGGTGGTATATAATTAGGGTTTCTGCTTGGCTGGTTTTAAACTGGCTATTTAAAGTAGCTAGTTTTACTGGATAGTCTTTTTGACAAGGAGAAGGTAGGTTGTACGCCATTCACTGTTCTGTATATATTGCTAGGAAGTGATATCCCTTTGAGGAAATATCGGGGAAAAGAGGCACACAAAGAAGCACAAATCTACAAAGTTCAACAAATAAGTTTTACTAGCATGTCTGATTTAAGTACTACCGTCCAAGCTCATAATACAACATTTTGAATTCCTGCTTGTGAAGAAATCCCATACATTTCCATCAAGTTGCAGCCTGCAGCCCATTGAACTCTGTGGCTTATTTTCAGAAAAGTGTGCCGATAAAAAGCCTGCTCCTCTTTTGTCCTGGAGCCAATTGTACACCACTATCACTCTATGCATATTGCATAAGAACATGGGAAGCTGCCTTGTACTGAGCCTGACCTTTTAGTCCACCTAGCAGTATTTTCAACCCTGACTTGGCAGTGGCTTTCCAGGATTTCATGCAGCGATCTTTCTCAGCCCGATCTAGAGATGAACCTGAGACTGTGTACATGCAAAGCACATGCTGTACTCCTGAGCTACGGCCCTTACTTGGAAGGAAGTGCCACAGTGTGAGATTGGACTTACTCCCAGCCAAGAAAAGATAAAACCCTGGGTTTCATAAGAAGAGCCCTGCCGGATTAGACCAAAGGCCTATAGCGCAACATCCTGTTTTCTGCAGCATATCATAACTAGCAGCCACTTAGTGAAATGTCCCGCAGCGCTTCTACTCGGTGGAACCAGTACTGGATTTATGTATAAACTAAACAAGCTATAGCTTAGGGCCCCACTCTCTTGGGGGCCACACAAAAAAAATGTAAAGAAAAAATACATCTGGATGTACATTTCCAAAATATAAGGGAAAAATAAAATAAAACCTACATACAGCAACAGTATTTTGTGTTGTATATGGACCTATAGCATATATTCAACACAAAAACAGCAACAATTTGTTGCTGACAACAAATTACCTTCAGTAGCTTAGGGCCTCATCAAACCTAAATCCGACCCTGGGTGGAACCCATGGGCGCAGCTGCCCTTCTCCCCGCCCCCAAATCCATAAAAATCCATAGCAAACTGAGGTTCTGCCCCCCCCCCCATCCTGCCTACGCCCATGGTGGAACCACTGCGTTCCTTCTGAATCGGCGTCTTTTGGAGAAAGAACCGACTTCCACGGTATTTACTAGAAAACGTGGGCAGCCCTTCCAGGAACCCAAGAGCAAAGGTGTTGGCAGAAGGGCGGCGGGGGAAGCCTCTGAGGGCGGGGCGGAATCACAGAGTCCGCGCCTGCGGCCTACGGAGCCGGCGAGCGGGCGGCGTCGGCGCTGAGGGGAGGGCTGCGGCCGATCCCGCCTCCTCTCGCGGTTCTTGGCGCCGGCGGAGGCTGAGCCGGGCCTGTGTGTTGCCGGCCGGCGAAGGGGCTGGTGGCGTCACCGAAGGGGGTACCATGGCGCAGCCGGGCACGAGCCAGCGAGGGTCCGGGAGGACGTCGGAGAAGGAAGAGGCGGCGGCGGCGGCAGCGAAGGAGGCGGAGGCTGCCTTGGAAAGGCATCAGGAGCTGCTTGCAGGTGGGAAGCAGAAGCGGCAGGAGGCGAACGCGTGAGAGATTCCTGGATGGATGGATGGATTGGGGGGGACGCTGGAACCAAGCCGGCGGTGTGCCTGGAGGTGTTCCGGGGTCACTGGAGAATGAAGGATAGGAGACGCGGGAAGGGAGAGGAGGAGGAAGAGGAAGGAGGAGGGTGACTCAGAGGGAAAATGCACATGCTCCGAAGCAGCGTTTAATGCCACAAAAGAAGAAGTGTCGGGGTTCAAATTCGCCTAGATCCCGAACTGAACAGTCTTCCCACATAATCCGTGGCTGGCCGGTTCTCGGTTTTCTTGGGCACTCTGCAGATGCTCAGAGGGACGCATTTATTAAGCCTTTCAAGTCGAGACCTTTTGAAAACAAGTTCTGGGGGGCCCGAGGCCTGTCAGGAGCCCTACTTGGGAAGTTTGCTGTGCTCTCATGGGTGTGGAGGCCCGTATGGCGTGATGTGGGCCAGTTCTTCCACGTTGGACCTCAAAGCAGATAATTCAGGTTCAAGACTCATTAGTCATAAATCTCTGAAGGTGATGTTGGGCAATTGGGATATTGTGGGTGGCCTGTGGCATTCAGCAGGAAGGTTGTGTTCATTCCTATGGTACAAGTTGCTGTTAGCCTGCTTTATGTATTTATTTACTCCTGGAACCCAAGGTTCCCAAGCAGTCACCCCTCTGGACACTGACCAGATCAATACCAGTTTAGCTTCATGCACTGTGGTGGCTTCAGAGTTTGAATCGTAGCCATTGGTCTTCTGAGAACAGATTTCCTATAACAAGAAGTGCTTTAAATATAATAAATACTAATGATGAGCATTATGCATGAAGGAAACCAGTTGTTAGGGGCCTAGGAAAGTGGTGTGGAGTAAGGAATGTAGTTCAGGAGTTGAGTACAAAAATGCATTAACTTTCAGCTGTTTTATTCAGAGTGTAATATTCACAGTGGGACTTCTGTGTATAGTTCCAGCTGTGAGGTTAAGACAGGTCCCATTGATTCTTAAGGTCTTAGAGACAATAGTGAAGAACTTCTTGCAAGTCTTTCCAAACCTTCATGTGAATAAAATTGGCACAGTAGTTGTGATTGAATTAGAAAGGGATGTCTGCAATGTCATATGTGATGCCTGCCAGACGGTTATCAGTGATGGGGTATGTCTAGCCTCTTCAGCAAAGATTCCTTGGGAACATATGTTGAATGCATATCCCAAATCTGAGGTGTCTTTCACTATACACTTGCAATCTCTGTAGACTTATTTGGAAGGATGCCCAATTGTTCTTGGTGGGATTAAGTTGCTTCCTCTAGGCTGTATGAAAGACTCTTCTGGGAGATTTCCCACCTTCCACAAGCATACATTTCCCACCTGGAATAGAGCTGATAGTTGAAAATGAAGTAGGATTATGTGTTGCGTTTTGTGGGAGTGGGCTTGGAAAGAGAAGTTGTTTTATTAGAATAACCTTGTGATGACCTAGTGTGTCGTTACTGGTTCTGAGTGAAAATTCATTTTACTGATACAGGGTAAAGTTGAACTGCGGGAAGGCAGAGCAAACTGCTCACAAGTGAGAAAATGCTTCTCTCCAAAAACATTTTTCTCCCAGCGTATTAGTGAAGCATGTTTTTGTGTGTGAAATGTTCTCTTTGCCATATTTGCCATAACTTTCATGTATTCAGATAGACAGGTCTCCTAACATCTTTCTCATGCTTTTCTGTCAGGTTACATTTTAGATGGGAACACTGCTAATGATGGCATTAGTTTTAAGACATAAGATACTGTTCATGCAGGGCTGCTCAGAAAGGACTGAGCCTATTCCTAGCCTCCCAAGTTTCTTACTTGCCTGCTTTTTTTATTAAGAGAGGTCCTACTTATTGTACGCTAGAAACACAACAGCCTGACAGTGGAAAAACTTGAGTTTTCTGTTTCTTCTTTGCCAGTCCACTGTATTTCTGTGGTGGCTGCAGAGGAAGTGAAGCCCCTTTCTTTTAGCCAGAATGGGTGCTATACAGGCTGGCAAAAGAGAAACAAGTACTCTGATTCTCTTTGCTAATCCACTCACCCATCTGTGTTGAGTTCCTGGTTGGCAGTGGAAACCAGGTGAGTGGTTAAATACAAAACTGGGGTAACTACATTTATTTGAGGGGGTGAAGGAAACCATATGGCTGTATTCAACTAACTTGGTTTGCTAGTGGAAGCCAGTGCAACTATTCCCACTAGTGCAAGAGGACTTATGCCATCTCCTCCGTCTGCACACTCCCCAGATCTGTTCCAGAGGGTTGAAGGATCCCCCAGAACAGCACATGGGATATCATTCTCTTGGGAAAGCAGAAATGATACATTGAATTCATAGGTTGGATACAGACCATTTTAGTACAGTGGTACCTCAGGTTACATACGCTTCAGGTTACATACGCTTCAGGTTACAGACTCCGCTAACCCAGAAATAGTGCTTCAGGTTAAGAACTTTGCTTCAGGATGAGAACAGAAATCAGGCTCTGGCGGTGCGGCAGCAGCAGGAGGCCCCATTAGCTAAAGTGGTGCTTCAGGTTAAAAACAGTTTCAGGTTAAGTACAGACCTCCAGAACGAATTAAGTACTTAACCTGCGGTACCACTGTACTTTTTTAGCATGTACTGTATAGCCTGCCTTTCTTGTGTCTTGGAACCCAAGGCAGCACATGTGTGGTTTTGAGAGGATTACCATCCACAGACTGACCAGACCCACATGTACTTAGGTTTCCTAAGATGATGGTCTTGTGGCACTTCAAATTTTACCCTGGGTAACTAGTCCTGTCTTTTGCCTTTTAAAATTGGGAACCCTAGTAGCTTGGTACAGGTAAGGACATTTTGACATTTACAGCCTGAAAGAGCAGAGTATTTAAACATGTACCATAATTGGTCTAAACTGGCATGGCGACATTGTTGTAGCCCCATTATATTAGATGCTTTGGAAATCATTGTTATTTCAGAACTTGACATAGTTATTCAGAGTTGCTGCACTTCAAATATTAAAGCCTAGTCTATAAATTTGCTATGTTATCCAGTTTAGATATAAGTGGGTAAGGAATAGAGGAAGCACAGTAAATGCTACTTTATGATTATGTGTTCTTACTCTGACTCTTAACTGGCTGTGGCAAACTCCTGTAAGTGAAATTACTTGTGTCAAAGACATTTAAAACGTTGGCTTTGTCACAAGGACTTTAAAATTAAGGTAAACAGTACATTCTAGTTTTAACATAATTCCTTTGGTTCAGTGGGCTTATCACAACAGTGCATCAAAATAATGTTCAGTATCACTTTTATATTGAACCGTTTTTCATGTTGGAATAGTAATTGAAGTGCTTTTGCCAAATTGAAGTTGTAATTACAGATATCTACTGTACTTGAGATGATTGAGTGCAGTTAAATGTTAACTCTCAGTTCTTTGCATATAATGTCACTTGAGTGGTCCTAATGATTTTTTTGAATTTATTTGCAATAGAATTTGTTCCAAATTGAATCATGATATACTCCCTGTGCAAAAAGCACTCTAATCAAAGTAAAATTTAAAAGTGTAATGCATTGGAAACTTGTAAGCTTTGTTTAGCCTCCAATGCAATAGCAGTTGTTAGAAATTGGCATGTAATGTGGAAATTGAACTTTTAAAATGAGCATAATTTCAAGAGCTTAAAAAAAATGTAATGGCGGGGGGGGGGGGAAATCAGGTAAAAAAGGTTATCAGCTTATCTTCTCAAAACCCTTGTTGAGTTTGGCATTTTAAAATTTCATAGGTCTTTGTGGGTTGTGCACATATTTCAGACCTAACATGAATGCACATTCATACAATTACCTGTAGGCATAGTTGCCTACAGCATAGATACAGTGCCATGATTTGTGATGTTGGCTTGCTGGAATAGCAGTGTGACACCCAGAGTGTACATTTGCTGCTGTAAGAAATGTGAAATTCAACTGCTACTAAACAATTATCTTTCTTTCTGCTGACAGTAATGATTTTATACAGATTCTTCCTCGGAGGCACTGATTTTAAGAGGAGTAATGAAACTTCAGGTGTAGCTGTGTAGATGGTGTGCCTTCTGTTAGACATATGAGGCTTTATGAAAGCATGCTACACAAGTGTAGTAACTTCAAGGCAAATTGCTAAATTCAGAACACTTGTTATGCCACGTCATATGATTTTCATACTTATGTGGCAGTTTCATCATCTCTGTACTCCTCCTGCCAGCTCATAACGATGTAACATCACAAGAGGGAATATTCAGTACACATTGCATAATCATGGCACCACCAATTGTAATAAACATTCTGGGATTATTATTATTCTTGACAGATAAGCAGGGTGGATGATCTAGCCAGTTTACTACAAAGTAGCAGTCTCACACAGTTGCCTGCCTGAGTGAAATAGTTGTATCAGGCAAGTTGGTCATGGGCATGTTTCCTTTATCCATCAATAGAAGCAAATTTAAGAAGAGATGAACTTATTGCTTGATTATCATCACTAAAGTAAGCTAGGGAAGTAGACTTGAGTGAGCTCTAGTTACCTTGTCAAACTCCATTTCTTTTACAGGATTCTTGCCAAAGTAGTAGGTATGATGGTCATCCGAACTGAATTTGCCCATTCCCGTCCATTTTAGTTCACTGATGCCCAGGATGTCAATATTTATTCTTGCCATCTCATTTTTGACCACATCCAACTTACCAAGGTTCATGGTTCTTACATTCCAGGTTCCTATGCAATATTTTTCTTTACAGCATTGGACTTTCCTTTTGCTTCCAGGCATATCCGCAACTGAGCGACCTTTCGGCTTTTGCTCAGCTGCTTCATCCACTCTGAATCTACTTGTACTTGTCCTCCGCTCTTCCTCAGTAGCATGTTGGATGCCTTTCGACCTGAAGGGCTCATCTTCCAGCGTCGTAACTTTTATATGCCTGTTGTCTTTGTCCATGGAGTTTTCTTGGCAGGGATACTGGAGTGGCTTGCCGGTTCCTCCTCCAGGTGGATCACGTTCGGTCAAAACTCTCCACCATGACCTGTCCATCTTGGGTGGCCCTGCACGGCATAGCTCATAGCTTCTCTGAGTTATTCAAGCCCCTTCGCCACGGCAAGGCAGTGATCCATGAAGGGGTGAAGTCTAAGTGCCCTTCCTCAATTCAACCCCTCAAATATGATTTGTAAGAACTCATGAATTAATTATATTTTTGTTCCATTTCAGGAAAGGCCCATAAAGAAGGTGGATCTGCACGAATGTCCCTTCTCATATTATTGTCCATCTTCTTAGTAGCTGCATCTGTTATGTTTCTGGTATATAAAAACTTTCCACAGCTGAGTGAGTAAGTATGACAAAGAATTTGCTTTGTTTCCAGCAAATGTACCTAAAGAACCTTACAAACCTATAGAACTCAGAAGCGAAGGACACAGTTCATTGAGTTTTCAGAAAGGAACCATGTGTATAAATGTCTAGTTTTGATATCAAAATTTACCAGTAAGCCACAAGGTACGCTACCTGGCTCATTCCTGTCAGAAATTTGACATAACCATTTAAAGATTACTGACAAAGATTTTTTGTTCAGACAATACATTATGGAAGCTTGTTGTACTACTATATCAAAACACTTCATATTGCTGGTTAACCCCAATCTTAGTTTTAATATGTCACAGTGTGTAAATTTCCCAGGTGGATAGTTGTATATTCTGGGATTAGAGGTTAAACTAACCACCTGTTAATGTCTGGCAGAGCTGAGCTGTCCAATTCAAAATTATGTCATCAGACAAAACTTGGACAAATGCTCATTTCTCTACACATTCACACTACAAAAAGCTGTTACGATTCTGGGTTCAAAGTAGTTTTTAACTATTGGAGCTCCCCTCTCCAAAAAACCAAACAAACTCTGGAATTGTAGATTTCTGATTATGCTGAGCACTGCTGTTTCAAAGATTTGTGATAGTTAGCTGTTACTGTTTAACTGACGTGGAAGCAGTGTTAAAAACTCAGATATATAAGCTAAGTGCTAAATGGCACCTTAAACCTAGGTTACGGTTGCCGCAATGGAATATCTGTTAGCTAGGGGTTTGCCTGATTGTCCTTGGGGTCTCTTTCAATGCTATAATCCTATGATTCTATGATATCAACTACATTGCTTGACTGTAGCTTGCTCTTACAACAATTCACTTGTCCCAGTATGCAAGAAGGAGAAACACACACAGTGGAAACACACAGTGGAAATGAAAATGGTATTAACTATGGACTAAGCCAGAGGTTTTTAAATTGTGGTCTGTGATGATGGAGGACTAAGATGACCAGCAACGGCTCCATGATTCACAGGGCAATACAGAAGCACAAGATGCATGTCTTTTGCTGTGCACAAGTCAGCAGACTCGGTGCAGATAGCAATCACCAACCTGTCACCCAGAAATCTCCACGTAGTCACAACTGGACCAGCTCTAGTAGCAAAACACACCTGGCACCTGGGGAATTCCAAACATTGTGTGGAAGTAGCTTACATTTGTAGTGTAGATGTGGCCATAGAGCTTCTTTGTATGTTCTGCTAAGAATCACCCAAGCATATTCCAAAAAATAATATCTACAGGTATTTGAAAGGAATTACTTGCTTCCAAAGATGCAGAGATTTGGGGTATTCTCTGTAGATGTGTTATCTATTGAAGCCCTTCTCTATCTCTGAAGGAATGTTTTGTCCAGTTTGAAAGCAAAGTGGATAAAAAGTCTAAACACCACAAACAATTACTCTTCTCTCCTAAAGCATAGAACATGTGTTCCATCTGCTTGTATTAAAAGTTATTGAGTTGTGCCTGAATATTATGTTGAATACGATGTGTGGCCTTGCTTTGAACATTGACTTTGATTAATAATTGCTGGAGCGGAGGCAAAGGTTTTGATAATATCAAACTGTCTAGTAATTTCTGAACAACTGATGTTTTGATGTAGTACCTTTGATACTTCAACAGGTTACAGAATAACATCAAGTAGTAGTTTAAAGCTGGCTGTATGTATTACAAAATCCAATAAGTCAAACAGTGTAATTAGTATTTTACATTAAATCTTAAGAGTGCATGATACATTATGTCACAGTGCCATTAGTATCCCTGCTGTTTGGGGCAAGCATCTGCTGTTTATGCTGGTAACGTCATCTGATTTTTTTTTCCCCCTACAGAGAGGAGAGAGAATATATAAAGGTTCCCAGAGACATGGATGATGCCAAAGCCTTAGGAAAAGTTCTCTCTAAATACAAGGACAACTTCTATGTACAAGTCTTAGTGGCCTATTTTGCTACTTATGTTTTGTATCCTTATTTGAAAGATACACATAGCTGTGGCTTTCTGGAATATGACATGAAGTAGTTTCCAGGCTCTTTTTTCTGTGTGGTGGTGATGGACCCTCTTGATTACATGGATTGGGTTCGAAGATAAGTGAATAGATGGAAGTTCATAGAAGAAAAGGTACCCATCCCCTGTACCTCCTGAAAGGATCCATGGGGTGGGGGCTTTTGAACAAATGGAATGTGGGGAATAACTTTAAGAGCCATTAAGAATTTGTGTGACCGTACTTGGCATCTTTAAATATAGAACTGCTGGTAGTTAACAGTGTGTGGTTTTCATTGGTTTGTATAAAAAGGCCCTTTCCCCACTTCAGCATTGAACATGTTTATTTCAGAATTTTCACATGTAAGATTGGACCAGAAAGGTAGAAAAAAAGAAAAATGGAGTACATTGTATTGTTGGGGGATTAAATTCAAGAAGCCAAGGCTGCATTCCTAAATATACAGTACTTACTAAAGAATATGCTTCATTGTAGGCAATGGAAACTACATCTAAGTGAAGATAGGTTTCCTTTGCAAATAACTTTGTTTTGAAACTATAAAATGATTTATGAAATAAGGTGATTTCATCCTTAATAACACTCCTGTGAGTTGAATCATTTAATCCTAGAGGATGATGAAAGCAGAGAGAATGCCACTGCCTTTGGAATCTGAGCAGGGATTATCCTGCATTACCCTGGCTTGATTTATTCCATGAAAGGGGAACCTGTGGTCTTCCAGATGTTAGACCACAACTTGTGATGTTCCTAACCATTAGCCATGCTGGCTGGATGAGTGAGTCCAGCAACTTCCCGAAGGCCACAGATTCTCTAAGTCTGCTTTTTTCCATTTCAAGTGGGAGAGATTTATCAATTTTAACAGAACATTAGTAATCAATAATTGAAGGAACTTTTGAAACTGATTTTAAGAAGCAACCTAACCTGGTTTAATCCTGTATTTTTAAGATGTGAAAACTGCATCGGAAGTCAAAGGGGTTAAGAGCATTTAGGAAGACTTGACTTATTTGCATAAAGGAATATTTTTGTGCTGTGAAGTTGTTTAAAAAAATTCTTAACGCATAGGCAACCTGTTAAAACAAGCAGCTTTATTTTTATTGGTGGTTATTCACCCCGTGGGGATAGAATATGCTAATTTGCTATTGCTAGGTTGTTAACAACACTTGGATAGAAATGAGTCTTTGATTCACTTAGCTATTTAAAAGTTGTTTGAGGCATGCTTCGTTAGTGCTATGTGAACAACTTTTAGCAGCTGTAAACAAGGCTATTTAATGGTACCATTGAATAGTACTTCATAGTACAAAATTATGTTTTGTAAGAGTTTGGTTCACAGAACTTACAGTAAGCAGCCTACACAGAGGTAAAGCTGAGATTCATTTATTATATTCCTGCCCTGGGACCCAATAAAGGTTAGAAATACCACAGTTTTTTTAAAAAAACAAGAACACCCAATGTGAACCTTTATTGGTATCTAAATTAGTAGAACATCATAGTCTGTGAACCACCGTGACACCTCCAGGTATAAGGCAGTATATAAATTCAGTAAATAATAATAATAGTCTGTTCTATACATTGCAGAATGAATGTTTCAGATTTGACTAAGAGCCAGGTACCAGCACAAGTCCTGCTAATACATTGGGGCTTTCCCCTCTCTTCCCCCTGTGGACCCCCCCCCCCAATTGACTGTGGGGAAGGGAGAGCATGTCAGAGGATGCTGCAGAAACACACACAGAGGAGAGGGGAGATTTTTCCATCTGGCAAGCTGAAATGCTTGTGTTTACAAAACAACAATTGTGAAAGTCCCCAACACGTTTGAATGGTCTTTTCCTGACAATCCTCTCCAGGCTGCAGTCATCCCTGATGCTTGTGCACCTTTTTCTTCCACACTTTCCCCTTCCACATAACTTTCCATTAATGTGCTTCGATACAGCACTTTGGGAACATCCAACTTCTTCTGCAATTGGCTTTTGAGGCTTTCCCTCCTTATGGAGGGTCTCAATGATGGCTTTCTGCATAACTGTCAGGTCAGCAGCCTTCCCCATGATTGTGCTTCCTACTAAACCAGACTGAGAGACCATTTAAAGGCTCAGGAACCCATTGCAGGTGTTATGGATTGAATAGCTACTGCACCTTTTCACAATATTCTAATTTTCTGAGATTGTTAATTTGGGGTTTTCATCAGCTGTACACCATAATCATCACAATTATAACAAATAAAGGCTTGACATATCTCGCTTTGCATGTCATGAGTCTATCTCATATATTAGTTTTACCTTTTAAGTTGAATTACTGAAATAAATGAACTTTTCCATGATATTCTAATTTTTTGAGTTTCAAAAAATTTCAAATATTAAACCATCTTTTAAATTGTTTTCATTGGCAATACTTTTGATATATAAATTATTTAAAATTGTATTGGTTTTAAATTTTTAAGGTTGTAATCCTATGTACCTTGGAGAAAGTTTTATTAAAAACAGTCAGACCTAACTTCTGAGTAAACATGCATTAGTATACTCTGCATGTTCAAAACAGTGAAGTAATGTTGTCCTTAACTAAACCTACCATCCAGTTTGCAAACCTTTGCTATTCCTGGATCAATATTTCTGAGTATACTTTCAGGATTTCTCTACCCTTTCCCTCTAGCTCTATTTCTTGTTTGTTTGGTAAGTATTAATTACAAATACAGAATGCTTTTCTTCAAAATATTTGTTTAAGGTATTTGCTATTTAGTGCAGCAGCAGCAGATGATGTGAATAGTACAGCCCTAACCTTTTAATATTTAACAATTGAAGTAATGAACAGGGGAGTTCTTATTAATTAAATGTTTAGCTATTAAATGTTTAGCTATTACTTTCTTAGGAAGTTCAAAGCTGTTTACAATAAGACAGTAACAAACAAAATAGTAATATAACTGAAAAACAACCTAGAAATAGACACAGAAAGAATGTTGAAAGCAACCTAAAAACCTGCTGGCAGAGGTTTGCCTCAGGACCAAAATACACATTACTTACGCTAAATAGATTTTTCCCATTTAATTGCAAGTGTCTCTTCCCTGGTGTGCTGTGAGACTGCAGCATAAGGAGAAGTTTAATTTAACCTTTCCGTTATGCTGCAGTGGGTACCAACGGGAACTTCTCCCTTAAGCCTAATTGAGGTGCAGGGGGCATCTTGATTGGGGTCATTGGTGGGGAGAGAAAACCCAAACTTCCCTTCCCGGTGGAGCCCACATCTGTAAAGAGAGAAGAATTGTTCTGCTTCTGTACACAATCACTTGTGTATTTATCTTTTTTATTGGATTTGAAAAGGTGTCCTCAGGTTGTATCCAATGTTAGTCATATTCAGAGGAGACCCACTGAAATGAATGGACCCAAGTTAAACATGTACATTAATTTCATTGTGTCTACTCTGAGCAGTTGGGTGCACTGATTAGAAGATAGGGTAAGAATATTTTAAATATATTCAGCTGGCTCTGTTAAATAAACATAGCAATAATTGTTTTATGTAAAGTAGGACTGGCTTTTCCTCCACTGAATTTTAACGCTAACAAAGAAAGAGAATAGTTAATAGAAATGTAGCATTTACTAGTGAGGACAGTATACTAAATCTTGCTCTCCTGGGGCAGCTGAAATTTGCTTTTGACATAAGGGGTGGTAGTGATGAATCAGCTCTCAGAAAGGAGTACTTTCTAATGGACAAAGTTGAATAAGTGATAGCAAAATAATAATTTTACTAGATAGTATTCAACTAAGTTTAGCCTGGAGTAGACCCGATGAAATTACTGAAAGTGACTAAATTAGGTCCATTAATTTCAATGGGTTTACTCTGAGTAAAACAGAAACATTGGGTGGGATTCACATAACACATCCTGCTTCTGCAGCAGGGCTTACCCCTTAATTCCCGTGTTCTCATATCATATTAGCAAGCTAATATGCTTGTGCAGACAGAATGTTTGTAATAGTGCAATGTTCAATTCCACCCACTTCTCTGGTGGCTATAAATGTGAGCAACTGGAAACCAATTTAAATGCATTAATTAGGGTGTGATGTACATCCATTTCCAAGACTTGAAACAACTTCTTCAGAAAAAGGAAGGGCGTTATGGTTAGGGTCACTTGCAAAACGCTATGTGAAGGCAATTTGGAAATGGTGGCCTCAGTGCACCATGTTGTGGACAGCTAGTCACTTGTAACAACAGATGGCCCCAGATGCAGACACACGAACACCCTTGTATAATAAAAGTCCAATTCAAATCAGTTTAAAAAGAGTTTTCTGTAGTTACTACTATTTTGAAGCTTCTTGTACTAGAGTTGAAGTGTGTGTTCAGCAGAATCATACAGACAACTCATACATGGTAAGAGAGTTTCTAGACTAGTTTTCTCTCAGATATGCTAGTTTTCTGCATGAAAGATTTTCTTTTTAACATAAAGGGGAGTACTAACAAAGCAGTCGCCTATAGGTGGTCTGAGGTGATACAGTTCTAACTAAGAGTAATATTGAATGTATAGATAAATGCTTAACTACATTGATTATTTGAAACCCCATTGCATGTTAATCATGTGAAGGATGAATATATGAGAGTCTCATTTTCCATTCATTTGCAGTGCTCTGGACTTGGGGCCTCTTTCTGTTATATGCTGTCCTATTTAGTTGGAAGACCTGTTGTTTATAGATATTTAACAGAGAAAGCCGTGAAATGGTCACAGCAGGTAAAGTCACTCTGGTGGAACATCTGTCCTAAAAGCTTACATTTAAGTATAAGAGGATAGGAATTACACAAATACAGTGGTACCTTGGTACTCGAACGGCTTGGCTCCTGAACAAATCGGCTCCCAAACGCCACAAGCCCAGAAGTAAATGTTCTGGGTTGTGAACATTTTTCAGAAGCTGAACTTCCGACGTGGCTTCCGCTTGAGTGCAGGAAGTTCCTGCAGCCAATTGAAAGCTGCGCCTTGGTTTTCAAATGGTTTTGGGAGTCAAACAGACTCCTGGAGCGGATCAAGTTCAAGAACCAAGGTACCACTGTATCCATTTCCCCCCACTCCTGGTCACAACCTGGATTTCATGCTAAACCATAGTTCAGTGTGACAGGAATGAGTCTAGAAGTAAATTTTGGGCTTGCATGCCGTTCGTGCTAAACCATAGCTTGTGTCGTCTGATTTGACAAACACTGGTTAATGTTAATTTCAAGCAAGCCAACTTGAAACCAGTTGTAGCATATCTCTTTCCACCCCTGCTTTCCCCAAAGTAACAGCAAATATTGGGTTTTGGCAATATGTCAACCACAGGTTCTCTTTGTTGACAATGGAATGAGTTGCTAGTGGGCTGTTATGTCTGTGCCCTCAAGCCTGGAAACTCTCAGCTGCTTTCTGGACCATTTACTACTACTACGTCTTCTTCTTCTTCTTTTTCTTCTTCTTCTTCTTCTTCTTCGTAGTAATAGAAGTAACAGCAGTGGTAGTAGTAATAATAATAATAAATTTTATTGTTTTATTTTTCTGCACATACTTTCACGCCCCTACCTAGAGAATCCCCTATGTAGAAATTGCTTCCTTATTTTGGGATAGCCCAGGTTAACCCCTCAGCCACCTGAGTTCACTATTAGAGGGGTAAAGTTGGACCTATAACAAAGCATTGCAGTATAGGGTATTCTTGTTCCCTGTTCCAGTCAATCAGCCATGGTCCTCCATGATGCTCTATTTTGTTCTCTCTCTTACCCAGTTTGGGGAGGGGTTTTTCATCCAACAGTCAGCATTCCCTGGCCACTCCGTCCTCGTTTGGCTTTTTTTGGGTTTGCCAGCATCCTTAGTTCCTCCCCAAAGGTTTTGTTGTTGTAATTCTGTGAACCTTGGGGGTTCAACCAGACTTGCTGCTTTCTCCCTCCTGTGTGTGAATGGTTCCATTTTAGCTATGCGAAGACCAGCACTTGCAAGTAAACTTTGGAAATAGAGGGAATGATTATGCAATTAAGATTGCTGCTATGTTTCTAAAATAGGATTCTTTTAATTTGGAATTTTTATATCCCAACAGGTTGAACGACACAGAGAACACCTCATTAACTACATAATATTTTTGAGAATAACTCCTTTCCTTCCTAATTGGTTTATCAATATAACATCTCCTGTAATAAATGTCCCATTGAAAGTATTTTTTATTGGTACTTTTCTAGGTAAGAATTCAGATTAAAGATTTGCTAAATGTGACACTATTTTCCTTTCTGCATGCTTCATTAGTACACAGCCCCATCTCTTGGGCAGTTGTATAAATTTTGAATAACTGTTTTTGCATATTCTTATTTTAGTGCTTTATTTATTTTTAGTTGTTAAGGAATGCAGGCTGTAAATTTCACAGCTAAATAAAAATGAGCTGAAATTCTACATATCTATCATAGGATACATTCCATTTTGGAGCCTACTCTGTGGCATGATTGTTGTGAAGAAATCCTACACCGCCACCATTGTTTTGTCTGCTCATTGGATCTGTTCAGAATAGTAAAAAGGCCTGTTGCAGTCTGGCCAGCAGGGGGATGGTGACTGCTTTGCAAGAAGCTTTTCAGATAAAGTTGCTAGCATCCACTACAGTGTGGATGCTATGTTTATTTCTGAATCAGTGCCAGTGATCACACAGGGCTCCTGACTGTTCACTTTGTATTGAATACCTTTCAACTTGCACAACCTGAAGTTGTGAAAAAGTTATCTGGAGAACCAAGACCCATGATAGGCACTTTGGATCCTTGGCTTCTGTGGCTTATTAAAACTGCAAGGCTTGGTTGGGTTAGTCAGCTGTGTCACATAAGTAGAGAAGGCAAAGTGCCAGTGACACAGAAGCAGACAGAAGTGAAATCCTGGGTTGTAGCTTTCAGAAGGTGGACCTTGGTGATTACTGATTTGGCCTGTAGCTTTTGGCCTGCAGGATGCCACAAGGTTCTGTCTTGACCCCATGCTTATTAATGCCTGCTTTTAAGCAGGCAGCAAATACATTTTTATTTAGGCTGGTTGTTTTGGAATCTCCATTTTTCATTCTTGATTGCTTTAGTTATTGGGGGGGGGTTATAAGTGCTTTTTATTGTATAAACCATCTTGTACATGTTAGTTACAAGCTGGAATATAGATAATACTTTAGTGTGGTAACCTAAATAAAAATGCTTTAAAAATAGAATCATAGAATTGCAATGTTGGGGGAGAACAGGTTCTTCCTTCATGACTTCTGTTTTGTGTTTAATTTTTCCCCCCTGATCCATTTTTTTTGTCTTTTATTTCCAGGTGTTGCGCCACCATCTTTTGTAGCAATTAAAGCTGGAACAACGCTCTACCAGCTTACAACAGCAGGTGAAGCAGTCTCCTGGAACTCTGTTTTCATTCTCATGATTCTAGCTATTCTCTCCATTCTGCCAGCTATTTTTCAGAAGAAACTTAAACAAAAGTTTGAATGAGAATTAGCCTGGATCTTCATGTCCCATATTTCATCTCAGGATCAGCACTATTTCTATGGTCACTTTTCTATCGCATCTTTCACAATTTGAAAGGAGAGAATTATAAGAGATAAAAATGTTTCTGGACTTCTTGCTGAGTTTTATTTATGGGGCACAAAGACAAAATAACTGCTGTCAGAAGAAATTAAGATGAACCATATACTTTTTTTAAAGCATTGTTCATTCTAACTAATCAGTAATATATGTAATATACATATGCATATGTATACATATGTATATGTATATGTATATGTATGCCTTATCTGATTTTGTTTGTGTAGGCTTAACATGATAAATTCATTCCTGTTTCCCCCTCATCTTTGCACCATCATTCATAATTCTGAAAAAGTAATAGACTGCACAGTTGTTTCTACAGCCCAGTGGGTAATGGATTGTATGGATTCTTTATTAATGAGCTCCTTGTGGGAGAGCAGGAAGAGATATTTTGACCAATGTTTCAGAAATTCCTAGGTTTCATTTTGCTTCATGCCAACTGTGGAGACACTGAAAAACATTGAGTGACTTTCCTGTCATATGAATGTTTTTGCTGGGGTTGGGGTTGATCAGACTTTTATCTATCATGGCACATGAAAAATGCTAACTTTTATATATTTATTTTGCCAGTATTTCATATGTATGACAGCTGTTTCCAAAATTGCTAATATTTTATTAAACTGATTAATCAGCTGTCAAAAATAATTATTTGCATGCATTTATAACTGCATGCAAAAATGTGGGAAACACTTTGAGGAATTATCAGTTTCAGTTAGTAAGCAGAAACAATCTCATTATAGTTAATTAAGTATATAATGTTTGCTAGGTTTTTATTTATGTAGCATGGCCATATAGCATAACCTCTGGTGTAAAGATCCATTGGTGCTCCAAGTGCCCAAACAGTGGTTCTTCAGGCACGGAATCCCTCATTTGTTTTCATGCCCCTGCAGCTGAAACATTTTGTAAGTGCCTCAGTATGAGGAAGCTCCATGCCTACATACATACTTTCGTTGGGTTAAGGTTATCATGTACAAATTGTACATCTTGTAAATAGACGTGCTAGGAAGATGTGTCCCTGTTTTGATGGAAGGCTAACTGATGATTAAATTTATTTTTGAAATTTTAAGAGCTCTGTTATGGTTTTTACTCCCCAAGGTAATGATACCTTTCCTTGAATAATTATTGTTGCTAGGGGTATTTTGTTTCTGTTTCTGGGCTTCATTATATTGTTCCAGTTCAGAATGCCACTCAAGTGTGTCCATCTCTAGGCCTGATTACTCTGTGCGGTTATTTTTGTTACAAAACAATTTTAGCCATTTTACAGTTCTTACTAACAAAGCAGACTACAGTACTTGCCAGCTTCTGCTGTCCTCCTTTGAATCAAGGCTAGTATGCCAAATTTAGTCTGTAGACAGTTAAGTACTACATGCCCACTAGTCTGAATAACTACCATATAGTACCTGTTCCATTCCCATACGTTGGCACTCCTTCCCTCTCAAAATGGCATTCTCCTACCTGGTTCACAACTCATCTAATGTACACAGTGTCCTTCAGTCTGTAATCAAAGGCCCTTTGCAGTTCGCTTGAGCTGTGCAGCTCTTCAGCAGATAAGCATTGACTGAAGAATGTTACAGGTCTCTTTTGTGATTGCTCAAAAGCAGTGATGAACAGGTAGACATTGGCAGTGTGGGTGGATGATGGCTCCAGTAGTGAAAGACTCTGAGGTCCATAGATGTTTGGCAAGCAATCTGATGTACAAGAGGCAAAATTATGCTGTTTGAAATGCAGAAATGGTTATTCACTAAAACGGTACAATCCATTAAAAGCTAGTTGCAAGCGCCATTGAAAGCAATGGAATGGGTAACCTTTGCTGTAGTGTGCCCTTTTTGAGTTTAAAGCAAGCAAGGGCACACTCTAAAACTCAGCTGGTAAAAGCGGAGATTACTTTACATGGTTGAAATTGCCCATAAGTCTGTTTTTGAAGTTGCATGGTGCTTAGTGCTCAAGTGCATTGGGTTATTAGGAATAAAAACATTCTAATATTTTTCTGCAATCTTGTAAAATAGCTTTCCTCTCATCCTGAAAAGCACCACTTTTCAGAGGAGCTTTTGAAATGTAAGAGTATATGTGAATATTGGCAGGTACCAATACCTACTGCAGCCTTGTTCTTTTATAATATAATATGGATTGAATCATTTTATTACAGTATTATGTGTAAATGCAACTACACAGAAGATACATTAATATACTTCATCATTTGTGTTCTGCATATACAGTTTTTGTTGCTTTTTGCCTATTTTTAAAAAAGTGTTGACCTGACCTCATAATAAATGGTATAGTGGCATAACCAAATGTTATCTTACTAGGTATATTGTTATTACTGGTTAGATTTTTTCAGAGGTTGGTTCAGAAATGTCTAAAAGTACACCTGTCACAACAAATGCCACATTATAATGCTGAACCATTTTGACCTTAGTAAAACTGTGGCAGGTGATTTGTGTAGTTGATACTCCTGCTCTGCCGGGTCCAAACTGTGTAGTGTTCTTGTGGATTTGAGACAACCTAAGAGGTAATCTTCATTCTGTCTTTGCTGTTCAAGATACAGTACAATGAACTGGTTGAATTAAGTTTTCAGACATCTTTTTCCACTACGTAACAGCCTAGGTTTTACAGAGCTGTATGGTTTTAATTATATGTAATAAACTGAAAATAGAACAGTTTTGGTTATGAAATTTGCTCCATAAACACAGTAACTTTTTATTTTGCACATTTATCATTGCTGTATTGTCAACATACATGGCCCTTCACAGTGGAACATAAACAAAAAATTCCATACAATTCTTGTCCGCTGAGGTCCTCTGAAGAAGCTCTTCTGTGGTATGGTTGGTAATAGAACGGAAGATCTTGGTTGCATCATCTTGCCTTTGGAATCCTGAGATATCTGTTTGGCCTTTTCCCTAACGGTATTCTGCTGCCACCCAGACACTTTCTTCTGGTAAGGCTTTATCTGATCATTGTTTCATTATGATTGGCTCATAGAATCATAGAATCATAGAGTTGGAAGAGACCACAAGGGCCATCGAGTCCAACCCCCTGCCAAGCAGGAAACACCATCAGAGCACTCCTGACATATGGTTGTCAAGCCTCTGCTTAAAGACCTCCAAAGAAGGAGACTCCACCACACTCCTTGGCAGCAAATTCCACTGTCAAACAGCTCTTACTGTCAGGAAGTTCTTCCTAATGTTTAGGTGGAATCTTCTTTCTTGTAGTTTGGATCCATTGCTCCGTGTCCGCTTCTCTGGAGCAGCAGAAAACAACCTTTCTCCCTCCTCTATGTGACATCCTTTTATATATTTGAACATGGCTATCATATCACCCCTTAACCTCCTCTTCTCCAGGCTAAACATGCCCAGCTCCCTTAGCCGTTCCTCATAAGGCATCCTTTCCAGGCCTTTGACCATTTTGGTTGCCCTCCTCTGGACACGTTCCAGTTTGTCAGTGTCCTTCTTGAACTGTGGTGCCCAGAACTGGACACAGTACTCCAGGTGAGGTCTGACCAGAGCAGAATACAGTGGCACTATTACTTCCCTTGATCTAGATGCTATACTCCTATTGATGCAGGCCCAGAATTGCATTGGCTTTTTAGCTGCCGCGTCACACTGTTGGCTCATGTCAAGTTTGTGGTCAACCAAGACTCCTAGATCCTTTTCACATGTACTGCTCTCAAGCCAGGTGTCACCCATCTTGTATTTGTGCCTCTGATTTTTTTTTGCCCAAGTGCAATACTTTACATTTCTCCCTGTTAAAATTCATCTTGTTTGCTTTGGCCCAGTTCTCTAATCTGTCAAGGTCGTTTTGAAGTGTGATCCTGTCCTCTGGGGTGTTAGCCACCCCTCCCAGTTTGGTGTCATCTGCAAATTTGATCAGGATGCCCTTGAGTCCATCATCCAAGTCGTTGATAAAGATGTTGAATAAGACCGGGCCCAAGACAGAACCCTGTGGCACCCCACTAGTCACTCTTCTCCAGGATGAAGAGGAACCATTGATGAGCACCCTTTGGGTTCGGTCAGTCAGCCAGTTACAAATCCACTGAGTGGTAGCATAGTCAAGACCGCATTTTACCAGCTTCTTTACAAGAATATCATGGGGCACCTTGTCAAATGCCTTGCTGAAATCCCTTGCTATTGTTTTTTATTTGCTACTTGGGAAGAGAAAAACAGGAAGGGGAGATGCAAGGGTTACAAGGGATGAATTTAATAAGACACATTGGCTGTGTTTGGACAATAAAATCTCAGCTAAATAAGCTGAGATACATGCATGCTTCAGGAACCTGAATGCAGCTGCAAACAAGCCAGCAAATCACAGTTAATTATTGCTGTTATGTCCAACCTGGAACTAGTTTATGGCTTCCAGCCATGGCAGAATATGAAGCCATGTTTTAAAGCTGACTTCTATATCCTGGCTTATTTGGACACTATTACCTGTAGCACTTGATTTGCACATAATAGAAAGCTATGGTTTAACTATGACTTCCTGGCTTCTGTCACTGCTTGGTGCAAGAGGAAAAGCAACATTCGTATATCTTGTCTTATCATCCAAATTACATATTACTTCGGTAAGATTTTGTTTCATTATTTGTATTTACTAGGGAACATAAAATGCCTCATAGAAACCTAATAAATGGAGACAGTTCTCTGTGGTCTCAATTCTTCCCACATGTGGGTTCAGTTTTCTGTGCAGAGCAACATCCACAATTGCCCAAATATTTGTTTTACTTCTTTAATTTTTATTCCCATTTGTCTCAAGAGAATAGCATGAACAGTAGTAGCACATGGTATACATTATGCCCTTCTTTCAAAGTGATTAAATTCTGATGCAGAAAATTATATGTTGAGTATGGTTGAGAGATTTATATCCATGCAGAAAGCAGCTTTACCAAAGATGAAGTTCCATCTGCTTAGTTAAATGTATGTGACCTAATTCTTCAAATGCAGAGTACTACGCTCACTGGAAGTCTTGTGAAAATGCTTTTTAAAAAATCAGCGTTGTTTTTCAACAAAGTATAACGAATCAAGATGGCGACAACACCATAAAACAGCCAAACATACATAAGAAGAGCCTGATGAATCAGGCCAGTGGAACATCTATTCCTGAATCCTGTTGTCACAGTGGCCAGCCAGGTGCCTGTGGGAAGCACACAAGCAGGAGCTGAGCACAACTCCTCCCCTTCTGCAGTTTCCAACAACTGGTTTGTATGGGCTCAAGTGTAACTCAAATAGTATCCCTCAGCCCCCATCAAAGGTGTCTCTAAACACCCAGGTCTACTTGGCACCTAAATGGCACATTGCGTTGAGCCTAGGCAGGCTTCCTAAGGGAGGGCATTCCATAAAGTCAACACCTTCCTGTTCCTGGTAGAATTTGTCTTGTAGAATTGTAGAATTAATGTACTGTAATACAATGTAAATGCTAATTGTACTTCAGGTTACTGTGAGTAGGGTAAGAAAACTGTACTTATCTTTATATGTTTCTACTTGGAACAGATAAAGCAATCTTTTTTTGAAATGAAAACAATGTGCAATCTCATCAGCTGTATGTATGTGATAATGTGTTTCTTTTTGATTGGGTTTCCTAGTCACCTCACATTCAACATAATAGCCTTTAAATCAGCCATCTCTTCATATCTATATAGGAAACTTGAAGACATTCATCCTGCTCAGCCAAATGTACAATTCTTAGTTTTATTGCCTCAGTCTTAATGTGCATTTTCATACTGTTAACAAAACTAATTTAAAAGATGAAGAGAAAACATAAGAAGGACTAGACAAAACTAAGGGGAAAGGTAGGGGGAAAGAAAAATTTTAGTAGTGAGAAATTTTAAAAATAACAAAAAGAATAGAGATAAACATAAACTGGACCACTGAGCACCTTGCATGATCTGAACTTTCTGCTGGTATAATGGATACCTTCATGCCTCTTATGGTGAGGAGGAACCAGTGAAGCTTCACTAAACATGCCTAAGGAACTTGATGCAGAAGAGTGTAGCAATGATAGCATCATGAATAACAATTTCAACAATAGTACTAAGATTTTTTGGGGGGGGGGGGGGTAAAAATTTTAATACAAAAATAACCTAAATTCTCCTCCTATATCAACTACATCTATATCAACACATGACATAGATAAAGTATAGAGGCAATTGATCTAATAAAATGATTTAAATATATATGAGCCAGGAGGGTGGGAATCAAGATAATAATCAATAGGGTCCTTTCCAACTCTACCAATTCTATGATTCCACAATTCTGTGAAAGAATGGAGGGGTAGAAACGGGAGAAGGCGAAAGCTTGATGGAACTATAAAAAATGGAGATGGAGGGAGTTGCTATGTGTATGGGAAATGCTGTGCTATTCAATCAAATAAGAGCTGCCTCGAACACCACGTTGTAGAACAATATGGAGGGAGGGAGGGTGAAAGGGAGGGTGAAACGGATTATAGAGATGAGGTGGAGCGGCTGACAGAGTGGTGCAGAGCTAACAACTTGCTCATAAATACAAGGAAGACAAAGGAGCTTGTGGTGGACTTCAGGAGACAGAAGAGCAACGTCCAGCCACTTTTGATTGATGAGGTCTGTGTGGAGAGGGTAACAACGTTCAGATTTTTGGGCATTGAATTACAAGAGGATCTGTCCTGGAGTGTCAACACAAGGGGGCTTGTGAAGAAGGCGCAGCAGAGACTGTACTTTTTGAGAATACTAAGGAAAAACCATCTTCCGCAGAAACTGCTGCTTGCCTTCTATCACTGTGCCATTGAGAGCGTGCTCACTTATGGCTTATGTGTGTGGTACGGAAGCTGTACTACCCAGGACAGGATGGGGTTGTGCAGGGTTGTTAAGGCAGCAGAAAGCATTGTTGGCTGCCCACTCTCCACCTTAGAGCAGATTTATGCCACAAGGTGCCATAGGAAGCCACTGGACATAGTAAAAGATCCATCGCATCCTGGTCACTGTCTCTTCGAGCTCTTGCCATCGGGACGGAGATACAGGACGATGAAGACAAGAACGAGCCGTCTTAAGAACAGCTTCTTCTCCAGAGCGATCTCGGCCCTGAATGGGAAGCCCGGACTTTGAAAGTCATCTAATCTCCCTTGCTGTATTATACTGTATTGATTAATTAGTGTTTTTATGGAGCAGTCAAGTAATTTCGTTGTCCCCGAAGGGGGCAATGACAATAAAGATATTATTATTATTATTATTATTATTATTATTATTAATATTCATATTTAACCCTTAATGGTGGTCTGCGATTGAGAATACACACACACACACACACACACACACGTGTGTGTATGTTAAATTAGGCAAGGCCACAAAGTGCTGAGATACTTTTTGTGGGTATCTGGTTTTTAAATTTGTGGGGGGGGGGGGTTTCATTTTCTTGCCCCGTCCCCATTATTAATAAAACTATCAACACAACAATGGACTTACCTAACGGATTAGTATACTAGCTGGCGGGGGGGGGGGGGACATCTGCTTGGGCACCAGAGGCATACCTAGGCTCTCTTATGCTCTTGGCAAGGAGCTGTCCTGGTGCCCACCCTTTTCCTTGCGCCTTAGTAAAGGGCTGTATTGACAACCCCAGCCCCATCCTTGCACCCTTGGCAATCACCATTTTCCCCACCTTTCTTTGCAATTTTTCACTCCCTCCTGGGCCTGCGCTTCAGTTTAGGCCACTCCTAGGTACACCCCTGTTGGGCACTGAGACTGAAATATTACTTTTATACCCCTTTGAAAAGCAGACCCCCATGTTATATCTCAGAATATTTTTGAAACTTCTGTCAGCTTCAGGGGCTACTGTTAAATAAATCCATGTTCAAAGTTCCCCTGCCTGTATGGAGCTAGATGTGTGGTTCTTTGGATCCAGGCTAAATAAATTGAACTAAGAGTATCCTCCTAATTTCCACATTTTTTTTTATTGCATGTGAGCTTTTCTATGGAATATCTCTATCTGTATTAAACACTCAGAAGGGTGATTGAAAACTCACCCCTCTTCACTCTTTTCTCCACAATACAAATATTACAAAACTTTTCGTAACATTATTGCATGTGTACCTGCATGTTGAGTCAAATACATTTTGTACTTTTTTGTATGTGTGAGAAGTCTCAGGTAACCTTCAGAATGCAAATCAATGCAGTGACTGCAGGGAGTATGAAGCAATAGAATTGGCTGGGAAAGGAATGACCCAGGAGAATTTTCTTGTTGTGTGTAGCATTAGGTGTAAAATGGCATCTGTTCCTATTTGAAATAAGAAACATTAGAATGGTAGAGAAAAACCTGAATAACAATTGTCATGTAGAGCAAAGGCTTGAAACAATCTGCCATTCTATGACTAGTGTTCTTATATTGGAGTACTGTGAGCATTTGCTACAATAGATTTTTGACATACACATACAACACAGGATGAATATCCCAAAGTGTAGCTAATTGTGTTGTACTAATAAAGTTCTGATTTTCTACTTGTTGGGAGTTGGATGATATCCAGCTGCTGAGGCTTCTACTTAGCCCTTGGTATTTACAGCATTTTGAAGAAAGTTACATGTGAAACACTTTAATAGTTAAGATAGCCAAATTTAAAATTCTGAAACTTTCAGTTTAAGAGCTGGGGTGAGTTGTTGAGAGGATTTGCAGCAATAAAGGCTTCTGCCTCACTGCTACCAGTCCCTTAATTTACTCGTCTCTCCTGCCCGCTAGAGCAAGAAAACTCTATCCCTTGGGCTGACAAAAAGGCCTGTTTGAGTTGCAGAGCAGAAGTCTGAATCTCTGCGTTAGCATCCAGCAACATTAGCCCTTGTCCCCTTTTCTTGTTTGCTGCATTTGATTCTACTCCTCTGGTAATTACCATGGTAACTCTTTGCATCTGTTTCGGTTGACTGCTGCCAGGAGCCTCATGTACCATCTCTTTAATACTGGCCCTATGGGATACTTGGAACAAGTGCAGAATGTTCCTGCAGCAATTCAGCCAGTTTTAACACACAGCTACTGTTGAAAAAAGCGTGAAGTATATAGCAGCAGGGGCAGTTTAAATTGGAGTAAGCTGGAAGCATAGTGCTCATGTGAATGCAGACTTCAGCATAGGGCTATGCATAGAACTTTGCGCCTGCCATTCTCACAACCCTGATTAGTTCCAAAGGAGTTCTACATTTTAAGGCTTTTGGAGGGCCTGTTTGGAAAGCAAAATTAATTTTCAATCAGTTAATGGTAAACAGCTTCTTATGCTTCTGTTTAATTCTTTGCAGAAAACTGCTGCTTCTTGGAGGCAGGGAGGGGGAAATGTTGCTGTCCACATTATCTGCCACACTAGGTGGTATTGCCTTCCACCTGCATGCTTTGACCCCAAACAACAAGCCTAGCTGATCTACTGCCCACAGCTGCCCCCTGGACCTGGTCTTCCTCCTATTACTATTGGCAGATTGTACAACTCTTTTGGGGCCAGTTTCCTAACACTACCTAAATGTAGCTATGTTAAAATTAGGGTAAGAATCATGTTTCAAATTAGATAACAATCATGTTTCTGTCTTCGCACTGTGCTCTCTCCGCGAAAAAACAATTTGGCAACAATCCCTGCTGTGGGCCGAGGAGGAGGACAGTAATAAGAATGCAAAACCTTTGGAACAGTCAAGAAAAATGTGATAATAACTATAACCTCCTTTTCTGCCATGTGGCCAAACAACATGGGCACAAATCCAGGAGAATTTGTTAATAATGATGATGCTTCTATACTGGGCTCCCTCTCCCTCCAGATATATGGTACAAAGGAAGCAGGGTTTAAAAGTGAATAAGGGGCGACGAGGGCAACAACTCAAAAGGGGAGGGAGAAGCAGAGAGGCGGAAATGTCCGTTGAGAGAAAAGACGGGGCTCTAACTCTATCCGGTGCTGAACCAACAACGGGCGAGGAAATGGGCTTTATCCCCTCGCGCCGCTCCTCCCAGAGTCTTCTCAAGAAACCACACTGCAATGAGCATCACGTCATCCTTTCTGCTCACTGCGCCTGCGCAGCATTGCGGTCCTCACTTCTATTCCTCCCTCTCTCCCGCCTCCCCCCCTTGGAAACATCTGGGAAGAGAGGAGCTGAGGGGGGAGAGCGCCCTGTTATGTGTGTTCCCTCGCCCGAGTGTCAGGCCTTGCTACCCACAATGCCATGCGGCCCTGGCCGCTCCGTCATGGAGGCAGCAGCGGGGGCCCCTGAAGCAGCCGCGTCCGCCGCAGCTGGGCGGCCAGGAGCCTCGGCGGTAGCGCCCCGGAACGCTCCCTCTCGCTGCTGCTGGGCGGCTTGAGCCGTCCTGCCTCACTGGGGCCCCGTCCAGCATGAGCGGCGACGGCGGCAGCAGCGGCAGCGGCTCCGGCTCCTCTTCGTCCGCTCCTGGCCGCTTCGCCGACTACTTCGTGATCTGCGGGCTGGACACCGAGACTGGTCTGGAGCCGGACGAGCTCTCGGGTGAGTCAGACGGCAGCCCCGCCAGCCTCCCTCCGAGAGCCCGAGGGCTGCTCTGCCGCCCGGCGTCGACGTGCTCTGCCCTCAGGGGAGGGAGGCGGCGGAGGGGAGAGTAAATCAGCCCAGCCGGGGCATCATCATCATCATTTTATTTAGGCCGGGAGGGGGGGCGCTTTTGACAGCGGCTTCACTTCAGCCCCTGCCTGGGGCGGGTGAGGGGCGACCCAGTTCGGGGCTGAGGGGTTGCCGTCGGTCCCCTTGGAGAAGCGGCTTCTTTCGCGTCTGCTGAGGCGAAAGGGGCTTCATGGATGTCGTCTCCCCTCCTTGCCAGCTCAGGAGGAGCTGCTGTGCCTGGACTACTTGGCAGCGGCGGCGGCGGGTGGAAGCAGCCACTGCTTTGTTTTGGCAGCAACAGGACCCTCATTCTCTCTCCTCCTCCTCCTCCTCCTCCCTCCTCTCTGCTCCCAGAGCACTTGGCCTTCATAATAAGGAGATGTTGCATCTTGCTGTCGCTGTGGGATGCAAAAGCAGTTTTAAGGGTCATGTGGCAGCGGTTGCCACAGCAGTGGCATTAATTTCACTGCAGGGAGGTGAAATCTAGTGCACTTTATTTTTGTGTGTTGTTTACACTGTTGTTCCTTTAACCTCTTCCTGAAATGCTGCCCTGACTTCAGATTAACATCCTTCTGCCCACTTATTCCTGACAGTGGAAACTGGTACTGTATTTATTTTTGTAATCCTGCAAAATAAATAATCGTTTAAAAGATGTGGTAGGAGGCAAAGGGCTGCTCATGGAGATGGAAGAGGAGGCAAAAGAAGACACTCGGCCACAAGATGAAACCACTGGTAGCAACAATTTAGGAACCATATTTGCAGAAGTATAAGGAATGGTTGCAGGTCTAGAACTCTTGCCTTTCATAGTCTTTTGGCACAACTTAATAATTTCCCCATTCAAAAGCTATATAACTGGTAATTGTTGTTTAGTCGTTTAGTCGTGTCCGACTCTTCGTGACCCCATGGACCAGAGCACGCCAGGCACTCCTGTCTTCCACTGCCTCCAGCAGTTTGGTCAAACTCATGTTGGTAACTTTGAGAACACTGTCCAACCATCTCGTCCTCTGTCGTCCCCTTCTCCTTGTGCCCTCCATCTTTCCCAACATCAGGGTCTTTTCCAGTGAGACTTCTCTTCTCATGAGGTGGCCAAAGTATTGGAGCCTCAGCTTCAGGATCTGTCCTTCCAGTGAGCCCTCAGGGCTGATTTCCTTAGGAATGGATAGGTTTGATCTTCTTGCAGTCCATGAGACTCTTGAGAGAGTCCCATAACTGCTCATACTTCATGCATATAAGGGACGCGGGTGCCTCTGTGGTCTAAATCACTGAGCCTCTTGGGTTTGCTGATCAGAAGGTTGGCAGTTCAAAACCGTGTGACGGAGTGAGCTCCTGTTGCTCTGTTCCAGCTTTTGCCAACATAGCAGTTCGAAAGCATGCCAGTGCAAGTAGATAAATAGGTACTGTTGCGGCGGGATGGTAAACAGCATTTAAGTGTGCTTTGGCTTCCATTATGGTGTCTTGTTGCGCCAGACTTCAGTTTCAGTGTATCTGAAGAAGTGTGCATGTACATGAAAACTCATACCAAGAACAAACTTAGTTGGTCTCTAAGGTGCTACTAGACAATTTTTTAAATTTTTTAATATATTTTACCAGATCAGTGTTAACTTTTTCTGTTTTGGCACTGGTAGTAGATTGGTACATATAAACTGCTGTACAGATCTTAAAGGTAAAGGTACCCCTGCCCGTGCGGGCCAGTCGTGTCCGACTCTGGGGTTGCGCGCCCATCTCGCTTAAGAGGCTGGGGGCCAGCACTGTCTGAAGACACTTCCGGGTCACGTGGCCAGCGTGACAAGCTGCATCTGGCGAGCCGGTGCAGCACACGGAAACGCCGTTTACCTTCCCGCTAGTAAGTGGTCCCTATTTATCTACTTGCACCTGGGGGTGCTTTCGAACTGCTAGGTTGGCAGGCGCTGGGACCAAGTAACGGGAGCGCACCCCGCCGCGAGGATTCGAACCACCGACCTGACGATTGGCAAGTCCTAGGCGCAGAGGTTTTACCCACAGCGCCACCCGCATCCCTTGTACAGATCTTAGCATCTACTTTAATAAGGTATGTGTAATTCCTTGGCGGATTAAACTAACTGCATAATTTGTCTGTAAAATAAATGGTTGAAAATGAAGAATATTTGCATGATTGGGAGTTTATGTTTACTTCCTTGTTGTTTTTCCATATTGCCTCATAGACTTTGAGGCATAGATTTCATATAAAATGGTGAAGTATTTTGTACTAAGCTTTCCATATAGTGTGCTACTTAGTGTGAACAAAGCTATGGAAATACTAATCTCTGGATTATCTGGAATAAAGTCTGGTGTGATCTTGTGTTAAGTGATATATAACATTCCAGTCTAGTATGCAGACTTATATGTCAGGAGAGTCTGTGTATCCCCATATCCAATTTTTCCTTGTTATCCTGATCTGTTTTCCCCAAACTCCTAAAATTACGCTAGCCGTGGAACTTGCATAGTTTATTTCCTTCCATAGGCTGCAATGGGCAGGTGTGGCTTGCAAAATGATAAACTAGTTGTCTTGTGCACTGTGAGACAGTAGGGCTCTGAATAAGTTGGTGACTCTACCACACAGAGTTGCCCACAGGTTGGATTTCTTTGCCCATATTATTTTGTTAGGAATCCCGAAGTAGAAAGTTGTATTGTATTATGTACTTCTTATTTATTTATCTAAATGATACATGTAAGATGCTAGAAGTTTCACAATATCTCATTTAACAGCTTAACAACTCTGAGTGGGAGCTCATATTATTTTTACCCTGCTACTTATTAATTTTTATTATTATTTACTTTGGAACAGATTGAAAAATAGTGACTTACCCAAAACTATCCAGGAAGCCCATGACTGAGCTGGGATTTGAATGAACTCAGGTCATCACTCGACTCACCAAACCATGAGTCTGTTCACATATGAGGTGTTCCCCATGCAATTGCTTTAGAAGCAGGTCTACCCAGAGGGTTATGGAACCTGAAGCAGGCGTGATGTTTGGGGCCCTGCTGCTACCCTTTAAAAGGGCTTATGAACCTGTGTACAACATTGGCTGGAGCACATCAGCTGCTCCTTACCTTGGGAACAAGCAGACTTTCTGCACTTGTTCCTGTGGCATGTACAGCTGGGCACTGACTTTGAGACACATTTGTAAGGCAAAATGACATTAATAGTTGACAAGTGAAAAATTTATTATATTTACATTACAAAGTTAAAACCCCAAAGACAAAATGAGAAGTACAAAGTCAGGGATAATTTCTGCCTTTAGATGCATGCAAGGTGAATGGAAGCCTCTTGGAGGAAAGGAATGAATAGAGACCCCTGCTGTGTAAACCGAGTCAGGGTGGAATAAAGCACTGTTATTTTTTAGATGACAAAGAATTAAGCCAGATGACAAAAGTGATGTAGTCTGGTGAAGCCACTATATTTTAAAGGAAAAATTTCTAAGAGTAAGTTTAGGATGAACTTCAAGTCCAAATAAATTAGGTGAGGTTATTTCCATCTTGCTTTATGCTTTTTGCAAACTATAATTGTGATGTGTGTTGTGTATTAAAGCAGTTTCAACAGTTTTCATACCTTGGTCCTTAGATTTAAAATTGACACAGCCCCTACTGCAATTCCTCTGAGATCTACAATTTGAATTTAGCAGGCTTTTAAAATTTTGGTGTTTCCTGAAAGATATATTTACTGGAGTAAAAAGGGATATTGTGTAGACTTTTCTCTGCTGAATGCATTTTTAGCTATAAAGGCATCTTTGTTCTGCTGAAACAATTTGTCTAATAAGTGGCAATTGTTCAAATAAAGCACTGGTATTACAATGTAGAGAGGCGGAGGGAAGGAAAATAGGATTCCTAAATAGAAGTTATTCTTAAAAACACTAACAGTAATTTGCTGCACACTGCAGTTTTCCTCAGAGTTAAGATTGCCTTGAGCACAATCTCTCTGGATGGTATTCAACTACTTTTACTCAGAGTAGATCCATTAATTTAGTGAATATGACTAAGTTAAGTCCATTAATTTTAATGGATCTTCTCTGAGTAAAACTTTTTTTAACACTACCCATAGTTCACTGGGAAACTGACAGTTGTTGCTGGAACACTTAGCAAGGCTATAGACAAATTTATTCTAGGAAATAAATGTTGTGCTGCCTTCTAGGGTTTATTCAAGAATATAACTTACAAATGTTGGTTGTATATAATAACAGTTTTCATATATGTGATTTTATTATTATAAACTTTAAAGTGATATCAGTTACAGTAAAGCAATGGCGCGTAACTTGTGAGCTCAATTTCAGACAACCTCTGTAAGTGATCAGTTGAGACCTTCTGCAAGGGTGAACTGTCATTCATGGGAGGAGAATTTGTAATAAGGCAGAACACAGAGAACTTTTATGGGGAGAGAGCATCCAGAGCCAAAATATTCCCCTCCCTATACTCACTTGTGAGGAGCTAAATGGGTGGTGATGGGAGAGAAGGGGCTTGTGTCCTGCTTCCCACTGTGCCAACTCACTTGCAGCTATTTGGTGGCCTCTTTCTTGCTGCCTTGGGCTGTAGGGGAAGAGAAGTCAGGTTTAGGTATGGACAAAGGCCGGCAGAGTAGGTCAATACCAGTGGGTGTGAGGCAGAAAGAAGGGTGGAGGAGGCAGTCCCTGCTCAGTCACCTGCTCCTGCTGGCACAGATTGGCCTCTTGTCACTCCACCCTGAGCAGTGTTCGAAACTCCCATTGTTCTAGGCGCATTTTGCAACAGGGAATTTCATTAGCGCACACAGTTTTTGAGCTCTGGGCACAGTACTGTGGCTAAGATTTCAGATCAAAACTGCAGAGTGGAAGGAAAGGAGGGCCTTTTTCTGCCTCCCTACTTACAGCTACTCTCTGAAGACTGGAGAAGAGACCCTCTTAAGAATATTAGTGGAGTGGGCAGGGGAAGGACTAGACCATGTGAAAAATGAACATAATATTTTAGCTGCAGTTCATTCATTTTCAGTTTTGTATTCGTGTTATTAAAAAATTGTGCCTAGACATTCCATTGTTGCGCCCATAACATAGGTTTAAGGTGCCATTTAGCTCCTAGCTTTCATATCTCAGTTTCTAACACTGACCCGGAGTGAAGCAGAGACACCATGGATATCTTTTGCAAGTGAAAAGTTATCAGGTGGCCTCTTTCCTCCCTATGCTGCCCACCGAGTGAACTAGCACGTCAGAGGCACCATAGATGCCTTTGCTGGGACGATCATTTGTTTTCTCTCCACTCTTCCTGAGTGAAATGACACAGAAACTATGTGGGCCTTTCCCCACCTCCACTTGCCAATGATATGGTGTCCTATTGGGCCTTTACTCCATGTCTGGGAATGGACTCTACTCATTCAGCAAGTCCTTTTTGTTATTTTTCTTGTTCTGTGCTTGAGCTGTGTCTGCAATTAAAACTCCAGTCTCCTGCCCGGGTAACTCCCTCTTTCAATGCCTTCAGCCTGCTGGATCATGGCAATGTTCCATTTTAGCATCCAGTTCTCACCATGGCCAGCCAAATACTCATGAGAAACCATAACAGGACCTCAGTGCAGCAACATTCTATCACTTGTCAATCTCAGCAACTGATATTTGGAGGCTTATTGCCTCTGACACAGCTTGATGTCTTCTACTCCAGTGGCTTCCCATTCCCAACTTCTTTATCAACAACAATGTCAGCTTCTTATATACAGTTATTTTGGATATAGCAAGCTAGAAATAATAAAATAAAATTGGATTGTGATGATGATGATAAATTTATACGCCGCCCATCTGACTGGGTTGCCCCAGCTACTCTGGGCGGCTTCCAACAAATTAAAAACATTAAGCACAGTAAAACATTAAAAACATTAAACATTAAAAACGTTAAAAAGTTAGAACGTTGGGTAGAGAAAGGTCTGAGCTCCCTTCTTTTTCCCTACCCCTGATGGCCTCCAAAATAACTATTTGTTTTCAAAAGCATCTGTTGGGTTTTCAGTAGATGCTTGCATGTAATGATGAACAAAAATGCTTAAACATGGATGTTCTATATCTACTGTATATCCAAGCTTGACTGTGTGGCCACACCTCACCAACTTCTCCACACAAAACCTTCCAGGATTGCCAGTGTGAATTTTGGGGCAGGAGAAGCATAGCTGCAGACTTCCAGTGAGCTAACTCCTGTTTTATGTGGTGTATGTGAGTAGACCACTAATGGGAGCAGTTATTTCCAAAGGCCAGTTAGCTGCTGTACATCTGCACTAAATTAAACAGATCCTAGTTCATTTCCAAATTATGTAAAGTGCAAATAGAGTTCTTAGTGACTAAACTTATTCATTGACTGGTATTAAAATTGATGGAGATGTGAAATGTGAAATGGCTTTTATTTCATAAATTCTGTAGCGATAGGGCAAGAATTTGAGGTTGAGGTTTGCAGTAGCACTTGTGAAATCCTCTGTATATGTTGCTGCCCTATATCACGCAGTTTTCTTTCTCCCCCCGAAGAAGCTTATGCTGTTTGCCATGTTGCAGAATACCAAAGAGCTCTTTTGTTTCTTTGGGAGCTGAGCAGACGTGCTGTGGTAGCTGATATTGCAGTGAAGAATGGAGTAGCTGATGTAAGTAAGAGCAGCTGTGAAGCTTCTTTGGAGTCTGCAGGCTGATATGATAGGCTGCTTTATGACTGATGTTGTGATACCATGTTTTTGTATTTGGCTGTATATTTACAACCCTGAGTAGGAGAGCATAATTTATAAAACCTGAGTAAACAAGTCACTCCTTTGTTTCTCTAAGCAGCCTTTAAAAGTCTGTCTGTTAGCTTTACAATGTGTGTCTGCAAAACTCAAAATTGACAGCAATAATTGACTCCGCTCAATATTGAGGCAAATATTTAGATCATAGTTAACTTCAGAAATGTCTCAAGGTGTTTAAATATTATGTTATCTAATTCCACAAATGAACAATTAACTTTTAAAACTTCAGCTGTATGCATAATATTAAACTTTACCTGGTTACATCTTGTGTTACTAGCTAAATAGTAACTCATTTTGTATTTAAATATTGTGAACCCCCCTGTGATCTTCAGCTCAAGGGTGGTATACAAATTTAATAACAAACAAACAAACAAACAAACAAACAAACAAACAAACAACTGCTTCCCCTGACCACTCATCAGATTTGAAAGTCTATGAAAATGTTGTTGTTTTTTATGTTAGTACCTTAGGATACTCAATCTTGCCTGCAAGAGTTTGTTAGGAAAAAATAATTCATATAATGCAACATTGTCAGGAATATTAATCTAACTGTACATGGCAAATTGATTATTCTGCTCAGATTTGAGGCTGTCAGACAGACAGTAGTGACTGGCAGGGCAGTGTGGGTGAGGTCAGGTTGCTGTCCTATCTTCTTAATGCCATATGTTAATGTCAGTTACCAAGAGAGGGAGAAACAAGGAAGTGGGGAACTTGATGTGGGTGCAATGACAGGAGCATCAGATTGTTCTACCACTGCACCCATGCTGCATTCCTCACTGCCTTGTGCCTCCCCTTCTTGGTAACTGTCAGTGACACATGACACAGGAAAGCCAGGTCAGCAACACTGTTTTCCCCCACAGGCCACTACTACAGGTAGATAGTGTTATTTCCTCTTCTTTTTAAAACTGTTGTGCTTTGTTCCACAAATAGGTAAGGGTAAAGGGACCCTTGACTGTTAAAGTCCAGTCACAGACGACTCTGGGGTTGCAGCGCTCATCTCGCTTTACTGGCTGAGGGGGCTGGCGTTTGTCTGCAGACAGCTTCCGGGTCATGTGGCCAGCATGACTAAGACGCTTCTGGCGAACCAGAGCAGCGCATGGAAACGCCATTTACCTTCCCGCCAGAGTGGTACCTATTTCTCTACTTGCACTCTGACCTGCTTTCAAACTGCTAGGTTAGCAGGAGCAGGGACTGAACAATGGGAGCTCACCCCGTTGCGGGGATTCGAACCGCCGACCTTCCGATCGGCAAGCCCTAGGCTGTGGTTTAGACCACAGTGCCACCTGCGTCCCATGTTCCACAAATAGGTCACAGTTATTTGCAAAGCTGTCATTTAGGGTCAGTTGCTTCCTTTCCAAGATATATGGCTACTTGGTAATACCTTGCATTATTTTGCGCTTTACATATTAAAAATTGAAATATTTTAAATAAATTAGATAGGATATTGGCCTAAAAACATGAATTGTATTAGTCTCCCTACATTTGCTGATCTTTGAAGTAATTTAGTTCTTTTTTAAAAATTATTATTCACGAACCTAATCAAATTGCCAAAAGTTATTGCTTTATCCTCAGGCATAAATCATAAAATGAGAGAATCTGCCCAATAGAGTCCAGATTATGGTGTATATTTAACTGCCCTGTGCTGCCTTAGGAAATTGAATGTTGCTAGAATTCAGCATCTTACCAGTTAATAAGAGATGAAAGCTAAAATGGGGTACTGCCACTACTAAACATGTTAACAGTATACAAACCCTCTGGACTGCATGCGCAAGTCATGTGAAGGGGAAGGACTGAGAATACTGAGGATGCAATAGAAAAAGTTAGAGGAGGGAAGTGCAGAAAAGATGATGAGACTATGGTGGTCAAGACAAACAAAACCCCACAATGGAAGATATAGGAGTTTGGTGGGGGTTTTTACACATTCAGAAGTGGGTAGACGCCTGATTGCAATTAGTGAAAAGTAGATAAGTCGAACTCCTGGAATAAATTAATCACAATTTGATGCACAGGTATGATAGGTATGTGGAACCTGTGGCCCTCCAGACTCCAGCTCTTATTCTTGTTGTTGTTATAATAATTATATCCCACCTTTCCTCCAAGGAACTCAATGTGGCATACATGGTTCTCCCTTTTCCCATTTTATCCATACAACAACATTGTGAGTTAGGTTAGTCCTTGGCCAATTGTCATGAATAGTCTTATCCAGATATTCAGCTGAATGTTTGAGGGCACAGACTATTTAGGGAGTGTGGGTTGCTGTCCCTGCTCATTTCCTTCTGAACTTTTGCACATTTAGTGTGCAGGACTGGTGGCATAAGTGGGGCTGCACTGCTGACCTAGCTTCCCAACACTGCACATTGCTGCCAGTTACCAAGAGGGAAACTGCCACTGCACCTGTGCCTGTATCAAGCTCCCTGCTGCCTTATCCCTCCCCTTCCCTGTAACCAACAGAGATGTGCATCATTGGGAAACCAGGTCAGCAATGTCGCCCTACCTGTGGTGCCACTCCATTCACTACTGGATTCTGCCTGTGATTGAGCACTTAGAATCCCCCTTCTGACTTTTAGCAAGGCTGGGTGTAGAGGCAGTCAAGGCGTACATAGGGACATTAGGAGCAGCATGGTCCACACACCCTTTAGGAGCTGGGGCTCTCATGCATTTGATTGAATATCTGAATAGGGTTATTTGAGGCTAATAAAGTTAAACGCAGACTAATGCTGTGTTAAATTTTGAAAAACTCTCTTGGGTGTTTTCATCCAACTTGTAAGACTCATGAATGTCATCATAGATGGGTGGCAGTAGTAAGTTATTTTTAGGTGTACTTCACCCTCCCCTCTAGTGTCAGACAACCTCCCAGTTTGCTCCACCTTCCCACCCTACACTCTTGTCTTCTGTGTGCAGTTACCCCCCTCTCTGCCCAGCAGTGAAGAGTCCTCAAGATGGTATCGGATGTCCAGAATATCTAGTTTGATACCTTGTTCAGGATAACCACATTCTACAGGAACCAAAGAAGCTGTCATTAGTAGCAGAGCAAGGTGCAAGCATAAAGAAGTAGAGCAGGGCTTCCTGTTATTTCTCTCTTGGCTGCCTGCCTAAAACTTGCTGCTAATGACAAGGTCACTAACAAATTAGCTTGTCTTGTTAATTGGTATCATCTCATTCAGTAATGGGGTTAAGAAGTAATTGGTCACTCTTGAAACTTTTTGTGTGTGGGAGAGAAGAATGTTTTTGATAGGCAGAAATTGCATAAATATTGCTGATCAGATTGCTAGTATTTATAGTGTGTGTTGGGAAACCCAAGCTTGGCTTTTTAGTTCAAAGTTGCTACCAGTTTGATTTTGAAAACAAGACTTAATCAGCTGTATACTGAAAGACTAACTTGGATCAATAATTGTCTGCTTTATGGATAGCTTAATACAGAAACAATTAGATGACAGAAGGTTGGATGATATATTTCTTTTTATTGCTATTTTACGTAGATTGAATTTATTGGGAGTCAGTGAATAGATAAAGATCATGCTTATTTAAGGTAATTGTTGTGTGAGCTAGCAACTTTTATTGCATCTTCATGTGTTTATAACTGCATTTTCTTAAAAATGTGCTGTTAGTGCATTAGTGAGCAAAAGGGGAACTGATACATTTCCTCTCAAATCGTCCTTCAGGCATTGTTCTAACTAGCTGGGCTTGAGCCTTTTTATGCAAATCCAAATCTTATACAAGTTAGGTGGAAGAGTAAGTTTACCATGGCCAAACAGATGTTTTGGCTCTCTGAATGCTTCTGTCACCTTTATTATCTGCCCTTTTTATTTTATTTATTTGAAGTAGATTCCTATTATGGTATAAGTTTAATTGGATATTAAACAATGTACTAATAAATGTACTAATAAAACTAAATTCTCTGGGTGTGTGTCTAAATGTAGTTAAGACAGCAGTACAGTGGTGCCCCGCAAGACGAATGCCTCGCAAGACGAAAAACCAGCTAGACGAAAGGGTTTTCCGTTTTTCGATGCACTTCGCAAGACGAATTTCCCTATGGGCTTGCTTCGCAAAACGAAAAAGTCTTGCGAGTCTTGCGATTTTTTTCGCTCCCCCCCCTTTTTCTAAGCCGCTAAGCCGCTAATAGCCTTTTAGCCGCTAAGCCGCTAAGCCTTTAATAGCCGCTAAACCGCTAATAGCGCTAATCCGCTAAGCCGCTAATAGGGTTGCTACGCAAGACGAAAAAAGACTCGCGGAACGGATTAATTTCGTCTTGCGAGGCACCACTGTATCTATATGTAAGAGGGAGGTATTGACAGGCTTAGGGGAGCCCTAAGGTTTGCAGATCTACAAAAAAGATAGGTGAGTGTAATTTCTATGGGTTCCTTACAAAGTACAGTGGTACCTCGGGTTACGAACTTAATTCGTTCCCGAGGTCCATTCTTAACCTGAAACTACTCTTAACCTGAAGCACCACTTTAGCTAATGGGGCCTCCTGCTGCTGCTGTGCCGCCGGAGCACGATTTCTGTTCTCATCCTGAAGCCTAGTTCTTAACCCGAGGTACTATTTCTGGGTTAGCGGAGTCTGTAACCTGTAGCGTATGTAACCCGAGGTACCACTGTAAATAATTTGGCTGGTCTGCTGAGTCCAAACTTCCTTTAATAGTCCTCGCAGCACCTGCTGCCACCAGATGCTTACCATGGGATGTCAGCTACGTGCTGCTGTTCTTGATTGTGGATATCACACAATATTGATTCCCCCCTACACAATGATACTGTTGTTGTCTAGTAAAAACAGGGTTACCAGGAAAAATATACAAAGTTGCCACTACACACACACACACACACACACACACACACACAAGTTCTTTCTCTGGCATTTCACATATCAATAGCCACACATACACCTCTTTCTCACAGCATCTTACAGTGCTCTGGAGATAATTTTGAGGCTGCAAAGGGGGCTGAAGGAGATTTGAGAGGAAGTTCCATTACACACACGGAAGTCCATTGTGACAGTGGAGCTGCAGTGCTGGATGCAACCTGTAGATCCCCTTTATTGGGTGAAGCAAGTGCCCACTACTAGCACTCATGGCTGGCAGGCAACAAACAAGCAAATAAGATTCCTGTCACTTCTCCCCTCCTTAAAAAAGAATCATTCAAAACCAAGTTAGCTCAGTGCAATAGGGTAGGCTCTTCTAGGAAATGCTCTGCGTTATTCTGTTATTCCTGTCACCCCCGATAGTTGGCATTGGTAACATTGGATCAGTCCATCAACTTCTGATGGATCATTTAGAAGGATTGGGTGCGGCAACACTTTTGCTGTGCGTGTGTGCCAATATCCATACTCAGCAGCGTTACATCTCAACGCAGCTCCTTCCTTGGAAGTGTCTTTGGGGTTGAAGGTACAGATTCAGTGAAGTATAGAAGTTTACTTGATAGGCATAAAACCATAATGATACATAAAGACATTCACCACTGCTGTGGTCAAGGCATGCTTAGAGTCCAACAAGAGTCCAAGACACTCTCTCTGCTACTCTCACCGCAAGCAAGAGACTCACAACAAGATACACAGAACTATTGTTGTCAGTACTTCTTGTAACACTGTGCATGGCTAAAGAACAGTTCCCACAGATAACGTCCTTGCATAGACAAAACAATCTCAGCCTTCTGCTGTTTCTTGAAACTTTTTCTCTGTTCTTCTCTGCTTCTGGAACAAATTATTCTCTCACACAGAGATAATATCCAACAGGTAAGCCCAGCATTATTCCTATATGTGAGCTACCTGGTGTGCCTAGTTGAGGCTGCAAGATGGAATGTAACACATTTGTATTTCATCCTTCTTTCAGGAATCTTTGTGGTGTATAGGGGGTTACACATTTCATCTCTAAACCTTTTACTTTTCCAAACATTTTATAAAATAGTCCTCACTGTGCGTTTTCTGTATTGTCATGAATCTCAAGTCCAATGTTGACAACATTTTTTGTAGAATGAGTGTGCCCTAAAGAGTAAACACTAAAGTATAATCTGGAATCATTTTCCATTGATGAGTAGAATACAGTGAAATCAGCTTCTTTTGCCATTTAATTACTGTGTATTTGAGAATAAATGAAGTATTGAAATGGCTTCCCCCATCTCATTTTGCAGGTGGTGATGAAAGCTTTGCTTATATTTGAATCATGTTAATTCATGTAATTTTGGTTTATTGTTATAGCAGCTGTCACCCTCTACATGCTCATTTTCTTATTCATTTGATGAAGGTTTATTTTTGGAGTAACCCCCCCCCCTTTATTTAGAAAGCATTTATATCTGCATGAAGTGTAGTGAGAGAAGTACTGCCATTAAAATCTATTCGGCCATTGCTCATAGTCCTTAGGTTTATTAAATACTCTGTAGTAAACTACTTGATTAAGATTCTCAAATGGCATTTGAGGCTGCTATTAGTTTTGAATTTGAAATCTTCATTGCACAGCAGTATACCTTTCTGATTATCAGATGCTGGAAGCAACCAAGGATTGCTCAAAGTTCAGAGGCCCGGAGGGGCCTGGAAGTAGAGAATGTAGCTTTAATAGGCTTGTGGTATGATGTAGCATAGCAAATTTGACCATTTTGTTTGACCTTTAGCACAGTAAAATTCTTGGTGTTTGGAGCGTTAATAGTATACATGCAAGTTATTCATCTTTTGACTTACATTATTTTTGCAACTTTATATGGCAACTTTTAAAAGGAGCCTCATCTTGAATTCTATAATTATTTAATGAATTTAATGAAAGTTGTCTATTTGTCACCTGAATACAAAGTATAGTTATACCAAAATAATTAACAGCAATATGTTCTTTGAGGTTCTTTTTTTGGCAGGGTTTTCATATGTCTCCAGCAGAAAGAAGCATAGTTTACTCAATATTAAACTACATTTGCCTAAGACAGCAATCCTATACATTCTCATGCGGGGGTGGGGTGGGAAGTCCCATTGAACTCAGTGGTGCTTTTTCTGAGTACCAATGCGTAGGACTGTGTTGTGAAATCACTGGTAGTCTCTCAGTCCTTCAAGTTTGTGGGCAGACACTTTAGCCATTTGGCCTAGGAATAAACCTTATCAACATTCCTGTTGCTTTAAATAGTTTTGTTGTTGTTAGTGTTGCCTTATTGCTTGGAAGCTCTACATAAGCTTCCTAGATCTAAGTAGCCCCAATCATGGCTAGTCACCATGGTGAGAACTTAATGGTTAAGCACTCTTGACCCTGCTTCTCTTACTTCTATTGTTCATTATACTTTACATTCTTATGGTCACTTCGAGCCTAGCCTAGCTAAGCCAGGGCAGCCTTGATAATAGCTCCACTGCAATTTCTAATGCTAAAATTTATCCGCTTGAGTGCACATCCATATGAATTAGCCAGCATCCTGTTTTGAGAAGAGTGCCTTATCTGTAGAATGGGGAAAGCTCTACCAAGAAGATGATCCCACAAGAAGCTGGCACGTGTCTTTTCTTGTTTGAAATTATACTTTGAGCACAAAACCATCACAGTTCCTCCAAAAACAGTATATCCATATCACCTAACCAATTCCAATTCCTGTTTCTCTTAAAGGAACTATTCGAACCTGTTCCTTTTACTAAATAGGAATGTTTATTTAGATGACTGACCTTGGTGTTTCTCATTTGCTGCTCAGAGGTCTGTTGCTATCCAGTTTGAAAAGGGATTTTTAATGTAACACTTGTTTGATATCCTGAATGCATTTGGAAAATATGGAGATAGACCTGTTGAGTGAAATTATTTTTGAAGGAGATTTATAGTTATAATAAGAGTTAACACTTACTTAATCATAATACAGTGTTCTTTTTATTTGTTATATAGCATTATGCCAGTATATACAGGCCTCTAAAGCCCAAGATGGTGGTAGCCGTTTCATTTCAAGTTCAGCAGAAGGTAAAACAAAAACACAGGGAAAACTGATCAAAACTTTTTCATACAGATATTTCTCTTCTAGTATTTCTGTCCCTTGACCATTTTGTGCCTTCTAGCTTTCCCTTCTCAGCTGATTTCTCTAACAGATGATGGATTCTAGGTATAAATACATAACAAAGCTATTAACATTGATCTTGTATGCACTAAATTTTGCTTAACTTTAGCATCTGTTACCTATGTGTGCATTTCATGGATTACTTTTAAAATGGGGTTTGGTTTTGGTGAACAAATAAACATGCTCATGATTAACTTTTGAAATAAATGAAGAAAAATAAAATAATTTGGGCTGAACCTATTTAAGAAAAGGCACACATAGTTAATTGTATGTAAGATACAACCAATATTATAACCTCATTTTGCTTACTTTCTTGCTAACCACTACTTTCCATTTCCTGTTTCTCTTTAAGGAACTATTCAAACCTGTTCCTTTTACTACTCAGTGTGCTTTCTGGCATCTACACAAAAAAAACCTTGAAGTGAAACTATTTTGATTCTCGTATTCATTTTTCAGGTGAAAACTTTGAACAAACTCCATTAAGACGCACATTCAAGTCCAAAGTTCTTGCTCGTTATCCAGAAAATGTTGAATGGAATCCTTTTGATCAGGATGCAGTGGGAATGGTTGGTTCTTAATTTTCTTGTTGCACTTGCACTAATGGTCTGGTGCTATAATATTCATATTTGTATGTTGGACCAGGATGCATACATTTATGTAGATTACCTTCTAGAAAGTTTGTTCTCATTCAGAAATCAGGCCAAATTATGAAGACTTAACTAAGAGCAACTTTTATTCCAACTTTAGCATAGCCTAGAATAACCACTCTCAGTACGGAGCCTATCAGGTGTTATTCAGTTCCAGCTCCCATGAGCTCCAGCTAGCATAGCCAATGAATAGGGATGATGGGAGTTGGAGTCCAGCAACATCTGGACAACACTAGGCTTGGGAAGACTGACCTACAACGTGGCTGATTGGGAGACACACTTACACATGCACATGAATTCACAGAGAGATTAAGAAGGGACAGGAAATGGACTACTTAAAGTTACTTATAAACATATATCATATAGGCATATTGTTTCCTAAGCCTATATCATGAAGGCATATTGTTTCCTGTCCTCTTAAGCATGATGTCTACTTCTATATGTTCTTTTGACCCTCTCTCCTACTGTCCTAGCTCCCGCTCCAGACATGATAACAGAGGCAATCTGAGAGTGAAAAAAGAATGTTAATTAAAACAGAGTACAATATAGGTGCAGCAACAGATAAAAGCTAACTCAAACAGAGCTTCTACAAACAGGGTGGAGGAGTTAACTGAGCTAGAAGCAAAGCCATAATTCCAAAGTCCAAGATTCAGGGCACGGTGTTCAAAACCATACAAGAGCAGCAAAGTTGTCCCAACCCAAGTGCCTCCAACCCAAGCTTTATAGCCAAAGGAGAGCACATGAATTACTTGCGAAAATTAGTCTTTTGAGAATGTCTAGACTGCAGGCGCATCAACTGTTGGGGTGGGAGTGTCTGTTCCCATTGGTGGAGCCATTGTTTGGCTTTGAAAGACAATACTAAACCCTCCTTCTTGGAATTCTGTTCAGCCACACCAGGCTGCAGCTCTGAAGTTTTCCTAGCCTCCAACAGTGTGCCCTCACAGGGAGGGAAGCAGCAGCTGGGACTCCTCCCTAGTCCTCCTCATCTGCCTCTTCATCTTCCTCTAGAGTCTGCTCTCTCAGGTTTGTGCCTGAAGGCACTGAGTAACTCATGACATCTACCCAAGTAAATATATTTTCAGTAAGACAGGTGCAGGGGAGATAGCTTAGCTACCAGTGTCGTAAGCACCACTGTCAGTATAGCAACCCAATAGTAGCTGGCCTCTGAGCAGCTCACAAAAAACTAAAATGCAATACAAAATAAAAGCAGCATAAAAACACAAGTTTTTTATTGTGTGTTTTCATCTAATAAAATACCTGGCTGAATAAAAATAAACATTTCTATTTCTTCCTTTCTCCCACAGCTATGTATGCCTAAGGGTCTGTCTTTCAAGACACAAGCTGATGCCAGAGAACCTCAGTTCCATTCTTTTATCATTACCCGTGAAGATGGCTCTCGGACATTTGGGTTTTCTCTCACATTTTATGAGGAAGTTACCAGCAAACAAATCTGTAGCGCAATGCAGACATTATATCACATGCACAATGCGGAATATGATATTCTTCATACTCCACCTACCAATGACAAAGATATCTGTAGCACCATAGAAGACTGTAATGGCACCTCTGTAACAAAGCTACAACGATTTAACTCCTATGATATTAGCAGAGACACTCTTTATGTCTCTAAGTGCATTTGTCTGATAACCCCAATGTCTTTCATGAAGGCGTGTAGGAGAGTGCTTGAGCAACTCCACCAAGCTGTAACTTCACCTCAACCACCACCATTACCTTTGGAAAGCTTTATCTACAATATACTCTATGAAGTTCCCCTACCACCTGCAGGGAGATCACTAAAATTTTCAGGAGTTTATGGACCAATTATCTGCCAGAGGCCAAGCACCAGTGAATTGCCATTATTTGACTTTCCAGTTAAAGAAGTTTTTGAGTTACTTGGAGTAGAGAATATGGTTCAGCTCTTCACCTGTGCTCTTTTGGAATTTCAGATATTGCTTTATTCACAGCGTGAGTATAGCCTTTTATATTATAAATGATGGTCAATGTGGTAAAGATACACCTGTTCTTGATGCATTGGATCCACAGTAAAGTATGCATAGCAGGGCTGGCAGAAGCTGACTTTCCTACTCCTGCTCCCCAGGGCAGGTCTCCCTGCCCTTCAAAATGCTTTACTGAGGGTTGGAAAGCACTGCTGAATGGGAGCAGGCCATAGCATAGGAGCTTAGACAATATGGGGTATCCCTAAAAATCAAGGGGAGGCATCTTCCATGAGTGGAGCTCCACATGGATGTTGTCTCTGTCCAGTTTTTCAATAAGGATTCAGTAAGGATTGGGCTTTCCAACTGAATCCAATTCCCTGCTCCTGGCTTAGTGATGTAGTCTGAGTATACCTTGGTGATCATTAAAATTATGAAATAAAAAAATCTGGTGATCTTGTAAAATGGGTCTGCATTTCATTGATGATGATGATGATGATGATGATGATGATGATTTATAGCTCATCCATCTGACTGGGTTGCCCCAGCCACTCTGGGCTGCTTCCAACAAATTAAAACATCAAACACAGTAAAATTTTCACAAGTCTCCTCAATGAAACAAATACCTTGAGTGTGATCTTTCTTGATTTCTTTTAATTCTTTCCTTCAAGACTGCATTAGGTAGTTAGTGCAAATGAGTTTAAGGAGGTGAGGTCGGTTAGATAAAGCATAGTCAGGAATAAAGTTGGGTGTCATTGGTGATGCTGCTAATGATATCTCAGCATAAGGCTCATACTGAATTCACATTTATATAAAAGCCATTAATTTCTAGCAGAATGCTTTGTTCTAAATTTTGACTGTCTTAAATAAATTTAAAAAAACCTTATCTGTATAATTGGTGATATGTGTGCTTGGCTATACCTGTATAATTGGTGATAAAAGCTACCCTAAAGCTTAAAATGCTATTGTCTCTCTTCAGACCTGTAAAAACCTTTATACTATTGAAAGTTATACTGTGCTTGCAGATATTTTCTAGCTAGATAAAACAATTTTCTGCATCAGTACCAGGTAACTGAAAAAGTAATTAAATAAATGCTTACTGTGCAATCTTGTGGCTGTTTAACTGAAGCAAGTTCCATTGAATTCAGTGAAACTTGCTGCCAGGTATGTGGGTATAAGATTGCAGCTTTACTATAAAATAATAAAGTGTCATTGGGCTGGTTCCAGAGACCCCATGAATAAAGTTGCCGCCACAGGCGCATAATGGCCATGGCAGGTGAAGGTAAGGCAACAAAAACTGGTATTGGATTGAATTATGCCACAACTTTATTGATTACAGGAAAGAGTAGATTTGGCTGAGGCATTCGGTATGTATTCTGCAGCAGGCAGCTTGCCTACTACCTGATAGGAACCTGGTGGGGTCAAACCTGTGCTGGGGAGTCACCCCCAACATTGATTAGATGGCACAGTCCTGCACAGGCCACCACTGGGAGAGTTTTATTGATCCATTGGCCCCACAATGGACTCATGGACAGAGTCACCCCTCCTGGACCCCTCTAATGGGGTACCTCTGAGACTAAGGATGCAGCCCAATGCCTTATCTGCCAAAATTGTGACGGTTGCTATGAGGTAAGTGAAAACCTACAAGCCTGCCAATTTGCTTGCAGGAGAAAATTTCTCCCTGGCCCCAAATATGGTGACTGAATAAACCATAGCAAGGTCCATAGCAAGGCAATGTGCCTGTCCACCTCACCCCCCGGCTGGGCGGGCCCTTTAAGACTGGGTGGGTGGGTGGGAAAATCCCACGAAAATCCTCCAAAAGGGCGGCCAACACCTGGCCACTCCCTTAAATAGGCTAGGAGTGGGCTGCTCGCAGCCCACAAGCCTCAGCCTCTGATTGGCTGAGTGGGCACTGCCTGTCCTTACCTGGGATCCTGACATGGCCAGAGGTGGGCAGTGCCAGCAATCCTCTTCCCTGGCCGCACTGGAAGATGGCAGCTTCACTGAACCCACCATGGCCACGCTGTGCAGCATTGGCCGTCCACCTGGAGTCCCAGGTGAGCAGATATTCTGCTCCATGCAGCCTCCTGCTTGCAGAATAATACGGTTATTTTAACTCATTTCCTCTTGCATTTTCTATAAATTCTGGTATATAAATATCTACAATAAAAAAATTATTCAAGTATGTTGGATAATCCTTTAGCATAGTGTGGGAGATAACATGGTACTTAGCAAGGGGATGGGGGAATTGGTGAAAATCACCTCCGACTTGTGTGAGTAGGAAGACCCTCAGTCCAGTTGCCAGCCTTTTGTTTATGGAACACCTGCTCTGAATATGCCTGTAAACATTTCCAAAGGATATAAATGCCCTAGAGACCCCTGAGGACCATTTGTAATCTTTGGGATGGCGCTTCTCTCTAGATCACTTAAGCAGGACCATTCTGGTGTTGACCTTTAAAGCCCTAAATGGCCTTGGCCCTATATAACTGAAAGGGTTTCTCCACACCCATCATCCACCCTGGACACTGAGGTCCAGCACCGAGAGCCTTCTGGTGGTTCCCTCACTGCGAGCCAAGAAGCTACAGGGAACCAGGCAGAGAACCTTCTCGGTAGTGGCACCCTCCCCGTGGAACACCCTCCTATCAAATGTCAAGGAGATAAACAACTGTTTGACTTTTAGAAGACATTTGGAGGCAGCCCTGTTCAGGGAAGTTTTCAATGATTGACGTTTTAGTATTTTTAATATTTTGCTGGGAGCCACCCGGAGTGGCTGGCGCAACCCAGTCAGATGGGTGGCATATAAATAATAAAATTATTATTATTAATTTTGAAAATTGCTTCCCCAGGGGGGAGGGGCCACCCAGCTTTCAGACTAAGGGCAGGAGTCACCTAACCAGCGCCATCAGCAATTCAGCGGAAGTTCTGCACAAGGACTTTTCCACGTGCAATGGAGCTTCCCCCCTCCCTTGCTACCCCCCAAAATTGACTTTGAGGAGCTTGGGGAAACCCCCCAGAACAGTGCATGGGGGAAGGAGAGGGAGGATCATGCCAACTGGCAATAGTGGGACATTGAATTCCACCCATAGTCTGTGTAACAAAGCATTTAGTCAGGCTGAGTTCCTTCTCAGAGCTTTGATAAGATTCTGCACAAGGTGCTGGAATAGTAGCGTTTGGTCCTCAGCCGTTTTCCCTGCCCCCCTGTTCAGGTATGTCACAAGAATTAGTAATGCTCTTTTGGAGGCTCTAGGGGAAAATATTTATATATTTTTACTGAGAATTTCTGATCAGAATCCTCTGGAGGGTGTTCCATCCACATCATCTCCTGAATTGCTTGTTCCTCCTGTATTGCTTGCTCTTCCAATCTAGTCTGGGAGTTGGGTAGTCCTTTCACCTGGAGAAGCAATTTAGAATGCCCCGGCCTAAGTGCTCCAGAGGGAGGCACCATCCCGAGGATTAGGAATATGAGGACTGAGAACAAAAAATTGTGGTAAGAAAATGACTGTTTTTTCTTTCTCCCTGAAACATTCAAACTAAGTTTATAAACAGCCTTTTTAATAAACATGCTGATCATAATAGTGGTTGATAGACAACATAAGTCATACTACGAGTTAACCCATTGAAATAAATGACTTGTTACTTAAAACCATTGACCTAATGCGTCTACTCTGCGTATGACTTATTCGACTATTACTCAATACAGTAAGCTATCAAATCATAGTAAGTCGAACTAGTTTGGATAAAAAAGCTGGAAGTCTTTTTTTGCAGGTTCAATAGTTCCTCTTCTATCCATCCCTCATTCTCTTTCTTCACATTGTTTTAAAGTTCCTATTCAAAATAAAGTTTAAATATGGTCTACTCTTGTTCAGATTCCTTCCGCTGTTAAGTGCCCAAAATATCTTAAGGCTTGTGAATTAAATATAGCCTTTCTGGCTCAGCCACATTAACAATTGGTGATTATCTGAACTGAATCAATGACCGTTCTTGAATTATTTTTTTTACTGTGATAATTTATGTAGACTTTGTAAATACTACAACTGGTTAACCTGAAGTGATAAAACCTTTCTGTGGAAACAGATTGCCTATGTGTATCAACGGTTTAATATTATATTGAAGAAAAAGTTCAGTATAAAAGTTCAAGCTGCAACAGAGTCTGCTGAAGATGCAATGGCCATATGTGTCGGATTTTAGCAGGCTCAATATAGCGCTATTTCCCCTCTCCTCCATCCCATGTATTGGGGAGAATGGGAGGTTGGTCTGTGGCTCATAAATCCTTTTCCTTTCTACTGGGTGCAAGTTATTTTTAAAATAATAATAAAAACTTCTCTGCATGATATCTGGTAGAAAGCTATGTTTTACTTTATCTTTCATTTCCACAGAGACTAAGCAACTGATATTTTTAGAATATGTATTGTGCAATGCCTTGTGTTTGTTTCTTAGTGCTCTTAGTATTAAGCCTCTAGGTTTGTGCTGATGATTGCATTTTCATGGTGGCTCTCTAAGTGTGTTCTCTTCTTCACTACTTCCTGTTTTTAGATTACCAGAGACTGATGACTGTGGCAGAGACAATCACAGCACTGATGTTTCCATTCCAATGGCAGCATGTCTATGTTCCCATCCTTCCAGCCTCTCTCCTGCATTTTTTAGATGCTCCTGTCCCATATTTGATGGGCTTGCACTCCAATGGACTAGATGACCGGTCTAAGCTGGAGCTCCCTCAAGAGGTGAGAAATTTTACTCGAGTCAGGCTTCAATGCTTGCTAAACTGTTTCCAAAGGAGAGAATTTTGAATTAGTGTTATTCCTGCTCTTCCACTTATAAAAGTCTCTCTAGAACAATGTGTAATTTGGTTTCAGGTAGATTGGGTAAAGGACTAGTTAAGAAGAAGAAAAAGCTGACATTCTTTCAAATTGATTGTTGTAACTTTAAAATTTAGAAATTGCTTTAAAAATTAAATGTGATTCTCAGGATATTGAATCTTTTCCTAATATGACCTACACTTGAGATTGTAAGATGAAGGTATGCTTTTGGCTACATATTTTTGTTAGCAGCATCCCTTAGCCGTATTCCTTTTGCTAGGAAGAGTTTCTCAATGGTAATTTTAAAGTATGTTAACAAAAATGGAGCAGAACTCATACAGGGAATTATTGGTATAACAGGTAATGTGAGTTGAGTGGTTAATGTGCAGTACAACCAACCACTGTGCACATAATTTATGCATAAAGAATTATACATATTGCCCAGTTACTAGACCTTCTCTACAAAAGGACTTTGTCGCGGGTGGCGCTGTGGGTAAAACCTCAGTGCCTAGGACTTGCCGATCATATGGTCGGCGGTTCGAATCCCCGTGGCAGGGTGAGCTCCCGTCGTTCGGTCCCAGCTCCTGCCCACCTAGCAGTTCGAAAGCACTCTTAAGTGCAAGTAGATAAATAGGGACCGCTTTATAGCGGGAAAGTAAACGGCGTTTTCGTGTGCTGCGCTGGTGCTGGCTCACTAGCTGCAGCTTCGTCACGCTGGCCACATGACCCGGAAGTGTCTTCGGACGGCGCCGGCTCACAGCCTCTAGAGCGAGATGAGCACGCAACCCTAGAGTCGGACACGACTGGCCCGTATGGGCAGGGGTACATTTACAAAAGGACTTAGGTATGTATGTATATATAGACTCCATTTTGTACATTTTCTGGCCAGTATGCACATTCTCCTGCAATCGCCTTAGCACTACTTTGAATTCAACCCACTATATATTGCCACAGCAGTTCATGAATAAGATGAAAGTGACTCTTGTAGATGCTTCAGTGTTGGAGTTGGCCTTTATGATTCTGGCTCCTGTGGATGAGTATGAGTTTTTAAGAAATCCAGACAATAAAAAGGTAGCAAATTCTTACATCGTGTTATGAAACCTCAGCACCTAGCTATTAGAGCAATAGCAGCTGCCACCTTCATAGCACATGTGTCCATGTTATGGGCCAGGATCTTACTTAAGAAAAGGCCTTAGGCTGACATTCATGTTAAGAAGGACCTTAATAAATTGGCCAAGGTTGTTGCCTTCATAGTGTACGCAAGCTTAGATGCCCTTCAGTTCTCTTCTAAAGCACTGGATTCTGGTGTTGCTGTCCAGCATCAGTTGTGGCTTTGGAACTGGAATGTTGACACCATATTTAAGTCTAATGCAAAGATGTTTGGCCTCTGCAATTCTCTGAATTGTTTGCTACAGTAAGGAATTGTTGTTGAGGGCATAAACAATTATTACATGTCTTACAAGTTTCCTTTACGGAAATGCAGATTACTTTCCTTCCTGCATTTCAAGCACAGCTGAAAAGAACAGGATATGTGTGTTTCCTCTTAATCCACTGTGACCAAGCATTGTAAATAATCTGACACTGTATCAAGGAGTCAAGAAAATATATCAGAAATAAGGCCTTCTAATTTTGGTAAGACTTACTCCAAAGTGTGCCTAGGAATTCAGCCTTAATCCTTTCCAGTTGGGCAGTTATCCTACTTTCTAATTCAAATTATTCTCTCTCAAGTTGTTATATACATTTCCAGTTTTTAATGAGTGTTTGTTTACACATTACGATACCTAGGATTTCTTTGCACATTGCAAAATGACAACACAGGCATTTTACATGTGCAGTATGTGTCAACGTTTTATATCTGCTCATGATTTCTCTTATATCTCTCCTGACTTAATTCTCAGGCAAATTTGTGCTTTGTGGACATAGACAACCACTATGTTGAATTGCCAGAAGACTTGCCTCAATTTCCAAATAAACTTGAATTCATTCAGGAAGTCTCTGAGATCCTTATGGCTTTTGGGATTTCACCCGAGGGAAACTTGCACTGTAGTGAAAGTGCCTCCAAGATGAAGAGCCTCAGAACATGTGACATAGTCTCTGATAAGAGAAATGGTAACCTAGGAGGAACAACTTTAAATTCATATGAACTGTTGAAAGAAAATGAGACCATAGCAAGACTTCAAGCACTTGTTAAAAGAACAGGTGTGAGCCTAGAAAAGGTAATTTCATAATACTTATGGAAGCGTCACACTAGAACATTGTGCAGCTGATACTGGATTGCTAAGGAACTTTACTGTGAATCTGCATTACTACAGTGGTACCTCGGGTTAAGTACTTAATTCGTTCCGGAGGTCCGTTCTTAACCTGAAACTGTTCTTAACCTGAAGCACCACTTTAGCTAATGGGGCCTCCTGCTGCCACTGCGCCGCCGGAGCATGATTTCTGTTCTCATCCTGAAGCAAAGTTCTTAACCCGAGGTACTATTTCTGGGTTAGTGGAGTCTGTAACCTGAAGCGTATGTAATCTGAAGCATATGTAACCCGAGGTACCACTGTACTTTGTTCTAATCCCAGTTTTGTTGCATGCCACTATGCCTGTGTAATTTTGAGAGACTTGTCTGCTACAGAGATGTATGGAGTTTATTTTACGTATGGAGCAAATATGTTTGCCAACATTCACAGTTGTAGTGCAGCTTGGCTGCCTATGAGTTTTTGTTTTAATTTGTGGTGCTCTAGTACCACTGATCTAATACCAGGTCTTTAATGAGTATTGCTTAAATTGTGCCATTGATTTATTAATTTGTCATTTTCATTACCTTATTGCAGTACAGTATTTGAATTGTATCCCATAACTCTTCTCCTTTAAGGTTGATTTCTGTTTGTGTGGTCAGAATATTTTTTTGCATTTTTTTTTAGTAGTCATGACAGCAGGCATGATGGTAAGCTTTTGATGTTGGCAAGCTTTTGATATTGAAATGCCTATGCTATAAATGTTCCTCACCTTGATTTTCCTTTTTTTGGGGTGAAGATATACTTGAAGCTTGATATGGAATAGTATTTGAAAACTGGGTGTTAGTTATGCCATCAAACCAATTATTTCTTTTTTTCCTTTTGGAGTTACAAAAATAAAGTCATATTGGTAAAAACATAACATACAGCATCATCAAATCTATTATTCTAAACCTTGGTGAACAAAAAGAATGTTTGTATAAAACAATTAACCAAGTTTGACTATTATAAATGAGTTTAGACATTACTGGGTTGCTTCATATCCTGTGAAATCACTTAGTAACAGGATATGGATACATATTCCCCCAAATAGTAAGTAATTTGTGATTTTACTGGCAGATGATATTAGTCAATATTTTTAAAAAATGACTGTGAACTGGTCTGTTCCTTTCCCCTAAACCTGAAATATTTTTTTTATCAGATTCAACTGGTTTACTTGTTTGTAAAAACAATTTCACTTAGAAAACAATTTATTCAAAATGCATTAGGAAAAAGGCACTGTTGTTGCTCCGTTCTTGTCATGAATATAAACACAGCACCATCCTGTATCAGCTCTTGTAATTCCAGAAAATATTCATCATGGACATAACCCTAGTCTCTGACAGGCTTAACCTCACATAAGTCAAATGGAGAATTTCTGTGTGAATAATTATAGCTTCAAGTTCTTTTTCCTTATAGCTTGAAGTTCGAGAAGAGACTGGTAGCAGCAAGAAGGATCTCAAAGTGCAATGTGATGAAGAAGAGTTCAGAATTTACCAGCTGAATATTCAAGTGCGGGAAGTTTTTGCTAATCGTTTCACTCAGATGTTTGCAGATTATGAAGTATTTGTTATTCAGCCCAGTCAAGACAAAGAGTCATGGTTCACCAATAGAGAGCAGATGCAGAACTTTGATAAAGTGAGTATAAAGACACCATGAAAGCAGAGGACAGGGGATCCATATGCATGATGGGAAGGAGAGTAGGACACATGAAGTATCATGGCGCAGTCCCAATCATACAAACCATGGTTTGGAGGACTGGGAACTGAGGCACCAAAAGAGTGTTCATTTGTAAAGTAGCCCTTTATATCAGTCAGAATTAGCTCTAATTTTGTTAAGATCAATGTGGTAAATTGTGAGAAGGATACTGTATGATGACTTAATTCCTTTGAATGTTTAACAGGTGGTGTGAATCAGATCTTGTTAAAAAGATAGATCAGAAACAAAATACTACTTTTGTAAACTGACTTATTAGTCACAGGTTATTCGCTTTGCTATAAACTGATAGTCCCCTCCCCCACTATGTTTCCTTTGTGCATAGCTGTCTGCCTATGATGATTCAAGCTGGTAAGGGCCAAATTAGACAACCACTGAGTGACGGGGTGAGCTCCCATGGCTCTGTTCCAGCTCCTGCCAGCCTAGCAGTTCAAAAGCACGCCATTGCAAGTAGAGAAATAGGTACCGCTGCAGCAGGATGGCAAACGGCATTTAAGTGTGCTCTGGTTTCCATCACGGTGTTCTGTTGCACCAGAAGCGGTTTAGCCATGCTGGTCACATGACCCAGAAAGCTGTCTGTGGACAAACACCGGCTCCCTCGGCCTGAAAGCGAGATGAACGCCGCAACCCCATAGTCGCCTTTGACTGGACTTAACTGTCCAGGGGTCCTTTACCTTTTTACCTGTATATCTGTTTCAAAACAGAGTGTATATTAAAATATATAATAAAATAATACATTTAAAATATAGTAAAATAGAAAATAATTTGATTGTGTTGATAATTGAAAGTATTCTTCATATCCTTCAGAAATCATTTAACATGTGGAGACAAACACATTTTCTTTCAATTTACTAGGCATCATTCTTGTCTGACCAGCCAGAACCTTATTTGCCTTTCCTCTCAAGATTTTTGGAGACACAGATGTTTGCTTCCTTTATCGACAACAAGATTATGTGCCATGATGATGATGATAAAGACCCTATTTTGAGAGTGTTTGATTCTAGAGTGGATAAAATTAGACTGTTAAATGTTCGAACACCAACTTTGCGCACTTCCATGTATCAAAAGTGTACTACCATTGATGAGGCTGGTAAGCTCTGAAATATTATCTTTAAAGGCACTATAGTTATGTCTACTGGTAAAACCAAGTTAATGCTCAGCTAGGAGCAGATAGAATGAAGATCTTCAGAAATGCAGTAGTTTTAAAATACTATTAATAAATGACACTATTTAAGAGATGGGTTCAAATGGAAATATGAATGTTTTGCTCTCAAGGGGGTTCTTTATACTCCTTTAGCACTCTGAACAGGATACATATTTCTGACAGTAGCTTTCTAACTTGTGTTTCATAGACCTGGGGTTCCTGTCTTCCCACTTGCCTCTTCTATTCTCCTTTTTTAATCGCGCATGACGACCTCTTGTCAGAATGATACGGTTTAAGATGTATATGTAATGGTTTTGTTTTTCTTCAGAGAAAGCTATTGAATTAAGGCTTGCCAAAATAGATCATACTGCAGTCCATCCCCACTTGCTAGATATGAAGATTGGACAAGGAAAATATGAACCTGGATTCTTCCCCAAACTTCAGTCTGATGTTCTTTCTACAGGGCCAGCAAGCAATAAGTGAGTAAGCTATGTTTGGAAGATCTTCTGCTTAACAAATTGCACAATTTGGGGGCCATTCAGCTTTTGAATTGGGAGTCGGTTGTGATAACTATAAGATGTAGTATGCTGGTGACAGTTGAGACTTGGATGTAATGGTGACAGTCATGAACATACGAACTTACAGGTGATATGCTAACCATTCTAGAGTTAAGTTTTGAAGCTACATACTAGAGCAGGGAACAAAAGTGAGAAGTGAAAAATTAAGCATCCAGTTTTTCTTGTAATCTCAACTTCCACAAATAAACTTTGACTATCATAGTCAGTTTTCAAACATTTATAATAAAAATATGTTATTTTTGGGGTTTGACCTAGTATAGGTTTCTGGTTAAACTGTATGTTGTACTACTTTTGACCACATCTCCCTATTGACTGCAGTCCAGAACGGACATATATATTCCCTTTTTCAGTTTGTGAGCTAGAATACATTTTTAAAATATTGATTATAATTTTCTAGATGGACCAAACGAAATGCACCTGCACAGTGGAGGCGGAAAGACAGGCAGAAGCAGCACACAGAGCACCTTCGTCTTGACAATGATCAGAGAGAGGTGAAAACTGTTGAGCATAATTTCCAATCTAATGTCTTTATTTTCTACAGAATAATAATGTAGGTTATCAGACTGTATGTATAAGATGCTTTTCCCAACCCCATGAAAAAGCATAGTCCAGTTCTTCATCTAATATAAATAGTAACCTATTCTAAAAATAAAGGTCTTTGCCAGGGGTTGTCTGTCTTTGGGGGCCTTTGGGCACATTTGAAATAGGAGAAACTATTGTAGATCTCTCTCTCTCTCTCTCTCTCTCTCTCTCTCTCTCTCACACACACACACACACACACACACACTTATTTGCTGTCCTTCCCACCAGCAGTTAGGCTTTCAAAAATGTGTTTACTTTTTTTCAAGCTAGTTGGGAGGTGGTGTGAACTTCCTGGAGAATGCAGCTGCAGTCTACAGGAAGGTCACTCTCCACAGCAATGAGACTTAGAGGAGTTGATGGTCCCTTCCCCAGCTCTAATTCCCCAAAACTGCCCTCCTGACATAGTTGATCTTGAAACACAGCCTCATATTGGTTGCAATAGAAGGCTTCTTGCAAGCATAATTTCATCAGAGAAGGGGTAGAGCAATGGGATCTTGTGGGTGCCAAGAAGGCCTCTCTGGTCCATGTGCACCCATGGGCATTACATTGGCAAGCCATGTTTTGTGCCAAATGCAATTGTGCACAGCAGCCTAAGACATCATGGACTTATACCCTTTAAGGTTCCCTAAACCTTCCATGAACTGCCAGCTCCATTTCTGCAGGACCATCTGGTGATGGTTGCATAACTCCAGCTTTCTCATCTCAGTCCATAGGATGGGTCTTTATCTTGCAAAATCTGTCTGGAAGAAGACGAATTTACCTCTTTCCTTTCCACATTTCTGTATTGGCAAGTGTAAATTTACACTGTCACATCAATTTACACCATCACCTGCCTTATGTGAGGGTTGGATTGCACACTCCTTACCCCTTCCTGATTAGTGACTTTCCGCTGAACTAGCAATTCACACACATAACACAAAGTAAAGGTGGGCTGGACATCTTCTTGACATCTATGAGGACCCATGTTGTTTGCATGTATGTTTTGGGGAAACAGCCTTACAGTGTGGTTATACAGTGTGGTTATATTGTTTGTTTTTTGTTGTGGTTTGTACCCTGTTTGCTTTCTCTCTCATGCCTTCCCTCTAGCCTTGATAATGACTTCTCCACTAGACTTTCTGAGGTTTGGTTGTCATCTTCCAATACCCAAAGAGTATCAATATGCCATTGATGTCAATTGGGGGGGGGGAGCAGTTATATAATCACTGAAGAACAGTCTTCTGCTACCCCAAATATGTAAAAACTGAGTTCTAAGCTTCTGTCATTTTCTTTTTTTAAAAAGATCTTGTCTTATGTGTTGATGCATGCATTTTATTCTTTTCTCTGTTGAAATCTGTTATTTATAAATTGCATTACATCATTATTCTTTCTCACTTTGGAAAGACATAAATTGTCTTAAGCAGCCTCTGTCCTCTTTTTGCATGTGTGCTCTCATTATTTCATGTCTGCTTACCATGCTTTCATCTAACATGAGCTATATTATTTTTGGTTTGTTTTTGTTTTTTGTTTTGCTGTCTTTCCTATTTTGCCAGCAGCTGGATTTTCCTTTGCCAGACCTTCAGTTGCAATTTTGTTTAGACTTGGACCAGCATGATTGGCCTTTCAGGCACTCTTTTAAATCTGTTTCAGAACTATACCTGGTATGTTGTGTTTATGTAGGTACATTGTGTGTGCGTGTGTGTGTGTGTCTTGTTATATATAATATGAAAACATGGTGTTCGGTTATGGTACTGAACAAAAATACATAGTTAAGTATGTATTTCAGAGTCCAAAGAGAATTTCTCTTACAGTGGCTGATAAGTTCAGTCCAAATGCATTTTATTTGATATTAACCTGGGATCATCTTATTATTATGCTATTACAAATTTATTGGATAGTGTAATCAGTGCAATGGTTCTCTATTCATGCAATAAAATGCTTCAGTTTTTTCTTGAACAATAACAATAGCCAGTTATTGATCTCCAGTACAATAAAACAAAAGGCATTAATGCTTTGAGAACTCAATATGCCATTTTTTTTAGATATTTCTTTACAAAAGAGCAAAACATATACTTCCACATATAAGTGCTTTAAGTGTTTTAAAAGTTGTGCATTTCTATATATGTATGTTCCTCTTTGTTTATAGAAGTATATCCAAGAAGCTCGGAATCTTGGCAGCACTATTCGGCAGCCCAAATTGTCTAACCTTTCGCCATCAGTAATTGCCCAGACCAACTGGAAATTTGTTGAAGGTTTGCTGAAGGAATGTCGAAATAAGGTATTGTGCTGGTCTTTATTGAGGCAGCCTTTGCTAGTACTATGGAGCTAGGTAGTAGACTATGTCCTAATCTTATGGTGCCTCGATACTGAGATGGAAGGCTCCTCCATTTATTTCAATGGAGGGAGGGATTTCATGCATAGAAAGGGATGTGCCTCAAAATTGCTCCCTCTTGTGTAAAGTATGGGGAAGTCCCCTTGTACAGGAATTTTGTGGATACTCAAGTTTAGTCATAAAAAAGAGTACAGTTCAGATAATGTACTCTTTCCTCCATATTGTGGTCATGGTTTCTTCTTTTTTGGTCTCAGAGCCACAACTGATGCAATTCTTCTTAAGGCTGTTTTATGGTGCCCATAAATGTTGTGATTTTTTGTACATGATTGTACATGCAGGGAGTTGGACTAGATGACCCTTGGGGTTCCTTCCAACTCTACAGTTCTATGCAGGAACAGAGAGGAGCATCTAATCTTGGTTTTCTGGTACTTGTATCTGTCTGATGCAGGTTTCTGCTGTATCCACAAATCAGTATTAAATGTTTTGCATGTATCCATAACTATGGGAAGTTTTGAAGCAGATCTTACCTTAAAGAATTCTGTTGATTTAACAGTGCCAAGGGTTAGCCTTAAGTAATCTGCTATTAGTCAGCTAGAGGAAGATGGATTGAACAGTGTGTGTGAAATCATGCTTGTATTTCAGCTGAGCCCTCTATTAGCTAAGCCCATCTTTCAAGACTGATAAATTGGAATTGTCAAATGATAGCAACAGTGGGTATAAGAAGTAAAGTCTGCAGTGTGAGATGATTAAGGATAAACCTTAGAGGCAAATAATATATCTGTAAGAAAAGACAGAGACACAGGACTGTCTCTGCTTTAAAGTTGTTACCTGAGAAAGATGAGATGCTTTTATTGATAGTGGCAAAGACCTGTGTAAAAAATGAGCTGAAACTGTATCATGTTCTGTTCCTGTCACAATTGCTCTATAGCGCTAGCATTTTATACCATCTTACAAGAACAGCTGTAAAGTCTATTATCAATTGTTTAATTTTTCCTGGGGCATTTGGAGGAAAATGTGTTGCTGTGTCAGATTGTCAACCAAGGTCCTGTTGTTAAAGTTGTCTGCTGTAGCACGCAATGTAAATTAATTTACTGAAATGGAAAGGCACATTCCTTAAGCCTAGAAGAAAAACTGCTTCTGTAATAATTTATAGATAAAGAGATTTGCTAGTGTAATGATGAGATTGTTGATAACTATTGAATATTTCTAAAACATAATCTTAATAGGTGAGGAACCTTAAAGTGGTCCCCTTTCTCCCTGTTTCATCATTTATCCTTTTCTGAGGGCACCATTTCAGGTGAATCCTGAAACAGAGAGGTAGGGTGTGACACAGTGATATTTGCTGTTTTGGGGAGATGAAAAAGGGCTTAAAATGGTGACATGGTATTAATTTTAGAAGCTGCTGGTTGTGCTGGCAACTTTGGTAGCAGAGGCAGAACTATCCGTACTACAGTGACCACTGTAAAGCCCTTCCTCTCCTCAACAAAGTGGGGAGGGGAGCTTCTTTGGTGCACCCCTACAGTAGATAATTTCTGCAGAGTGGAGAATCCCCAAACAGCATCATCATGAGTGCAGTTTTCCTAGTAAGTCATAAACATACCACAACTTTTTTTCTCTTCGAACCTGAAGTTACTTTACATAAGCAGACATGCACAAATGTGCAAAGTATAACAGTTGTTAATTAGAAATTCTAGATTGTATGTAGACATGTCCTCCCAGATTTTTTCCAGTTTAATCTATGATTTTCCACCCAAGGGTTAGGTGGGGTGCAGGAATCCTGAGATCTTTAATTGTATTTTCCTAATTCAAAGATGAGAAATATGGGGCACTCGCAGTAATTTTCATCCACAGAGGTAATGTGTTTAGGATTATCAATTTTCCATTAGGGACAAGTATAGCTGCAGAGCAGTTTTTGCAAGACAATGGCAACATACGTTCTACAGATTAGAAATAAATCATATAATGCTTGAACTCAGAGGAGGATACGGAGTGCCTATAGTATGCGCAGAACACACTTTTGTTTTCCAAGCAGCGATGTTTCCAAATGCCTTTTCTGGCTGTAACCACCTGTGCTATACCCCATGACATGCCAGTGGGGCCCATGGTGCTCATGTATGGATTTGGGGGGAACAAGGGCTTCAGCAGGAAGGGGGTGGGCGGGAAAGCCCTGTTCAGCAAGTATAATTCTCTGTTCACATTTCTTTTTGATCTTCTAGACCATTGTGTTTTGAATCTCCCGGTTTTCTTATTGTCTGATTTCTGACATAAATAATATTGCAGAACAGGTGGTGTGGATTTGCACACACATGCAAACCATAGACTTACGTTCACCTTTCCATTGTGCTGAACCACTGGTGTCAGCAACTTTTCCATTGTGCTGAACAAGTTTGCCATGTCTGATTTCTATAGAAAAACAAGGCAGAAAAGTGAACAATGCTGGCAGTATGTCGCAACAGATAATCATTGCCAGTTAAAACAACACATTTTATAATTAAAATCACTGTATTTTACTCAGCTAACATGTTGCTCACATGATGTGAAGGCTGTCTAATATTCTGGTGGTTTCATCTGACAAATAGTAACTGTCCATTTCTCTTTCTGTCTCAAAAGACAAAGAGAATGCTAGTGGAAAAAATGGGTCGTGAAGCAGTCGAACTTGGTCATGGTGAGGTGAACATTACAGGTGTAGAAGAGAATACATTAATAGCTAGTCTCTGTGATCTCTTGGAAAGGATATGGAGCCATGGTCTGCAGGTGAAGCAGGTAAGAATTGAAATTACCACTCTACAATTTTTCAAATATTTACTTACCTTTTAAAAATGTGCCATCTTTTTGTATTGTTTTCAGATATTAAGAAAGAGTTGTGCTGATACATGCTTGAATTTTTTTGAATGAGATTGAAATCTTTTATGTAAATTAGAATTTGCATTTTAGGTAGAGCTGCTTAATTTAATACTAAGGGTTGGATCCAGCGGAGGATCTTCTCAATGGAGGACGTAGAGATAATTTTGACAGATTCCTCTTTCAGTACTCATGGTTGCCTCCTACACTTCTGAATGCATCTCCAATACCCCAAGGAAAGTTTTTGGGGGGTTGCTGGGGAAAGGAGAAATTCAAAAAATTACCTCTTCCCCAATCCATCAACTGGACAGAGAACACATTTTCTGTGAGCAAAGCTATGCTCACGGGATTTCTGGATCCAGTGCAAGAAGTCCTGACTTTTACTGTATTTTCCCTTGTTTTTTTTAACCTTTACTTTGAGCTTTTAACTAGAAAATGATGAAGTAAGGCACAAAGTCTCATTCCTTTAAAGAGAAACTGCACTGATGGATTTCCTGTATGAAATTGCAGTTACTTATACATAAGTTCAAAGGAGAACAAAAAAATTGAATTTTGGTTATCTAAGGAGCTTTGGTGGCCTTTATATCTTGTTTTGTAGATTAGAACTTCCTGGTTTTTTTGTTGATAACTTAGGTAGAGCTACCTTTGCCCAAATCCACTTCTAGACTGTAACAGTTTCTGTGTGTGCAGGTATATGCTGTCTGACTCTTACCCTCCCTCTTATATACTACATAGGATAGAAGCTGTACTACTTTCATCCTAGAAGATAGAGCATCAGTATACTCTGCTACAACTCAGATTTGGGCCTTTCAGACCAGCAAGCGGCCAACCCTACATAAGGTTAATTCTTTGAATTGATTGAAGATGTTGGCAAACAGTGCTGAACGGTCTGTTGTGGTAGAGTATTTAGGAATCTGATGGAAGAAGTGCAGTATATCCAAGCACTTCTGAAATAAAAGTGTAAAAAAAGAATCACAATTCCTCCTTGTAAAACCAGTTTTGGTTTTCAACCACAGAAGCCTGTTTCTGTAAATTTGTTGTTTGAGAAATCATCAGTAGAAGATTATACCCCCAGCTCCCTCCATACTACACCCAGCTTTTGCCCCCCCCCCTTTGCTGCTGGATCGTCTTAGCCCTGCCTAGCTACCAACTTGCTCTTCCATTTGTGATTGCGGCCTCATATTTATCAACCCAGTTAATGTTGCAAGATGTATGATACTGCTTACCTGTCAGCTTTGAGAGTATTTTTCCTTCTTTGTTGTCATCTCTTGTACGCATGCCATTCTTCTCCCTTGACTTTGTCCATATCTCAGCATGCAGTTCAAGGAAATGAATTGTTACCTTTCATGTGAGCTTTTCATTCATAATTCCACACAATGTGATTTTCATTTACTATAAGCTCACTTGGGCTTTTGTGCTCTTTACATGATCTGTTCCAGCACTGGAGCCAGCATATATGTTGTTCATCATGTAAGTGTAATATTGAGAGAGATGTTTACAATGATGTCTTTATTTACGCATTAAATCTCTTTTGTGTTGTCTGCCTGCCTTATTGTTTACAGGGCCATCAGTACCATAAGTCCTAAACCAGAATTTAAAAGGGTCTTCTAATCCAGTCTCCTACTGCAAGGCAGGATCATTTACTCTCTAGCTTTTCACAAATCAGGCAGTGAAATCCAGGCCACAATGGGCCACAGGCAGGGAGTAGGTGTATTGCAGAAAGTGCATGCTGATTTTCTTGAGTCATATGAAGTTAAGCCAGGGGTAAAGAAAAATAAGTGGTCAAAAATCCAAACATCTTGAGGGGAAAAATTTTCTTGGCTCCAGTTTGATGGATAAGAATGAGAAAAATCTATTCATTGCATATTCTTGTCCTGATACCTGTATGAGTGAGCCACCAGAGCAGAAATGCCAATACAGCTTACATTAATCTGATTGAGCCTATTTAGTTTCTTTATTCCTATTTTAGAATATACCAGTTAAATGAACATTGTTTTAATTAATAATGTGAGAATAATTTCAATATTTGCTATAAATCAAATGATGTTTGTTAGAAATAATGAACTTGTATAATTATTTACTTCAACATTCCTTAGTAGCCTATGCATTTTTCTGTGTGTCTCCAATAATGTTCACCTATAACAATTAAAAACTACATTCTGATTCCTGACCATACATTAGTGAATTTTTAGCTGTCAGTATTTATACTCATACACTTCTTGCCCTAAGTAACTTTTCTTAGTAATATGTTACCCTCCCTGATAAATGATCAGTTGTAAAAGGCACTTCACATTTTGCAAGCACTCAAGAAATCCTTGGACTAAAAAGCTTGAAGTCAACAACAGTAATTATAATAAATTTTGTTATAAATCTCTGGCCATTTCTGCTGTGTTGTTATTAAATCAGGTGTATTTATAAGATGCGCTGGTTTCCATGTTAGCCTTTCTTTAACTTCTCAGAAAATTCTTTATAGCGAGTCTGGGATGTGACCCAAAAATTTTTTCTGTCACCATCTTTTTTAATTCTGATATCATCAGTGTTACCCAGATCTTCCTTGGCTCATGGTATATCTCACCTAAACAAAATAAAGAAGGGAAAGGTTAATGAGCACTGATTCCTTCCCTCCCAGCAGCTCTCCACCTTCTCTGGTTGCTGCTTCCTCAACTCTCTGTTTTGGTCTTGGTAACCTTAAATAACAGCAACTCTATCCAACACTAGGAATGAAGTTCAATGGCAGCTGGGTGAGAATTACTTAGATTGAGAAAGGCATGTTTTAATTCTCCTGCTATATGTACAATAATCAGTAATATGATATTAATTCCCATGTTTGCTTGAAATATAGCAATGTTTGTTATGGGAGATAATGAATTTTAATAATTATATATTTAATGTAACTTTTTTCTGTGTCTAAATATCAATGCAAATCTTTTTGCATGTTAAATACATTTTTGGTGTTAGTTATAAAATGGAATATGCAAATACTTTAATCCACTCTTCAAGACTTAACACATGCACACTTATCTGGGAGTAAGCCGTACTGGAAACACTGGCGGTTACCGATGAATAAACATGCTGAAGACTAGGCTGCAGTTGTATAACATTCATGATCTGCACTCATCCAGTATGGTTATAAGCAGCTATAAACTTGAATTAGTTTAGTTTTTGTACAGTCTACCTTTTATCTAATTTGTACAAGTATATAATTTTACTGGAATGCCAAGTCAGAAGTTTAACATCTGAAGGATCCTATCTGAATATTTGAATATTTGAGGTCATATGTATCAACCACTATTCATTAATTTTCTCAGTATTAGCTGCTATAACAATCTTTAGCATTCATCAGTCAATTTATAGATGCTCTTTAGTGTCTCACATTTTTTATAGATGCTCGTTAGTGTCTCACATTTTTTATACTCCAGAATAATGCTATATCCTAAATTTATTTAACTAACGTATAGTAGTATTTGTTTTATGTTTTGCTTTTTGACCAGCATTCTCAAAATAACTCTTAAAATTTATTAAATACATTGAGATATTAAAAACCATGTACCGGTACTTAATACAAGCCTAACAGAGAGTCATCTGATACTGAATTTACCTGTCTCCATCTTTCCCTTTGTTCTTCCCATCCCATGTTAATGATAAAAGGTCTTGGAGTAGGAAGGGAGAGCTCAGTTGGAGCAGAAGGCAAACCTGGTTTTTGTCTTTACCTGATTCCCTCCTTCACCTTTAATGCTTCAAAGATACAGCCTACACAGGTTTTATTTCTGTACAATAAGTTGTTTAATTCATTTGCATCATATTTTATGAATGCTTTGTTACCACTCACATCTGGTGAGAAGTACTGGCTTTCTGGCAGATCCTTGTGTGTGTATGATAGAACATGTTAATTTTGACATTTATGACAGTGTCAGATTTAATTAATGGATCCCGCTGGTGGAAACTCGTGTGAGTTCAACTAGCACAACAGGATTTCCCATCCTCTCCTCCCCCTGTGTCTCCCACTCCTATATTGGCTTGAAGGGGTCAGGAGAACCCCCATAACAGTGCACCGGGGGGGGGGGGGCGAAGGGAGATTGTTCCATCAGGCAAGCAGAAACTGACAAAGTGATCTCCTTGGGGCTGAATTCCTTCTAAGGTAAACTGATTTTGGTTACATGGTGGTGATCTCCATGGAGGAAATAACTTATGTGTGGAGTTGCACTTATTCTTATGCTTCTTTTCATTTATCTACAGCTTACCCACGTTTTATATTTGGTGGTTATTAGCCCTATGTGAACTAGTCCTTTAGGGTATTCTCTTCCACATGCCTTGCAAACTATGTTGCAGTCATAATAGGTTATAGCATGTTTCTCTTTGAAATAATGAGTTCTCTCTTACAGATATAATCACCCTGCTGCTATTAACCTGAACACTTAGTCTGGAATGCTGGGGAAGGGTGACAGGAGCCAAATTGGGTCCTATTACAACAAATGAGTGAATGGGTTTCATTATGTTCTATTATGCTAGGTAGATATCAGCTTTCAGATGGTATTTTTGATGATCTGTAGATTGCTCTGGACAAAGCCACGTGCTGGTTGGTCTTTGTGCCACTCAGGAATTAAATTTGTAACAATCATGAGAGACTAGGCCATCCAGTTCTTGCTTAGGAGTCATTTTAGTAGCTGCTACCACTTTTTTTACATCCAGTTATGCAAGGATTTCTGAAAGGTTGTCTAGAATTCTGTTGTTCTGGGCGATAGAAAGAGCCAGGACACTGGTACCTAATGTGTTAAGATTGGACTCAGCATCTGGCAGCCCAAGCCACAATCTGGAAGACAACTTCTCTACAAGAAAGACGTGGATGCTTTAAAGCAGGACAGAAGGGTTTGGGGAGCATGCATTGTTTACAAGGGAAAGTAGCTGGCTGATGAGGAACAGCTCCATGATTTGGTTCAAGGTCAAGAATCAAATTTTGGAAGCTGGCGACAACATAGATGAAGTGCAGACTTTCCTTTCTATATCTGAGGCCAGTGCGGATCCATTGAATCTGCAGCTAGGAAATGGTGCCCCAGTTTTATCAGGGTTTCATAAAGAATGAGAAGCTTAGCTGTAGTAAGATCATGCACATGCGTTACCTCTGTATTGTACTGTACAGTATTTTATTATATCCAAATTCAAGTGTCTTGGCAAGACTTTGAGATTTGACCAGAGCTTTGGACAAACCAGGAGCAAACAAATTCTGTTAAAACAAAACAGCCCGTTCAGGAAAACAGAAGATAAATTCAGGAATATAGAAAATAAACATAAAATGGGACTTTAATTAGAAGTCTGTCCTAGAATAAATGTAGTGGCATTCAGTAGGATTGCATGCAGGTACCTGTGAACGTATATTGGGAATAAGTCCCATTAAATCCAGTGGGCCTTATTCCCAAGTTTGAGTAGACATAGGGTTGTAGCCTTGGATTTATAAAGAATGACCCAAATATCCAGAGTAAATTAAGTCTGTCAAAAACAGCACAGTAAAATCTGCCCAGCTCGGCAGAGACTGGCAGTAGAATTTAAGTTGGTTTGTCAACATTACCATGTCCCTTATTGAGGGATGGGTTTCCTTTTGATTATGATCTGACGGGAATGGGGAACTATAGCTCTCCAGCTGTTGCTAGACTACAACTTGCATAAATCTCTGACTATAGGCCATTCTGGCCGGGGCTGATAGGACAAGTGGAGGACACCCACCTGTGTGTCATAAGAACACAACATTAGTATTGCCACACACGTTGGTGATAGCTTATTAAATTTCTCTTTATCAAAGGCAGGTTACAGTAAAGTTGAGAACCTTTTCAACAAAGGCTAGGTTAATCTGGATAACATACCAGTTTTGCATGCCTTTGAATACTGCATTTTATATTTATATTGCTTTCTCAGACTTCTTGTGATATGAAATGACTGGGTAGTGGAGTACACAATAGAGGCTCAGCTATGAGAATATGTGGTCAGAGTGGAAGTAGTTGATGTGTATAGCTTGCTTTAGGCTGATTGGCAGTTTAATGGAATCATTTAGTGAATATAGGAAAAGGTTGGTGTGTAGATTTGTTGTCGAGATTTTGTCTCGGTACAGTAGTATCTGATGATTTAATATGGAACATTTTTGAATAAAACTAAAGATATGAATAATGCTCAAAATTAGTAATTTATGCTGCATTTGACAATCTTTCTTTTAAATCTTAGGGGAAGTCTGCTTTGTGGTCACATTTGTTACATTACCAAGAAAATAGACAGCGAAAACCTACATCCGGAAGCTTCAGTACCTCAGGTATTGTTAGTTTGTATGAAGGTTATGAACAGTGTTCTCCATTTTGAGAAAGAAAAAGTCACAAAAGAGTGATTGCACCAAGCACAGATTTATTAAGTTATATTTATTTATTAACTTCAACAATGTATATTATTATTTCACACCAAGTCTTTTACGTGTTGCACAATAAGAATACAAAAAAGATACAAATGATATAAAATCAGTTAAACTTAACCATAAAATCAGAAAAATGCCTGCTGAAATAAAAAGGTATTCACTAAGTGCCAGAAGTTAACAGAGAACAGGTTTGTTCGATCGTGACTGGGAGGGAGCTGCACAGAGTTAGGTCCACAGCACACAAGCTGTATGTCTGACTCATGGGGATAACTAATAGTGACTCCTCTGAGGACGTCCTTGATTGGGCAGAAGAACAAGGAATCAGGTGGTCTTTAAGGTGGGCATATGAACAGTCAGTGCAAGCTATGTGCTGGTGGAAGTCTGTCCCCAGGAACAGTCTAGCTGCAGCATTTTGCTCCAGGTGAGCTTCTGGACCTGGCTCCTGGGTAACCACACATAGAGTGCACTGCAATAACTGAGTCTTGAAATTAGCAGTGCATGCATAACTGTGTCCAGGCTATCCCTGTCCAAGAATGTCCATAGCTTTAGCTGGTAAAAGGCATTCCTAGCCACTGAGACTGCCTGAGCTTACAGCAACAAATATGTATCCAGGAGCACCCCCAACTATGAACATGCTCTTTCTGAAGGAGTACAAAAGCTGAAGCCAAGTCACCTGATCACAATACATTTCATCCATCAGGGTGACTAAGTGTGATTCAGTCTCAAAACCTGCCACGACCTTCCCTATAGTGAGAATATTTGGAACTGGTTGGTAGTCCAAACCAATGGGTCCAGGGCTATATTTTTTAAGAGTGGCCATAGGTGGCAGTGATCACTCCCTCATGCAATTACACATTAACTATCATATGGATCCAAGATGGGCAGGGGTCATATCTAGAAGCATATCATCTAGAGCTCCAGGGATTCTTCTTCCACAGTGGGAGTCAGCAACCTCCAGACTATCCAAAAGAGCCCTGTGGGCTGGCTGCTAGGTTCTTGTGAATGTTTGCAGTAAGCCCAAATATTCATTTGCTGACTAAGTGCATTGCTAAAATGGAAAGCATTTACCAGTGTAAATACAAATCAATATTTGTACTAATACAAAATGTTATCTTTAATTTAGGAATACTACTTGATTCAGAAAGAAGGAAGTCGGATGCCAGCCCAGCAATGTCTCCCTTAAGAGTATCTCTCATCCAAGACATGAGGTTGGTTTTAAAAAACAACAAAAACACGAAACTTTCATGAAAGGTTTATCAATATTTTAAGTACAGCTGACTTTAAAATAGCTCCTGTTAGCTTTTTTAGTTAGCCTCTTTTTCCTGATTTGAGATGGACAGTGCAATCCTAAGAATGGTTACTGAGAAGCAGGTCCCATTGTGTTCAGTGGGTTTTACTTCCTAGTAAGCAAGTTGAGGATTGCAGTTCTAGTTCTTCTCTTCCAAAGTTCTCCTTAAGTGATTAAAAGTCAGTGTCTGTTTTTCTTTTTACAGTGAAATGACTTCTTGTAAATTAAACTCACTCTGTGGAGAAAAGGCCTAATTCAAAATTGTGTGAAGCTGTAGGAATTGGATAGGTTAAGTTTATTTTATCATAAGCATTTATAGGCAAGGCTATTCCATTGGATGCATGGAATGAACTTAAAAGGGTAGTTTATTATTATATTTGTTAAATTTCTGCCCTGTCCTCTGTCCCAAAGGAGCCAGGGCTAGTGTGTCTGCATGTATGTGTGTACTGTGGAAGAAAAACCCAGTTAACAAGTTGAGCTTGAAAGTTAAAAAGTGGCATCCAACCAACTAACTAACTAACTTGTTCCATCAACACAGAGATTTCCACTTGCACAGTAGAACTTCCTCCCCATCTCTGTGTGCACACCCCAAAGCTGAACCACAGACTTTGGAGAATACCCAGACCAGATTTAGGGGGCGCAGGAGGGGGAAAGTTCTGCTGAGCAAGCAGAAATCCTTCCACTGATGGAATGAGTTAGTTGAGTGCCTGTCCATTTCATGCATTTTAAGTAGACTTTAGCATATGTAGTACATTAATATGGCAACTACTCTCAAGTAGCAAGTATTAAGATTGTCTTATTTTACCTTTAGTAATTAAGCAGTATATAAAATAGCTTAAATATATGAATAAGCACAGAATGCAAAAAAAACAAGAGTGCTTTATCTTTTGTAGCAGTTAGATTCAGTAGGTATATATGCTGAGCAGGAAGAAGTGAATGGTTTCAGAACAAACTAATAATCTATTGAGCATTTGTTGTATGATAGAGAAATATAGACAGGTACACTTTTTATGTCATATGACATTGCTGTTGTAGTCATTGCTGATAAATATTTTATTACAGGGAGGGAAATCTAAGACATGGGGGCTACCAGAAGGCTCTCTGTCCAGTCCCCAGGTCTCTGTCTGGCCATCCCTGTCTCTCCAGTCCACCCCCCGCCCCGACTTTGCTTCATACCTTCCTTGTCCGGGAGGAATTTACAAAGCTAGCAGCTTTCTAATAACGTTCTCTCTTCTGGAAACAATGATTAATGCTGAGGCCTAGAAGTTCCTAGCCATTAATGAAAACAAAGCAAATTCTCATTATTTTTAATTATTATCCTTGATATCAACTGTGCTAAAGATAGATAGTAAGATCACTTAGGTATATCTTGTGTTTTTTGAGGGAGAGGGATGTTCATCCTGCACAATTTTATATTCCTTTCACTGGTTAGTAAAACCTCTTTAAATCCTACTTCAATATTTACTTGCACTTACGGTTATTTCTGCTACTTTAGTTAGTTAGTTAGTTAGTTAGGGCCAAACTAAAGAGGGCAGCAGTATTTATTCATGGGTTTGCTCCATAAAGGAGTGTGTGGAGCAATCAGTCTTTCTTTTTCTTCGACATGCAGTGGAGCACATGGGTGTGGGGAACTAAACCCTGCCCTCTCTCCCACTTTTCCTCACTGAGTTTCATTGCTTCATTCAATTTTTCTTGCAGCTCAGTTCTGCTACCTAGGCTCATGAGAAGATTGTTTGAAGCAATGGAATGCAATGATGTAAGAGATAGGCAGGGGCAGTGCCAAGTTCTCTTTACCCACTAGCTTAATTTGAATAAAATCTAAACACTCTGACTTTATAGGTGAATGGGGCAGACTTGTAAATAAAATACTAGACTGTAATGTCTATTACAGTGGTAGCCAGTGTATGCCTGCTAGATATGGTTGGACTATAATTCCTATCAATCCTGGCCGGCATAGCTAATAATCAAGGATAATGGGAGTTGTAGTTCAGCAATATCTGGAAGGCTTTCTGTTGGTTCGCCTGGGGTACTGTGCAATGCATTCCTGTCAGCTTCTTTTCTAACTCAGTAAAAAGTAGGACAGCACAATAACCTGCTTTTCCTTCTCAGGCATATCCAGAATATAAGTGAGATCAAAACTGATGTTGGTAAGGCTCGAGCTTGGGTTCGGCTCTCTATGGAAAAGAAATTACTTTCCCGCCACCTGAAACACCTTCTTTCTGATCATGAACTCACAAAGTAAGTTGAGTCCAGCTTGAGGTTAACGGAGATCTGTTGGTTTGTGGTAGTTGTTTTTTAAATAGACTTGCCATAGCCTTTAGCAAAGAAAATAGATAACACAGTATATGATTTTATCAGGTACTGATAAAGCTGCTTGAGAAACAGAATAATCTTGAAAAAGGATAGGCTTGGAACAAAGAGGGCATGCATAAGTTTGCATTCAGAAAATTTGGGTTCATTCCCTTTGCTACATATTTTGTATAGTGATGGTCAGAAAGTCCAAAATAAACTAGATGAAGACATCTCCAAAACAGTATTTCTTTCAGCTATCTTAAACTGGAAGACTGTTGGTTTCAACTTTGAAAAATATAACTCTTATGAAAAATGACTATAATGGGATAATCCTGATGTGAGCTATTGTGAGCACCTTAGAGGCAGGGTAGGATCTAAACACATTATAGCAGAGGAATTCCCTTAGCATCTGTTCTGGTACTATAGGAATGAATTTTCTGTTCTTTACATTTTTCTCACTTCTTAATTACATCAGCACATTGTTCAAGGCAATGAATGGGGGTAAATATAACTAGAAAATTAAGGTAACAAACAATGCTTGTGCATGGTAGTTTGCATTCCATAAAAACTCTGATGACCGAATAAGATTGCATTCCTATATTCACTTACCTGGGAATAATTTCCACTGAACTTAATAGGGCTTATTCCTGAGTACACACAAAGGATTGTGCTGTAAATTGTGTACAATTATTTTATATATTTGGATACTCTGATTTTCTTCCTAAACTCAACTTTTCCAATAACATTAAATCTTTTGATGAGGACTGTGGTGAAGGAAAGTAGGAAAAGGGAATGGAAAGAGCAGGAAATTGTGAATAAGAATAGGTGAGCAAATGGGGAAAGGATGGAAGAAGGTGTAGCCAAAGGGGAGAATACTCATCTGTATAAGGCACTATATTTCCTGTGGCCTTTCCTTCTGCTTCCCTTGGTTTTTGAGCCTTCATCAGCTTTGCTGATCGGTCTAAGAACGGACCTAAGTTTGTAAACCGAGATACCACTGTATTCCTAATTGAAATGTTGTCTATAAGGTGGGTGCAAGCCTACATGAAACATCTGTGGAGTAAGGTAGTTAGAAGTCAAAACTTTAGTAGTTACATGATACACATATTGATTGGTTCATTGTAAATGCCAGCAACCCTCTGTCTGGGAAGTCTTATTATAGTAATATATAATTTTGTTTTCTTTGTCAGAAAACTCTACAAGCGCTATGCATTCCTTCGCTGTGATGATGAAAAAGAGCAATTTCTGTATCACCTCCTGTCATTTAACGCTGTTGATTACTTTTGTTTTACCAATGTTTTTACAACTATCTGTAAGTATAGCTTTTAATTGTTGTGTTACTTTTCAAAGGGTTTAAAGAATGTTTGACACATGCGTATAGCCTCATTTATTTTATAACAGCATACAGATATCTCATGCTGGGAGTCTACCAATACCCCTTTCATGAGATGATATAATTTGTAACTCTGCAAAGTGTAAAATCCATGGTTGGTTGTTTTTGTGAACTTACTATAATTTTGTCCGCAGGAAATATATTTCAAACAAATTTCTGTTTTATAACACTGAGCATGATTCTGTGTGGTAAATTAGCAGTGAGACCTCATCGATACATTCTAGTATTTTTGATTAGCATATTGCAATGCATTTGAAATCTTCCCTACCTCCAACACTGCCAGTTTTGTATGCTTCCTTATACCGTATTTTTCGCCCCATAGGACGCACCGCCCCATAGGACGCACCTAGTTTTTTTTTGGGGGGGGAAATAAAGGAAGATGTCCGAGGCTTGCGGACATCTGCCAGAAGCAGGGGGCGGGCTCCACAGCTGGCCCCCTGCTTCGGGTTGCAGGCTGCCGCCCCAAGCCTTGCTCGCCCGCTGGGACCTTCCGCCGGGCGCGCGAGGCTTGCGGACATCTGCCCAAAGCAGGGGGCAGGCTCCGCAGCTGGCCCCCTGCTTCGTGCTGCAGGCTGCCACCCCAAGCCTTGCACGCCCGGCGGGACCTCCCGCCGGGCACGCGAGGCTTGCGGATAGCTTCCTGAAGCCTGGAGAGCGAGAGGGGTCGGTGCGCACCGACGCCTCTCACTCTCCAGGCTTCAGCGAAAGCCTGCATTCACCCCATAGGATGCACACACATTTCCCCTTCATTTTTGGAGGGGGAAAAGTGCGTCCTCTAGGGCGAAAAATACGGTAAGTTCTCTGCATTATCCTTCTCCTACCTGCCTTTTTATGTTCATCTTCATACTCAGCATGAGTATGATAAGTTTCCTATGCTCTCTTCTGAGCTCCCCTTGTGAGAGATCCGTCATTAGTTCTCAGTTCTCTTTTGAAAGACATGCTGCTTTTGGAGCCATACAGTAGTTGGACCTGTTTTAACATCACTAGACTCCATTGGTACGCTTCTGTCTTTCTGTCCAAAATAAGCTTTCAGTGATTTTTCTTTCACTCCCTGGGAGTCTGAGATCAAGCCTAGCGGATGATATTTCTGCCTAAGAATATAGTATGATGGGTATTTGTTATTCTGCTTCAATTGTATTTGCATTTGTTCTTGGACAACTTGTTTCAGCCAAATTGTTTTTTTGTTCTGTTTTACAGTGATTCCATACCATATATTGATCATTCCTAGCAAAAAACTTGGTGGCTCAATGTTCACAGCCAACCCATGGATCTGCATTTCAGGAGAACTGGGTGAAACAGGAGTCCTACACATTCCAAGGAATACACTGGAGATGACATTTGAGGTATGGCCTTACCTAAAGATAAAATTAAAAAGAAGTCAAAAATCAGAAGATTGCTGGGGACTTTTTCTATTATTTTTCTATTATTATTAATTAAATATGCATATCGCCCTTCATCTGAAGATCACAGGGCAGTTCACAACCTAAAATATATGTGCACCTGTATAATACAAATTGCATGTATCTTCCTTTTTGGAATCTTTCCATGAGAGCCCAGCAAACCTATAGAAAATTATGATTAAAATATGTTAGCTGGAGAGGGACGTGTAAAACTATCTCTATAGACTTTCCATTGTGTTATTTTAAAAGTTCCCTTACCATTTGGTTTGTAAACTTGCTTTTTTCTCTAAAATGTGGCATTGTGTTTAGTCATTGCTAAGTTTGGATATTATTGCTCTGTTCATTAGACTATGGTCACTGTGATGTTTTATTTCTGTTTTGATTCAGCAGCTTTCCCCCCACCCCTTTTCTAATTTTCAGTGTCAGAACCTGGGAAAGCTTACCACAGTACAAATAGGACATGATAATTCTGGACTGTATGCAAAGTGGCTTGTGGAATATGTCATGGTGAGAAATGAAGTAACGGGTCACACTTACAAGTAAGCAGCATTTCAGCTTTTTTATCTCATCTGTAAATAAAAATATACACTGTTTTACAGAGTATGATTTGATGCCTCTTCTTGTTTATATCCACTATAAGCTTATGTTCACTGAAATTGGAATTAAGCTGAATTATCTATTGACTTGTATGATTTAGAGTGCTTTCTTGTCCATTTAAACACTCAAATTTATATACGGTACTGTCAATGTACAATAGATATTTATTTGTATACACTAGTAAAGCTATGAACACACACACACACACACACACACACACACACACAGTACTGTGTGAGTGCCTGGAGGCAGTTGGAGGATGGATGGCGGCTAACAGATTGAGGTTGAATCCTGACAAGACAGAAGTACTGTTTTGGGGGGACAGTGGGAGGGCGGGTGTGGGGGACTCCCTGGTCCTGAATGGGGCAACTGTGCCCTTGAAGGAGCAGGCGCGCAGCCTGGGAGTCATTTTGGACTCACAGCTGTCCATGGAGACGCAAGTTAATTCTGTGTCCAGGGCGGCTGTCTACCAGCTCCATCTGGTACGCAGGCTGAGACCCTATCTGCCCGTGGAATGTCTCGCCAGAGTAATGCATGCTCTAGTTATCTCCCGCTTGGACTACTGCAATGCGCTCTACATGGGGCTACTTTTTATGGTGACCTAGAAAATGTAATTAATCCAGAATGCGGCAGCTAGGCTGGTGACTGGGAGTGGCCGCCGGGACCATATAACACCGGACCTGAGAGATCTGCATTGGCTCCCAGTACGTTTCCAAGCACAATTCAAAGTGTTGGTGCTGACTTTAAAGCCCTAAATGGCCTTAGTTCTGTATACCTGAAGGAGCGTCTCCACTCCCATCGTTCAGCCTGGAAACTGAGATCCAGTGCCGAGGGCCTTCTGGTGGTTCCCTCATTGCGAGAAGTGAGGTTACAGGGAACCAGACAGAGGGCCTTCTCGGTAGTGGCACCCGCCCTGTGGAACGCCCTCCCATCAGATGTCAAGGAAATAAGCAGCTATCCTATTTTTAAAAGACATCTGAAGGCAGCCCTGTTTAGGGAAGTTTTTAATATTTAATGCTGTATTCTTTTTAACACTCAATTGGGAGCCGCCCAGAGTGGCTGGGGAAACTCAGCCAGATGGGCGGGGTATAAATAATAAATTACAGTGGTACCTCGGGTTACAGATGCTTCAGGTTACAGACTCCACTAACCCAGAAATTGTACCTTGGGTTAAGAACTTTGCTTCAGGATGAGAACAGAAATCGTTCAGCAGCGGCGCGGCAGCAGCAGGAGGCCCCATTAGCTAAAGTGGTGCTTCAGGTTAAGAACAGTTTCAGGTTAAGAACAGACCTCCAGAATGAATTAAGTTCTTAACCCGAGGTATCACTGTATTATTTACTACTACTACTACTACTATTATTATTATTATTCTAGAAAAAGGTGCCAGAACTCACCATAAATGCCTCCCCTGTTCTCCCCTGGCACCCACCTGAGAACTGCCAGAACTTAGTTCTGGTGAGTTCTGAAAAAAAGCCCTGTCTCAAAGAAGTTTCATATCTAATGAACATTATTAATTACATTTGGTTGCATCCAGAGAAATATTAGCCAAAGGGGGTTGGTGGAAGGTGACTTTCCCACCTCTCCAAGACCCAGCAGCCCCCAGGTTCCCTTGAAACGCCTCTTCTGAGGGTCATGGGCTGTGGCACAGGGGAGCTGGAAGGGAATGCTGAAAATTGGGTGGAGGCATCATCTGTCAGTGGGAGTTCCTGCTTACAAATGGTGACTCCACCTAAATGCCAACAAACCCCTCCTTTCCTCTCAGCCCCCCCCCCAGTCTGCCCCATTTTTCAGGGCCCTCTGACTCTTGTGATAGGTTTTTCAAGAGGCTGCCAGGGCCTCGTGGGAGTGGGAAAGTCATTGGTTTGTGTTCCTTTGGTTCAGATCCAATTTGGTCAATAAATCCAATCAATCTGTTGGCTGTCCAAAATATCTGTTTGCTTATGGACCAGAAGATTCAGATTTCTGTTTCCAACAGCACATGTATGTGGCCCCTGTGGATTAGTCAGTTACATAACTCCTCCTGTGATTAATACTGTTCAATTCTTGTGCTGCACCAGTCTTGCAGGGATGAGAAACTTTAGTAAATGGAACATGCCCAGCATGAAATAAAAGCCATTTTACTGATTCACTTAATGTATAGCCTCTTGCTAAAATCTGGGATTAAGAGCTGCATCATGTGTCTTTTTTCTTATTTCATGTCTTTAGGTTTCCATGTGGGAGGTGGCTTGGAAAAGGGATGGATGATGGCAGTTTAGAGAGGATCCTGGTTGGAGAATTGCTGACATCCCATTCTGAGGTAGATGAAAGGCAGTGCAGAACTCCGCCTTTGCAGCAGTCCCCAAGTATGATTAGAAGATTCGTTACAATATCACCAAACAACAAACCAAGTAAGCTGGTTAAATTGAAAAAACATTTTACTAGTAATCTTACATATAGTAATAGCAAACTCAGTTCTCTGAGTGTAGTTATTTATGTAGCCAAAACATCATCCATACACATATTAGTAGACTTGGGGGAGCCCCACAGTTTGTGGAAGTACAAAAAGTCTATAGGAGGGGAAATCCTATGGGGGACAAACCCAAAAATAGCTCAGTGAGAATGAAATGTTGACTGACTGACTTGTGGGAGGTGGGGATGATTATCCTGAAAAAAGGGAATGGCTGACAGGTTGGAATTTTGAACAGGTCTCCACTCTGCAACATTTTGTTGCATGTCTTGCTTCCACCATCTCAAAAGCAATGAAGTATGTACTCTGGTTTTAAATCTTCATTAGGTTACTTAAATATTCTTTTGTCTTGTTGCAGCTTGTTTGACAATATGTCAGTCAGTCTCATTCCTGGTGATGGGGGAAAGGGAGAAGGAAAGGATGAGAACACTTACCGTATTTTTTCCTCTATTGGATGCACCGGACCATAGGAGGGGGAGAATAGGAAAAAAATTTTTTTTCTTGTTCTCCCCCTCAAAAACAAGGTGCGTTCAAGAGCAGGCCTTGCCGCTGCCCCCCGAGCTTGTGGGGCTGGTGGTAGGGGGGAAGTGCTGCTTTCCCCCACCGCCAGCCTCAAAGATCCCTGAAGCCTTTGGAGTGCAGCTGCACTCCAAAGGCTTGAGGCACCCTGCCGCCCTGCGGAGGCTTTGCGCAGCCGCCCCGAAGCTGGAACAGTGAGATGGAGGGCTGCGCAGCACCCAGTCTCGCTGTTTTGGCTTCTGGGACAGCCTGTAAAGCCTCCGCAGGGTGAGACACCCCGCCGCCCTGCGGAGGCTTTACGCAGCCATCCCGAAGCTGGAACAGTGAGACGGAGGGCTGTGCTGGCCAAAGCCCGGGGTACACAGCGCCGTGCTCCCCGGGCTTCGGGCTGCAGGCAGCTATCTGCAAGCCCTGCGGAGCCTGGTGGGAACTCCCGCTGGACTCTGCAGGCTTGCGGATAGCTTCCTTGAAGCCTGGAACGCGAGAGGGGTCAGTGCGCATGACCCCTCTCGCTCTCCAGGCTTCAGCGAAAGCCTGCACTCGCTCCATAGGACGCACACACTTTCCCCCTTCATTTTTGGAGGGGAAAAGTGCATCCTATAGAGCGAAAAATATGGTAAGTTGATTTTAATCTACAAACTACTGTTGTAACCAGTGCTTGCTGTTGGAGGCTTTCTCATTTAATTTATCAAGATTTCAACCTCTGTGTAATGTTTCCCCCTTCACCTTCAAACATTATTTACCCAATAAAGTAGCTGTAGCTGTTCCCTATATGGCAGCTTGGTGGGTTTTGCTCATTACTTCTGTCAGGGGTTCAGGGAGAGAGGGACAGGGTAGGCAGGAGATGGAGAGCGATGGGGAGGAATTCCAAGCCAGCGAGGAAGAGGATGACAATGACTCAAGAGATTCCATGAGTCTTTCCAGCGAATCAGAGGATTCCCAGAAGGGGGCGCCAGTGGTTAAGGCCAGGGGAGCCCCAGGAGGGACGTGTCAGGAGCAGGGAGCCAGCGGAGGATCCCAAAGTGGCAGCTGGGCGTCAGGACCAGCCTCCCCACCAGAGTGCAGCGAAGGGGGTGGAGTTTCCAGTGTGTCAGAGGAAGCAGCTCCGGGAGCAGAGAAAGGAGGGAGGTCAGAGCAAGCCGCCCTTCCGGAAGGGGAGGGAGCAGTGAAGGGAGTAGTGTAACTGTCAAAAGGAAAGTTAGAGGTTTGGCGCGCGCGCCTAGTTCAAATGTAGAGGCGCGCGGAAGTACAGGGAGCCCGGAGGAGGGGCCAGGTCCCAAAGCCCGCAGGGGGGGGGAAGAGCAGTCTGGGGATTCAGCGTCAGAGGAATCCAGAAGGGGCGCAACCCCAGCGGGCAGAAGGACCCTGCGGAAAAGGAAGGAGAGAAAGAGGTGGAGCAGCGCAAGTCTCTTAAATTGGTGCAGGGGAGGGACTGACTCAGAGGGGACTTCAGCGGTCTAGCGTAAGAGACGTAAGGCTGCGCGCCTAGGATGTCAAGCAAACCATGAACTGCAATAAACACCTTTGTATATAAGAAGACATAGGCGTTGGTCTTTTGTGAGCTGAGACTTGAGGCAGCCTTGACAACTTCCAAAACCCTATATTACAAAAGATAAATGCACAAATGTTGATAAATCTGTCCTATTTTAGAATGTAAAAAGCAGAAGCCTGGATCTAGTTCCTTTCTAAAGTCCCTGGCCAAGTGAAAAACAAATAATTGCTTAAACAAATAAATGTTTTCCTTCTTGCACAGAGTTAAACACAGGTCAAATACAAGAATCTATTGGTGAAGCAGTAAATGGAATTGTCAAACACTTCCACAAGCCAGAGAAAGAGGTGAGCATTGTCATTGAGCTTGATAATATTTCTCTGTTTATATTTATGTGTTCGCTAGTTAGTTTATGAAAGACTATAGCTACAATTGACAAGAATGTTGGTTCAGCAGAACAGTGTGTCACAGATGTGCATATGCAGCTGACGAGTTGAAGGGAATTATGTATAGCCAAATACAGACTCTTGCAGCTACATTTCTTCTTGATGTCAGTTTTAATCAGAGTTCTTCCGTAAATTTGTAATCCAAAATTGTGTTTGTCTTAACCAGGATTAACAAAGGTCATAAATAACTTTGGACCCAGGTGAAAGGGGGCAGGAAAATTTGCATGTGAGAATAGAATGCACTCCTGTAGTCTGCAGTCAGTCGCTTAACCCTGGATCCAGTATTATATCAGAACCAAGCCTTAGAATTAAGTCTGATAAAACAGTATGCCAATTGTTTGAATTTGTCAGTGGTACTTTTTTGGACAACCCCTTCTCTATTTGTTCTGATTTGTAGTACTAGATATGCTGTCTTGTGATATCCAGTAGATTGGGTTTTGTTTATCATTTGTACCTCATATTTATGCTCCTAGTCTAAATTACAAATATATATATATTGTATGTATTGTATATATTGTGTATACACACACACACACACTATATATATATATATATATATATATATATATATATAGTGTGTGTGTGTGTGTATATATATATATATATATATACAGTGGTGCCTCGCAAGACGAAAAGAATCCGTTCCGCGAGTCTCTTCATCTTGCGGGTTTTTTCGTCTTGCGAAGCAAGCCCATTAGAGGATTAGTGCTACAGTATTAGCGGCTTAGCGGGCTTAGTGGATCAGCTGATAAGCGGCTTAAGGATAAGCTGATAAGCGGCTTAAAGATCAGCTGATAAGCGGCTTAAGGATAAGCTGATAAGCGGCTTAAAGATCAGCTGATAAGCGGCTTAACGATAAGCTGATAAGCGGCTTATCGATCAGCTGATAAGCGGCTTAACGATAAGCTGATAAGCGGCTTAACCATCAGCTGATAAGCGGCTTAGCATCAGCTGTTAAGCGGCTTAGCCATCAGCTGATAAGCGGTTTAGCGGCTTGGGAAAAAGGGGGGGAAAGGAAAAAAACCCCGCAGGAACTCGCAAGACATTTTCGTCTTGCGAAGCAAGCACATAGGAAATTCGTTTTGCGAAGCACCTCCAAAACGGAAAACCCTTTCGTCTAGCGGGTTTTCCGTCTTGCGAGGCATTCGTCTTGCGGGGCACCACTGTACACACAACCAGTAGCATTACAAATTAAGAACTGTTTCATATAAAAGCAGTAACAGAAATTACATATTAAAAGGCTGTCAAATATATTTCCAGTTTCTAACTAAAGACCAGTAAAAAGGAGGGCTAATGAATCTCCAACTGGAGGGCATTCCAGAGCCATGACACCACCATACAGAAGGCCCCGTCTCGTGTGCTTACTTACATCTGAGATGTTGATGACACAGAGAACAGGGCCTGTGAGGCAGATGGTCCTTGCAGTAATCTGGTCCAAGTCCATTTGGGGTTTTAAAGGCTAAGACCAGTACTTCAAACCGAGCAAACAAATAAGTAGCCAGTGAAGTTAAACAACATTAGAATTACATGTTCCAATAAGGATGTTTGAGGCATCTTCTTCCAGATCTTCAAAACTCCTGAACAACAGTACCTCTACCTTGTTTGGATTAAGGTTCAATTCACTTCAGAACCGATGCCAGACACTAATTTATTATTTCCTTTGCCTCCCTGGGTTTTCAATGATGGAAAAAATGAAATGTCATCAGCAAATTGATGGCATCTTACCCTAAACCTCTGAATGACCTTCCCCGGTGGTTTCATGTATAAGTAAAAGCACTAGGGGACAAAATTTGGGATTTCACATGCCAAAGGCCACAAAGTGGAACAGCAGTCTTGTGTTATACTTATACTGTAGTACTCATTTTATAAATAACAGTGTCCTTTCCTGATCAAGGCACCTCATTTTCTCCAGCTCTTCATCAAACAGAAGTGAAGGTCCAAGGATGGGTGCTTTGTTTTCTGTTGCTCTGCACAGAGAGAGCTTCTTATCCATGTTGAGCAGCAGTGAACAAAGGTGTGTTTGTGTGTTTGTGTGAACATAATCAGGGTGGAAAGGTATTTCATCAGTAATAATGCTGACTTGTAATTTCATAAAGTGAGTAAATGGTAGCTGCTGTGAGATCTGATTGTCATTGAAATCTTATTATTGAGCGTTTTTCTAATGGGTGCCACTAACTGATAAACTCAGTCAGTGCAGACTATTGGTAGTCTGTTTTTAAAAGCCACAGTAATTTGACAGATATATTCATAATATACCATGGGTAAACATCTCAAAACTAATATTTATTTTATATCCCATTGGCAGAGAGGCAGTTTAACACTTTTGCTGTGTGGTGAAGGTGGGCTTGTCTCAGCTCTTGAGCAGGTGTTTCAGCATGGATTTAAATCCCCCAGGCTCTTCAAAAATGTCTTCATTTGGGACTTTCTAGGTAAGTACAGAAAACCTTCTTATGGGAAAAGGTTGAAGGAGTGGGTATGTTTAGACTGGAAAACAGAAGTGAAATTACAGCCATCTTCAAATATTTTATTAATTGTATAAATAATTATACTGCCACCAATATGTGAGGAAGGTTTTGAGTTTTTCTACTGATCTGATCATTATGCTATATGACTCTGTCTCCAGAAAAAGCACAAGGATATTATGAGGCTCTAGAGCAAAATGAATTGGTCCCAGAGGAAAACTGGCAGAAAAGGGCCAGGAGTTTTTGTCGCTTTGTCACAGCCATCAACAACACTCCTAGAAACATTGGGAAAGATGGCAAGTTTCAGATGTTGGTGTGCCTTGGAGCCAGGTATTGTATTTCCATAAGCATATTTTCATTTGTATATAATTGCCTGGTCTAATGTGACAGAGTTGTTTTCACACTGATCAGTTTTCTTTTATTACTGTTTTGATGTCCAGATTTTGAGTCCTTTGACCAAATTACATATCCTTACACTTATTCTGCCACTTTGGAAATCTGAAATTAGAACATGATCACTGGGATTTATCTTGACAGGAGATTAAAAGTGCTTGATGCACATATTTTACAAAAAAAACAAAAAACAAGGCTGAGAGGGGATATGAAAGTATTATTCCAAATAGTAGAAGAATTAATCTGAAGAGGGAGATGAACTATTTTATATTAAAGGAGGCTAGATTTATTTATTTATTACATTTATATATACTACAGTTTCTTCCAAGGAGCTCAAGATGGTGCACATGGTTCTCCAACTCCTCATTTTATCCTCACTACTTCCCTATGAGGTAGATTAGGCTGAGACACAGTGACTGCCCCAAGGTCACCCAGTGAGCTTAATAACTGAGTAGGAATTTGAACCCTGGTCATCCAGGTCATAGTCCAACACTCTATCTGTTATACCACACTGGCTCAGATGTACAATAAACACCAGCTACAAAACAAAAATTGACAAATCAGAAATTTTTGTGAAACAGTCTTTCCTGGAACCACAGAGGCAGCAAATAAGCTCTTTGGTTTCAGGGCACAGTTATAAGAAATTTATGGAGAATGGTGTGGCATTTTCTATACCTTAGTTGTAGCCCTTTGAAATCAGAAAGCACCTTTCACATGCATAGGCCTTGATTTCTGCATCCCTCCTCATTGGGAAAATCAGGGTCATCACAACAAGGATCAAGGCATGGAGATGCACCCAGTTAAAATTTCCATAAGATTGCTTCATGGCTGCAAATTTTGTACAACTGAGCATTTCCCAATCAAACTAGCAGTGCCCCTAATGGTTTCCAGTATGTGGCTTGGGCCGTTTTAAAGCAATTTGCCTTGTAAACACCTTTTGGAAGCTCCCCTGAGTCTGTCTGTGGTGCATTGTGGTCTGAATTGTGTAAGTTGATTGGTGAATGAGATGACGCTTTCTTGGGAGAATTTGGCTACAGGATTGTTTTTAAAATCCTTTCTAGCTCTCTAATTGTCACTGACGTAGGGCATCCTAGTGCTGTGGATTCCTGCAGCAGCAAAGGTATAGCCAAGACACGGCCTCAGGCTGATCTAGAATGCCAGTGTAACAAAATGTATGCCAGTTCTGCTGTGCTGGCAACACAGCAGAACTGATGTTGCCTGATGTGGCTTCTGTAAGGGTCATTATGGAGCCTAGAAATCAGCAGAAAGGAGACATGGCAGGGTAAGACTGGTGTTCTATGCAACTAACAATTCAGTCAGTATGGAGGCTTCTAATTTGCATACTGGCCGTTTAGTAGTAACCTATAATAATGGGATTGCTATTGAATAAGAATAGCAAGATAGGCCTGCCCTAACTGTATTGCATTAGATGCCCCTGTAGTTGCCAGTCCTTCTGTACCACCACAGCTAGGTATAGCTTTGGCATCAAGTGCCAGTCATTTTGGATAGAGCGAGTGGCCATGTTTTTCCAAGTTATTTCAGATATGAAGCAAATAAGAAATGATACTGAGCCAAAAGATTGACCTAGAATTCAGTTTTTATAAACTCACACCAGTTAAACCTAGTATTGTCAATACTAACTGGTAGTGGTATTAAGAAGAATTGTGATACTAAAATACCAGGAAATGTGATAAGTTTCTTTTTTAAAGAATTAAAAATATTTTATAACTTGTTTGAAATTTCAAAACATTCCCTTACAGAGATCACCTCTTGCACCATTGGATTGCCTTGCTGGCAGACTGCCCCATCACAGCTCAGATGTATGAGGATACAGCGCTCATAAAGGATCATACCCTAGTGAATTCCTTGATTCGTGTGTTGCAGACTTTGCAGGAGTTCAACATCACATTGGAGGCATCCCTCGTTAAAGGAATAGACATCTGATCCGTCTCTTGCTACAAGCACTGTAAAAAAGCAACAAGGAACAAACCATTATTAGTATGCAGAAATTCAATCGGCTAATACATTGCATCCAAACATTTGCATCACTTGCTACAACTCTTCTGGAAAGAAGTTCAAAACAGAGAACGGAAATGTGGATGAAAGCTCTACGCCCAACGTGTAATAGGGAAAATATAACCTATAAATCACTTTTAGAATTTATTTGCTGATTTGCTTTTACACACTTTCATGTGAAAGGGTTAAGATAATGAGTATTGTGCAGCTTATTTTAAAGCTGTAATATTTCTTTGCCATTGAAAATGGCACAGTGAGAAGCTATTGGCATTCTCTCAACTTGCCTTCAGACTGTATGTTGAAAAGTATAGTTCACACATTCCATTTCCGCTAAGGGTCATTCAGCAATTGAAAATCTAATAGTTTATTATAAACATTTTCATCATTGGCTTTTACGTGTTGGGTCACTGTTCTGCAAGAAAAACTAAAAGTTTAAATATTGTTTTTAATAGCCTTGAAGCACTGAATTCATTAGCAAATCCTTTTTTTTCTTTAATTTTTGTTGTCAGTATTATTTTGGCAGAGTTTTGAGGGGTGACTCATGCAGATGTGCAGAGATCAGTGATATTTTTCATATGGGTACGAAATTGCACAGAGAAAATTATAAATGTGTTTTTAACTGGCATTTATTTATTTAACTTTTCATCATGTTGTAATGTCTTTGTCTAAGAAAAGAATACTATATACAGTACTTAACAGGCTATGTTACATGTCTGTTGTGTTTTCAGTTTAGAACCTAATTAGAGTACAGCCCACCTAAATACAAGGCCAGAATAAGAGTGTCTGTTAGCAAAATATGTCTTGGCATGAACCTGCCTTTCAACTTATTAGTCATTACTAACAAGTCCATTGATTTCAGTGGGTCTGCTCTGAGTATGAAATAGTTGGATACCACCATAAGTGATTATCCTAAGCCATGTGTACTCTATGTAATGGCTAACAGTCTAATCAAATACTAGATGTAACATTGACCTGGTTTGCATTTAACACTAAGCCAAACCATCACTTAGTGCAAAAGAGCAAACATTCAGGTTCCTGAAGTGAAGATTGCGCTGCAGCAATCCTCCCTCAGTGTTTGCAGCTAAAAGGGTTCAGCCATAAATTGGCTTTGTGTTACATCCAAACCCAAACTCATGGTTTGTCTTGTCCTTGATTTACCTCTTGAGGTTTGTCTGCAGCAGATAAACTATGGTTCAGGCATAACATTAAGTCAAACCATGGTCAAAGGCATAGGTTAAGCAGCAGCAAGATTTGAGGAGTGCTGTGGCATAATATATATGCTCCAGAAAGCAAATGTTTGTTTGTTTGCACTAAGCCATGTTTTGGCTTGGCATTATGTGCAAACTGGGCCAGTCTACAAATGTGTAAGGATCAGGTACAGCAGCAGTTGTTTCAGTTTTGTCATCTTGCAATGCTAGCACTACCTTACAACAGCTTCACAAGCACATGTGCTGGTGCAAATACTTCAGGTTGGCTGTAAGTGAGAGCAGTATTACTGTGACCAATTTATGCTGCTACTCGATATAATGCTATGTTAAGGTTTCAAATCTTTCCCTTGGTAACCCAGTTCACAGGCAGAACATATGGAACATTTTTATTTGAAATGCTGAGCATTCGTGTGCTAATTTTTGTATATGTTAAAGGCTGGAGGTTTTGGATGCTTGTGAACACGGTGTAAAAATATTAGAATACCCTCATAATGTTCAGAATTTGTGGACTTTTTAAATAGTAAAATTCCAATTGGAAAAATCTAGTGAATGCCTAGAAGCAACTGTTCTTGTTAGAATTCTCAGCAAAAATCCCTAGGAGATGCATAATGAGCTAAGGAAACACTAAGATATACTATACAAGCATTAGGTCTCTGTATTAAGATTCAAGATTCTACAGGCCTTTGCTGTATACATGTCTGAAGTTAGCCTCTTTAACTTCTGATAAAGACGTTTTCAACTGTCAGTCTCCAACAAGTAGCATTATTCTTTATTTCCTACATCTTGTGGTCATTTTTATTCCAGTAACTTAAAAATATAGCACATGTATTAAATTTTACTATTTTTACTTTTCTTGTGTTTTATTTCGTTATTACTTTGAAAAGTTGCTATTATTGCTTCTGTACTTTGTTTCTAATTTGAATTGGTTGAACTTGAGAAAATCATACTGGAGACTGAAAAGGATGCAGCCCACATTATCACAATATACACGATGGATAAACATACTCATGCTGGTCTTGAGGTGCATGGCTCTACTGACATTAGTTCTGCAATAACAGAATGTTATTTTCTGTTATCTCACTTAAAAGTATATTACACAACTGCACAAAGAATCCGGAAAAATGAAAAAGCCTGTTGTTTTTCTGAAGACTTCCTTTTACAGAATAGTATTATGAAAAGTTTGCATTGAACAGAATAACAGCATCATCTGTATTGGGTATCTACCCAAGATAAGACTTGCTTCTAATAGTAGATGACACAGTTAACTACTTCACTGCAGAACTGAATAACAAAAGTATGTGTGTAGACATCATGGTTAGCTATACTGCCTTCTGGAGCAGTTAACCATCAGTGATAATATTCATGAACTGGAGATCAGAGGAGGTAGGTGGACACAAGCACTCAAACCTGCCCCTGTGTTCTCCAGTGAAGATGGCTAGGAATGCCCAAGAGCAGTGGAAGTCACTGAGAACTCCTGGGTGGTACCACCCCAGCCAGTCTGATTTTTTTTTAAAGCAGTACCTCCACCACCAATGCTTTCTCAGATGCCACCAGGAAATACAGGAGGAGACTGGCTGACCATTGGGAAAGGTTTTGCTGCACAGTTCTGGAACTTCAAGACTCTTGTGATAGATCATTGCCAGGCAAGATATATCAAACAACTACAAAACAAATCTGTTTATTCAAGATCTGAAGTTTTCAGATATGAAGCCCCATATGTCACTGTCCATCTACGGGCGATTGAAGTCCCAGCTGAGGACGTTGGGACCAGGGGCAAGATGGCAGGGTGGGAGCAGGAACAGGAGTCCAGAAGCCAGGGGTCCGAGGGTCAGGAAGCAGGGAGTCACAAAGTCAAGGGTCCGAGGGTCGAGAAGCAAGGAGTCACAAAGTCAAGAAGCAAGGAGTCACGAAGCCGAGGTCCGAGGATCAGGAAGCAAGAAGCCAAACGCAGCAAGGCAGGAAATGTGTTGCTGTGGCCAAGAGCTGAAGGGAAATGCTTACCTTATATCCCTACCTGGCTCTTGCCACCAGGTGCAGTGAGTTACCAAGCGGCCTCACCTGTGCTGCCATGCCTCGCCTCTCCAGAACAAACTTAGGAAGGCCCCAGTCCTGCGAAGCCCTACTGGTCACAGGGCCTGGCTCCTGCACGCACTTCTGACACCATGCTGCAGAGCAAACTGCTTTTAAAACTGATATAACTTTTCAAAAATTACAGTCAGCTGCTCAAACAGAAAATTATGAATGTGGGAAAGTTATTTGTTTCAAATTTGGTGTACTGTATGTAGCTGCATTTTTAAATGTGAGTCGTAACAGATGTAGAATTGGCTCAAACATGGTTGTCCTCCCACAACTGCAAGCATGCCTAAGAGAAGTAAATGCAGTAGATGAGCTATTCTCTTTAATGCCCTCCCAATTCACAAATTCTGACAATGCAGTTGCTGTAGGCTGCAAAATCATTCCTGTCAAAACATAAAGGCTAACAAAATTCCTCTTCATAACTCTGTTTTTATCCAAGCACCTGCATAGATTTATATGAAAATGCAAAAACTGCTTTGTATTTAATTAGCAAGCCTTATCCCATAGTTAAAATGGGTTATTTTTATTTAACTTTAAGGTAGTGATGTTCAATTCTCTTTAATTAAAAAGCTTCTCTTTCATAGCTCATAAGCTTTTAAATCATATCAACATTTAAAATGCTTATGAAGTCAGCTATATTTCTGCATTGCAAAGTAATTTTTAGGCTGTTTGTAATTTAGACTATTAAGTCATTTTTAGACTATACTATGAACTCTAATAGTCTATTGCTTTGTGTGTGTGTGTGTGTGTGTGTGTGTGTGAGAGAGAGAGAGAGAGAGAGAGAGACAGACAGCGGGATCAACCTGGTTCGCACATCATGTTAATCCAAACCACAGCTTAGTGAAAATGCATGAGCACTTAGGCTCCTAAGGAGGAAAGTGGCTGCTTTGCTCTTCTCCAGTCATTTTGCTGCTGCACTGTGCTTAGCTAAGCCATGGCTTGGCCTGGTGTGTTGTGTGAACAATAATAATAATAATAATAATAATAATAATAATAATAATAATAATAAATTTTATTTATATCCCACCCTCCCCAGCCAAAGCCAGGCTCAGGGCAGCTAACAACAATCAAATAATCAAACAATCAAATAATCCAACATTCTAAAACATTTCATTATAAAAATTAATTAAAATCAAATTAATGGCAACCGTTAAGCAAAGTTTTGTGCAGGTTGCCAGAGGAGGGAGTCAGGCTGGGCCCTGACCAAAGGCCTGGTGGAACAACTCTGTCTTGCAGGCCTTGCGGAAAGATGTCAGGTCCCGCAGGGCCCTTGTCTCTTGTGACAGAGCGTTCCACCAGATTGGAGCCGCAGCCGAGAAAGCCCTGGCTCTAGTTGAGGCCAGCCTAACCTCTCTGAGGCCTGGGACCTTCAGGATGTTTTTATTTGCAGACCGTAGGTTCCTCTGTGGGGCATACCAGGAGAGGCGGTCCCGTAGGTACGAGGGTCCTAGGTCGTATAGGGCTTTAAAGGTTAAAACCAGCACCTTAAACCTGATCCTGTACTCCACCAGGAGCCAGTGCAGCTGGTATAGCACCGGGTGAATGTGATCTCACAGCGAAGACCCTGTAAGGAGTCTCGCCGCGGCATTCTGCACCTGCTGGAGTTTCTGGGTCAGTCTCAAGGGCAGCCCCACGTAGAGTGAGTTACAATAATCCAGTCTGGAGGTGACCGTCGCGTGGATCACAGTGGCTAGGTCAGGGCGAGAGAACAAGGGTTATGGTTTAGCTCTCTAGAGACTAAACGAGCTGAAATGAAGGTTTGTTCTTCGTTTCTGACTTATGGTTTATGTCAAAGAGCTAAATCACAAGCCCAAGTTCAGATGACACACTAAGCCAAGCCATGGCTTAGCTTAGCACAGTGCAGCAGCAAAACAACCAAGCAGTAGCAAAGTGGCAGTGATTTCCTCTCCATGCATATACCCTAGGTCATTGTTTGGCTTAGTGTGATGTGTGAACCAGGCCAGAGAGCAAAACAGACAGACCATAATTGCTTTTGCCGATTAAGTTCTTAGCAAGAATGAATATATTTTGGAAGATTTCTGTTGCCATAGTTCAAGATGGAGAGTTGACAAATTAGCTGGAAATTGTTTATTTACTTCTCATGTTTGTAGTTCCTTTTATACCTAGAGATTGGTAGATTATCTTCAAAATGCAGAATCAAGTTTAATAATGCTAATAATAATCTGTTTTAAAACTAGTCATTGTAGTTTATAGAACTAGAAAAGAAAATGCAGTATATTATTTTTCTAATTTTTCTATTTTTTGGGTTGTAAATCTAAACGTAAGTAAGATGCAGCTTACTTTGCTGTACTACAATAAAGCTTTCTTCTGATAGGACCAACAGAATTAATCTACCGTGCCATCCTTGGCAGCTGTTTATTCTAATTAGGCTTTACAATCTGCTCTAATATTTTCACCTTGTGCTGGTTAGGATTGCTAGAAACATTGTTTTTCAAATGACATCAGTGTGCAGCATATGGAAACTGGTGTTTTAATACATTCTTACCTTAAGCAAAGAGCTACTTCACATAATTGTTGCTTTCCCTGCTCTAATAGCATTACAATAGGAACTAATTCATATTCAACATGCAAATGTTTAATAACAATATACGGTAATACTGTACTTGTATTTATCAAAGAAAATGTTCTAGCTAGATGGCGCTGTTGAACAGGTGCTTGTATAGATTCTGGGAATGTAAAGCACTTTGCAGTGTGACACTCCCCTCCCATGCTTATTTTGCCAGTATACTGGCATCTTCACACTTTGAACAAAACATCTCTCCCCATACCCGGGCAATGATTTTTTAATCCTGGTTCACGTAGATCCTACTTTGCCTTGTCTAAAAGAAGATGGTGTCTCATTTACCCTTTTCATAGCTGGAAGCATGCTGAATGTTGTGTTGCAGTCTTAGAGCAATCACTATCCTGTATTTTGCTAAGCAACAGCTATCTACCCAGCCTTCCTATAACTACCGAGATCTGCTATGCTTTACCTCTCCTACTAGAATACTTTGCCTGTTGCTCACTACTTTCAACATTATCAAGTTCTCAATCCGTCCCATCTATGTGAATAGTACTGCTGTTCTTGATTATGGAAATATGTGTCTTAGGAGGGGTGATCTGAATAAAAGCAGTGTACTGCAAGCACCATTTTCAGTGACACCCTATCCATGTAAACAAATTAGAGGTGACATTCTAGATAACAAGCTCATACAAACAACCTTGGAACCACTGGATTATGTAAACAAGTCTGGGTAGTTCTGAATCTTTCTCTCATCTGAGCTTGAAGAATTCTTAGAACTGCAGTTAAGGAAGAGGAAAAATATTACTAAGAAGAAAATGTGTTCCATTTTGTATTGGTCACATTTGATTAAACATCCCCTGTGAGGTTTGAGAGTTGTGGAATACTTTTAAGTGCTTTAGGCAGCACAATAGAATAAATCTACTGTGAAATCTATATGGACCATTAAAGATTTATGCATGAAGGGGGTCAGCCCTCTACTATGTTCATGGAAGTACATGTCGGATCATAAACTGCAAAATATATGCACATCACACTGATTTACTATAAAGTTCATTGCTGCAGATTCCCTGCACTTTTTAATGCCATTATATCCAAGGGAAGAATGCTGGTACAAAGGTAATGTGTTGTCAGTTTATGGCCTCAGGGAAAAGTTGGATTAAAATAGCTAGCCAAAACTGATTAGCCTGTTTTGTTTTTTAACATTGGGTGCTTTAGCTATAATGGTACAAACCTCTGGGTTTGCCCCGCATCTGAGATAGCACCACAGAATTAGGCATCTCTTAAGATATAATGGAAACATGAAAATACCATACAGAGAAAAGCTTTCAAACATGGAAGAAACAAAGCACAGGCATAAGGGAGATTATTATAGTTGTCTCTCACAAAACACCCAATAGGTTTAAGTCTCATCTGCACCATACATTTAAAGCAGTATCATACCATTTTAAATAGTCATCCCCTCAAGAATCCAGGGAATTGTAGTTTATTATGGATGCTGTGAGTTGTTAGGAGAACCCTGTTCACGTCACAGAGCTGCAGTTCTTTGGGTGGTTTAACAATCAATTCCTCTTCCTAGGAAACTCTGGGAAATATAGCTTTGTAAGAATAAAATGGGAACTATATTTCTCACAGAAAATGTTTCTTTGATGATGTTTTGAAGGAAGAGGTTGCTTCACACAGATGTCTGGAAGTTCTAAACTTAAGGGGCAGTGGGGGGGGAGTGTCTTTTGAGGAAACAGGAAACCTTCAGATGAATGAGTGGCATTGCAGTTTAGGAGTGAAAGTCACAGGCAGGGGTGTACCTGGCCAGTGTAGGGATTTAAGGAGGGTGTCATGAGATTAGTGCAGTGAGAGAGATTAATTATTTTGGCAACGGAGTGTTGTGTGGATGTGAGGGGACCAAGCTGAGACAGCAGCAGACCAAAGAGAATATTTAGAAGCCTAGAGGGGGCCAGACCATGAAGCAAAGTTCTTGCTGAGGGGACAGTGACAAGCCAATGTTGTACATGACTTGGCTACTCAGTATGAGGGACAAAGGAGAGAGAAGAGTCTAAGGCTACGTGCCTGTTCAACAGGATGGATAGCAATTCAATGCATAAGGAAAGCAAGCTAGGAGAGGAGGGCTGGGGAGGAAAGAGACGTTCATGTTGGATCTATTGAACAGGAAATGATGGCGCATGCAAGTAGAGCTATCAGAGGGCAGTTGGAGATGTGGGATTGAAATGAAGAGAACAAGTTGGTGGAGGGGAGAAGGGAGTGTCATCTTTGGCTAGATGGTACTGAAAGCTATGGGATTTGATGAGATCAACCAATAATAATAATAATAATTTATACCCTGTCCATCTGGCTGAGCTTCTCCAGCCACTCTGGGTGGCTTCCAACCAAATACAGTAATACATCAAACATTAAAAGCTTTCCTAAACAGGGCTGCCTTTAGATGTCTTCTAAAAGTTTGGTAGTTGTTGTTCTCTTTGACATCTGGTGGGAGGGCTTAGCATGTAGATTGGAAAGGAGCAGAGGGGCAACAGCAGATCCTTGAGGACCCCCAACAGAAAGAGGGAAAGCAGGGGGTTTCTACCTATGGAAACACTTGAGAGAATGATTAGGTAGGTATGAGAAGAATCAGGAAAGAACATAATGCAGACACTTAGGGCATAAAGGCAGTAAAGCAGAAGAAAGTGATCAACTGCCTCAAAGGAAGGGAACAGTAAGATAAATGACGACAGAGAACATTGCATTGTGAGGGCAATTTCAGTAAAATGCAGACGGCAGAAAGCAGACTGCCTTGGATTTCCAGTCTAAAGGAAGAAGCAACGTATTGTGCAAAGAGTAAGAAAGGGGAAGAAACAGGGCAGGCCTTAGAGCAGACAGAACCAAGGTGCTGCAGTCCAGACGTTGTGGACTACAACTCCCTGCACTACAACTCCCATTATCTCTGACCACTGGCCACGATGGGAGAGTCCAAAACCTCTGAAGAGCACCGCATTGGCTACCCCTTCCTCAGAACTATCAATGGCAGACAACAGGCACCGAGAAATCCTAGAGCTGCAGTAATGCTTCTTGCCCAAATAGATGCCAAACAAGAAGGTGAGCTTCCGTTGATAGCGTCCTAAGTCAGCTATTGTGTTTTTCTCCGGCTGCAGTGGCGTGATTCCTCGCCTCTCTCCTTTTGCATGCTATTCACGTCGTAGGATAATACCCAACACCTGCCTTTTAAACGAAATTTAAAGTTCGGCCACCAGCTCAAAGTGGCTTGCATTGTGAGCCATGCATGCACAAGGAGAGGGGTGGTGCCGTTTTGTTCAGGTGCCCCGATACAAATATATTAAGTATCTGACCACCTTTCCCCCACGGTGCGTAGGCCCTTTTGAGTGTAAGAGCGGGAAAGAGCAGAGGCAACGGCATCTGCGATCCCACACCCGGCGCGTGCGCGCTGCCTCTCTTTCGCACGTGAGGGCAGGCCGACGCTCGGGGCGGGCCAGGCGCTTGCAGACGCCTCCCCTTGGGGACGCGCGCAGGGCCGGGCCCCAGGGGGCGGCAGCCGCACGAGCAACGGCGGCGGCGGCGGCAGCAGCAGGAGCAACGACTGGCGCCGGCAGCTCGATGGGGTCCGGGCGCTGCTGCTGCTCTGTGGCGAAGGCGCTCCTGCTCTTCCTGCTGCTGCTGTCGCCGCCGCCGCTGTTCGACGCGCCCCCCCAAGGACAGGTCCGCGCAGCCGGGCTCCTCTTCCCCGGTTCGTATGCGTTCCCCCTTCTCCTCCCAGGTTGAAGGCACCCGACGGGGCTGGCGCGGGTGGTTTGGGTTTTGTGTGTGTGTGTGTTTGCAGGGCAGGGTTCCAAAAGGCTTTTTGGCTGCTGTGGGCAAAGCTGAGGGGAAGGGATGTTTCCCACGGGCGCGCGCCCCTTCTGCGACTGCGAAGGAGTCGACGCCCCGTCGGGAGTTTTAAAAAGTTTAAGCTCGTTTTGTCGACCCGCGCACACACAGGCTTCGCGAGATAGTTGGGAAAGCCCAAGCTCATCTCTGCATACGATGGGCATTATCGTTGGCCGCGCTCCACCACACAAACAACACGAGTTGTTCCGCTGGCTGCAGCTGCAGCTGCTGCTGCTGCTGCTGCTGCAAGAGCCTGTGCTGGTGTTTACAGTACACAGTCATTTGCAGTCAAGTTCCATTGATTTCAGTGTCTCTAACTTCCAGGAATTCAGGAGATTAGACCTGTCAGTTTGCTGCTGCTGCCACAAAATGCCGTGGCACGTTGGAGAAGCGGTGGCGGCGGTATGAGCTTTTGTATGTAGTAGGCTCATAGCTCTGATAAATGGGCTGCGTTCTGCCTAGAAAATTAAGCTCTTGATTAGCAAGACAGTAGATTTTTTTTCTTATATGCAGGTATAAAAGCTTACGCATATTGTAACTTTTCTTAAGTTGTAGAGAAGGGCTCGTCCCATCTACCAGTTGTTTTTTAAAGCAATTGACTAACATTAGTAGGAAAAGCTAAGGCTGCAATCCATAGTATACATGGTTACCTGAAAGAGCCCCATTGAATGCAGCGGGGGAGGGGGCTTACTTTTGAGTACACATATACGGACTGTAGTGTTAATAATACAGTGCACCCAAAGGTTTTCAGTTGCAATACTTCTTAGAATTGAGTTCTCAGTGTGTGTTTCATAATGCATAAAATACGTTTGGTGTTGTACAAATAGATGTGATAACTTTTAACTGGGGGAAATTATTGGCTTACATTGATTTGTAACATGGGCTATGATATACAATTTTTGGCTTTATGGGAGAAATAGTGTTTGTTTTAATGTTTTCACCCTACTAGAAAGTAAGTATTGCTAAAACATATACCAAACCACTGAAAAAATGTAAATATGTTGATATAGAATAATAAAATTTGATTAAATATAGTTTATTTTTTACACTGTTGCCACTACCATACTTAAAGCCTGTTGTATTTTATTGAGGTTTTTTTAAAAAATTACTGTGAGTAAACATATTTCATAGGAAAAAAGCATCACCAAGTAGGTAGAATAACTAGATTTACATTTGTTGCATTTTTATGAGGTATTCCCTCATTTTTTTTGTAGTTGTTGCTTTTTAAGTACTTACATGGAAATATACTTTAATAGCTTATATTGCAGATTTAAATGAAATTTGCAGTACATATGCCTTTTTCTGTGGTGATCATTGCCCATGATAGATACACTTAGTGATGGAAGTTGAAATAAAAAGTATTCTAGGGTATTGGTGCACGTTCTTTTTTGTACTTTATTTGCAGAGTAGTATACTGATCCTGAACACATTCACTTGAAAACACATTTGTGGATTTAAAGGAAAAATACTTTCAAGTAAATCCTGGTGACTTAAATAAAGTCAGTGTTTTGAGAATTGGAATGCCATTCATTGGAAGCTATGATGTGAATGTTTGCAGTTTGATATAAACTTGTTTTGTAGTTGGTACATATGCTACATAAGCAGACTATATTGTTTCCTGCTAGTATTTCTGCTTCGTTTTCTTGCCTTTCAATTTTATATAGATCCTTTCTTTCCTGTTTTGCTGCTGCTGCTGCTGCTGCTAAGACGTTGGGACTCTTGTCAGTGATGGTTCTAGGGCAAATTCACCTGATCAAATTGTCATGATGTAAACTGAGTTTAATTCTGTGTGTGACGAGAACTGATCATGAAGGGGTCTCATTCATTTTCAGTTTGCAACTAAATGCATCCTTTGGGACACCAGCATCAATTATTTATTTTTTTAGCGGCTGAGTGACTGAATACTTGCAGTTTTCTAGCTACATCTAAGAGGATAATTCTATTTGTTAATTTGGTTACACTTTTTTGTGTTATTGCCTTCTAAACCTTCTCTTTTACAACAGTGATTTTAATTCTCCAACTCCCTTTTCTGTGATATTTATCCACCCCCTGGATTGTTCATTTTTCCTGCTAGTTACTACTTTGGCTGGGCCTTCTCTCTGTTTTCACCACTTGTGACAATTGAGATCTATTTTAGCTTTTTAAGGGACTCCTTAGTGTGTGTGACATCAGATTATAATTGCACAATCATACAGCACACTCATTGGCATGAAAATAGGAATAAGTGTACCTTGAAATATAGTGCACTCTCGGCATGCTTGCAAGAACAATGCTAATGAAGAACCTGGGGCATTACCGGACTTGACTGTACCAAACAAAAAAAGAGAGTGTGCCATTTATTTAAAAGAAGAGCAACTGTTTTACTTTATTTTATTAAATAGGCATTCAATAGAAATTCCCCCAGTGATCTATATTAAAACAGGCTTCCACAACCTCGGCCCTCCAGATGTTTTGATTCCCATCATCCCTGACCACTGGTCCTGCTAGCTAGGGATCATGGGAGTTGTAGGCCAAAACATCTGGAGGGCTGAGGTTGAGGAAGCCTGTATTAAAGGAAAATACTGTGGGAGGAATTCAACATAGCACCATGGCACTGGCAAATGTGCATCAGCGTAAGCATTTCAGCTTGCCAGATGGCGTGATCCCTCCTCTTGTGCCCTCACATGCTGTTCTGGAGGTTGTCTGAACCCCCGTAGCCAAATGGGGGGCACATGGAGAGAAGAGGGGAGAAGCCCATTATCACTAGTGGTAGCCCTTGTTCACACTTTTGCTAATGAAACTCATTAGCTGAATCCGGCTCTATATATTAAACTACAGCTAAAGCAAATATAAGGAACGTGGGTGGCGCTGTGGGTTAAACTACAGAGCCTAGGACTTGCCGATCAGAAGGTCGGCGGTTCGAATCCCCGTGATGGGGTGAGCTCCTGTTGCTCTGTCCCTGCTCCTGCCAACCTAGGAGTTCAAAAGCATGTCAAAGTGCAAGTAGATTAATAGGTACCGCTCTGGCAGGAAGGTAAACAGCGTTTTCGTGTGCTGCTCTGGTTTGCCAGAAGCGGCTTAGTCATGCTGGCCACATGACCCGGAAGCTGTATGCCGGCTCCCTCAGCCAATAAAGCGAGATGAGTGCCGCAACCCCAGAGTTGGCCACAACTGGACCTAATGGTCAGGGGTCCCTTTACCTTTAAAGCAAATATAAAAACATCAGTAGTGCTAAAATTAAGTATGAAAGGTGTGGGAGAAAAGATCTTTGTTTAGTACTGAAAATAAAACAAAGAAGTAGCCAGGCAGCCCTCTCTTGGGAGACCATTCTATGTGCAACCACTGTGAAGGCCCTCTGCCTGGTGGCCACCTTCTTCAATCTTAACACAATAATAAATGTCCCCAATAAGTATTTTTTTTGTATCAAAAAGCAAATATTGCAAAAGTTTGGTGCCTTGCTAGGTATGTGTTATTTCTGTTTGGTATACTTTTTTTCCTTCCTGAAGTTTTCATGCAACCCAGAAATTTTCAGCATCAAATATACACACACATTTCCATCCTTCCTTCGAGAGTTGTGCATCTTCCTAGCTGTCCTGCTCTGAAATTCCTGCCTGGATCATTTAGCTGTGAACATCCTTTGTGAGTTGTTGTTTTTGGAAAGGTGACTGCTGACTATGTGCTTGAGTGATGCTTCTTACCAGATGAGACTTCTGGTTTTCAGTGCAAAAAGCTAATTTTGGAACAGTTTTAAAAAACACACACCATTGAATAAGCATCTGTTTAATGGAAAGTAAAAGTTTAATGTTTCTGTTGCCCTGACTTGCCTAAATGTTCATTTCTATAAAACGCTATTTGTTAGTATTTCTTTCCAATCACATTTTATGACAGTGATGTCACAGTAATAAAGTTGTATTTCTCAGTAACTGGTTAGTATACTGCAGTTGAAATGTATTTACTTTTCAGGGCTTCCCCCCCCCCCTTGGAAATTAGTACTCCTATCTCTGTAGGGAACTGTGCACTAGCTCACAAGCTATGAAAATATGGTAGCTAGCTTGAAAACCCTGCATGTGTTGACTGCCTGAATACGGCCAGCTGGTAATGGATTTACTATGAAACCACTGCTAGGTGTGGGGGGCTGAAGTTTTTTTCTGTGCACCTGCTTTATTCTCATGCATATCAGTAAGTAAATGCACATAGACATCTGGGTTACATTCAGGAAACTTCATTTCTGGCCTAGCTCTTCCAACTGGGTGAGGTCCACAAAGATGCCATTTTGCTAACCAGAGGCCCAGTCCAGCGAGCTAAATTTATGAACAACAAAATGTTAAATGATGTTCAACACAAGTAAGTGTAAAGTGATAATGCACACTGGGGCAACAAATCATAGCCTCATGTAGACAAGGACTGGGTTTTAAATGTCTGACTAAACAGTGAAGAGTTATTGATGTCATGCTGAGTAGCTAAGTGAAAATTGCAGTAGTGCGCAGCAGTGGTGAAAAGGCAAGTTCATGCTAGGTATTATACTAGGAAAGGGACAGAAAATAAAACTGCTGGTATTGTAACACATCTGTTGGTGCCACATTTGGAACACCGCAGAACGGACTAGCTGTCCAGTCTCAAGAAATAGTATAGCCAGAAAATGTGCAGACCTGGGCTTCCAAAATGGGAATGTGATAGAGTCGCTTATCTATGAAGAAAGGCAAGAGCATTTGAAGCTTATTTGTCTGGGGTGGGTGGTGGGGAGAAGTCAACTGAGGAGGACACGATGGAGGTTTAGTAATCCAAACTGCTTCTGTTCACTTTGCTCTGACACAGAACAGCCAAGACATAAAAGGGCCTTGCAGTGGGAGTAGAAGGAGTTCACTATGGTCCAACTGAGTGCTGTTTTTTCCTGAAATTGTAGAGGCAAGTTGGCACTTCGCGAGTGGGTGGCTTGGATAGGGCTGCTGTCAGTACCATACGAAGAACAGGCATGCTGGGTTGATTTGGCCCTTGAAAAATTGCCACCTGTCCTGGCCCAGAGATTCTTGGAGTGGAAGTTTGCTACCCTGGCAGGGTGATACTACTGGTGATAGTTGGGAGCATTGATACCACTTCCTGTAATGTAGCCTGGAGTTGCATCCTTCCTGTCCAAGAGAATGATAGACAACTTGTCATAGAAGGTCATGATCCTTGGTTCCATCCCTAAACATTGATTGCGAGATGTGATTACTTTGATTTCCCATTCATTTTCTTCCAACATGGGATAGCAGTGTGGTGGAACCTTCACTGGCATATCTTCTAAGATAGGCACTGTTTGTTTACTAAACTTGTTCACAAGCCCCAGCTGCAACTCTGGAGTGTAGCAGATATCAGTGAAGACCCTGACCTTCTCATCTGTCTAATAATTGGTCTGAACTTAAAGCCTCTAGGACACCACCTCCTATAAGTTTTGGGACACCAGTGAATGCGTGTCCTGTGAGTTCTTATATATACGAGACAGTTTCTGAAACAGTTGAGTGGGGAAAGGACGCTTGCTAGGTACAATTAAAAGTGAGGACTTCTAGAAAAGTACCAGCTAGAGACTTGTGAGCAATTTCTTTTCCTAGATACTTTTGCCTTATGTCTCTGTAGCTTAGTCAGCATCTCGAGTGGGGCAGCCAAACAAACGGTAGTTAAATAAGGCTGTTGGATTCTTATGTAATGCCAACCCATGGTTAAAGCAAGCCACAATTTGTCAGCCAACAAACCATGACTTGCTGCCAGAAAGTAAACTATGGTTACTCATGGTTGGTCCACACTTTGTCTAAACAAACCATGGCTTAGTATTACATGTGAATGCCGCCATAGGGTGGTTCTTTTGCATCCCAAAGTGTGTCTTTGCTAGTGCTAAATATTCCTGGCTGTGGTTTGCCTTATCTCATTAAAACAGGAAAGGATTCGTGCAGAAGTACCTTCAAGCTGTCCTAGTATGATAAAAAGTTTTGTAAAGGTAATTGAGTCATTTGTATATTATGCTTTGTATTTAGCAGTTCTATATGAGAGGAAGATGTTACTGTAATAAGCAGAACCATCTTACAATCATAAGGTCACATTTTGTCTGTGAACTTCTGAGTGGGAAACATCACTTGATGTACTTTTATTGTGTTGCATTTCTTTTCACAGATGTGGATGAATGTACCGACGGGATTGATGACTGCCACCCAGATGCAATTTGTCAAAATACTCCAAAGTTGTACAAGTGTACATGTAAACCAGGTTACAGTGGAGAAGGAAAGACGTGTGAAGGTATGTATGTGCTCTGTAGTTTTACACTAAGTATGCTTAGTCCCCCTCTTTACTAGCTAAAGCTGAATAAACTATGCTGAAGAAGCAAATATATGTATGTTTGTACTTTAAGTTGCTGACTACAGTTTAAACTTTTTCACAATGGGTACAGGAAGCAATGTCAACACCAGTCAGACAGCTGTGTAATGCAAATTGGTACATGATTATAATAACAACCAAAGGCAGGTAAATCAGTTCAAAACATAATCCAATGAATAGCATAGTTGGATTAGATGAACAACGCAACACTTAAAATAACCATAAAACAATCTGTTAAAATATACAAATTAATAAGATGTAATAACCATACTAATACAATAGCAAGCAGCCACTGCATGGTAATTTTATACCAAATTGTACAAAAACTAACAAATTTTCATAGAGACTAAATTGAATTATATGCTCACAGTTCCTAGCAGCTTGATCATATAGTATAAAATGCATTGCAATTAATAAATCCATACTATAATGTGTATAATAATTTGTAGAGGCTAAAAATTAAAGTGCATATATTTCAGAGCAGCTTGATCATATAAAGTTTTTAGAAAACATACCCCCTTCTTCTGTCCTCACATGAAACTACTTTTATTTCAGTGAAAAGTGGCTTTGATCACCTCCTTCACTGTGGCCTCTTGCCCCAGATTCCCATTAAATCCATCCAATAGCCTTATACATAGAGATGTTTTCTTAAGGATTTGTTCAGGTTACTTTAAAAAGATAATATTCTTGTTCAAGCCTTGAGGGAATTGGGTAAGTTTAGCCTAGAAAAGAGGAGACTGAGAAAAGATACAATAGCCATCTTCAAATATCTAAACTCGGCTGTCACATGGAAGATGGAGCAAACTTGTTTTCTCCTGCTCCAGAGGGTAGGACTCGAACCAATGGATTTAGGTTAAAAGAAAGGAGATTCTGACTAAACATTAGGAAGAACTTTCTGACAGTAAGAGCTGCTCAACAGTGGAATGGACTTCATTGGGAGATAGAGGACTCTCTTTCGTTGGAAGTTTTAAAACAGAGGCTGGATATCCATCTGTCATGGATGCTTTAGTTGAGCTTCCTGCATTGCAGAGGGTTAGACAACATGACCCTTGAGATCCCTTTCAACTCTACAATTCTAAGTGATTAATGGTGATTTAAATTAGACAGGAAAATAATCCAATAAGGTTGGTTAGGTAGATAGAGGTAGTCCATGGTTAATAAGTAAATTGAGTCAAGAGTTCATTCAGGTTCCTTAAATACAAAGGAGGTGAATAAGGATTAATTAGTTAGTTTATTCAGAAATTCATTAAATGAAGAGCAAAGAATTAATCCAATATGGGTTAGTTTAAAGAAAAGGGCGTGAGCCAAAAAAATTAGTATACGGCAATCAAAAGTTCATAAAGGTTGATTAACTGCCTGAGGGTGGTTCTATATTTTTGTTTAGAGTTTTTAAAGAGTTGATCATTTCGTAGAATTCATTCATTGAATGAATGAATATTCACTGAATGAATGAATATAAGAAATCCACTTCTAACCATATAAGAAATCCACTGTATTAAGATTACACACATAACACATATGTTCATATAAACATGAATATTTGAATCTGATGGTTTCACTTTTATCTTGCCTGTGCATGTTTTGCATGGAAACTTTCTTTGAGAAGAATTTGGTTTCCAGATTTTAGACTGATCCTGAGATTTCTACAAGATCTTACTTGGGTGAAAGGGAGGGGAGGCAGGTGATTGCTACAGCAGAAGCCTGTAGTAACTTATTTTTTCTCCCTCTGTGCACCATATAATGGAGTGTGGTGCAGGACATTCCCAGCTGGATATGTAAAACTCTTAAAATAATATCAGAGCAGCACATAAAAAGGTTAATGCTTTATGTTACTGTTGAGAAATTGTCAATACTCTGTTGAACTTGCTTTATTTGAAAGGCAAATATGATCTAAGATAGCAGTAACTGCTAGCATTTATATAATATAGTCATGTCATGACCTGTCTACAGCAAACAAGCAGGCATCCATCATATTGACTTTTGCTTTATTTCTCAGACATTGATGAATGTGATAATGACTTCAATGGAGGCTGCGTGCATGAATGTTTCAACATTCCAGGCAATTATCGCTGCATGTGTTATGATGGCTTCATGTTGGCTCAGGATGGCCATAATTGTCTTGGTAAGGATTGTGCTACAATGAGTTCCAGCCTCAGTGCTGAATGCCACCTATATTTTCTTATGAGCATGAAAAAAATTAAGATGGTTGAATAAAAGCAATGTTATCTTAATGAGAAAAATCTAAAAGGTGGTTTGGTCATTTGGAGTTTTGCCATCTCTGAAATGGAGGTGCTACTGTTTGAGTGCATATCTAGAAATATATGACAGAAAGGAACCAGAAGATCATTGTTTCCAAACCAAAGGCCTAAGCAATATGCTTCATGCACAGTTGACTCATTATTACAAAATGCTTGGAGAAAGTATTTGGGTTGTATTCAATGTAATACTGCTGCTAAGGTTTTGTCAGTGCAAAGATTTCTCCTTGCACCACAGAATGTTCTCCCCCTCTCTTCCCCCACAAATCTGTTCTGGTGGTTCCTCTAATCCTCTGGAAGAGCTTTTTGGGGACAGCACTGGGTGTGCTAAGCAGGACGGACATCACTTACACTAGTTCTAATCCTTGCTCTAGTGGCAAAAGTTAGTTGAATATTGCCCTGGAAAAGTATAATGGTCTCCTTTCTCTCCCCCTACAATTCTTTTGAGTATGGCTCCTGGGTTCTTGTATGCAAAGGGTTGCAGAAAGATTTAAATGCACCGGAAGGTCATAGCCATTGTGCCTCCCACCCTGTTGACCCACCAGTCCGTTTGTCCACATTCTTCTCCTGTCCACTGTTACAGCCCTATTTAAGAAGTGCTGCTGTCCTTGGTTGAAATTGATGTAGCTGTTGAAACCTGTCAGAAGAAAATGGTAGCAATACTCTTAGCAAGTATAAGACACAGCATATCACAAATACACACATTTACACACATGTGTTTTGTGTGTGAGAGGGAGGGATGCTTAATGTTTTGAATAATCACTCAAGACTTGGGAGGTCCAGAATATCTTATGAGCTTCTCTCTCTCCTATCCTCTCCCCACCTTCCCCCTAAGATTCAATTAATTCAATTAATTTCATTTCTCCGGTCTTCTTCCTTACTTCCTAAGGATATTTTGAGGGAGAATACATTACAGGATTGTTGCTACTTGTAATGACTTGCTGCTTGAAGTTGTTTCAGTGCCAGACCCTAAGGTTTGCCATAGAGTTTGCGGCCAACCACCCTGGAGACAGGTGTGTGGGAAGCTCAAGAGAAGATCGCCAGAGAGTCAAAAGGCAACAAGACTCTCCTAAAGCTGCTGGGGAGGGTTAGGTTCAGTGATCAGGGAAGCCAAAGGGAACACAGAATGAAAGAAAAGAACATTTATCTACATAGAATCTTGCACAGATATAGCTTCCTTTCCTGTAATTTATATTCCAGGGAAAACACGGTTTTCATTTTTAAAAGGAAAACAAGCCTGTATTCTTGTCGTTGTTTGTGGTTTGGTTTATTCTCTTCTTGGTTTGGAATATGGTTGGAAACATGCAGACAGGTCTTAAAAGCCTACTTGTCTCTCTTCCCTCTTGGTTTCCATTGCATTCTTTGACCTTTATTCAACAACTTCACTCTTCACTTCCCTGTTACCATTCCTCCTCTTTACGTACTCCCTCCCTGCTAACATATTCTCAAGCTCTACAAAAAGTACAAATATTAGGTTGACACTAAACTATATAGATATTGAGCGTCCAAGTAAAATAAGCCTTTGCATGGTTTAGTGTTGCAGCAGAATGCAATCAGTCTTTTGAACCCTAATGGTGCCTTTTCACAGAAAGCTTACCAAACGTCAAGTGCATTTTTAACATTCAATCAGAATTTTATGTTACGAGGCTACATGCAGATGTCACAAATAATTCCATATTTTGGGTCTAGATAATATGTCGAACTAACACATAAAGAGTTGGAGCATTGCCTGACTTACCAGGGGCCAATCTAAGGATTTGCTTCTCCTTCCCACTCTTACCTGAAACAGATGTTTCAGACAATGAATGAGGAATTAAAAGTGAGAGTGAGAGATGTGGCAGTGCTGCTTAGAGAGAGAAGAGAAGACTTGCTTTCAGAAGGTGAGAGGCAGCGGCATTTAGGTCATCACCCTCTATTCTGTCCTCAGAATATCCTCCCAGCAAATCCAACTATTGACTTGTATTGTGCAGTACTGAGTATCACAAAACTGCATTAAATTGCTTTTTTTTTTAAGGAATCCCATATTTATCAGTTCATCAGATAATAGTCAAATGTTGATCAAGTGGGTATTATGAAGTTGCCATTGGTCAGATGCTAGTACATTATTGTAAAAAGAAAAGCGGAATGAAGTCCTAATGTAAGGAAGACCTGTGAACTGAATCTACAATTTAAGACTGCTTCCTTAAGTAGTTTGAAACACTGAAAGCTACTCAAATATTTTTATTTAGGTATGGTAATTTTTTTAAAGAGTTACATAAAAATGGCATATTAGGAAATGTTCATTAAGAGTATTTGATCATCACAATCATTATATTATTATTATTATTATTATTATTATTATTATCATCATCATCACCACCACCACCACCACCACCATCATCATCATTATATTGATCAGGCCTGTAGTGTTGAATTCTGTTGTGCCGATCCTACCAGTGAGGAGAAAGGGAGAATAAAGGCAACTGGCCAACCTGTTGGATGTTTTATTATCATCATGGCTTAATTGACGTTTCCTATGTGGTTAGTACAGGCTGCTGTGTTGACCAATAACACCTGGTACAAATCTGCTGCCTCTTATTTTTCAGATATGGATGAATGCTTGCTCAACAATGGAGGCTGCCAGCATATTTGTGTCAATACAGTAGGGAGCTACGAATGTATTTGCAATGATGGATTTTTCCTCAGTGATAACCAGCATACCTGTATTCACCGTTTAGAAGGTAAAGTCTCTCTTCCACCAAACAGAAAAGGTGCCCCACCCTCCCTCCCTCACAGAGTATCCTGAATTGAGCCCTCTAGGTGGTTGGCTCAGTAATGATCTTTACTTGAGTGTGCTTCTGCATGTTGTTCCCATGAGTCACATGGTAACTTGGGTATGTTATATCTGAGTCTTTCAGCAATTCATATAGGGCATGCTCAAAATTCAAAATCCCAGCCTTTAAGATATCTGGTTTACATGGGAGGTAATATACATATACGTAAACATCAACAACACCAAAAAATACCAAAACCTGCCAGACTTACCTGCTTGGTGTTTTTTTGCACTCAGGTTTATGTTTAAACCAAGTTGCTGTTGCTGAATTATGTGGAATAGAAGCTGCTGAAAGGCACTCCTGAGCAGCTACTGAAATAGTGAGACGTCTCATATCCTTGCTGGTGGACATCTTTGTCCAGCTGGGGCTGCATTGCACAGTTACTGTACATGGTTGTTGAAATGCAAGCAATACCCACTATAGGTCAGTGACAAAATGCACATTCTACCCCTTCATCCCACAAAGCACGAGCCATAACTGGCTATGTCCTACTGCCTTTGCATAGTGCCAGAGGGGACAGGGGGACTAACTGTGAGAACTTTTCCTTTATAAGGGTAAGATCCTACTGTAAAGAAAGATTGAATCAATCCAGCGGTAGATAAGTGATTCTGCTTGATAGGAGAGGAAGAGTGTTTGCTTTCTCTTAAGCATGCCCATTGAAATGAAGAATGGAAGCAGCAGAATACTGCCATTGTCCATTTCCATGAAGCTACATGACCTAAGCATTTGGTAAGGAGAGTTATTTAAAACTCCTAGTTTTAAGACCATGAGTAAATCCTCCACACAGAAATGAAACTGGATGCCTGATTAGAGGCTGCAGTGAACGAAAGTTTAATAGAGACCCTGGGGGCAATAACTTGAAAGTGGTAGTTTTAAATCAGGGAGTTTCCACTGTCTGTGGTTAGTCAGTAGGGCCCGACTGGGTTTAACACAGTGAAAATTTGTATAGGTTTGCAAAGATGGCAAAGATAAATATAGAATGAAGCCATTCTTTAATAAACCAAAACATATTTTTAAAAAGAAAACAAACCAGGGGGCCAGCCTTTATAGTGTTCAGTCTTCAACTAAAGTGTGTGTTGAGATAATACAACTAGAAGTATCTAAATGGCCAAAATGGTACAGTAAATGGTACAGTAAATATAGCATAGCTTGTGGAAAAGCAAAAACATGGACGAAAGGAAAATTCTGTGTATAGGTAAATGTGAGGTTGGTGAGAGTAGAAGACAGAGAGAAATAACTCAGATAAATTGTGGACATCACATGAACACCCATCCCCATGAATCATTGATTCACATTTTGAGTTGATTGAAGTTTGTCAGAAGTTAAACTCTTTTCAGGTCAGTGAATGGATTATTTTATTTGCAACCAAGGCCCCACCTTAACCTAATGTCTTGAATCTGGTTGCTGATACCCAGAAGAAATGGACTGAGACACAACTTCTTCTACTTGATGTAAATAGCTCAATTAGTGCTGAATTAGGCATTTTTGATGCCTTTTATCCTTTCCTAATCTTGGCATAGTTTGTGCTAGAATACAGAGCATTTTGCTTTAAATTGTGTATCCATCACATAACAAGTTATCTAATTCTCATAGTACTTTCCAAATACATACTGTGCTTTTGAAATGCTGACACTCCAGTCATCATCTCATTCAAGTTGATATCAGAAGTATAAATTTAACTTACAGGTACTGATGCTGGTGTACAAAGCCCTGTACATCTTGAGACCCAAGCATGTGAAGGAGGGCCTCCCCAATGCTCTTTGATCCATTCTGTAGCATCTGCAGGAGAAGTCCACAGAACAGTAGCACAGTCCCCCATTTCTGGAGCTTCCTTCTTATGGAGATTCAGTTGTCTCCTACACTGTTGACGCTAAGACAGGCATAGGCAAACTCGGCCCTCCAGATGTTTTGGGACTGCAACTCCCATCGTCCCTGACCACTGGTCCTGTTAGCTAGGGATGATGGGAGTTGTAGTCCCAAAACATCAGGAGGGCCAAGTTTGCCTGTGCCTGCACTAAGATGTCAATCAAAATGTATTTATTTTGCCAAGCTTTCAGTAGTTAGCTATATGAAATGGGTTTTCTGTGTGCTCTATTGCAGTGGTTGGTTTGTTGATGAATTTTACTTGTTTTAATGGTTTTTATGTTGCTTTTAACAGTTTTGTTACCTGCCCTAGACTCCATTAGGAGGAAGGACTGGATGGAAATACAATAAATAAACATTCTTTCATTTCTCTTTTTTAAATTGTTCATAAATAAAGATAGAAACACTTAATCAATGATTAAATAAGCTTTCAACTTCAGCAACTTAGTAGATTTTACATTTATTTTACATTTCAAATAAAGTGTGTTTAACTAGTCAGGCAAAGGGTATATAGTATGTTGTTATTTAATTGTAGTGTTTCGGAATGTGCTGCCCCCACTCAATAGCTTTCAGTAGAAGAGTGCAAGACAACACCCCCCCCTCCCCATGCAAAACTAAACAAGTCTCTATTCAGCATTTGAAGTGTTTGTTTGAGTTCAGTGAACTTTACCAAAGTACCTGCTTGAATGATGTCTCCATTGGTTTCTGAATGGCACAAAGAAGTTACACTGTTAGCAGAAATCTAAAGCTGTTAATTCTCTTAATGCTTCTTAAACACCTCTTAGCTAACAGACAGATCACATGGCATGTTGAAGCTTCCAAATGCCACAAAACACTAGAGTTTAATAAGGCTAATTTGTGATCTTCTGGGATGCAAAGAGTTTGACTGACAGCATAATAGTGATTGCCAGTTTTCATGTGGATATTTTGTGTATTCTGAAGGGTTGGAGGCATCATTGTCTTGTTAGTTTTCTCACTCTGGGAAAGGAATCAAGAAGCCAGCAGAGCAGAATAATCAAAGCCCTTGTAGGCACTCTCCTTTGTTGTCCAAAGCTGCAGCCTTAGAAGGAGTCTATCTGTACCATAAATAGAGGTGTTAAGAAGACAGCATGCCTAATTAAAATGTTACAGAGCCTTCAGAGGCCATGTTGTCAGTTCACATTCGTCTTCTTGAAATAATAACGTGGCTGCAGAACAGAGTTGGGTGAAATCCTGCGAGGAGCAATTCTGCAGATAAATCTGTATGCTTACCTGCAAGCCAAGGCATTTCCTGCCTGATTGACAATCGTTGCATCAGGGGTACGTGTGGACTACAGCAGGTATGTCCAAAGTCTGCCTCAGGGGGCCTAATCCAGCCCGCTGGTTGGTTTAATCTGGCCCCTGTGGCAGTTTATTTTCTGGGGTAAAATCCCCCCCAAATCTCAACAACTTGAATTCTTAAAAAAAGCTCAACACCATCAATCCTAAAAAAAGGTCTACAACTTCGGTTGGCCCTTTGGTCGGCCCCCACGGCCCTTCACTTCATCAAATCTGGCCCTCTTTGAAAAAGGTTTGGACACCGCTACAGCAGCCATGAGGCAGTGTGGTTGTTAATGCACAAGTCACTGACACGTTGCGTTTTGGAATAGAGGATCTAGCAGAAATGTGGGTTTCAGTAGGTGTCCTGGTATTAGTTCCTTTGGCCACAGTAGATGATGCTGCCCCCCCTTGATTTTATGTTTCAGTAGCAGACCTACCACAGGGGAATAATATTTAACTGCATTTCATACAGAAGCTTCTGTTTGTGCATTTGAATTTACTGCTGTAGCAAAACCTTTCAGTGGTACAGTACCTAGAAATGTGTGTTACCGACTGGTGGAAAAACTGCAACTGGATGTTGCTGAGTTTTGCTTGTTTGCATATGTTTGCTGCTTTGTGAGGTATGGAGGTCTCCTTGCAACCTGTCAATTTTTATTTATTTATGAAAGTGTTCCGTTTCCCAGCACTCAAGCAACTAAAGTTGCTGGGAAACAATTATTCTTAGCGCAGATAGAATGATTATTGTACCAGCTGACATTGTGGTTGTGTAAGCGTCAGAGGTATGGCGTCAGAGTGAATGGCGTTACTTAAAGGCAATTCATATGTTTACTCCCATACCCACCCACAACTTTCTGAATATCCTTGTAATGCCTGTTTAAAATGCACTTTCCCACAATTGTTACTTTCTTTAAAGAAAAACGAAGTATTGGGGGCTCCATTTTGCGTGCGCGTGTATGTGTGAGAGAGGCAGAGAATGAATTCTGCAACTTGGAGGGATAGCTTCTCCATCTTCTGTTATGTAGGTATGGCAGTTGTTTGCATGGATGAAATGCTGAAAAGGGGAAATATTCCCTGTGCCCCGCCCCCAGTCTCAAGAATGGACTTTTTTACATCGAAAGCTCCTAAAAGAAAGGTTAAATGGGTAGTTTTTATTATGATTGTTATCGCTACTACTACAATTTGTTACCTTCACCCTAAGGTCCTAGGACAAGTTAACAATTAAAATGCAACATTAATATTAAAACACACAGCAGAAACCCTTGCAACGTGCAGGCAGTGAATGACGAACACGCAGGTATTCCTTGGCAGGTGAATAGATACAGAAAGGGTTTTCTGAGTGTAAAAAAGGGGAAAGTTGACCTGAGGGGACAAGAATTTTTTTATGGCTCTTGGCAGGGACCTTTTTTTTTTTAGAAGGGGATAGGTTCTGATATTGAGGTTGCTCTGCAGCCTGAAACAAGGGATTTGGCCAGTAAAACTGTCCGAGCATTTATTTAAAACCAGTAATGGCCTATTATTGCTACCTAGATTTATTTTTATGTTGTTGTTGTTGTTTAGTCGTTTAGTCGTGTCCGACTCTTCATGACCCCATGGACCAGAGCACGCCAGGCACTCCTGTCTTCCACTGCCTCCCGCAGTTTGGTCAGACTCATGTTTGTAGCTTCGAGAACACTGTCTTTACAGCATTGGACTTTCCTTTCGCTTCCTCCCCTCCTCCCTTCTTCCAATACTAATGTTAGTATAGTATAGGTTAATCACATGCAAGCATAGGTTAATCACAGTACGATTCAGTATTTAAAACACCAAAGAGGGCTATAGATTGCTGCTAATTAGTGGCACACTGAATCAAGCCGAAAGAGGGTCTTTAAAACTGTTACCCAGGGAATGATTATTCATCGTTTAATTGACTTCAGGTTTTGGCAGCATGATTTTGGAAGACAATCCCTGTTGCCTCCAGGTAACTGGGTGTTAAGAGTGTGAACAGCTTGCAACTGTTGGAGACAAATTACAAAATGGTTTTATGAGGTGTCCAGAAAGGGCAAAGAAGTCAACTAATGGGACATTATTCATTGTCATCAAGAACATGTTGGTTTGTACTGAATTCTGGTTAGCCATTGCTATGTGGAGCATAGACACCTGAATCACAGGACATTACATTTAATACTTAGTAATGGTTCCATTAAAATAAATAATGTTTAATAGACATGTAAAACAAATTAGATCATTAAAAGGTTTAACTACTTTAAAACAATTTCTTTAACCTCTCCCTCAGGACCATAGCTGGGTATGAGTCCATGTGGGATGTGGTTGCCCCGGTCATCAATCTGGCTGCAGCTCTTTGAGCCGGCTGAAGTTTCTGAGTCCATGTGGGATGTGGTTGCCCCGGTCAGCAATCTGGCTGCAGCTCTTTGAGCCAGCTGAAGTTTCTGAGCACTTTTCAAAGGCAGCCCCATTACAGTAATCCAAATGGGATGTACCGGTAATTAAAGCATGTGCCACTGAGGCCAAATCAGACAACTCAAGGGATGGGATCAACTGGTGCACTAGGTTTAACTTCAGAGAGCTAGGCATTTATGCTCAGGGCTGAGTGCAGAAGCACACCCAAACTGCAAACTTGTGTCTTCAGGGGGAGTGTTACCCTGTGTTATCCAGCACAGCACAGAGAAAAATATTAAGTGGTGGTGTTGCATATTAAGGTTTTACTCTTGCGGTACAAATATTCAGGATTCTTTGTTTGAATAAGATAGATTGTTTCAAGGCCACCTGGTACTTATTTAAATAGTTCACGTCCAGAATGTGTGTCACCTATTTAAACAGTTTTTGTCTAGAATGTGTCATCTGCATTTAAAGTCACAAAGAACACTGATGCATCCTCTTGTTCTTTTTGCAGAAGGTATGAGCTGTATGAATAAAAATCATGGCTGTGCCCATATCTGCAAAGAAGCACCGAAAGGAGGAGTGGCCTGTGAATGCAGACCTGGATTTGAACTGGCCAGAAACCAGAGAGGCTGCATTTGTATGCAACATTCTACACTTACTTACGGTTTCTCAAGGCGAACAAGTAGAATTATGGCATTCCTGTAGCTGTTAGTTAATGTGAGGCTTCGTTTGCAAGCATGATGCTATCTAAAATTCAGTTTGGTGGGATGAGGTATTAAATTGGTAGATATTCAAAATGCCACTGTACAAAAACATCATTTCAGAGGTTGTGATGAAATGGCTCTTTTAATTAATAGCAGTTCCTAGAACAGTATCTACTTTACAGCCAGGCTCACCACAAGAGTGGCTGGGGAAACCCAGCCAGATGGGTGGGGTATAAATAAATTATTATTATTATTATTATTATTATTATTATTATTATTAGCAGCCTGGTTCTGCCTGTTGGGAATTCTTAAGTCCAGCCTACTCTCCCACCCCAAAGAGCAACCTATAAGCAGATAAAGCTGGAAGGAAGCACAATATTTCACAGTCACCCACATACACTGCTGGTCCCCTTTCTGTATCCTTTGTTTATGCTTGGTTCTCTCACTCCCTGAAGACTTTTTCTAGCCCACCTACTTCCTGGCTCCTAGGGAAACTGTGGGCTGTTCTCGGAGTGTTCTATGGTCTGTTACTGCAAAAATAGCAGAGCTCCTTAAGGCAATGAAGTTCTTTCTGCAGCAGACCATGGCACCAAAATTCTCATAGTCTTTAATGTACTGCAATATTTTATAACTGACAAGAAGTTAGTGTTGAGTTTTGACTAGCTCTTGATCAGAGCTGCCTCCTGGCAATGGATTTTTGCCAAATATAAAATTAGGAGCTACCTGTGTTCAGCTTTGAATTCAGATACACTGTTTTTAAGGTGAACTTCTGATCAGATACTTAGTTGTCCATGCTGTTTAGCTGTGTTAAACTACTATTCTTGGATCAAATATTCCTAGAAATATCACCTACTGAATTAGCATGATAGTTGTTTTTCATTGGTTCATCAATTATGAACCATTTAAATGAAATCAGTTCAAATGTAACACTAGTATAATTAATTTAATTTCATTTAATTTAATTGATTTAAATTGCTTCATTAATTATGAACTATTTAAATAAAAACAATTTAAATGTAAGGCTAGTATAGTATAATTAATTTAATTTCGTTAAATTAATTTAAATTGTTAAGTCAGTTAAAAGCAGGCATGTCAATGAGTGTTTAATTTGTTTGTTGCTCGTGGTTATAATTAACTTTGGTTTGGTAATTGTGTCAAAGTACATACACAACAGATGAAAATCTTGATAAAATACTTCATAGGCATGCCAAATGCATGGAGGGCAAAGATATAATATTCCAGATACAGTCTCCCTGAGCTGCAGATTTCCACAGGCTTTGCAAATGCTTCTGAAGCTCAGTTTTATGTCTTCTTTTTAGTGACTTGCAACCATGGGAATGGTGGTTGCCAGCATACATGTGAAGATGCTGATGATGGACCTATTTGTGGATGTCATCCAGAATACATGCTGCATTCCAATGGAAAAACTTGCCTTGGTATGTAAGCACTTGAATTCTTTTCAGTTAGACGAAATATGTATGACATCAGCCTTTAGCCATCTCTGCGTATTTTGCTCAAAAATGGCTGGCTGGTCAAACTGTACCTTTCAAAGTGAGAAACATGCCCCACATCTGATTAGGCAACTTTGAATGGTTGGTTTTGGAAGGAAAGGAGGTCTGCTTATAATAAAAAAACAATATAATGATCCTCCAGACTCCAATTGAGAAAAGAACTTTGCTGGAGTTATATTTTGTCCCTTTTGTTTTCCTTTAAAATATTTCTCCGTAGCAATTGCAGAGTTTTCATTGGCTTTACTGGGGTTTTCATTGGTGTTTGCATAACATAAGAAGCTGCTTTCAACTAAGTCAGATCATTGGTCCAACTTGCTCAGTATTGCTTGCACTGACTGCCAGCAGCTCTCCAGAGTTTCAGGCAGGGGACCTTCCCAGGCCTTGCTGGCGATGCCTGGGATTGAACCTGAGACCATCTCTGGGCAAAACAGACACACTATCCTTGAGCTACAGACCTTTCCTTAGAAAATTACCTTACCTAAACCACTTTGTGATGAAGATGTAAATTGTGCATTGGCTAGACTGTACATGCCATTGCTCTTCTGCATTCAGTTCTGCATGAACAATGTTCTCAATGCGAGTCAAATGGAAGGAGAGAGACTCAAAAGATTCTTTTAAGTATTACATGTGGAAACATTCTTTTTTTAAAAGTGTTATTCATTTTGAACAAGGTATACTCTTCAGTTGCTATATTCCAGCTTTGCATCTCATCCCACCAAGTCATGATGATGATACCTATCAGATCACACATGTCTTTCTACATTAGGATTTCAAGTTCATCCTGGCTTCCTATAATGGTTTGTTTGGGAGAAAAACACCATGGGCACTTTTAAGCCAGCCATGCCATTTCCCATTGGGAGAAAGGGACAAGTGAAGTGAGCGTATTGAGGCTGCTTGCACTAGCACACAGTTTATTCACAAATGAATTTACCTAACAATAGTTATTGACAGGCTTTATACTTGAACACGGCCATTGTGAATTGGACTCCTGTATGTTGACATATGATTCAAGCAAACACAGTTCAAAGTTACCCATGAGTTGGAGGAAATGGTGGAGATTCTTTCCTGAACCAAAATGTAGTACCTACTGCATGTAGGGCCAATTATGATACTACTTTTCTTTCACTTTTAAAGAGAGAGAGGAGGCTACAACTGAGCTCTCTGAAAACAATGCAACAGCGGGAGCTGATGTAGACAAGCGGGTGAAACGGCGACTGCTCATGGGTAAGAGTGCTCTAGTCTGATAGTTGACACTGATAACTTACCAAACCTTCCTTTGTGAAATGCCATTTCCCCAGTTTTAAGTGTTGTAGCTTATATGATTATTTTCAGCATCAGGAAACACTTTTACCCATTCTACTGAATAAAGTCAATGGGGATTTTGCTTGCTTTCATGCTGGTACAGTTTAGCATGGGAAATTCTCGGCAAGACAGTTCAATATTCCGTTGAACCATATATCATGTCCTTTCCCTTTGTCAAGTATCTCACAGATTCATGCAAATGCACTTACGCATTTGCACAGGGGATTATACCTTTCCTACTTGCACTAAGTTTGAAATCTGTAGTAGCATATAGAATTCAATCTTATCTTTATGAAAGGAGGTTCTTTGCAACTTAAGAGAGAATTTCCCCCCAGTCGTGTTATGTGGCTAATCATGTAGAAAACATGTACAATGGGGAATGATCAAGCACCCTTGATTAAAATGAAATTCTCTTGAAATAAAATAGGACTTGCCTTCAAATATTGTGCTTCAGGTAGTGTCCCAGACAAGGAGACTTTGTAAAGATACAGAAGATACAGTCCTAAGACTGTGATTTGAATCCATTCCACTTTCCGGTCTACTGGTCTGCCTTGGGGGGGAGGAATAGCCATATTTTGGGCCTTAGCTGCAGTTCTGCACAAAGGTCAGGAATTGAGTTCATTCACATTAATTTAAATTTCAAGCCTATTCATCTATTCTGCAGGATATGAGAATCCCTATCTTAATTTAAAGACCTTAAAATGTTATTTTCCTAATTAAGGCATGTTCTTTCTCTTAATTTGCTCCAAAAAAACCCCTGTGGCCTGCTGAGGATAATGTGGTTAAGCACACCCTCTTCTTTGATACAACCATTCACCTTCACTTGACTTAGAGTGCTCTTTTACATTTGAGTGAACAGGGTGCACCTTCTGTCATGGAAACATGAAGCCTGAGTCCATATCCTTTGGGTGAATGTAGTCAGTTGTCCACCCCACAGGATCTTATGCAGGCATCATGCCTTCACGTAGTTACCAACATGTGAAGTGAAGAGCAGGATGAGCTCCCTGGCCCTGCCCTCCCTGTAATATCTCCCATTGCCCAATCAGGAGTCTAAATTACAAAGTGCCTGACATGAGCATAGTAGGTTCCCTACTGCAGTCCTTTGCCCTCCAAAATGTGGAGGATGGCAGGACCAGCCACGGGGACCCAGCAGATGGAGTTGAGCCAGTGAGCGTGGCTTTGCTTTCCCCCTTCTTTACATTTGGCTACAGTTGTCACATCTTCTGTTGAAAATTTTTGAAGCTATAATTTAAGTTTTCTGTAGCAGAGTTGTCCATATCTTAATTTAAAATTGGCAAGTTAGAATGGAAGTAATTCAGTTGGAAAAGATCAAATACCACATGCTGCTTTTAAATTCTCTTTTAGTTTTTCCTTCTGCAAATGCCAGATTTTATTTCCTTTCCTTAGAAACATGTGCAGTAAATAATGGTGGCTGTGATCGCACTTGTAAAGACACCTCAACAGGTGTTCATTGCAGCTGTCCTCTTGGATTTACCCTTCAGTTTGATGGGAAGACATGCAAAGGTAGAGTTTAGACCTTTTTTTTTTTTTTTTTGCAATGTGCATATAGAAATTGCTGCTTTTGCAGCATCCCAATGAAAACCTTGCCATTTGTAACTTATTAAGAAAACAAGCAAAAAAATTGAAATGGGAAGCTCAGCTGTAATTTGCATATGGTCCTTTAAATAGTCCCCACTTTCAAACAGTTAGAAATGGGTGTTTAGGGTGTTCATACAGGGAGACACACAGGTCTAAAATACATAGTAAACATAACCCAGAATTGGCAATTGGCTGGGGGATCTTCGGCATGTGCATTACATTTTCTGACTTTTCTTCTGTTCATGTAGAACCAAAATGGGTTGGAAGAAGAACGTGTAAGAATGAACTACCCACCTTCCATCATTTAATTTACGACACTATATTTATCAGGCAAACCAATATGTCACAAAACAACGTGCAAGGTTTTTTTAGTTCCCCTTAACCTCTTGTTTCTGCATGTGTCACTGGTTCTGTGGGCACCTCCTCTTGAGGGCAGATAAATCTGCTTCCTCTGTGCCCCAGGAGTCATAAAACGATCCTGCCATACCTAATTCAGCAGAGCTGCCCAGCCGTGCCTGAGGCTGATAGACCAGAACAGTGAATCACTGAGAATTGTCACAGGCAGCTTCCTTTGTAGCTGTGTATTCTGGCCTCATAGGAACCTTTAATAAATTTATTTTATTACTTTATTGTGTTCATGCACACAGTGTATGAACTACAGGTTTAATCAGTGGGAATCTGACTTAAGCCTAGCGTGATAGTACTTTTAAAACTATTTTTAAACAACAACAATTTATTATTTGTACCCACCCATCTGACTGGGTTGCCCTAGCCACTCTGGGCGGTTTCCAGCATATATAAAAGCATAATAAAACATTAAAGCTTCCGTCTAAGGGGCTGCCTTCAGATGTTTCCTAAGTGTTATATGATTTAAATATTAAAATGTTATATAATTACTTGAAACTAGAATCCTCGTGGCCTGAATGGAAGAAATGATTGCTGTATAAGGAGATGGGAAGAGCACTCAGAAAATGGTTGATATTTACAGTATATACCTTTTTTGGGGATCTGTCAAGAAAAGGAAATCAAGCTTTGTATCCTTTGTTTCTTTATTCACAGATATTGATGAGTGTCAGGCCAGTAACGGTGGATGTGATCACTTTTGCAGAAACACAATTGGTAGTTTTGATTGCAGCTGCAAAAAAGGCTATAAATTATTAACTGATGAAAAGTCTTGTCAAGGTATGTGCAGGGGCAAGCAATAAAAATATAAATATGTTTGGAACAGTTTGAGCATGTAGGTTGTAATGAGGTGCTAATGAATTCCAGAAATAATGTTCTGGAGTTGAATTTATTTCATGACTCAGCTTCTGTCAGCTTTAGTAGGTGCATTAATCCATGTTTCTAGACAACCATTAATGAAGCCATCATTGACAATGACTTCTGCAAAGCAGAACTGATTACCAAGAACCCAAAACTCAATCCACTGTTCTTTATCTTTTGGTTGTTGTTTTTTTTAAGATCAGATGTAGCATGACAAATAGGAAATGTAGAATTTATGAGAGTTCAAGTGAAAGTACCATTTGAATACAGTTTGTTTTAGTATTAAGTCTCTCATCTTTCCACCTAATCTGTTTACCAACCACATTCTTGCTGGAACGATCAGTAGTTAGCTCATTATTTAATTAAAATTGTGCTACTATTCAAATTTGTGTTTGAAGTAGGCTATTTTTTTCTAAGTAAAATAATAATATGTTAACAGTTTAAAAACCTACACAAGTGCTAGTTGAATACAGTATTTTGTGCACCTACCTATTATTCATTTTTCTACCAATTACTTATCTTTTAATCCCTGATCTCAACCTCCATCTGGGTGTTGTCTATGTACAATGTTCACCTTTTGGCCTCTGTTTGGCTGGGTTATTGCTAGAAAATGTAAAAGGTAAGGTAAAAAGGTAAAGGGTCCCTGGACGGTTAAGTCCAGTTGAATTGCACTATGGGGTGCGGCACTCATCTCTCTTCAGGCTGAGGCAGCTGGCATTTGTCCACAGACAGCTTTCTGGGTCTAGTGGCCAGCATGACTAAACCACTTCTGGCACAATGGTACACCATGAGGAGTGCCAGAGCGCATGGAAACACCGTTTACCTTCCTGCCACAGCGATACCTATTTATCTACTCGCTCTAGTATGCTTTTTCGAACTGCTCGGTTGGCAGGAGCTGGGACAGAGCAACGGGAGCTCACCCCATTGCACATATTTGAACTGCCGACCTTACGATTGGCAAGCCTAAGAGGCTCAGTGGTTTAGACCGCAGCACCACCTACGTCCTGTTATTTCTAGAACAATGATTTCAGTATTAAATGTCATATAGCAGTTGTATTAGTACCAACAAGATGGTGTATTCGGGATAAACCAAGGCATTCCACACAAAAATGTATGGATGCCGATTGCCCTATTAAAATGGGAAGAGCCTCTTCTAGGGGGTGGTTGGGATTAGAGAACTGATAGGGGAGGGGGTGCTTACCACCTTCCCTGCCCATTTTTCCAAATTTCCTCCAGAGCAGTGGCCTCCTTTTTAAATTCAAGAAAATATTTATTAAAATCTGTGTTGGAGGAAGGAGCTGTTTTAAGAGGCAATGTGGAGAATGGAAATAGCAGGTGAGAAAAGGCACACCCTTACAGCTATTTCATTCTCACCTCCCCACACCTGCCTCCAAACTGTCTTTCCCACCTTTTAAAGGACAATCAGAATGATGTTACATGCATCTGTGTGTAATGTTTAGTTTGGCCCTTGCAATGCAATAAATACTACTTTTTTATTTTTCTCTGAGCAACTGCACCTTCCTTTCTTGCTGATTATTAGGAAGGTTGGCTGGCTAGGGAAAGTTTCTAAAGAACCTCAAGTTCCAACACCTCTATTTTTAGAAAATACCTGCTGGCTATCGACTTACTATATTTTGCCTGCCCAGAGATACAAAGAACCACTTTATTATTCTGCAGTCAGTGGCATTTTAATCAGTAGACCAATGTTTTCTACCGTTGTTAAGTCAGTAGGAAAAAGAAGAAGGAAAGTTAAGTATTGCTTGAGAAATATTGTTTCCTCTTTGCCTGGTCTCAGCTACCTTATAACAAAATGTTTTCAGTGGTCTAAAAAAGCATAAGAATTCACTTGAACAGCAGTTCTACTCTTTGGTTTGCCACATGTGATATACTAACTGTCTCATGGTGTTTTAAAATCCACTACTTTTTCAAAAAAACCGAGTACTTTTCTTTTCATCCAGCTTTCCTAGTATATAAATGTCTCCTAATCATAATGTGAAATAATGAAGTGTCCCTTTAAAAATTGCAGACATTGATGAATGTACATTTGAAAGAACATGTGACCATATATGCATCAATCATCCAGGCACTTTTGAGTGTACTTGCAACAAAGGATACACACTCTATGGCTTCACACATTGTGGAGGTGAGTGTATATATAAAGTTCTTGCTGGCATTCTTATTGCTTGTGCTGTCTTTAACATCTTTAACATCAATTGGAAATGTGGGTTTTAAACCCAGTGTTGCAGATTTTTCAGATGTTTGCCTTTCTCTTTTTTGGTCAGTTTGAAGCAAAAGACTACTAACTGTGTATTTATCATACATTTGCTGAAGTAACTTTTCCTTCTCACTTTTACTGGAAAGCAACTATGTCTATTAGAACAAACAGTTGCATTCCACACTTGGGTACTAAGAGAGAGGTTTTGCAGAATGGCTGCCTGCAAAACGCCCATTGGTTTCAGCAGGTATTATGCACGGTAGCTACCTCCAAGGCTAGGCCCTAATCCAAAAAGGTTTCAAAAAACAGATTATGTTTTTTAGTTTAGTTTTTAGTAATTTAGTTTTTTCTAACCGAAATACGTAGATGTAGCTTTGACAAGCTGAGTAAGTCATTTACAGTCTCTTATGGTTTTAAAATGTTTCTGTGGGGAAAGCCTGGGTCTTCAAGTCATTTTATTTTGGTTCCGACATAACATTAAACCAAACCGTGACACTTTACTCCACCTCTGGCTCTTCTGCTGTGAGTTAAGTCATGGTTTGGCTTAGCACATGGGTAGGCAAACTAAGGCTCAGGGGCTGGATCCGGCCCAGTCGCCTTCTAAATCTGGCCTGCGGACAGTCTGGGAATCAGCGTGTTTTTACATGAGTAGATAATGTGTCCTTTTATTTAAATGCATCTCTGGGTTATTTGTGGGGCACAGGAATACGCTCATTATTATTTTTTTCAAAATATAGTCTGGCCCCCCACAAGGTCTGAGGGACAGTGGACCGGCCCCCTGCTGAAAAAGTTTGCTGACCCCTGGCTTAGCATGTTGTCCAAACCTACACTTGTGGTTTGTTTTGCTCCAGACAAAGCACCCACGCTAAGCCAATAAGAAACATTGGTTGCGGCTTATCTAGAGCAAGACAAATCATGAGTCTGGGTTTTGTCATTTGTTATTTTGTAATATCTTAGTTTTGTATGCATTTATTTAGTAATGTATTTTGTTGTTTATCTTGTGCTATGCATCCTGGGTTCTTATGTCCTGGGCTCTTAGAAGAAAGGGTGATTAATAAAATAATATATATGCATATTTAGGTTCCCCAGGCTTCAGAACTAAGCTCACTTATTTGGCCCAAAATTCTATTGAATTTTGCAGGCTTACAATTAAGTGTGTGTGTGTGTGTGTGTGTGTGTGAGAGAGAGAGAGAGAGAGAGAGAGAGATCTTGCCACACTTTCTATATATACCATAGTCCAGCAGTAGCCAACTTGTGCCCTCCAGATTTTGTTGGACTCCAACTCCAGCCAACATATCCAATGGTCAGGGATATGGGTGGAGCTGGAATCCAGCAACATCTGGCAGGTGCCACATTGGCTACCCCTAGCATAGTGAATGTATTATTGTACCCAGCAGTAGTTTTGCATGTGCTACTCTACGCTGAGCACAGTAGGAACTGCACTAATTTTTTGGTTAAATGTCTCTCTTCCCCCACCCTATTCTGCTATAGATGTCAATGAGTGTAGCATCAACAATGGTGGCTGCCAGCATACCTGTGTAAACACACTGGGGGATTATGAGTGCCACTGTGATGCTGGCCACAAATTACACTGGAACAAAAAGGACTGTGTTGGTAAGATTCAAGAGCCCCCAATGGTTTTTACAACTTTGGTTTCCTGCACATTTGAAGCAATTTTGATAACAATGATCCACTGAGCACAGCAGTGTGGATCCGCATTATCACGGCCAAAGGCAGACAGTACTTTTTAAGAGCTGGAAGTGATCTGAAAGAGAGTGCACTTCTCTTATCATACATCCATGTTTCTTTTATCTCACTGTTGCATCTGGTGAACCAGGTTTCTGGAGCAGTCAAATATCTTTGGAATCTGCTTACCATGAGGTGAAAGTGTGATATTAGAGCAGTGATCCATCTTTCAAATTGCAGCCAGTCCTCTGAAAAATCTATTGTATGTCTTCAGCCTGCAGTACTATTTTGTTTCTAACTGGCCATCATGGCTGTCTGTCAAAGCTGGCTTAAAAACAAAACAAAACAGGAGATACTTTCAGGTCTTTGATGCTTTCTTTCCTGTGCTTTTAATCTGGGCTGTTTTTTCCTTTTGTGGTTGCCTGCATTAAAAAAACACCAATTTCAGTATTTTATAGAAAAGAGGAAATGTATATATACTGTTTGTGCCTTCCTTCTTCATCAATATTGATTTTGTGCCATGCATAGCTTCACTTTTGCATTTTAGAACCATATCTGTCATTAGTTTTCTTCTCCTGTGTGTATCTGTATTTTGCCCTATAGAAAGGTCCATGCCTGATGTCAGTTTACCCAAAATATCTCTGCACTGCATTAAGACTGATGGAAGCAATAGGTGTTTTTTAATCTGCCCCTCTGACATTCATCTGACCTCTGGTAAGTCATGCAGAACACAGTGATTATTTTGTTGTTGTTATTTCTAAGTAAAAGAATAGAAACCCTAGAAAAATTCTGGAAATATTCATTAAATCATATACCACTACCCATATGCACATTCTGTAGTATTCATCTCCTGCTACATGAATTTATACCAGATTTCCCTTGTGAAAATCACTTGGCAGACAAAATATTCAAAATAAATAAATATGCGTGCCAGACTTAGTGATGCGTCACTTGTGCCTTAGTACTGTAAGCTTGAGAATCTATTCAGAAACTGGATTGAGCTTCCAGGAATATATTTCAGTAGTATTCTAGTATGTGTTTCTGTTTTATTGTATAGCTTTATGATCTGTCTCTTAGGCCTTGAAGATTCCTACAATATAAAATGTGGCAGCCCTTCTCCACTTAAGAAAAAAAAACAAAATGCCAGTGAGTCAACTGCTCTAGGTAAATTATCTGCTATATATTTTTCCATCTTGGGCTTGGGCTGGTTTATATCTTTTAAGGGTTCTGCTTAATCAAAGAAATTGTGGTCAATTTCTAAATTTGCATATGAATAAAACAGTTATGCAGAAAATACTCACTTTATTGTAGCAGGTACCCTCATAGAAGAGGCATTTCCTTGTAAGGAATAAAAAAGGGGGTGTTTTTTAAGATGGCACTGCCAACCTTGGATTCTGCAAGTGCTTTTATTGGCAATTTTTTGAAAAAACCAATCTGCTTCCCAGTTAATCGGGGGCACTTTTTAAAACTGATCCTAAGGTTTTTAAACAATTAACGGAAGAAATGTTGCAACCCAAGTTTTGTGCTGCTGTTTTGTTAAAAAGGGCAACCAAACTAGAGTAGCCTTTTGTAGATTCTTGAAGACAGTGCATAGTTCAGTGGCAGAGGGGAAGATCTCAACTTCATTCATAGGTATCTCTTGTAAAATCATCTCAGGTTAGCAGGGTTTGGAGCAGTCTTTGGCAGTGACTTGTGCTCAGGACGCATAGTGCTGGTCTAAGTGGATCATTTGTGTGTTTCAGTGTAAGGCAGACTTTACGAGTGGCACCTTTAATGAAACGTGTTCCTATTCAGTCCTACAGGATTGTCATTGCTACCATTTTCTGTTCTCCATGCTCCACTTGTCAGTTAGCATCCCATGGCCACCATTAAGCACACTCAGTCCTTGTTAAGCTGTTTCCCCACCCCAACATAACCCATCGTTCTCCCCTAAAGATTTTTTGTAGTTCTGCAAACTTTGGGATTTTCCCAAAGCCTGGTGATACATCCCTCATTTGTGTAAGCTTTGGATCCAAAAGCAACAGCATTCACACATGAAAATAAGAAGTAGAAGGGATGGTTCTGCTTTTAAATGCATTAGGGATGCTGCTATACAGTCTACCAGTTGCCAGGAATAGTATTCATATGGCATAAGTGGAGCAGATGAATTGCAGATTTTGTCTTTGTTTATTAAGTTTTAAAACACCCTTCATCTGAAGATTTCAGGGCAGTTTGCAGCATAGAAATACAAAATAAAAACACAAAATACATAATAAAAACAAAGAAAAAAGAAAGAAACCCCCCAAACACTTTTAAAAGGACATAGAATGTTAATCAGCCAAAGGCCTGGTTGGAGAGGGACATTTTCCCTTGGCGCCTAACAATGTATAATGAAGGCACCTGGCGAGCTTCCCTGGGAAGAGCATTCCACAAACTGCTTATTGATTTGCTTTCACTTTATGTGAAAGCTCTTTCTCTTGGAGAGAGAAGAAGGTTGGTCACTTTTTATTTTCAAAGTGTTGACGATGCAGTGTTTGAAAGCCACCTGAGTTACCCACTTGGTTTTACGTCCTTGCATAGGAAAGTAACAATTTTAATGTTTCTTCCTGAAGATCTTTCTACCATCAGGACAAGCGTAACCTTTAGATTTAATGAAGGAAAATGTAACTTGAAAAAGAGTAAGATGTTTCAAGATGCCCTTCATCATATAATACCAGGTATGGATGAATATGCGTGATTAAAACGGCTTAATTTTGTAGATCAGTAAATGCTAGAGGCTCCCAGTGGTGTGTGATGTGTAGTTGTAGTTACTTTTTGAAGGACCTTGGTAATGTTTGGTCATGATCATGCACTATAGATACATGATTAGTCAGAACAATATTATTCTGCTTCCCTGCAACCGCTCTGTCCAACGGTAGGGCCACAGGACAGGTCCAGGCCTCCTTTCACTTCTGTTGCTATGTGGTGCTCCAGACCTCCGCACCTAATAACCCATTGTTAGGTGCCAGGTGGGATATGGAGCCAACACCCATCATGGAACGGAACGCATATATAGCCTAAGGTGAGCTGAGTTTGAAAATAGCTTCAGCTGCAGAAGAATCCAATGGGAGGAGTTTAAGATTATTTTTCTATAGCTTGATACTCTACAATAATTTCTGTAGCCAGTCATAGGCAAGGCTGCGTGAGGGATGGTCAGGTGAAGAAATGGACTTTTGAGTCCCAGACAAAAGAGAACGGGGGGCCGTGGCAAGAGTGCAAAATAGGAACCTTTGCAGTCAGAATGTGTGCTTGTACATCAGGTGTGTAATGGGGAAGGCTTAAAGATTAGAGAGCATTACAGTTTAATGAACCATGGTTGGAGAACTTCAGATTACCTATCACGCTATGTTACAGGGCAGTTAAGGGGGAAGGGGGACATATGGGCAGTCTAAATGGGATCTGTCCCAAAGGCTAGTGATTATGTATGTGCATCACCAGGAAAAGTGTTGAATACATCTTGACTGACTTGATTTCTTGTTGATGCAAGGGTACACAGCTCAGCCCATGTTTGAGGTGCCGCTGTAAATTTTTCCAGATCAGTTTGCTGACAAGTGACGCAGTAAATGTCTGGACTCCCAAACACGGTACCTAATCACAAGTCTAGGGCCACCTGGATACGTTTCCTTTCATTCTTAAAAGAAACGCAATATGTGAGCAAATGCTTAGAACTATAGCCATGCAAATCTTCCTAGTAGCAAACTGACTGAGGTCCTGGCAGTCCAAGTTTGAACTTTTAATGGTGTAGAGCTTTGTCATAGCTGGTTTAAGCGTGTAAAAGGAACAATGGAGCTAATTTTCAATAAACTAATTTGGGCAGCATTAAGACCTTGGCACTGGTTTTAGTCTAATGAAATAGAAAATGTGTCCAAATACCAGACTGTACCATACACCATCGAGTGCAGTTGCTTGTCGTTTGTTAGCATCTGGAATGAATCATACAGCCCCATAACCATTTTCTCGGCAACATTTATCAAGCCTTAGAAAGGCCCTACAGCATAGATGGCTCTTGCTTCCTTTAATTTTCTTCACACAGAGAAACATAATTCAGTAATGGAGAAGAACTTCTACTATGTAAATCTGACGTGCAGTTCTGGCAAGAGAACTCTTGGAGACCTCAGCAGCTTGAAGGCAGCTAGAGAAATGTTTATATCTGCAGACTTTGAGCTTGAAACAAACCAAAAGGAGGTGACAGGTTGGTTGGAAAGGAACCCACAATACAATTGAAAGATTATGGGTTTGAGGGAGCTTTGTTGCAGTTTGTTCCTTGATTTCTCTCTCTTTCACTTTCACCTTCATGCAAAAAGAAAAAAGTATCTCCTGTTTTAAAGCTTTAATATTCATTTCCCCTATGGTCAGAAAGCTACTATCACTAGATGTTCACCATTTAATTGCTGTCTGTTTTGAGTATATTGAAAAGTTTAACACAGAATAATGTATTGCCGTAGTTAATACAGTCTATCATTATTGTACTGACAGCTCTTTTGAATCTAGTATTGTTGCACTTTAGTGCTTTCTGCTCTTGATCGCGACCACCTGTACCTTTCTAGAAACATGCAATCTGAGCTGTGCACGTAAGAGGACTGAGAAAAGACTTCGTAAAGCAATTAGAACGTTGCGGAAGGTGATCAATAAAGAACAATTCCATATTCGCCTGTCTGGTGTGAATCATGATGTGGCCAGAAAATCTGCCAGGGTGCTGGAAACACAAGAAGTCTGTGGCCTGGGTCAAAGGCATGTGGGCAACAAATGTGGTGAGCACAGATGTGATCAGATGCGTTGATCTAACGCGTATGTAACAGTGACAGAAAGCTAAGAAAGACCAGAGTCTGGTGATGCAGTGCAGTGGAATTCCACCAGAGTGGAGCGTCTCGCAAAGTGCTGAGCGGGGAAACCTCACTTTGATTGGCTGTGGGTACAGATAACCCAAGTGGGGTGGAGACAGGAAAAAGAAACCATGATTTAGCTTTACGGGCATTAGCAGGAAGACGCCACCATGAGTCTTGGGCTCACACATTTCTACCTTCCTCTTTTTTTCCCTTCCTGCACAGCTGAGAGGTGAGCTTCAACAGTGTTTAACTTCACTTTCCATAAAACCTCATATGACCTTATGTATGGAACAGAAACTTTTCAAACTGCAAATTCTAGTCAGTTTCAGAGCAAGCCATCTTCAAACCATGAGTCATATATTAAACCACAATCTCTGATTTGTGCAACATGACAAGCGAGGATTAGTGGAAAGTGAGAATAAGTTCTGCTAAAGTCCTCATTGCGGCCAATTGCGGGGGAGGTGGCAGGGGAAGTGTGTGAGCACAAGACTCAGGGTGACTCTTTCCTTTTCATTTCTGTAATGCTCAGCTGTGGCATCCAGTGGGCTGGCTGCATGAGGGCTAATAAACCGTGTGAATAGGCTGTATTTGTATCCTTCTGAACTCCGTAAATTTAGAAGGGCAAGTGTTTCCCAGTTTTTACCCTCTCTATATTCATAAACGAATCTCCCCTTCACACGGTAAGTTGTTAACTGTTGCAAGTATAGGCATGTGAAGCACACATTAGGCATTTGCGCAGACTTTAAATGTTTAGTAAATCTGATCCTGTTATTTTAGGTTTTATTATCTATATTATGATGTTGTTAGGATGGTGTTTTCAGTGTTTGCATTTTAATGTTGTTTGATTTTAACTTCCATCATCAGCGCTGATTTTTTTAAAAATTGTGTTATGGGGCACAAATGCGTCTTTCAGTCAGTCTTTGTTGTACTGTAAGCATATAAAGTGACACTTCACCAAAAGAACATTAACTTTCACTGTGGCTCAGTTTTATTTTTCCTAAAAAGAAGAAAAAGTGACACAAAGAACTTTCTGTTTAGAAATTTCCCCCCCTGCTGTTTTTTCCCGTGTATCTGATTCCCAACATCTTGCAACTTTCTTTCCTTTCAAATGAAAAGATATTGAAAGAGGTGCTGGGGGAGAGGGGAATAAATTTTCCAAACCAGAGATAAATAGCTGGCTATTCTGCCAACCTGCTGCTTAAGGAATAATAGACTCAAGACCTAACTCCTAATGCGCATAATTTACCCATATGACCACAGCTTGTGAACCAATAAACACCAACACAAAAAGATCCTAAAACAATACAGAGGGCTGCTTAGAAATAAGTTTCCATCGGGTTTTTGTGTTTTTCTTATAAAGTCAGGGCATGGCTCTTAGGGGAACAGTTAGTTGTGGATCACGACCTCTTTTATGAGGCTCACCTTTTTCCATCATGGAGACACTATAGAGTTTGTCCATGGCATCAAAATCTTAAAGGCTAAAAGTATTGAATAGAGTGAAAGAGCCTTTAAATGTCCTTATAACTACTATTCCTGGCTCCCTGGAGTTGCCTTTCTCCCCCTCTTTCTTTTGCATCAGAATAGCTTTCACTTTTTCAAAGAGTTGCAGTGATTAAGAATAGGATTTTAATGGTCACTGAAGACAAACAAAGACAGTGGTTATAGGAATGAATCCTGCTGAAGGCAAATGGTTCTTCAGCTCATTTGAAGGAAAACAAGCAGGTTGTGGGGAAATAAAAAGCAGGCAAAGAAACCTTGCTGAATCCTTGATGTAGTGCCATTATTTCCAAGTCGTTGCTCTTTGTTGTGAAAATAGACTTTTTTTGTACTGTGTGGCACACCTTGTGCTTTATTCTGTGGGACTAAAACTTTGCAGCTTAATTTTTAAACTAATATTTGTACAGAAGAATTTAAGGCTGCGGCGACATTTTTATTTCAGTTTTTGCTCCATACAGAGTGATCAGTTGTGCTTCAGTAGCTTTAAAAATGTGCACACTGACACACCCACCCTTTGATTTTCAGGGAACTGGACACATCATAGAGGATAACGTTTCACAAGCAAGCATTGACCTTAAATATTTCTGAAAAGACTTAGCTCATTTATAGTGTGGCCATTCTAATGAATGCTACATAGGGGTCTCTTTTAATAGGATGGAGATGGAAAGGGTTATATTTTACAGCCATGGAAAGAACTAGTAAGGACTATCTGACTGGGAACCAGTCCTCTGATAGGATACATAACTCTGCAAAGAATGGTCAGAAATATATAGTCCTTATTTTGAGGGGCGTGGAGGAGTAAGACAAGGAGATGGGCAGGGTGCTAATAATATAAACAAACAAACAGTTTTAGGTCTCTTTCCCAAACATACCAATTGAGAGATTGTTTCTGCTGCTTCTGTTCAAACTATTAAATATGCAAAAGCCCAGACAGTAGCTGTGGATAGTTAGTCAAAGAACTTTGAAATCCCAATGATTTTGGCAAGAGAGGGTCACTCTACTTCCTTTCACTGAAGTGAAATTAAACAGTTGCCTTATACTTCAGTAGTCTAGTTAGCCAAGTATTCTATGCTATAATTATCCCAGAGAAGAGGAGTTTATCAATCAGTCCTGTTACCAGTTATTTAACTTGAAGCATTTTCACTGACCTATGGTTCTGCCACAATCAGAGAGCAAAAAGACTTAAAGTCCATGTAAGCCAACCCCTCACAAAGCAGGACAATCCATTTGTGTTTCTGTAGATGGTTTTGAAAAACCCGAGAGCAGTCTTCTTGGAACAGAACAGATGATCAAGCCTTTACTTGAGGGTCAATTTTTCTATCTATAGGGAAAGTAGAAGCCTTCCCCTGTATGTGACCAGACAGAAAATTTACTTCCTGACCCTAAATATGACCATGAGGCACACAGCATGAAAAAAACATCCCAAAGTAAAAAATAATGGGACTCAATTCTCTGCCTCCTGGTATCCCCATTTCCACCCATCCCATAGAAGATGATCACCGATTCATTGTTGCTGACAGTTTCTCTTCTCTTCTTAGCTAGCTGCAGTGTTGGAACATATTACGATGGGGAGCAAGAAAGCTGCATTCTATGTCCGAATGGAACTTACCAAGACAATGAAGGCCAAATAACTTGTGAACCTTGCCCAAACCCACAGAATCCCGGAAACCAAAAAACAGCTGGAGCTCACAGTATATCTGAATGTGGAGGTGAGGATGTTGCACCTTACAGAGTCATGAACATTATTGCTTCTTCCTCCTTGGTATGATTTGAAAGCACCCATTAGTTCAGCCTTCTTTTCTCACATGCCATGTTTACATTGGTCTGGACAGTGTCTGCGCTGCATGTGTATGCAGGTTTGGCGTAGACAGCGATCAATATGTATATGGGTGTGGATACATTTCATTACTGTACTCGCCTTCCCAGTGTTGTTTGCACTGATGCATCTGGAGATAACGTGGAAATGTAGCCTGAAGAGAGGTAAAGTTGCAAGCTTCCAGTACATCCTTGCCATGTGCTTCTTTGATCAGTTCGGTATCAGATTCTTGCACCAGTTTGGGGGAAAGTGGAAATAAAAGAAAACTAAGGAACAGTCTTAGGCGGAAGGAAGATGACCCGTGCTGGCTATAGCACATCAGTTTCCATTAATCTAAATTTGTCCAATATTTTACGATATTTCAGACACTGTAATCTGTGCAACATTCTGTATCTGGAAAATGTAGTTTACTAAGAGGAATAAGACATTTCGCTTTTTCTCTCTTTTTTTGCCAGACATATAGAACTGTGGGCAATGATAAAATATTCTCCTATACAGTTTATACATTTATGTCAACATTGTTTTAAAGTGTAGCTAACCAAGGATGCTATAGCAGCAGATTTCCTGCATTGGCAGAGATTTGGGCTAGATGACCTCCCACATCTATGATTCTTTGTCATACCTTAACACATATGAGTCAGTTTGATTTTAAAGAATGTAGAGGAATATAAAATATAATAGAGGAAAGGGGATCCTGTAAGACTTCTCAGCTCTCCTAAGATAATTACTGATTTTCTTACATTATTTGTACAATGGCAAGATTTGCATTACCAAATTCCCCTGAAGTTCTGCTTGTAGGAAATATCCAGGGAGCAGTCAGGAAGAAAAAATATATTCAGAATTTAATTGTGGCTGCCAGTATGTATGCATGCCCAGACTCTGGAAAAGATCAAACTGTGTCTGATGTCAAAAGTTGGTTAATAAGAATCTGGAATGTTGCACTTAGGGGAAATGAGCAAGCTCTGTTATATTAAGGGAGCTCAGGATTCCTTTGTATAAATAAAACTGCATCCTTTTATATAGGAGGATCACAGACCTGAATTTGGTTTTGAGAAGGCACTTCCTTCTGTTGGGAAAAATGTTTAGCATAAATATTTGAAGAGCTACAGTAGTGATAAATTCTGTATTTTTATTTATATATTTTTCTTGTGCTTATATATGCTTAATATATTATGGATAAAAAGGTCATTCACCAATTATTATTAATAAGAGAAAGGAAGGCTTGTTTAAAATGTTTCTCTGTGGCATTCTAAATTTCTGTGATCCTGGGAGCTTATGGCAAGGAGATGCGGTCAGTCATGAAGTTCTCTACTCTAAAGTACAGTGGTACCTCAGGTTACATATGCTTCAGGTGACATACGCTTCAGGTTACAGACTCCGCTAACCCAGAAATAGTACCTTGGGTTAAGAACTTTGTTTCAGGATGAGAACAGAAATCGTGCTCCGGTGGTGCAGCAGCAGCGGGAGGCCCCATCAGCTAAAGTGGTGCTTCAGGTTAAGAACAGTTTCAGGTTAAGAACGGACCTCTGGAACGAATTAAGTTCTTAACCCAAGGTGCCACTGTGTAGTAGTTTCCAGAAATTTTCTACAATATGATGTTTTAGGATAATGTAGTTTGCCTCTTTATTGATAGAGCAAATGGATATTGGTAGGTGATATGACATGTCTTAAAACTCTCATCACAGAACAAAAGAATAAATCCATATCCATTAGATAGTTCACATTTTAACAGCTCTGTAGCATTCAAACCTGTATGTAACATGCATTGGCTATATTTACAACCTCAAAAGAAAAAGTGTTGGAGGGGAAAAATGGGTTTTTGATGTCATGACCTACGGGTCAGTATTTAAGCATGCAATTTTCTTTCTTCCTTGGTGCATTAAGCGCATACAGCTCCATGCTTCTTCTTTATTCAGAAGCCAAGGCGGCACTCCCTATTAAACTCAGTTCATTAGCTGTAAACAAAATTCCTCATCCCTGATCATGACCAGTTAATGCCTTATTTGCTGCAAACTTAAATAACTTGAAATGATGCCAGGGCCAATTTAACCCCCCCCTAACAAAAACAACCATTCATTGAAGTGATTTATCAGAGCTATAAACCAAAACTAACAGCTTTAGTTTTACCAGCTCTTTAAAAGGACAGAACTTCACAGCTTAGCCAAACAGCTGCAGCAGTAATCCCATGTCTTGCAGAACAGTTTTAATCATTCGGCCTGCCATGGCAATCAGCTTGCTGCAAGTTTGGAAGACATATTGCTTGGAGATTTACCGTACCTAAAGAAGCTGCAGAGGATGGATATGTGTATATAATCAGTTCCAGTAGGTTAGCTCGGTCTGTATAGTGTATCGGTACCAAAGCAGTTTAGGAATGGAGGAGATAATACTAAAGGCTCAGTGATAGGGCCTGGACCTAATTTTTTCTACATGGCTTATTAGACATTCCATGACTGTGTCTGAAAGGTACGTTGCATGGGGATATGAAAGGTACATGAAGAGGTCCTATTCCTCATAGTAGCCTGTTGTGGTGCCTGGGTGCAGGTGGGGAGGAGAGTAGGGGCACTGGGCTCTATTTTGCCTGACAGAATTCCTCTGTATGTGGGTGCTGTACCCATGGTAAAGTGAATGCATTTCTAATACTTTGATTAGTAATGCCAGTTTAGTTCAGAAGTGTGCTTTACAGACTCTAAAAGGAGGCTTTTCAAGTATCATGAAAACCCTGCATTTTCTCTTTGCATTTGGACTTTCCATTTCTGGAAGGATAAATTCACAATGTAGTCAGTTAAGTGGTTGGATCTGGATTTTGCCTTAATGGAACATCCTAAAGTTATTAGTACTTTCTAAAAAGAAATACAAGAATTAGCTATGGATCTACAATGTAATAGAATGGCAACTGCTGATTTCTCGTTCCAGGATTAGGTAACTCTCAGAATTGGATGCATGTCAGTGCCCAGATTATGACACCTATTTAGCTGCAAGTTCCTATTTTTATTTTGAACTGCATTTAGTTCAGATTTTTAATAACTATCATTTTCTATCTTGCAATAGGACTTTCCACCAAGTGAGGCTCCAGTATATTATAGGCTTGCCAAAAAAAATCCATGGCTTATAGCAGTGGTTTTCATCCAATGTGCTGTGGCACCCTGGGGTGCCTTGAATGGTCAGGGGTGCTGCGACTAACACTGGCCTCTGTCCCTCTTTCCTTCCATCCCTCCTCTGATGCCCTCTTGCATTTCTGCATCCCAAAGGCTTGCACAGCTGTTTGCTGCAGTGGCCCTGGCTACAAGCTCCCTAGGTGAATGGTGCCTCTGGGGCTGACCAGGGGGTGCTTCCCAGGCCCCTGTGGGGCAGTAGGAGACGGCACCTCTCTTGGGGGGGCAGCTCTGAGACTGGGGGTGCAGGTGCAGCTGCCCAGAGGACTCCCAAGGAGAGGAGGCTGAGGGTGAGAGGCTGCCAGCTCTGCAGGCAAGAGGTGACATAACGGCTCCTGAGCCCCACAGGTTACCACAGAAAGAATGCAGTTGGTCAAGGGAGCCGTGGACTCAAAAAGGTTGAAAACCTCTGGCTTACAGTAATGTATATTCTCTCCCCTCTCCCACAGGACAGTGCTCACCAGGTGAATACTCAGTTGATGGATTTAAACCTTGTCTTTCATGTCCTTTGGGGACATATCAGCCTGAGCCAGGTCGAACATCTTGTTTTACCTGTGGTGGAGGTTTGATGACAAAACTTACCGGTGCAACAGTGTTTCAGAATTGTGAGACTAAAGGTAAGAACCATGAATGCACGAGGAACATAGGCAACCACACTCTTCATTTCCACCTTTTAAGGGTGAAAGCATTCCATTCAACTGCAAATATGAAAGTTGGAGATCTATTCTATTACTTAGAATACTGATCTTGTTTAATAGCCAGAAGAAGTGCTCATTCTCACAATAAAACTCACATTCACATCCGGTGTCAGGAACAACATGGTGTCGCCATGGTGGCAATAGCCGTGCCTTAGATAACCTCATTGGCTACGATGCTGCCACTGTGCAAAGCAGGTGACATTTCCTGCCGTGGACCTTGGTATCACCTTTAGGCCTCACTCTGATAAGTAGCAGGGCTGCTGATGAGCTCTGAGGCAAGGGAGTGGGGCTGAGCAGCTGGAAATCACTCAAAGCATGCTGGAGGCAAGTCCTCCCTTTTCCATTCATACACATGGCCCAAAGTGCTTGTTGGGCAGGGACTAATTGGAAAGAACATATTCAAGCAGGATAGACTAATCCTCAGGACTTTTTACTTTATCAAAAGTGGGAAACCTGAAGCTGTCCAGATGTTGTTGGGACTCCAACTCCCAGCACCCCTAGCCAGCATAAACAATGGGAAGGAATTTGGGGCGTTGTAGTCAAGGCCGTAGGTTCTCTAACCCTGCCCTACCTATATGGACTTCACTTTCTTAAAGGAATTGCATGCACACACCACACATATACCTTCTTGTGTGGTGAATACATATTTATTTTGCCAGATTCGACATGCACTGAAACTTCCTGCTAAGTGATAGATGCCCACAGTGTGAACTCCCAAGTGAAATTAGCATATACATTCTTCATCTGTGGCAGTGTGCATGTCAGATGTACGCAGTTTTTCTGTGCAGAAAATTAGTCTTGGATGAAATGTCATTCAGTGGAATGGCTGCAGTTAATCATGTCACAGTTTACCAAAGCTATTGTAGCATGTTGCTTGTTCACCTCCTTCTACAGTGCAGTGCTCACCTGGTCATTTCTACAACACTACAACACATCGTTGTATCCGCTGCTCTGTTGGAACATACCAGCCTGAGTTTGGACAGAATTACTGCATTTCATGCCCTGGAAACACAACCACTGATTATGATGGATCAACAAATGTAACTCATTGCAAAGGTAAATATTGATAATGTATGTTGTAGTCAGTCCAGAATGAAAGGACCTAGTACCAACTGCAGTGGGGATAGATGCTATTGGTCTTTCCTTAAGTGAGCAGAAGCCATATCCCCACCCAACAGCAATCACTCCTTATTAGCCATATCCTGCTTTGGGACGTAGGCTTTCCTAACCTGACTTCATTGCTTTCTTTGGTGTCAGTCTCCAAGTAGCCCTTATCAGTGGACATAGGAAGGAGCTGTTGGTGTCCTCTCCAACAGCCTCTGCTTCAGTTGTGCCAAGTTCTAGGCCGTAAGGCAGTTCTTCCGGGCCAGGCTTTCTCTAACCACTAAACCAGCCTTTCCAGAACTGATGCCATCCAGATGTTTTGAACTACAACTCCTATTGTCCGTGACCATTGGCCATGCTGGCTGGGGCTGATAGGAGTTGTAGTCCAAAAATCTGAAAGGACACTAGGTTGGAAAAGGCAGCTGCAAATGCCTCCCAGATAATACCAATTTCCTGCTTTTTCTGTCATTTATTTCCACAGACAAAGCTGTACTGTATATGGATTTTGCTCCTTTGTTTTTAGTCATCTTGAAGCAGCTACTCAAGAAAAATGGTCTAAGGAATAAAAGATATGCATGATTCCTAGATAGTAGCCAACGTAATTGTATCAGTTGTGATTGCTGCTGGTGGCATTGCACAGGTGTGAATATTGCTTTCCCCTCTGCCCTGGCTATGGGTAACATATTTCCTTTTTTCCAGACAGGCACTGTGGAGGTGAGCTTGGAGAGTTTACTGGATACATTGAATCCCCAAACTATCCTGGAAATTATCCTGCAAACACAGAATGTACTTGGAGTATAAATCCTCCTCCTAAACGCCGCATCCTGATTGTGGTTCCGGAAATATTTTTGCCAATAGAAGATGAATGCGGAGACTACCTGGTGATGAGAAAAAGCTGTAAGTTAAACTAGGTTTCCATGTCAGGTATATGAATGTATTTCTCCTGATGGATCTTTGCTACATTTTGTCTGTGCCAAAGCAAGTCCCGTGAAAATCTAGCTCTAAAATGTAGTATAACAGCCTTCGTAACAATAAATTCCAGCCATTATGGGTGAAACACACACACACACACACACACACACACACACACACACCACCGATCAGACATATTTTAGATTTAGTGGGGAACTACAGGGTGGAGGAGGTAGGGAATTCATCTTATTTTTTTACACAAATATGCTTGCCTTTCCTGGGGTGTACATCTACCAGCTGGTTGAGTGGAGCCAGAGAGCAAATGATCTGCTGATGGCTGCAGTCACAAGACCACTAAGTCCTAAGATGAATGGGCTTTTGGCAGCAGCAAGCAGAGTCAACCATTGAAAATGTTTCATGTGGGAAGAAAAATAAGAATCCCTGTGACTTACGTGTGTGGGGTGAATAACAAAAGGACCGGGGTGCCTGAATTCAAAATGCAGGGCTAAATTAAGTCTCCAGCGGAAATTCCAAGTAGCAGAGTTTAAACTCACCAAGTCAAGCAGCACAGTGAAGTGTTAGGAATGTAGGCTGTTAAACTTTTTGCAAATCCAGTTTAGTTCGCTTTGTGAATTGGTTCCCTCTTTCTACCACCCTTTGCATTGAACAGACTATATATACTGTATATACTCTGTTAAGTAAGTTTTAAATGCTTTAAATGTTACAAAACATTCGAAAGGTCAGATTCATGCATTTATCCAAGCAGCAGCAAGGAGAACACAGGCAGAATAGTCTTGGATAAAAACATTCAGTTACAAGCTGTGGAGAGAAAGGGAACAGGAAAAGAAGGCTTCGCTTCCTCCCTCTTTGGAGAAGGGGCATGACCTAGCTGAGTCTAGGAACCCAGCTCTATTGTTGTAACCCCTTAAGCACTCGTACATATTTGTGTTTGGCAGCAATTTCCCACTATTTAGCCTAGGCATAGGCAAACTCAGCCCTCCAGATGTTTTGGGACTACAGTTCCCATCATCCCTGACCACTGGTCCTGTTAGTTAGGGATCATGGGAGTTGTAGGCCAAAAACATCTGGAGGGCCGAGTTTGCCTATGCCTGATTTAGCCTTTGCAAATCTAATGGCCCCCCGCTCTCCATTCTTGTAGCCGCTTTCAATCCACCAGCGTCTTGCTGCCACTAGTTTTGTTGAGCTCAGGAGATCCTGAAATGTAGTGGTCTTACAGCACTGATAGCATGCCTTTCCAATCAATGGAGATACTTTGGCTATGTACAGTGGTGCCCCGCAAGACGAATGCCTCGCAAGACGAAAAACTCGGTAGACGAAAAGGTTTTGCGTTTTTTGAGTCGTTCCGCAAGACGAATTTCCCTATGGGCTTGCTTCGCAAGACGAAACATCTGGCGATTTCTTGCGAGTTTGTTTCCTTTTTCTTAAAGCTGCTAAGCCGTTAATAGCCGCTAAGCCGTTAATAGCCGCTAAGCCGTTAATAGCCGCTAAGCCGCTAATAGCCGTGCTTCGCAAGACGAAAAAACCGCAAGACGAAGAGACTCGCGGAACGGATTAATTTCGTCTTGCGAGGCACCACTGTACACATTAGCTCCCCCCCCCCCCAGCAGCATTTCATGCTGCATTTGCACATTACTATACACACCAGAGGGGGCATTACCTGTTTGGTTTCCTTATGCATGCAACTCCCCAACTCCTATTCATGAAGCTGTGATCTGTGCTTGTGCAACAGTTGTTTCAAATTTTCACACCTCAGCTAAACTGCGGAGTGAAAGTGGCTTCTGTTTTCAAACTGAATGGAAGCTGGTTTGAGGGGAAATGCATTAAACAGTATTTCTCAAGAAACTACAGGAGAGATGGGTTGTGGCTCATGTCATGTGTGCACAGCTTCAGACACCTGCAGCCGGAATGCACAGCCTTAGTATAACTAACTAAAAACAATACCATTGTTTTTGGCATTAACTAAGTTTCATATACACATCCAAGAGCAGCCTTTCTGAATGTACTGTACTCAGCTAGTAATCTAAGCATTTAGGGAGGCGTAGAAGATTTTACTCCTGCTGAATTAAGTGAGTTTGGAAATAATATGATATTTTTACTGCTTCAGTCATGGCTTGCTACATGCTGGGCCTGTTCTTGTTGATGCAACACTTCATTTTCTTGTGCTGATGGCTTGGCACAGCTCCTAGGCAATAGATCTTTAAAAGCTAAAAATAGCATGTTTATGGAGCCAAATTGTATCTTTGGAGTGTAATCTTGACGTGTGCTTTGCCAATGACCTCAACAGAGCCAAAGGTTCTCATATGGTGCATTGAAACAGGAATATTGATTGCAAGCCTGAATTACACCACCATTTCTGTACTGTTCCTTCTATACTACCTTTAATAATAAACCCTTATATTTCGCTTTCAGTTGCCCAAGGTGTTCACATGCATTATTTAGTTGCAATCTTTACAAAAACCCTGCATTTTTATTATTTCCTCCATACTGAAAATTATTATTATTCCTCTTGTATTGTAGAATGGGTGAGAACTGGGTTGAGAGAAAATAGCTTGGCAAAAGCCACATAGCACATTCAAAGCAGAGTCAATATTCCATCTAGAAGATTTGTTCAGTTTCTTAGCTTCTATGCAACCCACAAAGCAGGGCATTAAGCATGCGCTTGGGATAGGTTTTGCTATTGAACAAAAAAGGATTTAGTGTTGTCTTTTCCTTGTGCAATGAGCTAGTTTATTATTATTTTTAAAAAATTATATTCTTCTTGTTTTTTTAAAAAAACCTCAAAGCAGATGATGATGATGATGATGATTATGTAGTATTTTGTGTTTTTTATCTTGTATTTTTATGTTGTGAACTATGGATCTCTGGTTGTGGGGTAGGATACAAACAAACAAACAAACAAACAATAAATAAAGCATAAAATGATTATTGTAACTCGCTCTACGTGGGGCTGCCCTTGAGACTGACCCAGAAACTCCAGCGGGTGCAGAATGCTGCAGCGAGACTCCTTACGAGGTCTTCGCTGCGAGATCACATTCACCCGGTGCTATACCAGCTGCACTGGCTCCCGGTGGAGTACAGGATCAGGTTTAAGGTGCTGGTTTTAACCTTTAAAGCCCTATACGGCCTAGGACCCTCGTACCTACAGGACCGCCTCTCCTGGTATGCCCTACAGAGAAACTTACGGTCTTCAAATAAAAACATCTTGAAGGTCCCAGGCCACAGAGAAGTTAGGCTGGCCTCAACTAGAGCCAGGGCTTTTCGGCCGTGGCTCCGATCTGGTGGAACACTCTGTCACAAGAGACCAGGGCCCTGCGGGACGACATCTTTCCGCAGGGCCTGCAAGACAGAGCTGTTCCACCAGGCCTTTGGCCAGGGCACAGCCTGACTCCCTCCCTCGGCAATCTTCGCGGAGCTCTGGCCCAATGGTTGCCAGTGGCTTGAATTAATTAATTTTATAACGGATGATTTTAGACTGTTGTTTATGCTGTACTTTTGTACTGTTTTATTGTTGTTAGCCGCCCTGAGCCCGGCTTCGGCTGGGGAGGGCGGGATATAAATAAAATTTATTTTTATTATTATTATTATTATTATAAAATCAAGAAAAAATCACAGTACTTTAAAACATACAAGAAGTGAAAATACTAAAAAAAAAATCAAATTTAGAGAAGTAATGTGTTCGAAATGTACGTTTTATTTTATTTTATTTATTTGTATTTATTGTCAGATTGTCAGCAAAACCATAGACTTGTGATAGGACCTCAGTAGAATTGGAAAGCTGCTCAGTACTCCAGTGTTGAGGCGTGGTCCATCTTTCTTCATTGAGATATCCCACTCAATAGCTTTTTCTGTTGCAGCATGCGGTGGGGGTGTTGTTCCTAGGCTGGAGGTGGCAGTTCCCTGGAAACATTGTCCCACAATGCTTTTAAACCATCTGGAAGTAATGGGAGGGACATATTAGGGTATGGCATGTAGCCATCAAGTAAATAATCCGCCCTTTACTAAGATGGATGCTAGCAATGGAGAAGCAGAAAGAAAACTTCAGGGCAATTAATGTTGGGGTGATGGTAGATAGTTGGGTGGGTTGGTGAGAAGAGAATAAAATAAAAGTATTTTGTTGTTCAAAAGAAAAATCCTAAGCTAACAGGTGCTTGATACCTTCCTTTTGTCCATTTTGTTTTGAAGCTTCCTCCAATTCTGTGACCACATACGAAACCTGTCAAACCTACGAACGCCCTATAGCTTTCACTTCCAGGTCTAAGAAGCTCTGGGTCCAGTTCAAGTCCAATGAAGGAAATAGTGCCAAAGGATTCCAGGTCCCTTATGTAACATATGATGGTAAGGAAACCTTAAAAACTGCTGGAACTAAAGTGTGGGTGTTTCAATGTGTAAATTTGTATTTTTACTTTCCATCTCAAAGTCTGGGAGTAGGGGATATCAACATTTTATATAGGTAGAATATTTTATATAAGTGAATTTTTATGTGTCAGGTAAGGACATGCTTCCACACAAAATAACATGGGTATTAACCATGTCCCTTATGAGATGAAATGTGAAAATATTTTGGAGATGGTAAGGGGTGGGGGACAGATGTCTGTTGGGGGTATAACTCTCAAATTGTATCAGATTTTGTCTTTTATGTGCCAGTTCACATTTTTACACAAAATTGTATATTTGTGTATTTGAGACAAGTTAGCTTCTGAACACCTCCAAGTTGCTTTGCTGCAATGTAGGTTTTATTTTTTGATTTAGGAAAGCTGTAACTGGTTTATTGCTGTATCCCAAGAAGTGTCTTTTCTCATAATGGTACAAATGGCTTCACAGTTTCTACTTTGAAGTTGAATTTGGGACTAATCAGTGTTTCAGGCAGATGCAGAGAAAATTGGAAGTTTCATCTTCCTTGTACATCTGATCTCTTTGATAAATTATCCCAAACTACCCTGCGGGAGGCAAACTGCGGGAGGCAGTGGAAGACAGGAGTGCCTGGCGTGCTCTGGTCCAGGGGGTCACGAAGAGTCGGACACGACTAAGCGACTAAACAACAACAACCCTGGGGTAACAATCTGATGTGATTATGGCATGATGGATTCCAAAGGCCTGCAAGTGCAGCAGTTAAAGGCCTAAATCCTTTGGCTTTGCTGCCAGCCAGTGGCAACTTAACCCACCCATCTTAGCTGGAAACAGGATTTGTTCCACATTTTTTAAACCTGATTTCCATCCTGAAAACACACCAGTGGAAACAGGCTAATACGTTTGATACCAAAATAGTAAATGCTGTTTGCTTATTATACAAAAAAAGTGAAAGGGGAAAAAGCAGGAGTGTTGTAGGCAGATTTTAACATAAAGAGTAGATTTATTTAGCAAAGCTGTATTTGATGTTTGCCACATAGCCAGCATTTATATATGTCTCCAAGGCTGCTTATGATTTCTGCCATGGACCGATTACCGTATATACTCGAATATAAGCCGATTTTTTCAGCATTTTTTTTATGCTGAAAAAGCTTCCCTCAGCTTATACTCGAGTGAGGCAGGAGGTGGTGGAGGGACGAGCCCTTTCTCGCCGCTTGTCCCTCCACCGCCGCTGGCCTCTTGCAAGGGCAGGCACAGGAGCCGTGGCTGGGAGAGGCGCTGCACTGTGCCTCTCCCAACCAGGCTCCTATGCCTGCTCTTGCGAGTGGCAGAGGTGGCGGAGGAGGAAGGAGCAGCCCAAAAGGATCCCTTTCGGGCTGCTCCTTCCTCCTCCCCCCCCCCTTGCTGCTTTCTGTGGAGGAGGAGGAGCGAGCAGTCCGAAAGCAGCTCTTTCAGGCTGCTTGTTCTTCCTCCTCCGCTGCCACAAGGTTTGTGGTGTGGTAAAATTTGGTGCCTCGGCTTATATTCGGGTTGGCTTATACTTGAGTATATAAAGTAATAGTAAGCAGATATGGAACACTTTGTCTCAACAGTATAGTTTGTTTCTTGAAGGCTGTTTAGAATAGGTATTAAATCTGCTAATCTGAAAATTGTAGTCTTGGTTATAGATGGGTACATGCAAATGCATGAGTACATTCTGTTTGGGAGCATTTTCAGCCAAAGAATGGGAAATGCTAACAGACTTGCCCAAAGGAGTAGTAAGTACCCCTCCTGTTCAGCCTAGAGATACATGTATGTGCTGCTGATGTAACTCAAATGAATATTTGCAAGTCATGTGTATGTGTGTGTCTCCAACAGAGGATTATCAGGAACTAATAGAAGACATAGTCAGAGATGGTAGACTGTATGCATCAGAAAATCATCAAGAGATCCTTAAGGTAAACTTGCTCAGTTAATCTCCTGAAGGAAAACATCCATTCATGAGTGACTGCTGTTTGTGAAAATAAAGCTTTAATGCTTTGTTTACAATCTACTGTGACAGAGAGGAAGCTAAACAGGAGGAGGATCAGCAGGCATATCTCCCAAACAAGAAGAAACATGCTGCTATCACTCTGTTCCCAAAGAACCAAAACTAGTCTGAAGGGAGCGGTGGAGGCAATGTTGACTCAAGATATGTTGATAACTGATGCAGTAAACATGCAGTGTATATGTTAAATAACTGACAATATGCTACCTATTAATATTGCAGTAAATCGGCTACCTGAAGCTGCTGTCTCAGCCTGCTGCCTAATAGTAGTGCTGATGGCAAATGCTGATGTTTCTAACTTGTGAACTTGAGCATTAGTAATTGCCTAGCAATCATACATGCCTTCTGTTCCAACTTCTGGAAGCACAGGAATGATGATAGCAATGATATGTGGGTAACTTGGCCTAAGCCTTAGCATTTTGGTGGGTTGCACTTTGAAGTACAGGAAAGTGCTAATAGGAAGGTCCTTTACCTTAATATGTAATAGAAACTGGACCAAGAATTGTGCTTGCACTAATTTTTTCTCAAACTACAGTATATTAAATGACAACTGAGTTCTTTCTTACACTTTCAGGATAAGAAGCTGATAAAGGCATTGTTTGATGTCTTGGCACACCCACAGAACTACTTCAAGTACACAGCACAAGAGTCCAGGGAGATGTTTCCAAGGTCTTTTATTCGATTGTTGCGCTCTAAAGTCTCCAGATTTTTGAGGCCTTACAAATAGTGAACGCTATATTTTGAAAACTTAAAAAGTTACTGACTGTACAGCAGATTTGTTTTGTATTCTCTAAGATGGGGAAATTTTCAGGAAGCTGCCCAGTCAGTTGTATACAGTGTGTAAATTTTTTTTTATTAAAAATATAATTATTTCATTGCCATCTGTTTTATTTTCTGCCATTACATTACCTACTGCAGGGGTAGCCAACATGGTGCCCTCCAGCTGTTGTGGAGTACAACTCCTACCATCAAATAACCTTTGGCCATGTAGGCAGGGTCTGATGGAAGTTCGTAACATCTGGAGGGCACCATGTTGGCTATCCCTGATATACTAGTAGTTATGAATGAAGGTTGCAAGTGGTTTGTTCCTTTTTATATATAATAATATTGGTCCTATGATTTAAGCAGCTTTCTCGAATTGTAGAAATCTTCCCCCAATTTCCCACAAGAGGGCACCATGTTGCATCAGTTTAAAAGTACAACGAAGCAGTTTCTACTATTATGTCTCCCAAGACCAGTTTAAAAAGGATAGCACTCAAACATTGGAGAGGGGAGCAGAGTCAGTGAACTTTCTTCTTGTGACAATACACTTATTGTCAGCTCTTTTTCCTCTAGACAATATAAGTGCCTATAAAAAAAACATTCTACCAGATATTTGCTATATAAGCCATTAATTTACTTGAAATCTCTTTTTACCTGGCTTTATGTTGTTTGTGAATCTGAGAGTGATGAAAGTTTATAGGGGGGAGCTCTAATATAACCTGCTGCTTCCTGGATTGCAAATCCTTACTTTTGCCCTCCCAATATGTTATACACAGGTTGGGCACTGAAGCACTGAATTAGAAGTGGGGCTGTGCTGCTGGCCCTAGCCACCACCACCCCACACCTGACCTCTGAACATCAAGTGTGCACACGCAAAGAGGAAATCCTACAGCTGCTCTCAAGTAGGGATTCCTCTTCAGACATCCTCACTAGGACTCTGGGCACACAAGAAGAGCAGAGCAGCCTCATCCCCCTTTCAATGCACGTGTGTAAATACATGAATAGGACCTTTATTTACAGCGTTATCAATTTAGCTACAAACAAGCCTGCATTTTTAACATGCGTACTGGAATCAAATTGAGAAAGGGACAAAAATGAGGATTTATACACACTGCAATTCCAGTGGAAAGGGCTAACGTAAAAGACACTTAGCTTTATATTAGGAGAATGGGCTGTGTCTATAAGCAAAGAGAGGTCTACCACCCAAGACCAGTGAGGAGGAAGGATCATATTCCAGGACTGAGCTTTGATTTGATTTTGATTTAATATTTGCATGCTGCTATTCAAACAATGATCTTGAGCTCAAAGCAGCTCACAATAATAAGAATAAGCAAGCAACATTTCCCTCAATATAACTGTATCCAAAAGTACAACAGCATATAAGTAAAGCAAAAACAAACCATTTAATAAACAAGTAATGCAGGCAAATGCAAGCTCATAATAATTCAAAAATAACTTTTCCCAGGCAGCAGGGTCTTTCAAAAATTCAGCCACAAAACTGAGCTCAAAGTAGCAACAAAATTTGTTCTCTTTTTTTCCAGCTGAGTCTGTTCCATAGAAAGTTTCCTGGATACCCATCCAGCCTTGTCTATCCATTTATTTACTTCCAAAGGAACTTGCTTACAGTAGGCCTAAGTTTACAGTCTGGAAAATGCTAGTGGCATCCAGCTTGAAAACTAGTTCTATAAGATACTGAGCTCCCTGCTGTTGCTGTAGCAATCATCACAACTTTGAATGCCACATGGAACGTTTCATGGAGCGGAATGAGTTGTCCATACTCAATTTTCCAGTTAATTTTAACATCTGAAATTTTAGAGTTAAAAAACTGGATAGGCCACATCTCTCATTTTTTTAGAAAAGGTCCCTCAACGGAATAACAGTTTCACCAACTTCCAGTACCTGGGCAGGTTCTTGTGGGACCATTTAGTCTCAAGTGGCATGGAGGGGACTCCTGAAGTGAAGTGAAGGTCATCAATTATCCAGCATTTCTAATGGTCCTAATAAATAATAGACAGGCCCATGCTTACGATCTCATTGATGTGAGAAGGTAACTGTTTAGCTTCATCCAAGACAAAGGAATACACTGTCCTTGTCCTAGATGTGTTGATAGGGGTTGCAATTAGAGCTGCCAGGTTTTGAACTTACCCCTGTGGTGGTAAAACCTTTAGCAGTGGTTTTATCGGCAGGTGTTATCGGGTGAAGGCATTTATCTCCACATCATGAAAAGCTCCAGCAGCCGATTCCTGCAGATCAACCTGCAACTAAAGGTACAGAAACACATTAGCCTATATTTTTCCCAGTTTAGCTGGCAACCCCTAGTGCAGTTCACCAAACACTTGCTGTGTACAACTTCCTTTCATGTCAGTGAGGCTCATATGGCTCTCCTGGGCAAACTCCATTGAAATAAATAGAATACAGCAGCAGTACTTGATTATGCCAATACTGATGGAAGGCTTTGTGTACAAGCACAGACAATTTGGGAGGATTGGGTATGGGGCTAGCAGCTGTAATTGATTGTATTTAGGATTAGACTATTCTGTGCAGGGCAAGGCTATCTGGAGTAACAACCTCCAGTTTTAGGTTGCTTCTACACTAGAGCCTAATGGTGCTGCCAAAGCATTGCTTTTCCACAATTATCAAGAAGTGGAACAAAAACAAAAGGTTCCACACAAACAATTAGTCTAGGTTTGACTTCCCATATATTCCCAAGTAAGTCCTCTTAATCAAATATTCTCTGCAATTTTAGCTACCATTGTCTTCCTTGAAAGTTCATCCAGCTTTATTGCTTTCTGAGGAGCAAAGATTATTTGGAAATAGCCTACTAATGGTCCCTTTGTTAATTGTCTGTTATGTCCTATCCTTGTGGTGTGGGTAATTTAGCCAAACAGAACTACTTGACTATATAAAATGGAAAGGAAGCCAATAATTGAAGCCTCCAACCCCCACAAGAACAGAAACTGGCATAGGGACAATTAACAGCAGCCATTCAAGGGATAATTAATTCTAGTTACACTAATCAGGAAGAAATAAAAGGGTCTAGGAAAGGTTTAAAAGTATGACCCCTAAAAGCCTCCATAGTCCTTTCCTGTTCATGTTAGATAGGCTGCTGTTGCAACTGTGTTTTACCATGAAAAACCTGTGTCAAAAAACACAGAAGATACTGGAATGCACAGGCTGACAATGGTGTTATCTGGATGCCCCATAAAAAAGTGAGAGCACAAAGGATGGCAATTCTAGTGTAAAGGGGCTAATGTGAAAGTCACCTTAGGAAGATCTTTCCCCACAACAGTTTTCATTTCCCAAAGTTCTTTAGTTTCCGTGGTAACTTGTCTGTTGGATGGATGAACCTTTGGCCTGATCCAGCAGGACTCTTTCTTTCTAGTTTAAGAACCTAAGTAAAGAAAACAAAGACTATTGAGGTTTCTTCGATACTAGGTCCAAAAAAAGCTACAAATTCAGTACAATGATAACTGGTTAAACATAACATAACATGACATAAGAATAGCCTGCTGGATCAGACCAATGGCCTATCTAGTCCAGCATCCTGTTCTCAGAGTGGCCAATCAGATTCCTAGGGGAAACCGGGGAGCAGAACATGATCAAAAGGGCCCTCTACCCTCCTGTTGTTTCCAGCAACTGGTATTCAGAAGCCCAGGCTGCTTCCAGCTGTGGAGGTAGAGTATAGCCATCATGACTAGCAGCCATTGACAGCCTCCTCCACCATGAATTTGTCAACCCTCTTTTAAAGCCATCCTGCTTGGCGGCCATCAGTGCCTCTGGGGGGAGTGAGTTCTATAGTTGGACCATGTGCTGCATTTATAGGTACTTTCTATTATCTGTCCTAAATTTTTCAACATTCAGCTTCATTGGATGGCCACAGGTTCTAGTGTTATGAGGGTGAGAAACTTTCTCTAGTGTTTTTCTCCATGCCTTGCATAATTTTATAAATTTCTACCATGTCACCTATTACTTGCTATTTCTCCAAGCTAAAAAGTCTCAAGCGTACAACCTTTCTTCACAGAGGAGTCAGCCCCTTGATTAGTTTAGTTGCCCCTTTCTGAACCTTTGCCATCTCTAAAATATCCTCTAAGAGATGAGGGGATCAGAACTGTACACCAAATATATTTGCATAACAGCATTATCCCAGTAGTGATATATGGAAGTGAGAGCTGGACCATAAAGAAGGCTGATCACCGAAGAATTGATGCTTTTGAATTCTGGTGCTGGAGGAGACTCTTGAGAGTCCCATGGACTGCAAGAAGATCAAACCTATCCATTCTTAAGGAAATCAGCCCTGAGGGCTCACTGGAAGGACAGATCCTGAAGCTGAGGCTCCAATACTTTGGCCACCTCATGAGAAGAGAAGACTCCCTGGAAAAGACCCTGATGTTGGGAAAGATTGAGGGCACAAGTAGAAGGGGATGACAGAGGACGAGATGGTTGGATAGTGTTCTCGAAGCTACCAGCATGAGTTTGACCAAACTGTGGGAGGCAGTGGAAGACAGGAGTGCCTGGCATGCTCTGGTCCATGGGGTCACGAAGAGTCGGACACGACTAAACGACTAAACAACAACAACAACAACAACAACAATTATTATATTGACATTTTTATTTTTCTTTCCTTTCCTAATGATGCCTAGAATAGAATTTGGCTTTGTCATGACCACCACACACTGGGTTGACATCTTCATTGAGCTATATACTATGACCCCAAGATCTCACTCCTGGTCCGACACCACCAGTTCAGACCCCATGAGCATGTATGTAAAATTAAGATCTTTTTGCTACAACATGCATTCACTTTATTCTTGTTTACACTGAATTGCATTTGCCATTTTATTGCCTATTCACTCAGTTTGGAGAGGTCCTTTTGGAGCTCTTCGCAATCTTTTTTTACTTTAACAATCCTGAACAATTTAGGTCATCTGCAAACTTGGCCACCTCACTGCCTGCTCCTAACTCAATATTATTTGCAAATAAGTTAAAAAGCACAGCTCCCAATACCAATCCTTAAGGGACACCATTTTCTACTTCTCTCTGCTGTACCTCATTCCAAGGAAACTGAACCCTGGGTAAATGCCTGGAACCCTTGGAATCTCGCACTGTTTGGGGATTGGGGTGGTGTGCAACAATGTGTGTGTGTGTGTGTGTGTGTGTGTGGACACACACACACATCTACATTTTTATATCTACATTCTTCTCAATACAAGATAGAAGGTATTTATGATGCAAATCATTGCACCATCTTTAAATACGCATATAGTAATTGTTGAGAAAGCATGAGGTTTATTTTATGCACTTAGCACAATATTTTGTACTATTTCTTAACGTATTAAAAATAAATTTAAAAATGATTTTCGTAAAGTGTAAGATTACCTACCTAGCTCCATTACTACACCAAGATTTATTGTATTTGACTGTTTTTAATACCACTGTGGCCTGTAATGCAATTAGAAAAGCTTTTCTATGGATGATGCAAAACTTCAAGGCCACCAAATTCTTCTTCATTTGCATGCTGAAATAGATGACACATTTACCCTTGAGCAGTACTCAAAAAGAAGGATTGCATTTTCATAGCACTCCTCTACCTCAGCTTTGATATAGCCACTAGTCCTGCTGCGAATAAGAGCTTATTGAACCTTTGCTAATGCGAGACGAGATGCAAGGCTTCTGTCCTATAGCTCTTCCTTTCTATTACATAAAAGAGACAGCATCCATTTAGGGGGAGGGCTTTGGTTTTCTGCTCTCTGTTTTCTCTCCCTTAGCCCAGAGATGAGGTGAACAAACAAAGCATCTTTATTTAATCAACTGGCTAAGTGCCAAACACCTCCAAAGGTGAAAAAGAGATTGCTTTTACCCTCAGAGTTCTGTATGCTTGTAAAGATTCATTACATAATGGGCTATTCTAAAAAGAAAAGGGGACAGGACAAACCTCTCCTGTGTTTAAACTGCTAGGCCGCAGTTGCATTTTGGCCTTTTGGTGTCTGAATGAGAGTATAATTCCAAGCCTTGCGGTAGTTCCAACTCTACTTGGATGACCATCTTCAGAGGGAGTTTTGTTCAGCCCTGTGTGGGGTTCTGCAGGGTTCGATTTTATCCCCCATGCTGCTTAACAACTACATGAAACTGCTGGCAGGAGTCATCTGGAATTTTGGAGTGCACTGTCAAGAAAACGTGTACACTGGTACCTCGGGTTACAGACGCTTCAGGTTACAGATGCTTCAGGTTACAGACTCTGCTAACCCAGAAATAGTACCTCGGGTTAGGAACTTTGCTTCAGGATGAGAACATAAATTGTGCTCCGGCGGCGCGGCGGCAGCGGGAGACCCCATTAGCTAAAGTGGTACCTCAGGTTAAGAACAGTTTCACGTTAAGAACAGACCTCCGGAATGAATTAAGTTCTTAACCTGAGGTACCACTGTACATTGATGATACACTGCTCTACCCTTCCTTTACACCTGCAGGTGTGGCACTGGCTGCACTAGACCCATGTCTGGCCTTGATATTGGACTGGATGAGAACAATTCCTTGCCTTGGCAAGGGTGGGAACAGGATCAAAACTAAAGGTGTGATCATGATACATTGCGAGGCTGGCTCCATGAAATTACTCTTAACATTCATATGTCAGGAATGGGAAACCTCCAGCCCGTAGCCCAAATGTCATAATATTATCATTATTAATATTATCATCATTATTAAATTAACATATCACCCTTCTACTGGTGATCACAGGGCAGTTTACAATATAAAAACACAAAAACACTTATACATACACACAAACAAAACAATCTCTCTCTCTCTCTCTCACACACACACACACACACACACACACACACACACACTGCCACACATAATTTGCAAGGGCAAAGATGGTATAATTAGCCAAAGACCTGGGAGGAGGAGAATGGTTTTGCTTTGCACTTAAAGATATGTAACGAAGGCACCAGGCAAATCTCCCTGGGGAATGTTCAGAGGCCCTAATTTGGGCCATAAGCCAGTTTTTCACCAGCCCTACCCATCTGCCCCACATGGGGTGTCCTACCACCTGTGTGGCAGGTAAAGCCATGGTTATAAGGAACAATTGGAAGCCTTTGATTGTGCTTCCTCTGCAAGTGGGGCTTTTAAATTTGGTGCTAAAAGCAAGCACTTCTGGGATTGCTTCCACCTGGAAACAGGGTGGAAAACTGAGTGTGAGGTGAAATGGAATGGAATATTGTGAAAAAGGCTGGCTGGCTGGCTGGCTGGAACACTGGAATATTGGCTGGCATACTGAACGCTTTGGTATACGTTCCACTTGTTTATCCTATTTCCAGTATCACATCCAAGCAGCACTGAGTTTGGTGCGATAAGCATGCACCCAAAGCTGCCTTAAATGACTTGCACGTGTGTTGTATATTGGCAGCGTTTAACTAAGCTATATTGTGTCTGAGGATTCTTGCAGGGAAGCCAGTATATGCACACAGCCTTTTGATTTTGAAAGCACACTTTAGTCTGTGGTTTATACATCTGCAGCAGATGGTTCTGCTTTTAAATATATATACATATTAAACATATACCAGACTGCCTTTAAAAATAAAATAAAATTAGAAGGTCACATCTGTTTATTTTGAAAGAAAATGCTAGCTCATTTTATCAAGAGTTCTTTCCTTGAAAAGCCCAAGCTGCGAGTGAAAGATGCAAGACAGACAGCCTAGTACAGCAAAACATTGCTTTCCGCCCCCTCAAAAGGAAGCTGGTAATTCCTAGACTGATTGTGAGCCAACTCATGCCATATTCGATGTGTGTAACATATTGCAGTGTACATAACCCCTCCTTTACTACGCCGCACTGGCTGGGATACCTGCTGTTCTCAAAAACGTCACGCGGATTCTGTTATAAAGTCCACCACAACAGATCGCCGGGGCATTTGTTTCCATATAGACGCTTGACAGCAGCTTGGGAGAGAAAGAAAGGCACGCAAGAGGAGACAGATCGGAAAGATGTTTTACTCAGGGCTCCTAACAGACAGAAAGGATGTGGACCTGAGGGAAGCTGCATCTCTTCGACAACAGAGGAGAATGAAGCAGGCAGTGCAGTTTAACCACAAGGACTCGGCTGACCTGCTACCATTAGATGGGCTGAAAAAGCTGGGGACTTCGAAAGACACCGTAAGATGCTGTTTGTGTGTGTATATGTGTGTGTGTAAAAATCTATAGCGAGAAAACATAAGATTAAAAGGATGGATTTAAAACATTTTAGTCTGTTGATTCTAGTGGTGTTTTAAAAATGTTTTAAAGATAATGATCTCTGTTGCCTTTGGAAGCCATAGAAAATTAGCATTTTAATTAAGCTGTTGGGGATGCAGAGGGAGGATAAAGACTGAGGAAATGGTGGGGGAAGAGCTTTACATGAGATATGTTTTCTGTTTTTGGTATCAAAAATAGTTTATACTTGGTGGTGCAGCTAGGTAATTCTGAACTCTGGACTTTATGGTCTTATGGGGGGGCTTTTAAGATGGAAATGTATAATTAAAAAACATACTTCAAAATGTGGTAATAAGCCACCCCAGCTCATTCTGTTGAGCAGGACCCTGGACTTCTATCCCAAAGTCCTGTCCCTGACATAACGTTTATATAGCCATGCTTGCAAGTGCAATCAAGCATCCTTTGCATTGTGATTTTAAAAAGAAAAGAAAAGATGGCCTTATTCAGCCATATTGATATATAGCCAATTCAATGTATTCTGTACAAATGTTAGATATGTGAATTGGTCAGTTGGTGAGTTGATCAGATTAGGCGTAGTTTTGTAATAAGAAAACTGGAGATCAAGCACAGGTGATGACGTTCTGAGTTTGTACTTTAACTTCTCTTTATTAAGGTAAATTCCAGTCCTGCTACTTCAACACGGTTCCAGTTGATTTCAGTGAAACTTCCTTCCAGGGAACTGTGTTCAGAACTGCAGCTTTGGGGCCTTATTGCTGCATTGCCTGTCTTGTCTTTTGCAGATAGCAGTTTCCGAATGGTACTAAGCAGTAAAAGCAGTGTTGGGGAGAGGGTTTTTAAAATTATTCCCTTAGCTTCATGACCTTGATAGAATATTTTTTTGGGGGGTGGGGGTGGGGGAGGAGTACTGTGGCTGCGTTCCTGATGATGTTCATTTGTTTGGCCCTCAGTCAAGTCTATTGTCTCCCACATAAGGGGAAGCTATATTCCTTTGAGTTCTACAACATACATCTGCAAAGCTTTCTAGCTTTTGAAAATAGAAGCATACATCAGAGACACAAAACAGGATGAAAATCTATTTGAGCAGGAAGTTGTGTCCATTCTGATTTTTATCCCCCCGCACCCCGAGTTCTATATGTTGTCTACTCACAACATTTGACGATAAGATGAATATAGTGAATCTTTTTAAAAAACAAAAAAACTTTAACCTTGTATAGTTTTTATGTCACCAGAATTTAGGATTAGATGTGTAACAGTGAAAATGGAAAGTGGCAGTGTTTTGCTTAATATATAGGAGGTGTTTCTAAAAACCATACCAGTCTTTAGCCTCAGAACAAGTACTGGCCAAAACTATGATTTCTGCTCCAATTTAAAACTCTGGGAATTCACACTCCAGTCCAACCTTCAAAACGTATAGTCTGACCACCACAGAGGAGAAAATTGCACCCCATATACTGTCAGTCCATTCCTCATATCATTTGGGGTAAATACTGCATCAAGGATATGCCATTCCCCCCAAGTTGGACCAGTAGCCATTTGTCACAACCCACTGAAATTAAGTCTTACAATGCACTTGCTAGAGCCCTACACATCAAATCATCCTGTAGTAATCACAATATACTCAGAGGTGAACAACAGTGTTTGAAATATATAACTAGTAAAGGGAGAGGGATGGGGCATTTAGTGCTATACCGTATCTATGGCTTTGCATAAAACTCCCTGTACAAAGATTACAAATTAGTGGTGTAAAGACTTCTTTAGCATTTTCTAGAGCAGGGGTGGTAAAC